TCAAATTTCGATCAAATTTTGATCGAAAAACGTACGGCTCTCTGATTAACCTAATCCTTACTTTTTATATGCAATACGATACTGTTTTTATCTTTCTCCTTAATAAATCATAGAATTTATTGCCAACAGTTATATAATACTTCTTTCTCTCCATCTTACATGCCAAAATATAGTACAAAGCAACAAGCAATTGATGCCTTGAAGAAATCGCATAAAATCAGGGAATTTATCGTGAAAAAAAACACTGGTAGAGTCTTTATCAGCAAGTGCAGACGAACTTATTTAAGATATTTTAGAAGTAATCAAAAAGGAAGTTAATATAAAGTTGGAGCAGATGACTGCCGCGAAGGAGCTTAAACAAACACTTAAAGCCAATAAATACATACACAAGGTTGACAATGTATTGCCAGATCTTGAGTCAAAGGAAAGAGCACTTGATTTCTTCGAGAGTCTAGATGCCTACAGGTTCAAAGAAGAAATCAGAATGTGCAAAGATTATTCTATAAATGCTATAAAAATCTATGAATTTTGTACGAATTTTGTACTTTTGTCTTTTGGTGTCCTCAACTACAAATTGATACCATTGGCCAAAATTCACACAAGAATTTGATCGATCAATCTGGCTGAGTACCCCCATTGTGTAACGGATCTATAACGTCGTATAAGTTTCTAAAGAATACCAAAAGAACACCAAAAGAACAATAAGAGAGCAAGAAAGAAAGAGAAAAAAAAAGATAATAGAACAAAAGAACAAATAGTACAAATAGTACAATATATAATAATTAATATACTATTATTATTATAGTAATAATAATATTTTTTTTATTTTATTTTATTTTTAGCACTACAAACATTTGATATATATCACAGACAGATGAGTGTAGTTGCAAATGTTGTGATATGTTGTGTTGTGTAGTTGCGATATGACGTCACGTGTCGTGTTTTGGTGTATAGTTTTGATGTATAGTTGTGATGTATAGTTGTGTTGTGTTATGTTGCGATGTGATGTGATTTGTTTGTATGGAGCTGTGACAGGCTCAGATTTATTAAAGTTCTCTGAATGAGTAGGGCAAAAGAGAAAATTACAACATTTGTTTTGAGGGTTTATGGGGGTTATTTGATGTTTTTGGCTTTTTGGTTTTTGACTTGTTTTTGTGTGATTTAAACTTTTTTTTTTTTTTTTGTTAAAAGGTTAATGTGGTGTTATGCGAGGGAAGAGTCAGCGGAGTCAAGCTCGAGCTCTGAGCAGATGCGGGAGATTGATTTCCTAGCAGTGGCAAGAACCAAGGAAGGTAAAAAGGGAGCAGAGTTAAAGTGGAGTGCCCAATGGTGGTCCCAGATAGCAAGGATGGTCAGTCCGAAAACCGAGGCGGCTGGAATACTGGGGTTCAGCGTGGGAGGGAAGAGAAAGGATGTGAATGCCGAGGAAAGTGCAGAAGGTGGTGGGACGGTGCCGAAAAATTCTAACCAAATGCCTAACCACACCGCAGATTTCAAAGGACAAGAAAGAAGAAAATGCTCTTGCGTCTCGATTGACATCTGGCAGATATTGCAGAGAGGTGAAGAAACAGTGAAGGGCATAATGTGGTGCAGAAGAGCTCGGCACGATAGTTTGTTGTGTAAGCCGCGAAACCAAACATTACGGGCCCGGTGAGGAAGTGCGAAAGACCAGAAAGAGTGCAGTTGGCGAGGGCTAAGATGGGGGCTAAGTGGTTGAGCATTAGCATGATGATGAGAACAGGTCAGCCGGTAAGAGCGCGTGGACAAGCGTGACCAAGGTTTGCCGAGGACCAGAGCAGAGATGAAGGGATCAAAGTCAAAGGGGGACCCATCTCGAGGAGGCATATCCAAATGTCGCGATTCTAGGATGAATGTAGGAATACAAGCTCTGAAAAGGATAGGGTGAGCCACAAGTGAACGGTCGAGAAGTCTTTGCAGGATACGATTAAGAGTGATAAATCGAGGAAGAGGTCTAGCAGGGGCAATGGGCATCAGGACGTCCAAATTATGATCAATCTGGTATAGGTGGTTAACCTTCAGGTCTCGCCAAGATTGTCGGTAGGGCGGATGAGAGGGAGGGCTATTAACCATGGAGGACAAGGGCAACATAAGGCACGTGGATAGATTCGTGAGGACGTCGTCAAACTTGTGCGGGAGGTGGTCCATGGCCTTCAGGACAAGATGAAGAGGCGAATCCAGTGAGCGATGGGTGCGAGGTCTAGAGTCTGGGAAGATCCAAAGTAGAAGGGGATCACAATCCGTATTCTCAGTGCGAAGGAGAGAAGCCATCCATTTGGGGACCAAACCACGGGGACCCAATGGGTTCTGGATTATTGGCTTGAGCCAACGAAGCTGAAGAGCGCATTGCTGTGTAATCGGGTCGAGGATGCCAAGACCACCTTGAAAGCGAGGAAGGCAGAGGGTGTCCAAAGCAATGGGGGGGAACGAACGGAAGCGGAAGAAACGGCGCATCAGAGTGCGTATTTTTTCGAGAAAAGAGACGGGGAAGGATACTACGCGCAAGACATGCCAAAGTTGGGCGAGAATGAGAGAGTTCATGACAGTGGCACGGCCGCGGAAGGACAGGGTGCGTGAGCCGTGTAGAATACAGCTATTCTCAATCTTAGAAAGAAGGGCCTGGCCAAATGAGTCTCGTTGGGCAATGGAGGAGAAAATTGGATATCCCAGATAGCGAAGAGAAGAGGAGGAGGTCCGGTCATGCCAATCCGTAATATTGTGGGTCCGTAGATGTGAGGACCAGTCTGGCAGGGGTGAGCCCGAAAGTGAAAATGCCTGCGTCTTGTGAAGATTTACGCGGGCGTTGGAAGCCGCAGCATAGGTGTTGAGGTGGGTGTGGAGGCGAGACAACTGCCCTGTGTCAGAAAGAAAAACAAGTAAATCATCAGCGTACGCAAGGAGTTTGATCGGTGACAGAGGAGAAAGACCAGCAGGAACAGATGGTTGAAAGCCCGAGAAGGACTGGTCATGGATCACTCGTCGTAGTAGAGGCTCAAAAACTAGATTGAACAGTATAGGGGAGAGAGGGTCCCCTTGGCGTAGTCCCCGAGATTGAGGCAAAGGGCGCGAGAGGAAGCCATTCACATTTATTTGCAATTTAGTAGAAAAGAAGAGGTTAGAGATCGAGGTGACAAGAGAGGAGGGAAATCGAAAGTGTGTCAGTACTTGGCGAAAATATTCCGGATGTACTCTATCATATGCTTTCTCCTGATCGAGGAGAAGTCCAACACCAGCTGATCCCTCCTTGGCGGCTTGTGCCATGACCAGCCTGGTCAGCATTCCATTATCGGCGATGAAGCGACCCTGAACGAACCCTGTCTGGTAAGGAGAGACAAGTGAAGTGACCGTGGTAATCATGCGAGCATTCAGCAATCGGGTAAATACCTTGGCATCGGTGTTGATCAAGGCAATTGGGCGCCAGTTCTTCAAAGAGGTGAGATCGCCCTTTTTTGGGAGCAGGCAAACGCAGGTGGATTGCCAGGATTCCGGAAAAATGCCTTTTGATAGGGCGTCGTTGTAGACTTCCGAAACCAGATCACCACAGACTGGGTGGTCTAGTATCAAGCGAAGGATCTCGTAGGGTAAGCCATCGGGACCGGGACTGCTAGAGGTTGGAGTGCGCGACGCACCAGAGCGAATAGTAGACAATGACAGAGGACGAGTGAGGGCAGTCTGCCGACTTTCTGACAGACCAAGGTCAGAAGGCAGGTGAGAGAGCAGGTCGTCCAGAGCAGATTGGTCGATAGGGTCCGGGGTATACAAGCCTTCATAAAAGGCGGCAGCTGCTTCGGTCATCTTTTCGGGGGTGGAACATATTTCGTTTGTTGCAGGGTGGCAAAGGCTGGCAATTGACTTGCGTGACTGACGAGTGGCGATGGTGCGCTTGAGATATCCAGCAGAGGTCTCACCTTGTTCCCGCCAGTGTTTCCCAGCCCTAAGGGACATGATCTCCACTCGTTCAAGTTGGACTTGCTGCAGAAGCCGCTCAACAATAGGCAGCTGAAAATTCTGTGCAGGCTGGTGTCGAAAACGGTGTATTAGTCTGTCTCTCCGTTGTTGCAGGCTTGCTTCCAGGTCGGTGAGAGAGGGTCGGAGGTGGCGAGAGAAACACTTGATAAAGCGTATGACTTCGCTCTTTATCGAGTCCCATCGTGCTTGAGGAGAGAGGTTTGCGGGAAGGGCAGGGATGAGGGTGGATAGAAGAGTGTTGAGGTCGGTGCAGAAAGATGTCAACCTGGCAAGTCGGGGGTTAGCACGCCAAAGTCCCTTACCAGAGGATTGGGTGGAAGGGAGAGCCAAGCGGACGGTCAACAGGCAATGATCGGACCAGTTTTGGTGAATATATCTCACCTGGGAGTCAGTAGTGCGAGGGTGAAGATCAGGAGAGGCAAGAATATAGTCGATTGTAGTGGAAGACAAGGCGCGATGAAAGGTGGGTTGTGGGTTCTGGCCAGGAGGAGTGACACAGTCAATCATATGGTTGTCCAGAAACTGGAGCCACGCTAGTGGGGCACGACGTCCGAGAGCGTAGTTAGAGTGAATGGCATGGTTAAAATCACCTAATAAAATGAAGTTGGAAGGATTGGATGGAATGAGGTCAGGTGTCGACAGTAAGGAAGAAAGAAAATCATAGCGGGGAGTTCGAGAGGCGGGAGCATAGATGACACCCATCTTGAATGGGGAAAATTTATTGTCAGTATGAGTGACAGTTGTAATGATGCACCTGCCGCAAGGACTAAATAAAGGGTCTGTGAGAATAATATGGGGGGAGAGGCATACAACACCACAGTGTGGCGACCATAAAGATGAAGATGACCGAAATTGTTGGTCAAAAGTGTCTTGAAGCATAGAAGAGGAGGCATGGGTTTCTTGCAGGGCTAGTATATCAATTCCCTGAGAGCGTAGGTGGCGTATAAAAAAGGAGCGTGATTCAGGGTGTCCAACTTTGGGTAGACCCCTACAGTTCATTGTGCCTATTTTTATCATTGGTTAATCTTGGCCTCTGCGTCGAGGGCTTTCTTGCTATGTGGGGGAGTGAAGCGAGGAGGTGAGAGGGATGTGTTGCGGCCTATTGGACGTACTGTCCGAGAAAACCGGAGATGAGAGAGGCGAGAGGCATTCTGAAGACGGAGAGTCCGAGCCTCGACTCTATCCGTGAAGTCAGTGATCATGTCGTCGTCTATCTCATCGTCCCAGCCCTTCACAGGAGTGTCAACAGAACGACTTCGGGGACGAGGGCCGGAGGACGTGGTTGTCGCAGATATTGTCGTGATGGCAGGGAGGGTTGCCGGTAGGGTTAGTTTTGCAGACTCAAGCAAAGCAGGTTTGTGCGGATTGTGCTTGGAAGCCTCGGATCCTCCGTAGGTGAGCGAGAGTGCAGTCGGAATCAGAGGCTTAGGCTCGCGGATAGGTCGATCGAGCTTAACGTTGCGGTGGGGGTGACGGGATCGCTTGTTTGAGGTCTTAGAAGTCTTGGATGGATCGGAGGAGTGCGGGCAATTGGCTTGCAGGTGGCCGATCTTGTTGCATCCAAAGCACGTTCGGGTTTCGGCTGGGCGCTTAGTGCACTGGGTGACTTCGTGTCCCATTTCCTTGCAATAAGTGCAGTGGGAGCCCATCGAAGGCCACTTACCGAGTATCTTTTGCGTAGCGTCGTATGCTATTTGGTACGTCAGGGAATCGGATGGCACCTCGTCAGTGGGGGTGTTGGCAAGGACAACATATCCAGAGCCGTCAAAAAACCCATACGTTTCGTGAACGGCAATCTCACGCACTTTACCAAAAGGAGACATACATTTCGTGAGCTGTGTAGCAAGTTCCGGATAGGGGACACGAGGAAGCTTGGTCAGGAAAACACGGCGAACAATTGTGCCAATGGGAACAGCCGGTTGAGCGGGAAAAGATGAAACGCCGACTACCAAAGGATGAGAGCACGCTCTCTCACAGTCAGCACTGGTAGCCAGGTGGAGCTCGCATGTATCAGGGGAATAGCGAGATCCAAGAGTGATTCCCATGTTAACTTCGCGAGGGTAAGCTGCGAGAAGGGCTCTCCAGAAAGGGTCGAAGTTGGGTGACGTTTTTGGTGGGGCGGTAAAGAATACAGAGAACTTAGAGGACCCTACACGCCAGGTACGTGGGGTTGTGTTATTTGTAGAGCTAAAGATAACATGTGGTTGCTTTTCGGTGAGTGGAGGTGCATTCTGTGTAGCTACTTGTGAGTATAGTGGTGTCAGAGTAGGTGAGATTGGTGTGAATGAGGTTGCCAATGGTGGAGATGAGCCAGTGGTGGAGGGGTTTTTGACCCCTGGTGGTTCCGGAGTGTTAGTGGAAAGAGCCATGTGCGATGTGATGTGATGTGATGTGGTGTGGTGTGGTGTGAAAGTTGCGATTTTCATTGTCATTGTCATTGTCATTTGTAAATAAATAGATACATAGATTACATAGATCTCTCTGCGGTGGACTCGCTCCAACATTTCGTCTTCTCCTGCCCCCGCAAGTTTCCCGTGTGGACATTGGTACTGCGGCAAATGTGTCCGTCCTGGTCCATTTCTGACGTTGCCTGGCTTCTCACTCGTACTCGGCTTTCTCCCTCCGTATCCTCCTCTCTCCAGATTGCGATTGCCTCCATCATGGTTCACACCATCTGGCGTGCGCACTGGGCATTTGTCTTTGACAACTCCCCCTTCCTCCCCAATGTAGTTGCAGCTAAGGCAGTGACTGCCATACATAAATCCCATGACCTCACCTTCCCTTAGCTAGCATATTTATCTCTTTCTTTCCCCTTCTGTAACTATCTTTCTCCAATTTTATTTTAAAAGGCCGCGCACTGTGTGCGTCGGCAGTACCAATAAATACAAAAAAAAAGTTTACATAGATTTATAGATAATTATATTTATTTCTTGTTTTCGCGATCCAGACGATTCTGTTCGCCTTGTTCGCCTTCTAGTACAGTCATGACTCCCTTGATCATCTTGTTGTAATCTTCGTCCTTTTGCTTTCTGACCTTGGCCTTTTCTCTGGCCAAGAACATGTTATCCTTGCGCAACTCACGCAGGGCTCCCTTCTTCTCCTTCTTGTGCTGGGCTGCAAGCTTGTTGGCCTGTGCACGCTCATGATCAGGATCATAGTGGCGATCCATAGAGTAGCCCTTTTCAAACTTGGGAAGGTGCTGAGCAATGGGTATGGGACGATGCATCTGCATTCGGAGGGGTGTCTTGACTCGCTTGTCCTTGCAGAACTTGATCTGGCGTTCTAATCTATTCGACAGTTCACCCAACACACTCTAAAAATTCAAATTAATCAAACGTTCAATTAATTAAAGTCCATAATTATCTTACCTCAATCTCGCTGTGCCATGATACTGTCTCTAAAATCCGAACAATATCAAGTGTCTGTTGGAAAAGCTCAACAAGAGCAGATGTGGAAGCATACAACTGCAATAATCGCTCAATCATCAAAACTGTAGACCGCAACAGTGTGAGGCGCATCTCGTTGCTGCCCTCTTCATTCTCCACATTCTCATCACCAAGTCGGCCAAGATCAAGCGATCCAATACTCTCAATCTCTCCACCAGTGCTGTCCTGAATATTAAGCTTGGCATTGTCGGACAGAGGGAATGTGCCAGGGACGCCATCCTTGAGGAACATGTCCTTGGGTGCAAGCATCACAAGAGAACGATGCAAGAAGTTCAAAGCCTCGGGTAACAGACGCTTTGATACGGATTGGTACTAATAGTAGCAATAACAAAACATGGTAAATAATCATTTCCTATTTGCCCCCATTTTTTTTGACATATATATATATATATATATTTACCTCGGAGAGCAATAATGTCAAGAACAATCCACGTCCAAGGTCAACCTCACTCTGAACACGGCACTGCTCAAGTGCCTGGGACATAAAGAGCATGGCTGGGGAAGCAATAGGATGTGTCAGATCAGAAGTCGAAAATACTTGGCCAAGCGAACGCAGGAGGGTGAGCTCTTCAACATCGGGCCACGAAGATGCCTGTCCATGGGTCATCTTTTGTGCCATTGTGGTGTGCATCTGCTGCAGCTTAGCATGGAATACTGTGGCAGCGGCCTCAGGAACCTGCTGGCCCATCTCAAAAACATGGATGCAGAGTGCATCAAGAGTCTCGGTAGGCAGAGGGCTCACGGTAGACGCAATATATCCAAGGTGTTCTACCAAAACACCAAAAAAGGCCGCAATCTTGGCCTTGTTTGCTGAATTCAGCTTGATGTGGTGCAGAACTCGGATACGTTTGGTAACCAAGACCGCATCTTCAACCTCAAGTCCCTCCATGATCTTCAAGAATTCGGCATGTGTGGTGGGGCAGGTGAAGGTGAATGGGACCTCACGCTTTTCAACATTTTTGGTAGGCTTTTTGGCAGTCTTTTTCACAAGACTTCCACTTGCACCAATTGTGTTTACATCATCCTCATCATCTTCATCGGCAAAAACAGGTGCTTCATCACCACTCTCCAAATCCTCAATGTCACTCTCTTCCTCATATTCATCTTCATCTTCATCTTCGCCTTCGCCTTCGCCTTCTTCATCTTCGTCTTCGTCTTCCTCATCATCATCTTCCTCGTCAGAAGAAGGAACAACACCGTTTTGGATATCCTCAAGTGTCAAACCACGACCGAGACGGTTCACTTCATCTTCCAATTCGGCAAGATAATCATCTCCAAGATCGTCACCCTGAGGAGCAGCAGACTTTCTCTTCTTACGCTTGCCCTTGAATCCTTCTTCCTCTTCATCAGACTCAAGTCCTTCCATACGTCTCTTTCTGGCACGTTCGGCCTTTTCGAGTTTCTGCTTCTCTTCCAGGGCAATTTCTCCCTCTGTCTTTGTACGATCAGTGGCCATGGCGCGCTTATCGTTTGCCAAGTCACGGAGTGCTTTATCGTAGTCGTCGTATTCGCGCTCTTCTTTTTCATCATCCCCAGCATCTGCCTTTTGTCCTTCTTCATGCTCGTTCTAATAATAATTATTATTATTAATATATACATTCTGTTTTATTTTATTTTTATTTTTGTTTTTACCTTTGCAAACAGCATATTCTGGGAAGGGAGGGGCTTTCTTGCGCTAGGCTTAGTGCTCAAAAGGCCTCTAATGTCATCAAGCTCGGAATCAAGATCTTGACGCATAGCTTCATCTTCCTGTTTGGCGTTCTGACGCTCATGCTACAAAAATAAAAAAATAAATCACAATATATATATATATATATATATATTTATTTGTAAGTAACAAATCATAATTTTTTTATATATGTATTTAATGATCTATTTACCTTGTAGAGTTTGCTCTTTGCAATAATCTCTTTCATGACTTCATTCTTGGACTTGTGGCGTTCACCATCCTCACCATTCTCCTTGTCACCTTCAAAACCACCAAAGTGCATTTTGTTGACAATGTTACGGTTGAGCTGTCCACTTTCTTCGTCGTCGCTGAGTTCCAGACCAGCGTCGTCAAAGTCATCCATGTCGCCGAGAGACTGGCCATAATGGGTCAAGTCAGCCTCTTCATCATCATCCAAATTGAACATGGATCCACCTGAACGAGCATTTCTCTAAAAGGAGAAGAATGCATTCTCGATTAGTTGACTAATAATTATACTAATGACGATAGAGAATTGACACATTGCTATCCTTATTATCCTTAATTTTCTTTTTGGGTGTATTAAAACAAGGTACACATCTTGAAACTACCAGAATAATATATATATATATATATATGTCTTTCTATCTCTCTATCTCTCATTATACATTTATATGTACTGAAAGTCGTGTATATATATATCCATATTTCTCACCTGCTTTTCTTTTGTGAATCTCTCCAACATCTTCTCTTCGGGTGTCAAGTGAGGGTTTGTTTCACCAAAACGTTTATCCACAATACCACCCACACGATGCTTTCCACGCAGCTCAGACAATAAGGTTTTCTTACGCTAAAATAATTAATTATTTATAAGACAAATGTCAATTTTTAAAAAAAAACGGTTTATTAATTAGTATTAATATTTGTTTTGTTTTGCTTCTGCTGCTGCTGTTGTTGTTGTTTTTATTACGATTTTTATTGATCGAATTACAGCTTACATTGTCTTCACCAATCTGCTTGCTCAATGTGGGTTTACCAACAGTACCCTTGACAGTACGTCCGACAATGTCAAACTTTGTGCGATTGACCTTGATCTCAAAGGGATTAAACTCGCCTCTGATCAGACCGAGCTTTTGATTGACTTCATTCTTGCCGACTTCAGAGGGGATTCCTCGCTTGCGGTCTTTTTTGGATCGACTAGCTTTCGACTGTTGACCGACTACACCGGCTGCCTTTAGAGAGTTTTTGAGTCTCTTGAGTGCAGATCCGCCGCTTCCCTTGGGTTGTTGTTGTTTTGTGGTTGAAGAGGCGACCATCGATCGTTTAAAGAAAAAAGAAGAAGAAGCAAAAAAAAAAAAATTAACAAATTGCTAATAGAGGATTTAGATTTAGATTTTTTTTTTTTCTCTTTCAATTTTTTTTTTCAATTTTTTTTTTTGGAAACAACAAAATAAATAAATTAATGCCATTCACCAGCGTACGAGGGAATTGTCGAGGGAATTGGATCGAGGGAATTGAAAGAAAAATTACTTTTCATAGTAATTTATTCGATTCCGAATGGATATATTTGTCAATTCCCTCGACAATTACATGGTCAAAAACACCATGTAATTGTCGAGGGAATTGACAAAATTTCTAAAATAAGGACTCTAGTTACAAAAAGGAATATACTAAACGACCATACTTTGAAAAAGCACATTTTATATAACCAAAATGAAACAAATCATTAACAAAAAAATAAAAATGGGCAGGGTATTTTAGTAAATAATTAAAAAACATATGCTGAATAACAATCGGAATCGTATATGACGTGGCTCAATTCCCTCGATCCAATTCCCTCGACAATTCCCTCGTACGCTGGTGAATGGCATAATATAAATAAATTACTATAAAAAAAACACTCAAATTTGCTTTTTGTTTCTGTGCTTTTTTTTTTATTAATAAAAAATCATAGGGAACTATGGGCAACTAAGTTTTTTTTTGCTGTGAAACGTGACAACGATTCCCAAAAAGGAAACTGTCTTTTTTTTATTTTCTCTCTTATTTTCTTGCAAGTTATCTCTCTCTCTCTCTTTATTTATTTATTTTAACATATATATATATAAATATAAAAGGACCAGACTATATAATGGTCTCTATCAGTTTTACTGTCCGTATAAATATACTTCTTGCTGTGTGTTGAAGAATGTTCAGTGTATAGTGTAGTTGAATAAAATCTTTTAGGTTACTGAATTGAAATAATATTCAAGGTTGATCTTTTCTCGCTTTAATTTATTACACCCTCCCAAATAAATAGATAGCTAGACAATGTATATATAATAACAATAGAAAAAGGGTAAAGGGACCAAAGCGCAGATCGAATGAGAAACATTTGACAGTATAACCGTCGTATACACTTTACACTAGATTACCGGATCTCGACATTCTTCTCTCAATTCAACTCAAGCCAATTGGTTTCTACACTTCTTATATTAATACTCATATATACATATCACTTGAGAACCTCCAATCGCAGTGTCTTTATGAAGATTTATGCAACTTTGCTCGTTCAATTAAAAGACCACAGTGAAAAACATACAAATATATGTATTGTATTTACAAGGACTGTCTCTTTATATCATTGCCCTATTTCTTTCACACTTGACGAAAAAGAAAGAAAGAAAGAAAGAAAGAGGATATTCTGTCTTTTTCTTTAAAAATATCAATTAAATTATATTAAATTACGGTGTAAGCAAGATGAGAATATTCAGGCAGCATTTTTATTTTTTATTTTTGTATCTAAACGAGGTAGACCGGTTGACCCCATTGGGACAGTTTAAGGAGCCATAGCCATACTATTCTTACAAAGAAAAAACCGTTCGTCTAAGGTTATTTAAACATTTGATACTAAAACAAAAACAAACACAAGTCATACAAAAATTGAAAACCTTGGTTCAAGTAAAATAGCAACCATTGCACTGTGTTGCTTAGTTTCCTTTTCTTTATTTCATACTTTGAATATACTCATCTTCTAACATTCATGATAATACTTCTTCCTAAAGTTTATTATATGGTCTTTATACTGCTATCGACTTTAAATATTCACTACCTATTTGCACTAGCAGTTTGTCTAAATTTAAGAAAGCCTTTCAAATTTCTGTAGCTGTCTTGATAGCCAAAAGTTCTCTTGTGTATATTCAAATGATATATGATATGATATTTTATCCCTAACTTTACATACTTCTCTACTGTTTATTTCAATTGGGCCCACAATTACCATTGTATATAGTATATACATAATAATATGTATATGATGATGACAAGAATGTTTCTGTTACCATTGAAGTCTTTAAAGCACCTAGAGCCCATAAAGTCATTAGAACCTCTAATAACCCTTAAAAAATCTAGAATCTTCCAAGTCTTTAAAGTCTTTAAAGTTTCTTGTTTTCAAGGTTTTCAAAGCTGCTAAATTCTTTGAATTATCTGATGTTTTTGACATAGTCAAAGGTTTATTTAGTAGAGAAATTAAATTTTCATTGATTTTTTTAAATTTAGATAGTAATTTAACTTTCAATTCTTATTATACATTTTTCTTAGTTTATGTGATTAAAGAAATAAAGTGGAGAAATTAGAGAATCTTTAGATTTCCATGTTGTTAGACAATGCGATTAGATTCTTCTCAAATGAAGAAACACTTTAGTCAGTAAACTACCTTCTTCATACCTTTCAAAAAGGCATTGTGTCCTATCTTTTAAATATCAGGCCAGTTTAAAGAAGTTCCTTGTTACTTTGTCCGTCTCTATTGTTCATCGCAAATGGAAACACAATTAAATCGTGAGTTGTCTGTGGAAGAGTAATTAATAAAATTGTTTTAAAAATATAGAAGGGTCAAATATAAGTCATGCGCAGAGATATCTCCCTTTCTTTTCAATAATATGTAAGATAAGATTGGCTCGCTTAATCACGTGTTCCACTAACCCTCATTCTTTTTAATACTGTGAAAAGAAAAGATTCACAGTCATTAGAGATCCGCCAGGGTGTGACGTTGAGTTGAATTAGTGAGTAGGTTAAGTGAATGAGTGAATTAACGAGTGTAGGTGTATGGGTGAGTAAAGTGGGAAACAGTGTTTTACCAAAAAAAGAAAAAAGAGGAAAAAAAAACACTTATTTTTATTTTTACTCTAATTTCACCTCTTCTCTAATCAGTCCTTCCAAATCAAGAAGAAGAATATCGAAAAACAATAGAAAGTGTTCATTCTCTATTGATTCCCTCCTTTGATATCTATATCCATATATAAATCATTTATCATTATCGTCAATTATGGAGTCAAATGTGTGTGTGTGTGTGTGTTTGCTTGTGCGATTATTATTCCCATAAACTGAATCGCCTCTTTGAACTATTTTTGCTTTTTTTTTAATTGTTTTCTGTTTAGAATTCCCCGTCAGAGACTGATACATTCTTGCAACAACAACAGGAGGAAGCTGGTCGTCGTTTATTTCAAGTGGTAAATATTCAAGCAATACCAATTTACAAGTATATATATATATATATATACATAAATGCACACATTTATATAAGCTCATTAAATAATCTAATCTAATTTAATCTAACATTAAAAAAAAAAACCAAAAAGAAATATAAATGAAAATAAAATACATAAGTTGCATTTATTAATTCCAAAATAATAATAATATGCATAAATACGCATATATACTCACACAAAATGAATCCTAGTTGAATGACACCGCTGGGTCAAATGCGCACGTAAATGCTGTCAGTGTCCTTGGCGCCATTCGCACACGTCCTTCGTTTCTCGAAACAGCAACTGCAAAAATCATGGATTCAAAGACAGTAGCTGATGTTGTGAACCAGTCTCAGCTTGTGGCAGAACAATTGATGCGCCTCGACGTGTTTGAACAAGTCAAGGTTTTGCTTGATCGGGCCTCGGACAGCGACCCCTTGGCAGCACCTGGATCAATTAATGTGGTTTATCAAGTAAAGGAAAAGAGTAGATTTTTTATCAAGACCGGAACAGAGATTGGCAACAACGAAGGAAATATGGTAAGAAAATAAATCTACAATTAATCCATACAATATTAGTGTCAGTAGTCTGTCTTCTTGCCTATAAAACTCAAAAATAACAACAATGATGATAAATTAGAATGGATCCGTAACTGTACGCAATGTGTTTGGCGGCGCAGAAGTACTAGAGACAGTGGCTTCCTTTGGCACAAGAAACAGTTCTTCTTTCCAGGTGCGTACGATTCGTATTTTTTTGATATAAACCAGAGAAACAAGAAAAACTCATATACACCTGTATATATGTATATGTATATGTATATGTATGTGTAAATTTTTTTATCCAGTTTTCGCTTGCCAAACCTGTCAATGCATCTCCTGACTCTAGATTGGATATTAATGCACACCATGTTCTCCAAAACAATGTCTTGATGAGCTCTTATGAAGAACTTTCCCGAGGTGTTGGTCTGCGTTACAAGGTAAATATACAAAAACAAAGATGCACTGTGGACAGTATGTATATGTGTAATGTTAATATATATATTCATGCTCTATAGACACTTTCTCGCTTTGGTTTCCACGAACTTAGTTACAACTGTATTTGGAGATCTATCGACAAGGTTTCCGATACTGCTTCTCTCAGGTACATATAAAGATATAGGAATAGATATATGGTACTTTTAGCTACTAAAAAATATTAAATTTTGGGACTTTTATTATTGTGCTAGTATCCGTAACCAAGTCGGCCAGTCTCTCAAATCTTCGATCAACCACACATTTATCCGTGAACGACGCGATGACATGCTTTTGCCTACTCGTGGACACTACATTCGTTTCTCTCAAGAATTGGCCGGTGTGATGGGAATCGGCAATGCAAACTTTGCCAAGGCTGAGGTGGAGACACAGGTGCACCAACAGTTTGGCGGTGGAAGTCTGTTGAGAAACAAGGAGGATGAGATTGTGGGAGTGCATCCTGGTGTTGTAATGAGCTTAGGACTGAGAGCCGGCTGGCTGGCCAACCTAAATGACGATCCAAAGGCTGCCACTGTGTCGGACAGATTCCACATTGGAGGACCCCTGTCTGTCCGAGGATTCAAAACAGGAGGAATAGGCCCTCGAGATTACCGTAAGTTTTGTGTATAATATGGGATGTGTTCAATTGAAAAGACCAGACAAATTGATGAACATATACGTGTGTAAAAAAAACAAAACAAAATAGGTGATGCTTTGGGTGGTGATGCCTATTGGTCTGCAGGCGTTAGTTTGGTTGCACCTCTGCCAAAACTCGAAGAAAAGCCTTTGAGAGCCCAATTGTTTGTTAATGCAGGTACATCTGTACCATTAAAGACAGGTAAAGACATGCTTATAAAAAATCACCCCAATATAGTAATAACAATAATGCTGGCTATAAACTTAGGAACAAATCCACAAGATGCTGCGCGTGCCCTCACAGAATCTCCCAGTCTATCCACTGGCTTTGGTCTCATCTTCCGCCACAGCATTGCCCGTATCGAATTAAACTACTGTATTCCTCTGACAGCTGCAAGAGGAGACCAAATTAGAAGAGGTCTTCAGCTAGGAATCGGATTAAACTTTTTGTAATAAACACTTTGTAGATACACTATAGACAAAAACAAACAAACAAAACAAAAGAAAGAGTATTTACAAACTAAACCAGAAATGTTGACGGAGTTGTCAAAGAAGATGGAAAGAGAAGGAGAATTATATGAGTGTGAATATGTGGTCACAAAACGCACACACACACACATACACTAGAAGATCCATTGTCTTGTTTTTTTTTCTGTTGCATTTTTTATTTGATTTGCTCAACACTAATCCCTAATGGCTCAATCAAATCCTGTCAGTGTAATCCGTTTCTTACACACAATTGAGCAGCTCAAGGTAAGATTTGATCTTTGATCAAAAAGGAGGTAATTGACATGATCTATTAGAGAACAAAACGAACTGGCTGGCTTGATTATGGTGTCAAAGGACCAGAGTCGATTGGTGATCACATGCATCGAATGGGTGTCATGGCAATGCTGATAAACGATCCTTCTCTTGACAGAGACAAGTAATATGATTTATTTGGATTGATAAATATGCTTACACAAGCTGTCAACAGGTGCATCAAAATGGCGATTGTTCACGACCTTGCCGAGGCTATCGTCGTAAGTCTTCCCCTTTTTTTTTTAGTGTTGAGTAGCATATTACAATAATCCCAATCACAACCAGCTAAATAGATATTTTTCTTACTATTGTTCTTTGCCGACATTATTAGGGAGACATTACACCTCATGCTGGTGTTAGTAAGCAGGACAAGTTCAATATGGAAAAGGTAATGCATCAAACACAATAAGAATAATAAAAGGATTATTTATTAACTGAATCGGGGGGGTTTTTTGTTTTTAATAATGTGAAGAGTGCTATGGATGGATTCCAGACTCTTCTCGGTGACACAGATATGGCACAAGAGATAACTGGATTGTGGAATGAGTATGAAGAGGCAATTACACCCGAGGCTTTGTTGGTTAAGGACCTTGACAAGTTTGAGATGATAGTGCAGGCTCTTGAGTACGAGAAATGTAAGTTGATACGATGTTCGTACACAATGTACTCATCATGCGCCTCTGTCGTCTGTAGCTGATGGCAAGAATCTTCAGTCCTTCTTCGATTCTACCCAAGGCAAGTTTATGCACCCTGTTGTTAAGGCATGGGCAGAAGCTCTTTATGCTGAGCGTGCTGGATCGATTTAAAAATAAAATAAAATAAAATAAAATATCACATAGACATTACACGGTAATTTAATAGTAAAGAATTTGATGGTGTGGAGAGATGGACTGAGAAAGGAGAAAAGGGGAGAAAAGGGGAGAAAAGGAGATAAGAGAAGAATTGAGAGTTAAAAGAGGTATTGAATTATTGTATATACAATATATATATATATATAATTTTTTTTAAACCATGGCTTCAGCATTGGGCTCAGCCCCGATGATTCTTTCCATCTTCCGTGCCCTGACGTATTCAGCCACGGAGCGAACGATGATAAACCAACCCAACATCATCAAGAAATATGCAATGATATTTGCATTTTCATCATCTTCATTTTCCTCAGTGTGAGTCTCTCCATAATTGTCTCCATAATTTAGATTTTCGTTCAATGAACCACCTAAGCAACGGATGAGATTGTTAATACAATCTACACACCAACAATCTACAAAGATATATATATATATTAATACTCACGACTCCGGATATAAAAGCCTGTTTGGACCAATGATATGCCGAGACCTGCCCGAGAACCTTGCTAAAACCCCCCAAAATAAATCATAATAAAATAAGTATATAATTATTAAAGAAGAGAAAAAAATCGAGCTTTTTGAATACGTTCTGATAAATGTATACGCATTGAAACTATCATTATTGTTTTTACTAACCTTTGCAGCGTGTGAAGTGTGTAAAAGATAAGTTAACATAAAACCAACAAATTGGAAGCTTGCAGAGACTACATCAAATGAAAATCAAATCAAATCAAATCAGATTACACAATGTTTTTGTTTCAAGATTTGAAAATAATAATAGCAAAAAATATTATATAGTATAAATTAGGTGCAACAAGAGGCTTCTTTTGATTTGCCCACGTACCAAGCAAATTCCAGACAAAACTTAATATGTTTCCTACGGGCATGCCTTCAACCATTACATAGTCACCCATGCCTGCCGGAGCAATAATGGTTGTTTGCCAATAAGGTGGAGTTGAGTCTGCCGCAGCTTCATCGTAAGCCTTATATATATATATATATATAATTATGAGAATCAATTCAAATACAATTTAATATACGACTTACAGGCGGTGTCTCATCCACTTTGGTTCTTTCAGATTCAGGTTTAGCAGCCATATTAGAGAATACTCCATCATTGCTCACTGGCAACACTGCTGGACGATTGTTGATAGACGATCTTGGTTGTCTTGGTTGTGGGGTCGAAGAACTAACTTGAGCAGATGTGGTTTGGGGTGTGTAGCTGGGTTGAATTAAGCGTTGAGATTCGCTGTGGTCATTGTCATCAAAATGTTCATCAAAAGATTCCTCGAGATCGTTTCGTTGTTGAGACTGTGCAGTTAATGCGACTTCTTCTTGTGGGCGAGATACTGATAAGGATTGCCTGGAAGATGTATGGCTGTTTAAAGCCTGCTGAACCTCAAGTGGATCATCAAGTGTAGACAACTAACGAGGTAGAAATAATTAATGTTAAAAAGTGTAAGAAAATAAAAGTAAAAAAGAAAGAGAAATAGGTTTAATTGCTGATTCCAAGGATTCTAATTCAAAGTAGCCGGACAATTTCTTATTCTTTTTTTTGTTTTTTTTTACTGTTCTTTACTTTTTGGTATCTGCTGCCCATTACAAACGATTCTATTGAAAATAATTAAATATAAAGAAATGTGGTGAATGAATTAGAGAGGGAGAGGGAGAGAGAAAAAAGAAAAGAAAGAGAGAGAAAAAGAGAAATTAAGAGAATTGTAAGAAATACAGTAAAACACATTTATAAATCACTATTCCCTAAAAGTAACGTCGTGCCAAGATATCGTATTTTGTATTTTTTTTTTGTATTATAAATTTCCGAAATTTGCGATGTTAATTTCAGAAAATAATATATTTATATGTTTTTTTTTTGGGGGGGAGAGGAGGGGGGCGACTTTCTTTTCTTATTCCTTTAATTTTACGTACTTTCTCTAAAACATTGAAAAAGCTAGAAAACCCTCCAAACAAATGCTGTGATCACTCTTTTGATTATCTTCTTTTGAGTGTCACCAGACCCCCAAAGCCTAATAAAATGCTTCTTACAAACAAAAAAACGTACTTTCTCTTTTCTGCGTTTCGAAAAGATTTTTTTTTTACTAAACTTCTATTATAATTACGCTTTTGTATAAATATATATACACATTCATTGGTCAGCTTCAATACAAACTACTGATTGATTGGTTTTCTACGCCTGGTTTTTCTGTATTTATTGGACGGCTTTGTATTGAAGTTTATAGAGTGACCATAACAAACACTTACCTTTTGTGTGAGCTTGTTAATATCACATAAAAACGTGGCCCTCTCAAAATGGTCACTCTTTTTTAATTATTTTAGATCACGACGAAAATGGCGCACAGAGCACATCTTTAAAACCATAGTAATTAATGAGCAAACCACAAGCCATACACTGATAGATGTAGAACTTAATATTGTCAACCGATCTATCAAGTGAAGATTGATTCTCTGACACTCCTATTTACTTTATTTATAATAATCTTAGTCTTTATCTTTATCTATCTTTATCTTCTTCTCTATAGCTCTATCATCTGACATCTTTTTTCTGTCTATGGGTTCAATGTACGCTTCATACCCGAAAGTAATTAACAGAAAGCACGCTATGAAATAATTCTGTTGTTATCTCTTGTAATAGGCCTATCAGGAAAGTTTCTGTGAGAAAAGCCAGTCGACTTAAGCTTCACTGGGATACATTTAATAATCTATTTGAAGAAGAAAAAAGGGAGAATACCACTCATTTCCCATAGGATACATTAAAATGGCTAATCTTTTTGGAAGAAATATGTATGTAGAGTTGTTTGTCTGTCTGTGCAAGGATATCCAAAACTATTTAAAATCCTATACTCGGACGTTGAGCTAGGATTTAAAGAAGGCTTATTATTATTTTATAGTTCGTATGCAAGACCTAACCAGTAACTTACTGAAATAAGGCTAAAAAGAACTTCGAGTGTCACCTGCACGAGAACATTTTGAATATCCTCCGGAACATTCACAAGATAGCGTCTAAGAAACCCAATGCAGACCTCATCCAAGCTGGTATTATCCAACTGTACTAAAAAGAGAAGTGAAGGAATATCAGGAGAAGGAGAGCCACTGGAGTTACGAGGGTAAATACAGTTCTTGTCGAAAACATTAATAAAACCAAAGTGCTCAAGAGATTCAAAAATCAGTCGATAAACAAGGCTGAAAGAAATAATAACATAAGCTGCTTGAAAACCCCGTAAGTATTAAAAAAAGCTACTTTCTACCCTTTTCCAAGCATTAACTTCAACTGGGCCAAGTCTTTTTTAACCTACTTCTCTCTCTCACATTTTCCTTCTCAACAAATTTGGAGTTAAAAAAGGTCTTACTGGTCACTTTGATATTAATGCTTGTAAAGATTTGAAATCAGTAGACAGAAGTACAAAGCCCAAGATCAATCGTACACATGTCAATGCAGCCTTGTACTGCAACAATAAAACTTTTATAAGTTGAGCAAGTTCAAGAAAATAACTCTTTGACAATACTCGCAAATTGCAGGGGTATAATAAGGGTGATGATAATGACGATACTTATAGTAAAGAAGAAGATAAAGAAGACAAAGAAGGGAAAAAAAAGCAATGATGAGCATGGTCAAAAACCCTGTCAAAACTACAAAGCAGAACCGCGCTTTTGTTACAGACTACTTGGTCTAAGACAAATGGTGTTCGTCAGCATACGGAGAAAACTCATCCAGGAATAGAATCAAATCAAGAATTACATATATAGGTAGTTTTATACTTTATATAAAAATTATTCTCCTATCATTTTCACTTTATTCCAAAAACGTAATTTGATTTTAAAAGTTTGCAGAGCTCAGACGGATGGGATGAAAAACAAATCATACCTCCCAAAGTCAATTTGACGTTATATTAGAGATAATTTCAACACTAGGTGTATAATGAAATATACCTTCAGATTTCCCATAGCGATTACAATATAATCCTCTCTACTCAGTATTCTATATGCTTTTTTATTTTATTCTTTAATCTTGCAATTTCTGAGGGCAGGTTAGAAGTAGCTAATGTTTCTTGCATTTTTGGACAGTTGACTGCGTTCTGAGTTGACATATATTTGGATTGAAAAACCATTCTGCTTGGGATGAGTTTATTCCGTATGCTGGTGAACACCATTGATTAAATTTATTTGGACATTTCAACATGGCAATGACAGAAAAGCAAACGATGGAAAAGAATACCACAGTATCCCTTGCAGTTACCACATCATTCCCTCGACCACAACCAATATTAACATCCAATCCAAATTGGGGTGTAATGAATGAGTTCATCGTTCAGGATGATCAAGAACTATATCAAGAAGCCTTGATTCCACCCGAGAATTTTAATATGGTGTGCCAGCATGTCTATCGAAGTTCCTTTCCCAAGAAGAAGCACTTTTGTTTTCTCAAAAAGCTACAACTCAAGAGTGTCTTGTAAGTTATACATATTTCTCCTTTTTTTTTAAAAAAAAAAAAAGAGTCAATATTTGGTATAGCTTACACTATTAATAGAACCTTGATTCTTGAAGACTACCCAGAACAAAATATGAAATTTTTAGAAGAGGAGGGCATAAAGTTTCTTCAGTTTGGTATAGCTGGTAACAAGGTAATTTTAACAGAATTGCTAGCAGTAATAATTAGAAGGCGTTTGGTATTATCATATCAATAAATATCATATATATATATTGTTTATTTGGCAGGAACCCTTTGTTCAAAGTAAGCTATTCAAAAAGATATCGCTAGTACCTGCTCTGACAATCTGCTATTGTAGTCCCAGACGATAAGATCAGTGCTGCATTAGCAGCAATATTAGGTATATATATATTCTATTCTTTATTTTATTTTAATAAAATAATTATAAAATTTACTCACACAAAACAGACAAGCGAAATCATCCAATGCTGGTCCATTGTAACAAGGGAAAGGTAGTACTTAATTCCATCTTTCATTACTCTAGCATTAATCTTCCTGTCTAGCATCGAACTGGGTGCTTAATAGGCTGTCTACGTAAAGTCCAGAACTGGAGTCATACATCAATCTTTGATGAATACAGGAGGTTTTCTCATCCAAAGTCCCGATCTATGGATCAGCAATTTATTGAACTGTATGACTCAAATCAAGTCTGGCCCTTGGTAGATAGGCGATACTTACCGCGTTGGCCAACATTAGGTAAGCCATCTTAGTATGACTAATAGCTTGCTAATTTTATTTATTTATTGAAAATAGCCGATCCTCTCATCTAGTATATATATACACATATATATAAAGTATTTATGATAAATAGTGAAAATTCAACATATAAACTCTGGTAAAAAAATGAACCTAATCAACCAACCTTATAAAGATCTGGTTTATTCAGGTTTTCTGTACAAACTATATTAACCAGTAATTAGTGTTTGGTAGTGAGAAACTAGAACTTAAAATAGCAATTAAGTCTAGCCCTTGAGCGTACTATATTAAATAGACTCGACGGAAAATAATTCACACACAACAACAACAACGAAAAACAACAAAAGCATGTTACAGGATACATACACGTTTGAAAGACAAAATTTATTTTTACTGTGTACCAAATCAGTATTCCTTTAGGTTTCACCAATCGATCATACTTTGATCGATTCATCGTTTATGAATGGCACTTTTGACTCCGTTTTCATATAAATCGTTAAGATAATTAAGCACCTACTCTTTCTTTCTCTTCTTTACAATTTATCATGACAGCCTCGAACGAGATCAAAAAACCATCATTTGATGAAGTAAGGTCATTGTTCCTTTCAATATATATATTGATTTGTTTATCTATCTGTACAGATTCTTCTTGAGCCCTATTATTATCTTTTGTCTCAGCCTGGAAAAAGTGTTCGAACAAAGTTAATATCAGCCTTTAACCTTTGGCTCAATGTGTCTGAAGATACTTTAAAGGCAATCACAAAGGTTGTTGAAATGCTTCACACTGCCAGTCTAATGTAGGTTTAGCATTTCACATTGAGTCAATCTAATTCATTTCATTTTAGGATTGATGATGTCCAAGACGATTCAGTGCTGCGTCGTTCTGTTCCAGTAGCCCATAATATTTATGGAATACCCCAATCTATCAACTGCGCAAACTACGTTTACTTTCTAGCCCTACAAGACATTCTGAAACTTAATGATTCCACAATGGTGACCGTATACACAGAAGAGCTCATCAATCTTCACAAAGGCCAAGGAATCGAATTATTTTGGCGTGACTCTTTAACGTGCCCCACAGAACAAGAGTATATTGACATGGTCAATAACAGTACGTAATTGTTTATATACAAGTCAAGTATAAACTAAATATTATGCACAGAAACCAGTGGGCTATTACGCTTGGCCGTTCGTTTAATGCAAGCAGCCAGCGAAAGTACAGTGTAGGTTTCTAAATGCTACAGAGAAAACATTACTTACACAGTATATAGTGATTATACACCGCTTGTAAATATGATTGGAATTCACTTTCAAGTACGAGACGACTATATGAACCTTCAATCTCAAGAGGTAAGCAAACCCAAAATTAAATCGAGTAATTAATATAATTTTGTATGTGTGTGTGTGTATGTGTTTCATTTTAGTATTCTCAAAACAAAGGATTCTGTGAAGATCTTACGGAAGGAAAATTCTCTTTTCCGATAATACATTCTATCAGAGCTGATAGATCAAACCGACAGCTACTCAACATAATTAGTCAGAAACCAACCTCAATTGAAGTCAAGAAATATGCACTTGAAATTATTAGACGCACAGGAAGTTTTGAGCATGTTAAAAGCTTCTTGGCAGCGAAAGAAATTGAAATGCAGGAAGAGATCGAGCGTTTGGGTGGTAACCCCTTGTTAGAAAAGGTTGTTTCTGGGTTATCGCTTTCCAATTAAGATTATATTCAAGAAAATAAAACCCAAAAAAAAAGAAGAAACCTTTGTGTGTGTGCTTTTGTTTGTTTGTTTGTTTGTTTGTTTGTTTGTTTGTTGGTGTGTATGAATAGATCTATAGCATATACAAACAACATAGATCGTTTCGGGTACATATAATATACTTTCGTCAATTATTCGCGAAATGTTGATATTTTTTCACACATAAAAAAACAATATGAATCTATATCGTATACTAAACTATCGACCTCTTTAATAAAATAAAATCAATAGTAAGACGATGAAGGTTCAAATACGCACCTTCTATTTGGGTGATTCTCATACGGTTTTCACCCTGTGTATCCGGTCACATATTCATTTAAGCTTAGACAACTATGATGCAATGTTTTCTTTCCCAAGGTTCATATGGTATATTGTGAAAATATAAATCCATGAAATTAACAAAAGACTTTTATGCCTTCTTGTGCTGTAATTATTCATACAACTTTAAACAGAGAATATATGAAATTTTGGTATGTTTGCTGTCATTAGATATTATCTTCATATTTTTAATTATATATAAGCTGTAACTTATAGAGGTTATGACAAAAGTGACTACAGTAGCGGAAGAGTTCGACAATACCCATACTTTATATCTAGATCTCGTAGAGATAAAGTAATACAGCTTGAGTACCATTCAAAACAGCTTCTAATGCTTACGTTTAGCTTATTCTAAAAAGAAATGGCTGGATTAATGCGCAAGAAAGAAAAATAAGAAAAGGGAAAAGAAAGGAAGTAAGAATGTTAAGCCAAAAGCCAGTTAAATCCACAAGAACTCTGGAACTTGGTATCAAGTATTAAGCTAGATCATACAAAGTCAGCAAAATATGCAGATATTTTGAAGGATGACTATTTTTATTAAAGCTGTTGCTTGTTTGATCCTTCCAAGACTAAGCTCTAGAGATACTTATATTTAATATTTCTAGTTAACTCCTGGCTTGATTGTATATTAACCGGTGATATTGCAAGAGACACTGGGTTAAAATAACTGGATTAATGAGAGTAATGTTTTATGTATAAACCCAATTACTTGCTTCAAACATTCAATTTCTACACTATGGTAAAAAAAAGGGGGATTTTGATGGTGATTTCAGAGGTGATTCTAGGGGACGCTTTTCAAAAATACCCCTGTTTTGACCCTTTATTTTCATCGAAAGCAATGCATCTCCACTCTCTTGCGGATTCGCCTTTGACCGATATATAGGATATAAAATTCGACCTTAAAATAACCCTTAAACCCTTACAAAACTAGCAAAAAATAATAATCTCCCATTAAGAATGCCCTTTTTCTTACCATAGTGTATAAAACGTTTCGAGCAAACATTCATATTGCACCAAGTAATTATTCACTAAATTGTATCAAAAATTGAAGTTCTTGGCATTACTTGGCATAATTTGACTTACGAAAAAAACCTACGATTTCTGAGATATAAATCGTAGACTTTATATAAAGCTGAAGCAATATTCCTAATCGTCCTCCACCAACTAAGTATCAGAATAGTTTACTTCCAGAGTATTATATATGGTTATCAAGCGTTCTAATGGAGACAGCTGATTGTAAGAATATAATTGTTGGAATACTTTAATCAATGCTCGCTTTATGACTGTTTTATTAAATTGATACAACGTTAGAAGAAGTAATATATATTTTATATTTAATTGTTAATAGAAATGTCGGCTAGTATCTACATATCCAGAATGACAAATATCTACGGGAATAATTGTCAAAACTTATTACTATCAATTTATGCCCGGAGACAGTAGCTAACGGTTATAATATGCTGGAATAGGTAGTACACCAAATCAATAATATATCAATAATATTTCCCAGCATTGTACTTTATTAAGCACACCAAATCCTATTGTTGAGGAGCAATTGCATTATGAAAAAGAAATAGATTTGGAGGGAGGTTCCAAAAGAGATTCTCTGTTTCTTTCTTTCTTTCTTTCTTTTTTACTGCCTATCATATATGCTCCTGTACATTACCCATACATCGTATGTTGGATTTTATTAACAACAATATATTTTTCGATCGATGAATTTGGTACGTCTAACCACTATCATTTATATTTCCAACCATATTTTTTTTAAAAAAAAAGTTTAGGCAAATCCTCAAAGCCCTCGCCTATACCGTCTCTCTAAAACACCAAACGTAACACATTATGATATTACGAGGTAATATACCCTAGAGTATAAATATTGTGTATAATAACATCTACTAGAACCATGGTGAATATGTTAAGTGAGCATTTTCTCTAAACAAGATGGTTGTTTTTATAGCTACCTTACGAATGAGATTTGATTGAAAAATAATATACATATAAGCTTAGACACTTTCATATTTAAATTCCAAGCATTCTATAGCTTTATCCAGCTACTGCCCTCTCACATTTATGGCACTATGTAAGTATATAGTTAAAAACTATATCTAGGGACTTTTATTGGATAGAGTAGGCGCATAAATGAGAAATTAAGTAGGTGTATACATAAAGAAGTATGATTTTGTATATATATAGTAGAAAATTTAGTAAAAGCCCCGTACTTATTATATACGCTAGTATTTTTATTTATACTATAGTTATAAGGTCCTTTTTCTCATCTTGTGTATGCTCATCTGGATTTTTGTTTATTGTTTATATAGCTATAGTGTTGTATATATAATGTATTATAAAACAAAATCTTATGGCACATTAAGATATAATTTGAAGTAAAATCTATTTGAATAAGCTCAGTACAAACCACTCTTTCCAAGCTCTCTCTGTTAAGCTGGCTTGGTTAATAAAATGAATTAGTATAAGGTACAAACCGTAATATAATGACTAACCTATCTTCTTCTTCTTTTTCTGGAGACCCTCTCTACAGCTTATCTGGTTTTGAGAATAATCTAGCAGATAAGGAGGAATATATTTAAATTGTGATAAGTAATCAACAATCTTTTGTGTAGCCTTTTTCACTGAAAACTTGACCTATATTTGTATATTTAATTATCCTGTGAGTATCCACCCACACACATATATAAATATATAAATGGTTTGCCAAGACCATTTCATGAAACGTGGAAAAAAAACTATCCAATAATCGACAATAAAATAGCCGACATCAAGTTTATATTGGATTTTCGACAGTAAGCAGAGAAGTTATAGCCAAGTGGACAAAAGCGTTAATGCTATTCGTTGAATTGCAGACTTCATAATGTCTCTGTGGTATTCTGAAATAAAAAAAAATGATGTTTTGTATTACTCGATTAAAAAGAGGGTAAAATTACAATTGAAAAATAAAATAAAATACCTAAAGATTTATGTTCATGTTTGTCTTTGTATATAAGACTATTGTGGTTCAACTTGATGTTGTGTTAGGAGAATAAGCTACATTTTACCTACAAAAGAAAGTGCTAAAAGCTGGTCTATCACAGTATAGATGTATATATTTGAATTATTTTCTAATATATGTATAATTGTTAAGACATATATAGGTATTTTATTTCTCAGCGCGTAACATTATCTGTCACCACAATAACGGGGTGTAACCATTTAAAAATATGTCTAAATTTGCTTATATTAACCCATAAAATAGCTTACCAGTAGATTATCGAAATTTTGATTGATTTTCGTAATTTAAACAAAATAGGGAAGTACAATTGATCGGTGAAGCTACCAATTATATTTATTCCTGACTGTATGGCCACATAGACAATAAATACATGTGGTAGATATACTTCTTTAATTACATCACCATAATGTGATATCAGCAAACTAGAGTAACGAAGATTAAGCATGAATCTTACAATTTTAATAAGAAGCATACGTTTATATATCGTATATCCTTCATCCTCACGACTTGACAGATAAAAAAAAGAATTATACTTATTCTCATTACAGAATTACCTTTTTCTCTAGGAGTCTTAGAAAATGTACATTGGTCCTCTTTATAAGCTTAGACTCTGTTATTCAGAGGTCTTTAATTATGAATTGCATCAATAGACTGAGCATTAATGCAGTATAGTAATATGGAGTATGGTAAAATGTCAAAAAAGGAAGACATGATTTTGTTATCGAACCCTAAATTGTTGTAGCACAAAAAGTGCCCTCAAGAGTTTGTTTTCCAAGATCTCTACAAGTGTATATAATCCAATAAAGTTTCACGTACCTACAAATATTACCTTAAAAGAGTACTATAACCAAGATACCCTTGAGTAATAAAATGCTCTCTGCGAATCATGTAATCTGTTTCAGAGCATTATCTTTTGTTTATACCGATCTACACCACTTTTATATTCTTGTGTATCTTTGTACTCTTTACAAACCTAGAGTTCCAATCAGATCTATTGATTTATACATCCTTTAAACCATTTTAAGCTATAATTTTAGATATATATAAATTTATTATATTTTTAATAAAGGAGCAATACATAATATTGATAGGATGAGGATAGTGACTAATGAATAGTAATGACGATAAAGCTACATAGTCATTATATTGGTTAATACAATATGTGAATTAATCAAAGTTGCTATGTAGCATATACATATTTGTATTATAGCTCTTGTTGTTCTCCTCGACAGTTGAGGGGAGCTTGCAGTGCTGCTATATATAATACCCCCAAATAATCCTGAAACACCCCGAGAAATATCCATGACATATTTCTGCAGTGCATTTTTTTAGTTAAAATTGTTGTATTTAGAATCTCAGTTACTGCGAAAATTTTGGGCTACATATTATCAAAAGTAAAGGTCAAGATGACTACCCCCCTCCAACATACTGCTTATTTAATGTGTAATGATAATAATAAGAAGATTCTTTAGCTATGTGTTGTTGGATGTCTGTTATTCTTTAACTAGACACTTGGTGAATATAATTGGATAAAGACATTTATAGGTAATCTGTAAATGGGTTTTTTGTGTTTCAAGATAGTAAAGAGAAAAAAAAAGAAATGATCCGCTATCCTTTTTTCTTTTCTTTTTTCTTGTAACCATTGTTGTGCTGCAAAGATTGACATCTCTCGAAATGGCAAGAATCGACAAAGTTGGGTAAATTCGTGGTCACACTATCTAACCAACAATGGCTTGGATTTACGCTTTATATAAAAGGTTTGGTATTTTTCTACAACTCTATCTTTATTCATTATCTGATTATTTTACAGCTATGTTGATTAATCGGTTCTTACTACTGTCGGCTTTGGCTGGCACTGTTCTTGGCCACACTGGTGGGCACTTGGTGAAGCGCGAACAGCCTGGTGTACCAAAGACTCCGATATTGGATCTTAACCCACTTCATTGGGGAGATGTCAATTTCATTCACACCACAGATACTCATGGTAAAGTATTGGGTCACAGAGAAGAATGAGAAGAAGAAAAGGAGAAGGAGAAACAGCTAAAAAAAACAAACAGACAAATGAGCAAAAACTAAATTATGTTTTTTACTTTATAGGCTGGCTCGAGGTTAGAATTTTTATTGCACTAGGCAAAAACTGCAGAATAAATAGTTTGCAAAAGTACTCACAATTATAAACAGGGTCATTTGTCAGAGGAGTCTTACAACGGTGACTTGGGTGATTTCTACTCATTTGCGGTAAGTAATAATGATATTATTACTTTCAAACGATCTAGTCTCTGACCGCTATATATGTATATATGTATTAAATAATTAATAGGTCAGAATGAAGGAAAAGGCACAAAAACTGAAGAAAGACCTATTTATCGTGGATACTGGAGATCTTCACGATGGTAATTTATCAAAATTACTCACCAATCGAGCTATACCATAAAACAAAACGAATTCTAATTAAAAAAAAAATCAATTAACTAGGAAATGGCTTGAGTGATGTGACCCCCCTTGACGGACTTGTCACCCAACCAATGTTGAAGAACATTCCTTACGACGTGCTCTCCGTTGGTAAGAACTATTGATATATATATATATATATTTAAAAAAAATATTTACACAATCTAAACTGGATCTTTGTAACAAATAGGTAACCATGAACTTTATGGTGAGCATAAACTGTGCTAGAGCCTTAAAAATCTATCAACTAATTCAAATTAATCTTTCCTTTCTTTCTTCAGTCAATGAAGTCACGTTGGATGTCCATAAGAATTTTGTGCCTCATTGGAAAGGTCGTTACTTGGCTGCTAACGTGTATATCAAGGATGCTAGCAACAACAAGACCGTTCAACTTGGGTAAGCATATTTTTGACTGCTAGTGGTATTTCTTGGCTAATTCCTTTTAATAACAATAACAACAATAATAAAAACTATAGAGACAAATACGCGTATTTCAAGGGTGCCCATGGTACACGTGTGCTATCATTTGGCTTCTTGTTCAATTTCAACGGAAACGGAAATGCATCTGTTGTCCGCAATGTGGCCGATGAAATCAGTGATCCTTGGTTTGAGAAGGCACTTTTGACGCACAAGGCCGATGTGATTGTTTTGATTGGTCACATTAGTCTTCACACCGGTGAATTCCAGACAGTCACTGCTGCAATCCGCAAGCATTATCCTTATATTCCTATCACAATTTTGGGTGGTCACACGTAAGACTTATATGTAAAATCCCTTTGGTTACAAAACATATACTAAAAAAAAAATACTCGACCGATCAATTGACTAGCCATATCCGCGATTTTGCTATTTATGATTCTTGGGCAGCTGGTATTGAGTCTGGCAGATATCTCGAAACAATTGGCTTCTTCTCTGTAGATGTGAGTACAGGATGCTTTATCCCAGTTGTATTCTAATATATATTTTTTAAAAATTCTAGGGAATTTCCGAATCAAAGAAGTTTATCGAAAAGCACGGATACCAGTCCTCTCAATTGCCCTCCAACCTTACCTTCCATCGCCGTTACCTTGACCAGAACCGTGAAACCTATATCTATCACTCCTTGGACAAGAAGTCTACCGATAAGAAGAGTAATAACAAGAAGCTCAAATTTGACACACCTCTCGGAATGTATATCTCCAAGAACATCACCAACTGGCGCGACCGTCTTACTCTGTCTACTACTCTTGGATGTGCTCCCCAAGATTATTATCTCTCAGCTGTCCCTATGACCAGCAACAGCAGTCTTCTTAGCCTTGTTGTAAACGGTAAATTTGACAGTCGACAAGATTTTTTCTTTTGATATCCAGGCCACTTATATAAATTTTGTTTTTTCTTATAGAGGTCTTGCCCCAAGCTGTTACCGATCCTTCCCGCCCTTACCCACCTTACATTATTATCAACAGTGGCTCTCAGCGTTATGATGTTTACAAGGGTAAGTTGATTCACAAATGTTGATAAGTTCGGGTTAATTGATCGCTCGCTTTAATTTGTAGGTGCTTTTACTCTGGACAACATGTACCAAGTATCTCCTTTTGTCGATCGCTTCATGTACATCCCTGCTGTTCCTTTAAGCATTGTCAAGCAAGTCCTTCCTATCATGAACCATGAAAAGGTTACTAAGCGTAGTGTCTGGCCTCATGGTCCTCAACCCGAATATATCGAAAGCCAAAACTACCTTGCAGAGCACTTTGGAGCCGATCTCACTCGCCGTGATGTTCTTACTCCAGGTTACACTACCAAAGATGATCTTGGCACTGATGGTAGGATTTCTTATAGCTAAGCTTTAATATTTTTTTAATGGGTTAAAAAAAAAAGAAAAGAAACTAATATTGCTTCTAATTCAAGGTGACGATACAAAGCACAGCCAGATCCCTTACTATGATAGTACTACATACGTGGCCTCCCCTTTGCCTACTGGCTCTGATGATACTCTTATTGATCTCGTCTTCCTTGATTTCTTTGTCCCCCAAATGAAGACCATTCTCAAGACTTTGACTGGAAAGGACTGGGCAGTTGAGCCTGTATATGGTGATTACGATGTCACTTCTAGCACAATGTGGAAGGTGTTTGCTGCCAAAGCTTGGCTTAAAGATTGCTAATTAGTCAATTAGTTAGTTATTTATTTATTTATTCTTATAAATTGTGGGTTGATCCTACAAAATACCTTAATACAGCTTTAAATTAATAAAGAAGAGCAGCAAGCTTGATTTATGTCGCTCTTTAAAAGAACAAAAGGATCGAGTATTCTAAAAATAGAGATCTTGTGCCTTTAAATTAAAATATCGCTCTCAAGTAAAAAAAAAAGGATACCTTCAAAACGTATATCAATTGAATGCAGCGTTTCTCTTGATCTGGTAGAATTTCAATCAGCAAAAGGAAAATAGCTTAAAACCTTTTGATTTGACATTTGCTTTATTAATTCAATAGGGAAAAAATGGTACATTTGTAGGCCCTTTTTTTTCTTCTTTTGTTGACAGGTCTGCATTTCATATAAGCACAGAATGTACAAAGGGCATTTGTTTGAAGAAAGAAATGCACTCCTACCGCCGTTATTAGTTTTATTACTTAAAGTTTGCAGACCTTTATTTTATATATATATATTTGGTGCTGTATATCACCTCCAGATTTGATTAAGGTAGGCCAAATAATCAAGAGTAATACGACAAAGATTTTTGAGACATTTATATGAGATCAATGCAGACACTAAAAGCCAATTCGATACCCAATTTTGAACGACTCGGTTTTCTTGGGTCTCCTGCTAATATTATGAATGTTATTCTTTAGAGTTTTTGGTATTTATTGATACCAAAAAAGAAAAGAAAAAATGTACTTAATTCCTATACTAAGAAGAGTCTACTAGATAGTTGAGCGCGAGTATTGTCCCATATCATTGCAGGTTTCTTAAAGGTAGCTTTGGACTAAATAGGCAAATACCTAGAAATGAGATCGCGTTTCTTTATATCTTGACACATAACGTTCTTTTGGCTTTGTTCTTTATTTTGTTTTGTTTTTTTTTTAACGCGCAGAGCTAAAGAAAGATATTTTAAAGGTATCTTACTAGAAAATGTCCCTGCACTTTTATCTACCATCATATTCTCCTGAGCTAAACCCAATTGGACAATTCTGGCCTTTTTTATTTTTTTATTTTATTTTACCTTTATAAAAAAAAAGGGTAATCTAAGATGTTACATTTTTCTAGAAGCAAAAAGAATACAAAGGTTCTGTAGGAACAAAAGAGAAAAAGAGTCAATAATTATTTTGATACAAAGAGGATATACCAAATATATTTTACACCACATTTCATTATAATCAATCGCGGGATATGTATGTCCCGAGACAAAAGCCTATAAATTCGGCATTTAAAAATAAAATAAAATATAATCCTTTGCTGACTGGACTGACTAAGCTGATCGTTCTAAACATCAATAGAAACGTTTCAGGCTTGAAGATATATATTAGAACGTACAAAATCTTTTATTTTATTTTTATTTTTTTCTTGTAAAGCCCTCGATTCGAAATCAAAATCGCAATGCCTAAATTACCAATTGAAAGTCAAGAGGGTACCAGCAAACAATCCTCAAAGAAACGAAGAATGCGACGTTTGAGATCACCTTATACACTCTTTCAAAGACGAGGCAAGGGAAAGTCAGGACAAAAGAATGCAGGGTTGCGGATTGGATTTGCTGTAGTTGGGTGCATAATTGGCTTGATTGCATACATAGTAACACCCTTACAGATTCAGACAGCATATGATAGATTAACAGGCCGAACAGTTCCAGGTGAGAAAGAGAGAAAGAAAAAGACCATGGCAACAACATCGACAACGATAACATTGATTCGGAATCACTTATTGCAGTTTTAATACAGATTGCTTCAAGTATGCTATAATGATTGATGCTGGCTCGGCGGGTTCACGCATTCATGTCTACCAATTCCACCAATGTATTCGGTCGGATCCAATTCGTCTCCACAACGAAACCTTGTTTGCACAGACAATCCCAGGACTGTCCGCTTATGCCGACGTTTCCCCCCAAAAGGCAGCCGAATCATTGGATATTCTTTTAGATCAGGCTGTGAGCGTAGTACCAAAAAGTCTGCAGGCCAAGACTCCATTGTCGGTAAAAGCGACGGCTGGTCTTCGGTTATTGGGTAATACGAAGAGTGAAGAGATTCTAGAGGCAGTGTGGCGAAGATTGGAAACAACATACCCTTTTAGGATTTTAGGTGGTAGTGAAGATGTGGCAATAATGGATGGTCGGGATGAGGGTGTGTATGCCTGGATTACGGTCAACTTTCTTCTGGGGAATCTTGATAATGGCAAAGAGCGTCGACCTACGGCTGCTGTATTTGATCTCGGTGGAGGATCGACCCAGATCGTATTCGAACCTGACTACCTTCCGAATGGTAGCTTACCGGTTCTGACAGCTGGGGATCACAAATATTCCCTGAATTATAATGGGCGAGACCACATGTTGTATCAACACTCTTATCTGGGATATGGGCTTATGGAGATGCGAAAACGGATCCATGACAGTGTTATGAATTCAAGCCCAAAGAAAGACAAAGAAGAAGAAGAAGAAGAAGAAGAAAAGTCTCACGACCATCCTTGCCTTCCAAGAGACTTGGAATGGTCTTTCAGAGACACTGTGCGTTTTATTGGTCAGGGATCCTATGATTCTTGCGAAAACACGGTCAAGAGTGTGATTAATAAAGAGGCTGAATGTCCTGAGATGCCGTGTTCATTTGATGGTGTCCATCAGCCTCCTCTGGGTGAGACATTTAAGCACGGTCCTATTTACATTTTCTCCTACTTCTTTGACCGCACACAGCCGCTTGGGTTTCCCTTGGAATTCCGGCTGCCTGAGCTGGGTAGACTTACCAAACAAGTGTGCTCAGGTGCATTTTTCGAAAATGTGACGGATGTGGAGCTGCGGGAAGAGATGCAAGGCAGACCTGAATGGTGTCTTGATCTCACATACATGTATAATTTGCTGGCACACGGCTACGAGATCCCTGATGATCGTGTAATCAACATTGCAAAGAAGATTGACGGCGTGGAAACAGGCTGGTGCCTTGGTGCTGCCATAGCCTTATTGGATGATGCATCGTTGCATGACGAAACACTTTAGATGCAACCCGCATTTTATTGTTGTTATTGTTGTTGTTGTTTTTTTTTGTTGGTGTTGTTATTTAATAAATCCATATTGTATTTTGATGCTAGTTCTTATGCTGGTTATAGAATATGACATACATACGATAGACATGCATTCCAGCAAGTTAAAAACAAAATTGCGGCTGAAAGATATTACCATTTAGAGCATCATGCCCACCCATTAAATGCATAATTTGATAGCTATTTAGATTCTTTAAAGATACCGTTAAGACCCAAAAAGAAAAAGAAAGAAAACAATGCACTTATTTATAATGATCTGAATATTTTGGTTTACCATTAAAGAAATGTACATTTGGTTACTATGGTTACTAGTATAGTGACATTATTGATCAATCACCATGGGAAACCGAAATACTATTATCTCTATAGACAAAAAAAATCTTGTTATTCTTGTTTATCTGGACAAAGCACGAGAATAAGGATAGCCACAGAATCTCTTTCTTTTCTTCTTATTTTTGGTGAGATCTGTGAGGATACAAATGGCCTATACTCTTTTGATAGTGTAGGACACTTATTTTATACTGTGCATTTCCTGTGAAATGTGTCTTTTTATTTATTTCTTTAATCGAGGAATCCAATAGATCCTTACTTTATCTCCATCTCCATAAATGTATCTTTCTCTTGTTGCAACAGCCCCAATCTAATTTTGTATGTATACATATTCTGCAGCATGCAAATCTACTAACCCTACAGAAGAAAGAGATACATTGTGAACAGTAAGGTCGTCTTGCGCCTTGTATACATACATTTTTCTTTGAATTTTAAATAGAAAATGTCTGATGTTCACTAATCTGCCTTTAATATCTATCTATTTATTTATTTATTTATTATTTTGGGTCTAAAATGATTATCTTCTTTGTTTCTGCGAATTTGTTACCATAACTTAAAGGGATTGTACAAGATACTGAAACGTTCATATAAAATATTTGTATCCTGTGATACCAACACAAGATAGCCAACACAAAAGAAATCGTACCTTTCGTTTCAAAATCATTTATATTCATCATTAGAATGGTCTTTCTTTATTTCTTTTGTTTTTTTTTTGTTTCTGCTTTTTGCTTTAAAACACATATATGACTTTTGTGTAAAGAAAACAAAGGGGAGGAAGGGGGAGGTAGTGGGGGGAAGAAGGAGAGAGGGAAAGAGGGGGGGATTAGTTATCTTATTTGTTTGTCTATTTGCTATGGTTACATGTATCTTTAGAGACTAATTGAGATAAATAAATCAATAGATCAAATCTCCAGCATATTCATTAGATATAACACAAAACACATTGCAGACTCTTTTGTTCATTAATCCAATAAGACATGTTGATGTATTGTTTGTGGTTTAGTACTTGTAGCGTGATTAGTGTGCCTTTACAGTGTAACAAGAACATTTGTTTCGTTTGGGTGAACGCTTGTACACCACCAGTTTGGAGTTTGGTGACTCACGATCCTACAAACAAAAAGGTAAGAGAATATAGCTCTATCCTTGAGATTAAAGAAATTGAACTGAACTGAAATTAAACTCATGGCTTGCTTGTATAGACAAGTAAAATCTACCATTTTTTTTTGGTACAGAAAAACATTGGTTGGTTGTTTAATGCACTCTGTTAGTGAACAATCCAGTAACATTTGACCTCTTTTGAATCTTTTCAAATCTACCATTAATATAATACTATTAATGATCCTAATGAATTATAAATCATAAAGCATGTCTTACTAGACTCCTTTGAGAAAGAAGAAGAAAAAGAAAAAAAAAAGGCAAGAATTTCTAGATAAAATAAAATTTTCTTTGGCTAATTAAACAAACAAGGTTTCGGTTATTCTTCATGCAAGAACCTACATTTCAAATAACCTGTCTTTGTAAGCTTATATATATACAAATAAGAAAAAGACCATTAAAAAAGGAAAATACAGTAATATAATTCGGCTTTGAGAAAAAAAGGGCGGCCTGTAGGACAGTTCTGCCCCTCTCTATATAACTCCCCTGATCAACATACTAAACAATCCGTAAACTTCAGTGCCATGTTGAACAAAAACTAAAATATATATATTATTATTTATTTATTTACTATTAAACACACAAACACAAACACAACTGTATACGTACACGACCATTAGCTTCCTTTAGATTCTCTCTATCTTTTTTTTAAAAAAAAAAGAATGACATACAAGATACACTTCCATAGTGACTATAGCTGTCCAGAGTCCAATTGAAATGCTTATTTTTTTTTATTTAAAAAAAAAACAGCAAAATTTCAATGACAATTCTAATTGAACCTAAAGAAGTATTCGTTGATTTTAAACAACTAAAAATAAAGAAATATCAGTGGATTATTATTAAACATGATATGGAAAGCATGGTTATGTCCTTGCTGATCTTTTCTTGCTTTTTTTTTATTTATTTTTTTTCGGGTGGATCAATAGTAAGGTGTAAGTGTTGCATATAGAACGTGGCGTATTGGTTTGTTCAAGAGAATTTGTATTAGTATGGGGGGCATGAGGGTTACTTGATGCAGTCTGCACAAAACAGAAGAGCGTACATGCCCTCCTTTTGTACACTGGCGTCTACATAGGGCTAGGATTACTTCCAGGGCGATGACGCTCCGTCAATATGCTGTCGGAACCATAGGAAAAATAATAATAAAAAAAAGAAGGGGGGGTGAAGGAAATAAGGCTGCTGACCGTTTGCTACTTTGTTTAGCATGAGAGTCTTGTCTTATTCCGAGTATATTTTGGGCCTCCGCATTTTGGTTTCTATCTCTCACAACTTTTTTCTTTTGTTTTTTCTTTTCCTTTTCCTTTCTTTACTTCTTTTATTCCTTTTCAAATAAGCTATTCACTCGATGACCTATTACGAAGAGGATCAGGACGATGTACCTCAGCGTCGCGTTCCTAGTAAAGCCTCTCGTCAGCGATCATTCCTTCGTACACCCATGCCAAATCAAGCAAAATCACAACCAGCAGCTCCTACGGCACAAGCTTCGGAAGAGTTCTCGACAGCAATCTCATGGCCCATTCTGTTGGCTGTGATTCCTACCCTAGGAGCCTTTATTGCCGGCAGTGCGGAAGTGTGGAGCGACTTTATCATGATCCTGCTCATTCTGTACTATGTCTACAAGTGGATCACAGGTACTTGTTGCTTGCACCGACCGATGAAAAGCAGTCGGGACTGACGCAGATGTAGTGCCTTGGTCTTATTACGAAAGCGCTCGATCACGACGGATGATCCACCAAAATGCCACTTCGTACGCGGATCCCTTGGATGACCGGAAGAGGGGAACCGAATTCGAGCGTCGCCGCCAACTAGCCTACGAGTTACGTCGACATGAACTAATGGGTCTTGTGTGGGTAATTGCCTCGCCTGCCCTGGCAGGTTACACACTTCAGTACAGCCGTTACTTTCTGAGCAATTACGACAAGTACGTTAGCTCCTTCAACGTCACTGTATTTGTATTTGCTGCTTCTCTCAAGCCTCTCGCACATGTGATGCTGTTGCTGCGAGAGCGAACACTCTACCTGCAAAGCGAGATGCAAATTCAAGAGACCGAAACACAGCGGCTGCAGCGCAAACTAGAAATGATGGAAGAAGAGCTTATTGGTTTGCGCAAAGCATTTGCCACCAAAAAAGATCTTGGCCAGGTACATTCTTTTTTTTTCTCTTTTTGTTATCTAATATATATTTGTCTGTTCTCTTTTGTATAAAGGCAACCGAAGGATTAGTACCTACACTTGAGCAGCTAACTAAAGCTATGCGTCGCTGCGAGAAGAAAGAGACTGCATTAAGATCATGGTCTGAAGAGCAATTTACAGTTGTAGACAAAAAAGTGAGAGAATTTGACCAGTTTATCTGCTATCGAATCGAACAAGACCAACGAAAATCAACCCAACGTGCGGTTGCCACCCTTTTATTCCTGCCACTCAACATCACCTTTTGGGTTGCCAAACGCATGACTCGCCTGTTGCCGATCCCCCGCGCGTTACTTGGCTCCTCCTCTACACCAACACGGGGTGCAAAGCCAAGTGCGCTTGCACCCCACCGCCCACACCGCTATCGCAGTCGCAACAGCCATGCCACACCATCACGACACCTTACTCACCCAGATCTAACGGCTTCTTCGCCTGATCAGTTTGGAATGTTCTATGGAGACACCCTACCCGAACCTGAACAGACGGAGCAAGTTTATTCCGGAGAAGAGTCTCTTAATTCATTTGACCAGCACAACTAACTCTAGTTTAACACCTTACCTTACCTTACCTTAACATACACATCATCTATCATATTTATCTTCTTTAACTCTTGTCGCTTATTCATCACTAAATCTACACACTCACTCACTCACAATCACCTACTCACCTACTCACTCACTCACGCAAAAACTTCTCATCAAAATCAAAATCCAAAAAAAAAGAAAGAATCTGAAACATTACACCAAAAAAAATAAAAAGAAAAAGGGAAAGCTTTTTATTTTATTTTATCTTATCTTATTTTATTTATATACAATTCACAGTGAATTTAATAAATTCAAGCAAAACTGAAAATGTCAAGAATTTAATGTGTATTTGATGTAATATTTTTTTTTTAATTGTTATCGTTATTGTTATTTTGAAACCAGGAAATTGCATTAAATATACACATCAAATCTACAGCGTTTGGTCCATCTGAACTAATGGGTGAGTAACGTGTCACTATGAGGTATATTAATATACGACCTTCCTCCCCCGCGCGCTCGCTCGCGTACATGACAAAGCCCACTGTAGTACAGTGTTAATCAGACAGCCTGTAGATACTTGTTCTCTCGATTACCAAGACGCCTTTTGGTATTACAGAGTATGTGGGCTTAGAGAGAAGTAAAAGATGTGATTACACTGTGATATCTCCTTCTTTCTTATATTGAATAATCTAATATAAAGAATATGATAGTAATACAAAATACAAAATACAAAATACCCTTGTCATCTTGACGCTATTGTTCTTTTTGTTCTTATGATTGTATCTCGCGCAATCGCGTTTTTTCTTTTAAAGGATACATAATATACACAAGGCATGGACACCATGGTCATTGTTGTGATACGGCCCTTTTTTTTTCTTTTTTTTTTTTTATGAAGCAAAAAAGAAAAGAAATAGGTCAATAGATTTTGATTTTTTTTTTGTTCCCATCATTGTTGTTAAAATAATTCTTCTTCCGATTCATTCGGCCAAAGCTATTCCTCCCTCCCACTCCCCCTCTCCTTTCCCTTTTTTTTTTTGCTTTTTTTTTAAAATCGTACAACCTGAGCCTGTAAGTCATGAAGCAGGGCCCAGAATAAAATAAAGAACCCAGACATGCCAATCTTGTTTCTCTAGCCATGGACACTACTACCGATCGGAAACTAGGATCGGGCCTAATGGTCATGGCCAGCGTGTGTGTTGTCTGGTATGCCTTTATGATTGGTCTGAGTATCCTAGGACATTACGTTGGGTAAGTCCAATCAGATTAGATTGCATAATTTTACTAAACACCATTCTAGATACTCCCGGTACACAAAGAAACCCCCTCCACGTTCTCCATTCCTCGAGAATGCACCTGGTGTGTCAATCTTAAGACCATTGAAAGGTGTCGATCTGGAATTGGAAAGCAATCTTAGGTCTTCTTTTGAGCAAAACTATCCTACGTTCGAACTTATTTTTTCTGTCGCGTCCCCAAATGACCCAGCTGTTCCTGTTGTCGAACGTCTAATGACAGAATACAAAAAGATTCCAAGTAGACTGATTGTTGGTTAGTTGAAAGAAGAAAAATAAATACCGCTTCAAGACATAGATATAGATAGAGACATAGATATAGATAAATAATAATAATAATAAAAAAAGAGAGAGAGAGAGAGAGAGAGAGAGACCAAAGGAGGTAACGTTTGTACAGGTGATAAACAGGTGGGAATCAACCCCAAGGTAAACAATATGGTCAAGTCGTATGAAGTCGCGGCACATGATATTCTCTGGATCTTGGACTCCAATGTATATGTGAACCAAGACACCCTGGGCCGCTCAGTTGACATGTTACTAGAGCCCGGGATCGGGCTTGTGCACCACTTGCCGATCGCAGTACAGCCACAGGGCTATGCGGCCGAGGTAGAACAGGTTTTTCTGGACACTAACCATGCAAAGATGTACTTGGCCATCAACTGGGTTGGCATAGCTTCGTGTGTGATGGGTAAATCAAATCTCTATCGCCGGTCAGACCTTGACAAAGCCGGCGGTCTGGGTGCATTTGCGAAATACATGGCCGAAGATAACCTGGTAGGAGAAGCATTGTGGCACCAAGGCCTCCGTCATCGCATGAGCGCCGACACGGCCTGTCAAGCTCTAGGGAAAATCAGGCCACTTGAGTATTGTCGTCGAAGAGCTCGCTGGGTTCGTCTCAGAAAATACATCGTCACCGCCGCCACCCTTACTGAACCATTTACCGAGTCTATCGTTTGTGGTTTACTCGGAGCACTCGGCTTCCGTGTCTGGTGGGACCTGTCGATGCCTTTATTCTTTGCCGTGCATTGGCTCGCCTGGTTCACTAACGACTATCTACTCTATCGCACCCTTATCTTGGCATCATCCACTCCTGTCCAGCAAACCCAACCTATGCACTTCAAACGCTTCATATGTGGTTGGCTTTCGCGTGAAATCTCTGCCCTACCTCTCTATCTTTACGCCATGCTCGGTAACGAAATCACTTGGCGCGATCAACGATATAGATGTGTGACATCTGGTACAGCCGTCCCAGTTAATGACAGCACCTAATATACTTCTTTATATATATATATTTATATCTTTATATTAAATAATATTTTACATACTTTTTTTTTTACAGTTCAACAATAGAACTTATATTTTATTTCAAGAGAAAAAAAAATCACAATTTTGAAAAAGTGGTATTTGGAGGGGTTTTTATTTTATTTAACAAAAAAAAATAAAAAAAATAGGTACATTATGGTATCATTTTTTTTTTTTTTTTTAGAGGCGCAAGGGATAAGCGATTATTTTTTGTACAAGTTTTAAGGATATAGAGAATTATACATATTATATTACAAGACCTAGATATTTAGAGAGCCTCGAACTGGACGAAGAAGTGGACCTCACCGTGGCTGGAAAGACCGAGGTGGGCGGGAAGGCTGACCCAGGTGTCGATGGGGGTGCCGGAAGAGATGGCCTCGCTGACATCGAGCTTAGCCTTGCCAACAGTGTCGTCACCGACGAGATCCTTGTCGAGGACCTTGAAGTAGATCTTGTGGAGGGAAGAACCTTCCTCGATGTTGAAGGTGAAGGTCTCGTTCCAGGTGGGCTCATTGCTGGACTGGACCTCGGAGGTACGCTGCTTGTACTCCTCATCCAACCAGAGCTCAATGAAGGGGTCGTTGGTGCCAAAGGTATCCTCGCTGTGCAAGTCGCGGGCCTCGACTGATATGAAATGTTAGTATGTGCGAATGGGGAATATGGACTAAACTAATATGCCTTGCTTTACTTACTGACTGTGACGGTAAGGACACCGGAGGTAGGGGCACTGAAGGAAGAGAAGAGAGACATATTTGTTGTTTTTAAGTTTTAATCGAAGAAAGGATTATAGAAAGTATAATGTTCGAGAGCCTGGTTTATATAGACTTTTTTTTTTCTTTGTTCTTTTCTTGCGCCACACAGGATTGCATTGGTTAGTGCCACAATGACTTCATTTTTATCATCGTGGTTGGCTGTAAAGAAAGAATAGATCCATTACGATATAAAATTGTTCTATGAGCATTACGTCGTGCAAACCAGGCTCCGCTTATTCTTTACGCGTCGAGTACGTGGATAGATGTCGTGGGAAGCTATCTACTTGTTTAGTTTTTTTTTTTTTGCATGCCAAGACACAAAGAACGAATAGAACATGTCATCAGACCTGCAACTAAAACGCTATACTTCTGGACACAAGCTTCCTCTTTTATCTCAGACGGCCATTAAAGGTATCCAGCCACAACCACACCATATACAAGCTATATATATATATATATATATATATATATCCAAATTGTGCTATAAAGCCGGTTACACTCTAGTGTAACAGAAAGAGTAATAGATTTGGCGCTTGCACAGACGTATTATCAAAAATAGTTAATAAATGAGCGCATTTATTATTTGCTTATTTATCAATGAACCATACACACATGTACATATCTTTGTATAATATGGTCGTTTGTATAGTTTAACATGTCATAGGTAAAGAGAGAGAGAGAGAAAATGGTAAGGAGGAGTAGGAGGAAGAAGAAGAAAAAAAGATAGAGGGATTTATGTTATGTATATATGTACAGAGGGATATTATTAAAAGGCTATATAGTTTAAGCTACATTGAACAAGCTCTGTACGGGCCGATGGGTATCCAGAGTGTTCTTCTGAGGTTTCAAGTTGAAATATGTTGGTGGTGAATAACCAAGCGAAGAATTGGCGGAGACACAAGCAGAATGGCTGATAAGACCAGGTATGCCCTGAGAAGACATTGAACATGTTGACCGACGTCTTGTTTCAAATGGCGCGTCTCGGCTGCCGTCTTGGTTGTTGTTTCGTGGAAAGCTACGTAGGTCGATAAAGTCATAACCGAGCATCGGATGATGGGCCAGAGCGTCTTTCTTTAAACATTCTTCTGAACAGTAAAGGGAATCCTTAAATATTGATGTTGGCATTTAGTTTTCTTGTGCCTTTATGCTTTGGTATCTGGGCTTACAGAGAAAGGGCTGACTGCACTATCACAGTATGTACACCAGTTTGTATCGCAAATCATAATGAATGGTATAACAGCTTGCTTGGCTTGCTTGCTGGCTTGGTTTTTATTGTTTCTTTGGAAAGTAAAGGCAAAAGGTCATTTTGCTACAGGCGGAGGAGCGTCTATTTAAATGAATGAAAAGATGCAACGTTCTAGCCCGCAGCACTTTGCTTCGCTCGAGTCATAATGAGCTTATTGGCCTGCGGACTAACAAAAAGGGGGCCATGTCCTTCTCACGTAGTCAAATCTTCACTTCCTCCACTTGCCTGTTCTAATAAAAATGCGTCATTTATTCATTCTTTTATTCATTCATTCATTCATGAAGTTATTTAGTTGTCATTTTTTTTGGGGGGGTTTGTCCTGTTTATAGATCATCAAATATCAGCTTGAAATAAGCCTCATATACCAAAGTATGGGTTATTATTATTTATTATTTTTATATGATATAAATGACTATGACTATGATTATTATTACGTATAGGAGAAACCCCGCCAAACTAGTCGATATATTACAGAGATGATATAAAATAAAATAAAATAAAACAAGATGGGATGGGATGGGATCCAAATATGGTTATTGGGGGTGGACAGTCAAGTATACGGACGCCCTTGAAGTTGAAATATCGCTCCAGTTATCTCACTGACCCAGAGTGCTTGATCGTTTCGTGAATCTGCTCTTAGGATGTGGACTTGAGAAGGAACGCATGCCGAGAAAAAGGCACTCATGTCCCCTGAAAGCCTTCTCGTGGAATCCTTGATGATGAGTATCTGAAAGCTGTTTGGCCTGCCGTTAGGTGCCTTGCAAACCCTTGCCCATCGTAAGTCTATCTTTCCTTTGAACAATAGTCCTGTGTCGCATGCACTGCAGTACAAGAGCATATCGCTCAGTAAGATAAATGTACGACGCTCGTCCTGACCTGCGCCATAACCCCCTGTACCAACACTCGTAAGGAATCCACGCATAATAAAAGAGCGCTCGGGTACTTTGAGAAGGAACGGACAGTTCCGAATGGACCTACTTAGATCGGCAAGTTGGCCGATATTGTGACAAGCTTTGATCCTAGAAACTGGTCAGGACCCACATATACAGCGAAAAAGACCAAATATAATGGATTATGCTATTCTAATCTTTTGTTACCTTTTCTGGAGACGAAGCTCAAAGTATTTTGCAAGCGACAGACATCGATCAATATTTCTGGCGTCTGGGTGATTTGGATCAGTATTCTGGGTGAGATTGGTCAGGATGGTTGTATATCTAGTGATGACATGGACTGGCAGGTCAATGAGTCGGCACAGGTGTGTGAGTCCGAGTCCGGCTTCCTCTACAAATGTCTTGTTGAAAGCACGTGGAGAAAATAAGGCTCAATGTGTTCCATGGCTTTTTTTTTTTTTTTTGATTTTGTATCGTTCTTACCTGAACATATCTTTTTGTATGGGAAGACCGACCAAGGCGTTCTAAGATAACAGCCGCCGAAGAATAATTCTCGATATACTCCATCAAAGGCCTCATCATTTCTTGCAACTTTTTATTTTATTTTATTTTATTTTCCAAAGAATAGTAATATATAGATGTCAGCTCTACTTAGTCTAAAAGATATATATAAAGTGCTACTTACTGTAGTGTAAGTAATGTCTGATATTAGCTGGGTAGGCCCCCAGACATGAAACCTAAAGCTTATTTGTTTTAGTTGACATGCAATCATCAACTCAGTAATAAAAAAAAATTATACAATTCTGCTCACCGTCCGGTCAATCTCTGTACAAAGTGGTTGCTAATCTCGACTAGTTCCTCCAGGTTTCCAAACAGTGTCTCGACGTCTTCTGGTGCAATATCGGATCTAGAAGAAAGGAAGTGGCGCCCGGTAGAGGACCGTCGGATATGGTTTAGTAGCGGTCGCTTAAAGTATTCAAGAGCAACCTGGAGTTGAAGCAAATAGTGGGCCTCGGACTCAAATAACTCTCGTACAATTAGCTCACGATTACGATATCTTTTCTCGTCGATTTCTGTAGCAACGATCAAGAGAAAGCCAGGTTAATTGAATTTATATATATATAAAAGGGAGCCAAGACGTATTGGCATTAGTACACCTATAGGCTGCTTTTACACTATTGATATTATTTTTTTAACAACTTACCAAATGGGTAGATATCAACCTCATGCTCAAACTCAGCGTAGAGTTCATCAATCACAGACATATCAGCCATTAATGGGCTGAAATAATAAAAGGGGTCCATGATTTCCAGCTCATGATTTGGATACTTTGACATGTTTTGGATACTCGTCTCATAAATATTATAGATACTGTGCATCGTAGTCGAGTCGCTTAGAGATACGGTGTCTAGTCGATTATAAGTAATTGATTTCTCGCAGAGAGTGGCCGTACTACTGTAGAATGTCAAGGCAGATAGCTTCTTTCTCAGCATCGTAAAAGGGGGAGGAAGAGTGTGGTGTTATCTTTGACTTGAAAAGTATGGTGTTTATTAATAAGAGAAAGAAGAACCAAAAAAAAATAAAAAAAAATAAAAAAAAATGATAGATGTGAAAATACTTGGGATTTATAGGCTCCAAGCAACACAGAATCTTAAAGCAGGGAGATATACTGTGGGGATGGATTTGGGGGATGAGTTAAGTAGTAAAGAGCAATGTGTTCTTGGACATCAAAACACCAGTCTAAAGTTTATTAATAAGCTAATAAAACTACAAAAAGAAAAGTAGTTGTCCATCGAAGCCTTACTTGCCAAAAATATGATCTTTACAAAAAAAAACAAAAAGCGCAAGGTTGTGTATGATGGCAATATTCCATTTTACGCTCTTTTCAAGGCGATAATCAAAAACCAAAGAAAAAGAGAAAAAGAGATCACCCCCCTATATCCAACTCTCCCCTTTTACTTATTTTGTTTTTGTTTTCTTGCATGTAGATTGATGCAAGGCATTTATTGCTTCATTTTATTATTATTATAATAATAAATAGATTGTCATTTCATGTGCAATTATGTTCATGTAAAAAAGAAAGGGGTTGGTGAGATGTTGGCTCGATCTATTCAAAAGGCTTTGGAGACGGATAACTAACCGACCATAATATTATCCGGTTTGTTTTGACATGATGTATACTGAATTCAATTTTAATAAACTATAGATAGATATATAATTTTGTATTTTTAGCTTCGTATAAAGTACGGTTCTTCTTAAGAGTTAAAATACGGACAGTGTTGTACCGATTGGGTCGGTACATGCCCCACATCTGTACTCGTCTGTTTTCCAAATTTACCGTTATCCCGATGAAAAGGTTAACCAAAATACTGAAGCCCTGTCAAAACATATAAATATATAAAAAATATTGGCTACAAAGATATACCTGGTATCTATCGCAAACAAACCAAAATTGGCTTTTTACTACATACAATAAGGTTCGATTTGAATTAGACATTCTGAATCTATTCTATGTCCATATCTCCTTTGATAAGAAAATATGAGTTCAAATGACACTAGAAAAGACAGAAATATAATTATTGGCATTGATAAACGCCATGTTTGGTAGAGAGAGAGAGGGGGGGGGTATGATTATATGATTTTAACATTAAATATATCAAACCCTTGAATAGGTTGCTTTACTAATAGTAATTTTTTATTGTCATTAATTTACCTATCAAGACATGCAGTTGATATGTTCAAACCACAAACGTATAGGTGGCACATGTGTAAATAAAGCCAGTATGCATGGTAGGACCTTGTATTTCCTATTATTTTCTTCAAGTTACCTATATATTCGGTTAACTAGTGTGAGAAGTTTTATGTGTGCACAAGAAAGAAACAAGTCTCCTTTAGTGACCCAGAAATATGTATTCTTCTTCTTCTTCTTTACACAGGGAGTAGATTCTATTGTCATTATACATAACTTTAAACAAAAGAATAATTCCTTCCCCCCCTCCTCCTGGCCACCTTGATTAACTGAATTAAGGGAGCCATAACATTGTCTTCCGATACAAATTGTGAACACTCTGAACTCTACAAACCTAAGTTCAGTCAAAGGCATGCCAGGCATTCTATACAAAGTTCGATGTATTTTCTTTTATTGTTATTGTTATTGCTATAGAGAACCAGTTCGCCCTCAACCTTGAAAGCAGAATGAAAATGATCAAATTGGTAGGTATATAAATATGCAAGATCGCTGTGAGCAGATAGCATTATTATTATTATTATTTTTTTAAAAAAAAAAAAAAACAAAAAATATGTATGCTAGATTTCGCTACTTTTCGTACTGTTGTTAATTTCGATTGTGTTATAGTCATTGTCAATATGTACGATGATAAAAAAAAAGAAAGGGTGAATCTAGGGGTGGATCTTTGAAAAGTAAAACCAAACCCCCTTTAGGGTTATAAGGGTGGGCTTAAGATAAAAAAAAAAAAAGAGTTTTTGACCCAACAATTCCTCTCTCTCTCCTATACGTACTATATATGTGTTTGTTTCAATTTCAAATTTTTCTAGTTCATTTGCTATAGTAGGTCAATAGTAAAAGAAAAACATTTTTAAGATTGAAAAACAAACAAACAATAGAATAGAATATGTTTCTATGGTTCTTTAAACACGGTCTTTTGATTGCTAAACGAAGCCTCCTTTTTTTGTTTCTTCTTCTTTTAGGCTGCTCATCCTGCATTAACTCTATCACAGTACCTTACCTATATTATTTCTATCATTTGTTTCTCTCTTTCTTTTTCTTCTTCTTCTTCTTATTATACCTCTCTTTGACAATGCAGAACACGGGAGACTTGGATTCGAACACTAGTGGCTCTTTTTTGAATTGTTTAAAGTATTGCATCAAAGGGATATCAGAATCCATTGGCCTTGGGGAACATCATCAAATCGATCGTTCTTGTCAGAGCGCGCTGTATTTACAGACCTGCATGTCATTTACTAAATAAAGTGTAATATAAACGCTTCATTTAGTATTCAGTAAATAATTAAGCATATTTTATACATATATATATATATTTTAGTGAGTGGAAAAGTGAGTATGTGCGTTGTATTAAGCCACAAAAAATAAGAAGAAGAAGAAATGACAATGGTAGTATTATACTACAAACGCAAATAGAATTTATAATAATTAGTGTGGCGCTAACGACTATTTAAACTTAATTTCTTTATATATATATATTCTTACACTAATCATCGCCCAAGTCTGTATATTTTGTATTGTAAGATTTTCAATTATGTGCAGAAAAAATAAGAAATCAAATAAAATAAATTATGAATTTACTCCTCCGAGGTGTAAATAATCATTACAATATATATATATATATATATATATATATATATTGGCCTGGCAAGTATTGTTCTCATTGTACTCATGACTAAGGCCAAGTTTAGGATTCACGGCCTTAATTTCGGAGCAAGTTGTTCCAATGCTTATTTTATATATTATATAATACATACAAACCCTTTGGTAAGTTCACTTGTTTTCTTGGACCTAAAGCTCGACCTTAAATTTCAGGTGGTTTTTATGGCGTGGTTTCTTTATTTTAAACAATATTGATATAGATGTCATGAAAAATAAAGGGGGGAAGACAAGATAGGAGCATTTTTTTTTTGCTTGATCCAAATATTTGGTAATTCTTATTGACTTTAAGCAGCACCAGCACCAGCACCAGCAGAAAACAACCTTCTTTGCTTTGCTTTGTTGATTTCTTACAAACAAAGATAGTCATAACAATTGTTGCGATTTTATTCGACAATCAATAATCCGTAAATATTAAAATTAACGACATTTGAAATCACAAAAAGAAAAAGAAAAAGAAAAAGAAATAATTTAGAATTGTGTAGTATGCATTGTTTGAGGTGCTATTGGTCAATAGACTGCTCACATTCCCTCACACGACATCTACAAACAAATGTGTTACGAAGGATATATAATAGGGAACTCGCTCATTATTTTTCTCTCTCTCTCAGGGACAAGACTGCTGCATATCCCACAGACAAGACATATAGTTTTTTCTCGAAAAGCCCTGAAGGATTATTGCTACCATTAGTTGGATTGGATTGTAGTCCATGACACTGGGCTTTAATAGATTCAATAAACTTTTGTTCCTGACTTTTATATAAATATATTTTTTCAAATAATGTGTTTGTTTGTTTTATTTCATGAGAGAAAAATAAAAATAAAAGTGGGAAAGTATTGTATATACTACACTAGCAAATACAACCACTAGATAGAATCGGAAGTGTATACAGAAAAGAAAAGTATGAAGGTTGGTGGGAGGGAGGGAGAGGTAGACAGGGGAATGAAGATCTTGGATCGAATATGTAAGATGATGATGAATAGAAAGAGCAAAAACAAAAAAAAAACAAAAAACAAAAAAAAGGTCCGGCCATGGTTGTTGATTGCTTATTCACCGTTCTTATTGAAGGTCTGAGTATCGGTTTTAGATACCACCACAGCTACGGCCGACATCGACACCAAGGCCATTGTTAATCTTACGCCACTGAGCATCACGGGCAGATCCATTGAGAGACATCAAATGAGAATGAGCTTGGGCAGGTTGAGCTGAAGAGCGGATATATGCAGCCATGCCATAGGCAGAGACGGCGGGGACAATGAGGTAGGAAGCAGCACGGAGAGCAGGCATGTTGATAATGTTAATGGTAGTTGTAGTGGTGGTTGTGAGTTGTTGATTTGCAAGATAATGTTTGAAAGACAAGAAGGAACGAAAAAAAAAAGACAGGCTTTATATACCAAACAGCAGTTTGGTGTACCCGATCCTTTTTTTTCCCCACAGTTCTTATCAAAGACCCTACGTCGGAACCTGTATCTGCACCACCATATTACCTTGCCCGAGATTAATCGATTAACTAAACGTTAATTTCGGTTGTGGTTGCAACAAGAGATAGTATTATCGATAGAGTCGGACAGTCGGACTACTCCGACCCGGACCCCTTTAAATATACCGGGCTCCCATCGATTTCGAAGTCTACAGTAGCCAAATTCAATTAAAGTTTGTGTGGCGTGACTGATTAAATCAGATCTCTTGTTTATTTAGCTGTGACGTTTTGAGGGACACTATTCTTTATCGATTTCTAATAAGCCCTCAATAAACATGGTATGTTTAATTTGTAATCCTAAAAGAGTAAATAGTGTGCTAGGCTTGGTCTACTAAAATAATAATAAAAAAAAGTAGTCAAAAAGTCAACAAGTTTATTAGATTCTTCTTCATAATGGCTGCACTGAATAAGGTTCAGATTTATAACAGCCTGATATATGTATGTATATACACACATCAATTCCAATATTCAATATTCAATATTCAATATCCTCAGCAATAATCGGAGTAAGGACACTCAAATATATACATATTAGAGAAAAAAAATACAGTACAGTACAGTGCTGTGCTGTGCTGTGCTGTGCTGTGCTGTGCTGTTATATGCAGTGCTGTATTGTGCAGTGCTGTGATTATTCTACAAAGGGAGGGGAGGGGTTTAACTCGAACATACGAGGAACCTGTCATCTCCGCTAGAACGTCATAAGCACCATATATAGAAGGCCCCTTCTCATTCTTTATTGGATGACGCTCCTGGGACTGTTTACTAGACCTGTTTAGGTTGGTGGCAACCTCCCTCTACTTGATGGAGACTGATAAAGCAGGGCGATGTCGGACGATACAGGAAGCGCTTTGCGGATATGATACTAAAACAATAGTGCCTGTATAATAAGGTATCGTATCTTCAATGTGTAAGAAAGTAGACAAGATGGCACAAGGTGTGTTTAATCTGGGAACCTCACATGGAGTAACCAAAATAAAATAAAATAAATAATAGAGTAAATCTGTCAATCAACAGATATTTGTTTCAATTTGCTCTCAAGAGAATATATTTCAATTCTTTTTCTTTACCTTTCTGCTATATTATATATTTGAACTCTTATCCCAGGTACATCAATTACTCTTTATCAAATCATCTTATGCGCTAGCCACAAGTGCAGTTACTGGGAAGACAATGTAATCAAACCAAGGCATTGATCTGCTTTCCAATCAAACAGCATTATAGGCAAATAAATAAAGAGATTTGGTTGTGTATATATGGATAGCCATTAATATAATTTTTTTGGGTGATTGTTTATTGTACATCTTGTGAATTTGAAGATCTTCTAAACATCGTATTTGAAAAGTCAAGTAAGGGCATGTAAAATCTACAGAAGCCCTGCCAATTGGTTTGTATGAGAATTCAAAAGAAGAACTACTGATATAATAGAGTTATTGTCTTTATTTATTTTTTTAATATAAAGTCGCAAAACAAAAGCACATACCCTTTGGCTTTCTAGATGAATCGAGGTGATTAATAAAATAAATATTCGGCTTCTTGGTGGTGAGATACTAAAGAAGATATTCTCATATGCAGCGTTTCTTAAAATAGGTGTAACATGGTTTGCAGTGTAACAAATTCAATAATAATAATAATAATCAGCCTTCTTGAACCCTTGACAATCTTTATATCCAATCAATTTCTGTTCTTTTTTTTTTGCCTTTGCTTTTGAAATCCATGCCTGCTTAGTGACAAACTTGTTCCTTCTTCTTCTTCTTTTGATCTATTTCTTTTTTATATTATGCACATAATATTAAATATATATATATTTGTATTTCAATGCATATTGAGCTACTAAAATCTACCACGTATAATATTGCAAACTTTGGCATGGTAACAAATTATGGTGGACATAATCCTACCACTCTGGCAATTTTCGAGTCAATTTCTCGGATTATGTCTATATTTGCACAAACACACACACACGTATATAAATATGATATTTATTCATTAAAAGCATAAATTATTCATCCTCAAAAGTACTTCAGGACAAGGCTCAGCAAACTGCACAAAATCGAAGCATTTTTATTTATTTTTAACCAGCCCTCCTTTTAAGCTACAGCATAAATAAATAAATAAATTAAAGGTGCTTATTCTTTATTTTATTATTGATCTGTATACAGATGGCTGGAATTGATACAAAGTTGATTATTATTCATAATTATAGTACTGCCAGTAAATCTACAAGACAAGATTCTTGAGGTCATATTAATCACAAAGATGTTTCTAAAGGAAGAAAAAACACTGCTAGTATACTATTGTTTGTTTTGTTTTGTCAAATGCGCAAAATTGTGACGATGTCTATAAGAAGACAACCAGCTAAACATAGCATGTAAATCTAAAAGTGGAGATCTACAATGCTGAGTTAGCGAACCCAAAGAGACTCGGATTAAGATTGATACTGGAATATGATTCCGATGTATGTATATATATATATATATATTCTGGCTTACAATGGAAGAAGGGTAACCTTTTGCTTAGATTCACCTGGTATTATTGTTCGTATCAGTACATTGGCTATTACTAGTAATGTTACTGTTCCTGAAGCTTTATTGATTTCAACTCCCAAAAGCTAATAATAATAATAATAAAGAAAAGAAAAAAAAAGGCGCCAGGAATCAGATCTGTCGAATTTTTTTTCTTGCTTTGTTTCTTAGAGACTTTTAGGTTTATCACCTATCAATATCAATAGTAGATGTAGATATAAATATACTGATGGTGAACAAACCAAGACTTTAAGAAATCACTTTTAGGTTTTGAATTTTGTTTCAATGGTTCTAGCTGAATTGGCCATCACAATAATACTGCTGTTGCTATTGTTCAATCCAAGTGTGTTAATTTTGCAAATCGAGATATCCCCTCTTCCTCACCTATAGAGAAATCTCAAGAATACAAATCTTTATGTATATTGAGTTTCATTTCTATGTTTATATATCACAGAAAGAAAAAAACTTGGCATCTGAACTGCACAATGCCTAATACCGAAGGAATCTTGAGTTTAATATCAACGATTTTGTTCATAATGGTAGATATTCTCTATATATATATATATATTTCTTTGTAAGAGATGCAAAGTTCTTTTCTTTAAAAATCAAAAGAGGTGAATATGAGAGTCATGATATTATGGTTATGATTAGCATTATGAGAAACGCCATTAAACAATTGACCACTTGAAAATCAACTTGTAAATGACAGGGCGGTGGTATATCTCTAGATAGTGAAATCAATTGATAAAATATTTTCCAGTACAAGACAAAAATTGATTTTGTTACTAATCTCTAATCTCTAATGTATATATATATATATATATAGATGTATTTAATTACAACGTCAGCCTTATTTCGTTTGTCCTCAGCCATCTTCTTCTCTTCCCTTGTTAAATATTTGTAATTCTTGAGTATCTCCCCCCTTTTTTTTTCTCGAATAAAATAAGACTCTTATCGCATTGCTTGCATTATTTATAATATCGACTACGTATATGTATGTGTATGAAGCGACTTATCAGAAGACGTGAAATTTAGCAGATTGGATTTTTTAGTTTTGGTAATGATTTTTGGATACAAACATTAATTAGAAAGAATTGATCTTGAACCTGCACCATTTCTTCTACTTCAAGCTATACTTTATACATATATCTCATTAGATCTTCTTCTTTAAAATATATATATATATATATTATATATGCTATTATTATTTAAGCTTGAATAAAAATTCTAATTTTACATTTTGTGAATTTTATTGCCTAAAAATGTTCAAAATGTTTCTGAAAATAGTGCAGTATATAACAAAGTGGCACAAACACTCCAAGGTTGTGCTTTTTTTTTATATTGGATTTTAACAGCCGTAGAAGGACAGTCAAGGTGCCGTTTAACACCGATTTCCTACTCACTCATCAGTTTCACCACAGGCGCACGCTTAACCTACTCTTTAGTGAGGCCGTACAACCCGCCCAAAAAAAGAATCATACACCGCTTCAGCCATGGACCACGCGAGTCTATGCCTCCTATAGTGCATTGCGCGTTCGAACTCACTTGCCTTTTTTTTTTAAAAAAAAAATATTTATTCTATCCATTCTTTCTATTTAAATAACTAAAGTGTATGTAATAACTTCAGGATCATCTCCTTCCCTTCTTTACCTTTCGTCTTTCTTTTTCTCTTTCTTTTCTGCCCTTCACCATGGTCTTTGCCAATACACTCCTTGCCACTTCGGCTCTCATCATGGCAGCCTTCTCATCAGTCCAGGCCTCTATCGCACCTTCATACCCATCTCCTGGAACTGTTTGGACCGAGGGCAAAGAATACGAGATTCTCTGGGGTAAAACAAAACAGAACAAAAGCATTCTTTAGCTTCTTTACTTGTCCCTAGAACGACCTGCTCACAATTGTCTCAATTAGCTGATGATGGTACTTCCCCCAGTCTTTCCTCTGGATGGTCAAACTTCACGATTGGTAATTATCATTAATAAAACAATAATTTATCGCTTCCATTTGAGTTTGTTCGTTTAATCCCAGTCATTACTATTATTATTATTCTATAGATTTCATGACCGGCGATAATCTGCAGCAGACCCGCTTGTCAACAGTAGCTACCGTAAGCAAATCACCTTCTTGGAATACATATCAGCAAACATTATATTGATATTTTAATCATACACAGGGATTGAACGGTGCCAAGGCCAGCTCATACAAGTGGACCGCACCTACCGTCACACCCCATGCAGCCATCTATTTCTTCATGTTCACCAACGGTAAACGACAAAAAAAAATGATCTCCAAGGGTTGTACACATGTGTACTTATTCTCGTCTTTCTCGTCTTTCTTTTCACAGGAGCCGATGGAAGTGCCTGGACCACTCGCTTCGGTATTGTTGGTGCTGACGGCGCCCTTGCTGAGCCTACTAACTCAACCCAATCTGATGGTAAAATATTATATTTATATTTATATTTATATTTACATTTATATTTATATCTTTTTATTTTTACATATCATTTATTAATGTCTATTACTATTACTATTACTATTAATTATTGCATTTTATTGACCGCTTGTTAATGTTAATCATTATATTTATCTAGGTAGCAAAATCCCCTGGGGTACTGGTTCTCTCGCCAAAGGCTCTTCATCAGAGTCAAGCTCAACTGCTTCCAGCGCTGCCGGCGGTGCCTCTATGATTTCTTCCGCCTCGTCTCCTGCTGTAGCTCCTGTTGGATCCGCTTCTGCTCCCGTTGCTTCAGAAAATATCGTCTCAAGCATCGCCCCCTCTGCCGCCCCTTCAGTCGCCCCCTCTGCTGCCGATTCTGCCGCTGACTCTGCTCCCGTCAACTCTGCTAAAGAATCCTCCTCCAACGCATCGACTGCTCAGCAATCCTCGACTACTACCAAGGACAGTGGAAGCTCTTTCACAAAGCCAGCTGCTGGTCTTGCTGTTGCCATCACTGCTTTGTCTGGTTTCTTGATGAGCCTTTAAAAAAAAGCAACAACAACAACAACAAAGCAAAACAAAGCAAAACAAATCAAAACCAAAGAAAAGAAAAGAAAAGAAAAAGGCGTAGTCATATCTGAACAGAATAACGTATCCTATTAGCATAGCCTTTAGGTGAATTCAAGTCATTCATATTTTTATTTGCTCAGCGTAGTTCTGTTTGTACCTATACAATTGTAGTTTATTTAATAATAACATCCGGATCAAAACGATCAATTTTTTTAAAAGAACATCTAGAAAGACGTGTGGCTATGAGCATCCAAAAAAAAGGATTTTCCTTTGTTAGATTCCGCTATTGTAGTGAGACTTGCATGATTCGTTACTTAATGTAACACTGTCCTAATTGGAGACACGTCGTACAATGCGGCTAGGGATTATGTGGCAATGCAACAACGCCTTGACATTAATCTATCTCCAAAAACAAAAAACAAAGAAATCCCCTGGTGTTGATTCATTTTTTTTCTAATAGCTTATTTGACAAATATCAAATAGAGAAAAATTGTATAAATCATTTTCTGTGGATTACACAATGTACTATTTGTACCATAGTATTTCTGTAACCCCCCCCCCTTCGCCTTATCAATAAAATGATGCTTATATTTTATCTGATTGTATTGATGAATGGATAGACTAATTAGCTTTAGAGCTCTGACAGTACAAAACAATCGTGTATATATCTGTGTGTTAATGACTTTATGCATGAGTCTTACAAAAGATCTCCTTACCTTTGTCTTGGCTCATTGGGCTCAAAGCTAACTACAGCTTGCATTATATATTCCAGAAAAAAAAAGAAAAGGTATATTCTCCCTAGGCTACAACAAAGGGAGAACAAATGTATACCCCACCATCTTCTGCCAAAAGAAGAGAATCTGCATCTATTGCTTCACTTAATTTGAGAAATGTATTACCAATTAATTTGTGGCTATCAGCAGCTACTAACAACAAACTTGTACCATAAACCAAAAATCTCTACTTATTGACCACAACCTTCTTTGTGGTCTGGATATATATTTATATTTAAAGTGTCCCAATAATCACCAAAAAAAACAAGAATAAGAAGAAGATAGAACCAAAGCTACAACCTTTGGTAATAGGACCAAGTTGTACACTGTTTTTATAGAAAAGATTGTACAATGCTGAACTCAGCTATTCAGAGTATATTACCAGGTGTTTTTTAAGCGGAAATAATTAAAGTAGCTTTGTGAAGCTACCGAGAAATTAACTACACGAGAAAACAAAGCAGAAAATAGACCCAGACATATATATATATATGTATTAGTACACAGACCTGTCTTAATCATACTGAGAAAACCTATATGACAAAATTTCGATCTTGCCCATGATTCTTTATTCTAAACAACACAAAACTATCTTAAACTGTAGTCCTGAGGGCCAGCAGACTTTGAAGAAGTATTATATGTATGTATATACTCCTTAACCAAGTTGAAGTTGTTTATAAGCAGCCAAAAAAATATTGTAGGGGAGCCCCTTGTTAAAATATAACTTGGTGTATCTCTTTATATGACATCTCGTATATATATATAATTTTAATAATAAATTAGATTGATAATAGACAATAGATTGTTTCACCAAAGATATTCTATACAGTATACAATTCCAACGTTGGGGGTCGTAGTATAATGCTGTATTTGGCAAATACAAAAAAATCAATAGCTCGACATTAGAAGGATTGTCTTATATATTGAGAAAGTATTTTTCTTTTTAAGCCTAAAGACTAAATCATACTTCTAGGCCATACACAGTCAAATTACACATAGTAACAATACCCCACTTTACTCTAATGTGCTCAGCAATATCCGAAAAATGATCAGTATTCTATTATTGTTTTCTGTACCTTTGGGAGATGCAAGTAGCTATAGTATTACAAAATCAATTACTAATATTCAACCTATTAGAGCTGATATAATATAACAGCTAGTATAACTGACACACTATGGATAAGAAACCAGAGCAGTCCTTGATATTTGATATAAAGGGGCTATACATTGTTTTTTTTATGTCGCTTTATTCTGATAGATTTTATCCGACAGGTACGTGCACAGAACCCGGTTATCATAGCCAATATGCTAGCTTTCGCCTTAAAAGTGCCAGATCGTGGGTGAAAGAGAGAGAAACTATACACACATATAAAATTGAAATACATTCAAGTTGAAGCCTATTTATTGTACAAATAAAGGCTTGCTGTAGCTGAGCCAAAAAATAAATAAATTGCTAGAGTTAGAAGATGTACGCTTAATACCATGGTTCGTAATACAAAACATCGACATTTAGTGTGTGATGAACATCCCATGCCTTGACATGTATTTTACTTATACGCTAATTACTTGAATGGTTATGATGTGCACATTAGCTGTTAAATTATTCTCACAATTTACTTATCCAGGCACAAAGCTGAATACTCTACTAAAAATAATCTTCAAATGATCTAGTATTACTGTATTTATTTTTGTGTTTTTGACAGAATACCCGATATAGCCCAAGACACCTATTGCATGGCTTTAGTTCATGAGCTAGTCTTTGCTAATCAATGAATGGATTTATACTATAAGGTATCGCAGCATACTAAGCAATAATTAGATACTTAAAGCAGGAATACAGCTCGACACAAAGTTTACCCACTTGGTAAGAAAAGAAAAAGGTACTTGTGGAAGTTTGTCGATTTTTTTTCAGATCACAATCTAAAGAATACATGCTTATTACAAGAGATTTGACAAAGACGTATGTAGAGTGATAAATAAAGACAACTGTATTTCTTGCTCTAAACCGTGCACTTTTCCCTCCTTTTCTTTCTTTCGATATTAAACTGTAGAGCCTTATCGGATTTCTTTAATTGTAAATTCTTGGGGTGAGATTGACGTTATTGATGTCCAGCTGTTTTATTACTAAAATTGAGACATCCTACTCTTTACATAATTTCTCTTTCGAGTCTTAAGTCTTATTTCTAGACTACCCAACTCATGACACTTATAAGCAAAAACGCCCAATCATGGGATGACGCAGTCTATTATAAATAGCAAGGAGCTAATGAATCCATCTTTTTAGATGAACACAGTAAAATCACTCTGTAAAAAATAAGTAACCTTTCCATGTTTTAAGGACTTTCTTCTTCTTCTTCTTCTAATTAATTTACAAAAATAAAAAAGTATAATTAAGAATTCTCAGACAAGTTTACCATGGAGTATACAAACTATCAGAAAAAGACAAAGGAACAAACCGGGCAATGTTCTTCCTCAGAGTCTTATCCTTCTGCTAAACCTATTCCTCCAAGCGGTGTCTGCTACACACAGCCATTCCAACGCCCTTCTGTAGAATGGGCGGCAAATGTTAGGAATATCCATTCGTTGCTCATGTCTAGCGGCAAAAGTCCCTTTAGAATGAATCCGGTTTATGCTCTTCCTCCAAAGACTTGTATACCTTGTGATACCACAGCAACTGTACCTGACTTGGCATGCGAATCTAGAAACGTGGAAAGACATGAAGAAGCACGTATAATCAACGCTTTACACTACACCACATCCTTGAACAATATTCCATGGCCAACTCGTTTAGAGACGCCTACCCAGGAACTGTCTTTGGCTACTTACAAACATCGCGATCGTGTGTATCAGCAGAATTTTAACACGCAGCACAAGCGCCACGTAGAAATGGCTTCCCAAAAGAAACGACTGATTGAGCACAGCCTTCAAATACATCATTTACGAAGCAAGCGTCGATCACTTGATGTGTTTAACAAAGGATACGAAAACTGTGCAAATGGGTCTACTGGTATTTCTTGTCGTATCATATTTCCGCAGCAAAAAATACGCCATAGATCAAAGACATTTCAATTGTAATATAAAAGTCAGAAACATTGAAGCGAGCATTGACCAATTACTCTCTTTTATATATATATATATATACATACTTATATCGTATTTACTTCTTTAAGCTCAATTAATGATATCATGCGTCAAGCAGATCAACAAGATATCTTGGTGCCAATTAGACTAGATATCGAGCACGATGGTTATGTTTTGCGAGATACATTCACATGGAATATGAATGGTAAAAGAAAAGTGTAGATTTCACTTGCTTAATTATTTTCTGTTGTCTTGTTCCTTTTTCACAAACTGTATTGACCGAACACCTCGTTTCATTATCGTACTAATTCTACTTGTATTATTTACTTGTGTGGGTGGGTATAAATCCTTACAATAGAAACATTGATCACACCTTGCGACTTTGCACAAGTAATGTGTGAAGATATGCAGTTACCCGTGGATTTGTTCAAGAAAGATATTTCAAGATCAATCAGCAAACAAGTGAATGATTATCAGCTGAATGGGGGTTTATATGAACCTCTCACAAAGGTCACCGAGATCCTAGACTCTAAGCAAGCCGTTAAAAATGATCGTTCGTTTTCTTTTGACACAGATATTGAATGGCGTGTCTTGATCAAAGTAAGAACATTAATTGAATTCATATAATTTGCTTTTATAAATAATGGTAATGGTAATACTCACGTTTGTTGCTTTTTTTTGGGGGGGAACGAGTTTACAGCTTGAAATAGTTGTGGGAAATTTAGAACTGATTGATCAGTTCGAGTGGGACCTTGGATGCCATTATAATTCTCCAGAGATGTTTGCAGAGAAATTGACGACTGAACTCAGTTTGGGCGGCGAATTCAGGCAAATTCAAATTCTTAGAAAATATTGTGTTACGAATAATGTTTGAACAACCCGACCCAACCCAACCCAACACATTCTTATTTTAATTTTTTTTTTGGAAATCTAATTGAGAAAATACAGGTCTGCAATTGCTCATGCGATCAGAGAGCAGATATATATGCACAGAAAGAACATGTTTCGAATGGGCTTCAACATCAAGAGGCTTTTAAGAAGTACAATGCCTAGTCTAGACACTATTATGCGAGACCCTAATGGCTATGGCGGTTGCGATAGTGGTAATAGTGGTAGAAGTAGTGGCTGCAACATTATGCCTATAATCACCGAATATATAAAAGCTGATGTCGATAAGAAAGAGAAATATAAGCATGACAGGTTTGTATCTCGGGCAGTTGTGTACAAATATATATATATCAGTGTGTATGGTCTGCTGTGATTAATGTGCAAATGTGTTTGTGGAATAAAAGAAGAAGAAAGAGACGCCAGACCAAAGTTCAAAGTGTGTCGTTATTACCTGACTTTGACGCCTTTAGGACACACCGGATCTGTATTGGACCTGTTGCTGATAAACGTCCAATAAGCACAAGTAAAAAATCTCTTGCCGAAGAAAGAAATGATGTAATCTTGGACACACCTACGTTATCAACACTGACCACAACCACAACCACAGAGAAAATGGAATTACCAATGCATTCTCAACGAAAGAGTGCCCATCGAGCGCGTATGATTATTGCAGCAGATGCGGCTTACCTAGCCCAGGAATCATCATCTATGCCTCATCGACAATTGGGACTCTGAATAAATAAATAAATAAAAAAAAAGTCTTTGGGTTGAGTAATTATTATCTACCGTCTTTCTTTTGTGAAGCACAAGGAACACAGGAAACGCAAGAAACGTAAGAAATGCGATAAATACAAGAATCAAGATGAATTCCAGCAACGCACCGTGTCTCATTAAATACATGTCGCTTTGTGGACTGTGCGTGATAACCAGAGTGTAGATTTGTTTATATGCCAACAAGATAGACGCCCTGCCAATAAGTCATCATTGTTATCACTTGAATCCCAGAAAAGGGGAGGTTAATTATTCAGCGAATAGATTTAGATGTCGAGCCCCACAAAAGGACACCCGTGGTGAATGATAAGCAGAGCATCATCCTTAAATAAAAAAATAAGCCAAGAAGAGAAGAAGAAAAAAACAATCGAGTTTTCTAGTAATCTATCTATTATACGACCGTGTCGATAATTAGCTTGCTACAATCATTCGTTCTGATCGTATGGTGGCAAGTGAGATGTGAGGGATAGAATATCAGCTTAGCCATAATCGTGTGGTCTGTACTGCCTATGTGGCAACCTTGTTTTTGTTATTAAAGGAAATGTAGCCTAAAGAAGAAAGAGAAGAGATCTCATGTGCTATTTCTGACCATTCTTTTGCACTTTTTCTTTTGTTCTTCTTCCCTCTATCTTATACACAAGCTGGATCAACAAAACGTCTTTAATAGTGCAGCAGAATATGGCAAGCATGTGCCTGTTCTGCTACACATACCATGTTCAGCAGAAGAGCCAGCGCCTTTTGTGGTCATCAAACGAGAAACTACTGCTGACGGTCGGCCCCCAGTTGTGCTGGGTAAATACCAAATAAATATATATATAAATAATAGATATAGTGTATGTATGGAAAGGATAATAATAAAGCAAAAAAAAAAGGAACTGTTTTGTTATAAAGTACGAATAAAATATTAAGACTTTTTATTTCAGTTACAGGGACTTTGGTCAAAGGCAAACAGCCAATGATCAAGGATGAGCGTAAAGATCGTGTCAAGGATCTCATTGTACTCGATGAGCGAAAAGCTAATGGCATCGTTCGACCAGAGTTTTCTTCACCTGCAATCTACCCCCTAGATCTCAGTTATGGTCCTCTTGTTGCTTTATTTGCCAGTTTATCAGACCTCCCGTCTATTCAGCAACAACAACAACAACAACAACAACAACAACAACAGCAATTTATGTCTTATACAGGAAGCCCAGCACCTTTTCAGACCTACCAAGGTTATGCTTCTCCAGCCTTAACACCTTACCCAATATCCTATTCTCCATATCTCCCGCATGGAGTGTACCATAGTCATCAACCACCACCACCACCACCACCACATCCAATGATTCCATATGCTTTGATGCCATATCTAGCTCCACAAACATACAATGGCTATAGTCATATCAGTACACCTACGCCACAACCGAATAGTCTCGTCTCAACCCCCACGCTCGCCCCCACACCTTCATACACACGTCGCAAACCGGTCAATCCAGCTGTCTTGGAAAATTCTATTGCGAGTGAGTTCAAATCATCGCCTGTTCAGCGACAGAATTCCGTACCTGCTGTTGCGCACCCCTTACCTGTTAGATCTTCATCCAGACAGGCGACCACACAGCCTGCACAGCCTGCACAACCTGCACAACCTGCACAACCTACACAGTCAACACAGTCTACACAGCCTACACGCTCGGTTTCATTACAGAATAGTCCACAAGCCTATCGAGTAGTTCGGAAACCAATTGACGCATCACCCGTTCCTGAGCCTAGACGACACGTTACGTTTTCGGATAAACCTCCCCAAGAATATCATTACGAGCAATACTATTCAGATGACTTTGGAGAAGATGATGAGGAAGAAGAAGAAGAAGAATATAGCGAAGAGGAATATATGAGTAATTATGACGTTTACGCATCATATGCTGCAGATCCATACTATTCAAATAGAGGTGATTATTATGAAGACAATGGAGAAGATGATGAAGAAGACGTTATCACAAGACCGTGGTCGACTGGCATTATAGACACTCGAAAACCTTTACACTATCCACCCGAAAGACAATATAGCCGCCCATTATCAAGACCTCTGCATGGACCTGTAAGACATCAATCCCATTCTCGGTTCCTTCCTTCACGTCCTGGATGGTCGCACACTCAATCTCAGCATCGCATACCTCATACAAGAGTATAAATAAGTAAATAAAAAATATATATTGGACATCATATAATACACCCCAGAAAGCGAAAATAGAATTATTGATTCTTTTGGATCGTACGACAGTCCTGATGGAAACACTTGTAATCCACAATGTACACCAAACTTACAGTTAGGCTTCTGTCACATACACATACACGGATCTATATCTATCTATACACTGATGAAGTAGATGAGATGAAGGTCATATGCCAAAGACGCACACATACTCCCGCAAACTAGTTCATCTTTCTTTCTTTTTTTTGTTGGTGTATAATTACAATATAAGTTATTTTGTACCAAATTTTTTCCCAGGATCGTGTTACAATGAAAATTTCATCTCAACAGGGCTTAGGCTTATTTATACTGAGACCTTATATACAATATGATAAAGAACTTCTTTTTTTTGCTATACTCTATTTTATGGCTGGTAATTTAAAGAAAGGGCAGCAAAAATAAAAATAAGATGGAAGATGTGAAAGATATTATTCTTATTATTAATTTTATTATCAGTATTAGTATTATGCGAACAAGTTGAGTTGAGCGTATATATAATATATATATTATATATTTTAAAAGAAAGAAAAAAAGAAAGAAAATAAGGTAGATGAATGTTGAATGCCAGTTGTGTTTGTAAGTTTCATTTTGATGTCTTTAAGGTTACTACTTTAAAACCAATAAGGGTGCATCTTCAAATAAAATAGAAAAGTATAAAGAGATATGGGTAGGAGGAATATATAAAAGATGAATAGGAGGATAATTTTTGGTTTTGTTTTTTGTTTTTTTTTTTAGTTCTTTAGGTCTACGAGTAGATTGGATGATTAGTAAAGCATACGAGTGCTAATGTTTGCAGGAGTGGCAATAATTGCTTCGTATAACTTGTGGAGCTGTTCCTCGGCTACGTCTGCGATATCTGCCATTACATAGGCAATGTCTCCCTTGGAGTCAGAGTATTGCTTCTCGACGTTGTGGTCGGCAAAAATTTCATTGATGGCCTTTTTGTACAAAGACAAAGGGAGAGAAGAGAAACAAAAAAGAAAACGAATAAGTCATTGAGTCGAAACACATGAGAATGCGTCTAAAAAAACGATACTTACTTTTAGTACACCGGGAATGTTGCGATGGATATAGAGAACACGGACAGTGTTCTTTTCTTCTTCACGGATGGCACGGAGGTCAATCTCGGGGAAGTTGACAGCACCAATGGAAGTGCCCTGGTTGATATACTTGACCAGCGCAGCAGACACTTCAATACCGATCATACGCTGGGCCTCTTCGGTGGAACCACCAATGTGTGGGGTCATAATAAGGTTGGGGCATTTGAGGAGCTCTGGGTAGTCGGTAAAATGTTTGCCGTTGCTTGCAGGTTCCTTGGGGAATACATCAATGGCAGCGCCAGCGAGATGGCCGGATTGGAGACCCTTGACAAGACCAGGAATCTGGATAACAGTTCCGCGAGCATTGTTGAGCAGGTAAGAACCCTTCTTCATGTAACCCATAATCTCACGCTCTCCGATAAGATTCTTGGTCTCCTCAAGCTCAGGAACATGGAGAGAAACGAAATCGGAAATAGACAGGAGTTCCTCAAGAGATTCGGTCTGCTTAGCAGTGCCAAGAGGCATGATCTGGAGGACATCGTAAAAGTAGACAGTCATACCCATAGCCTCGGCCAACACCGAAAGCTGAGCACCAATGTGACCGTAACCAACAATACCAAGAACCTTGCCACGGATCTCAAAACAGTTTGCAGACACCTTGTTCCACACACCATCATGCATCTCGATGTTGCGGTCTCCCAGCTGGCGAGCAAGTGCAATAATCTCACCAATCACAAGCTCAGCAACTGAGCGAGAGTTACTAAAAGGCGAGTTGAATACAGCAATCTAATCATATAACGTTAGACTCAATCTGAACACTCGATTACTCTACTCGCAGGGTCGGTTAACCCCACCTCTACTCTACAACAACAAAATTCAATTAAATAAATAAATAAAAAACTTACACCCTTGTTAGCAGCAGTGTGGAGGTCGACCTGGTTGGTACCAATACAGAAACATCCAACAACGCGAAGGTTGACAGCAGCCTCCAAAACCTGCTTGGTAAGCTTAGTCTTGGAACGGATACCAACTACGTGGACATCACGGATTTTCTCCAAGAGTTCATCGCCGACCAAAGCTTTGCTGTAGGTCTCGACCTGAATAAGACAAGGCATTAGCAAAAAAATAAAAAAAATATAGGGATTTATAAAGATCTACGGTCTTGCTTTTTTTTTTGGTTTTGTTTTTACCTGGTAACCTTGCTTTTGGAAAGTCTTGACGGCACTTTCATTGATGTTTTCCAACAACAAGATCTTGACCTCGGCAGTGTTGAAAGGACGAAGAACCTTGGGCTTAGCCTGAGTGACAGAACCACTGCGAGTTCTCTTAGAGTCAGCATTGGTAGTGGAAGTAGTAGCAGTGTTGGTGGTAGTAGTAGTGGTAGTGGTGGCAGGCTTGCCATTCTGGACAGGGGCGTTGTTTGCGTTAACCATTGTGAAATGTATAAGAGAGGGATTTTAAGACCAAGTCTTGTTGATGTATTAATTGAAAAGACCAGGGCAATTGAGGCAATTCCGTCTTTTATACCCTTTTTCTCCCTCTTCTTCTTAATTTAAAGATCAGAATCTGGGAAGGAATTAGCCGTCCATTTCTGGCTTGAACACAGATTTTCTGATGGATTATTGTTGTATTCTTTGTGCGCGACATTTCTCTTCTTATTCTTTCTGTCTTTCCCTCTATATTTGGCTGGTCTGTTTTGTACACATAAGCGCGTGAGTATGAATGAGAGTGGGAGTGTAGATATCTGTATCTGTAGAACTGTCGGTGAGTGTGAACAGCAGTCAAAATAAATTAAGGTATAGGCTCAAAAGGGTCTCATTCGGCTGACAGGAGATTGACTCATAAGAATCTTTCCTTCCTTCAACTTTTTTTTTTGCAAAGCAGAATCAGGCCAAGAATCAATTGTATTACTTTGCTATGCATGTGCTAATTCCGTAGTGCCCCATATTTTACAAACTATAGAGATAGAAAGATGCATTTTATAGCCATTTTTTTTCTTCTTTTTTTTTGGGGGGAGTTGCTTCATAAGGTAAGGTCTTTTGGTATCTCACTTTGGGTTTATTTTGCTGCTTGGCTTGTGCACTAATGTGCAAAAAAGGATAATCGAATAGTGATAATAAGATTCCATGTTAGTCATATCTTTTTGAGTCAATATTAGATCCTGTAAATGATTAGATCTATAGTGTGCTTCAGGGCAAATCATACGTCATGTTTGGCAAAGCCTTTCGAGGATGACTTACAACGAAAAGTAGTCAAAGAATTTAAGATCTTTATTATCTCCGGTATGCCATTAAGGTGCCTACTCCAAAGTCAGCTCAGTCGTATACATAGTATTTAATCAAAATCATACTCTCTCTATCTACATATCTACTCAGTTCTTACCTATTTATTTACACACACATAAACACATACTCAAGGAAAGAGATAAAGATATATATATATATATATAGATAAATAAATAGAGAAAAAGCGAGAGAAAGAGAAATCAAAAGTGGGGAGAGATGTACATATTTTCTGTAACATAGTTACTGTTGCTATGCAACAAACTATGTTTCAAAAAATAAACATAAAAAGTTTATTTTATCAACAGAAAATTGTAATGCCAATGTGGTGTATCTATTGGAGGCTTAATGTAAATATTTCATGAAACTCAGGTGATACAAATAGAAATCAGGTACTTGAATTCAAAGAGCTCTCAGTGACATGCCATTGCGTATGTGACACTAGAAAATAACCAGCCCACATGTTGTGTGTGTGTGTGTGTATGTGTGCTTGTGCTTGTGCATACTTGTCCCAGCCCCCCTCCCCCCCCCTTTTTTTTTTATATGGTATGGCGTCCAATCGGTCGGCTCTACATCCTGTTGACCGTTCCATTGACCAAAGCTCCATGGCAAAATGAACAGACCAACAAATGAGTCTGAATGACAGCAAGAAACAGAAACTCGGATTCTTGGCCCCACCTTTTTGGAAGTTGTTCCTTGACTCGGAAAATGAAAGCACAAAAGATCTCTATTTATTTATATGAAATAATGGCTGTGTTTTTACCCTTTAATATAAAAATTTAAATACAGTATTATCTTTAAGTTGTCCCCTAAATAATAAATGGATAAGAACCTTTTTATTTAAGATAATTGCATTAAATTCATTACCTTGACACCTTCCCAATACTAAGTACCGTATAATTATACTTAATTAAGGTACCAAGGGCATCGATCTGCTTGTCTGGTACCGATCGAAGGTCATAAGCAGAGTCTACTTGGTTCAGCATTTTGGATGAGATAAACTCTGGCTGGCACCTAAAGAATTTTTGGCTTTTTTTTTCCTACTCAATCAGAGACTTTTAATAAATCTGAGCCGATAATTCGCTCTATACAAACAAACAGAGAAAATTACAATATTTGTTTGAGGGTTATGTTAGGGTGTTTCAGTAGCTTTAGATGTTTATATTTTGCTTTTGCGGAGACTTAATACCTAGGCCAATAATGATTAACATGAAAATTAAACTGTAGAAAGCTTTCATATTTCCTTTTGCTCTTCATTTTATTTTCTTATGAAATATCCATAGATGAAAGTGGTGGATACAGATGCGCACTCTATAAACACCCAGGTTTGTTTATCAGATGTTTATAGATTGAAATTATCTAAATTTTAGGTTAATGAGAGCCAATCATTTTTTATTTGTAGCCCAGACAAACATATTCAATTTGGTCTCATCAGCATGTTCTGTCAGTATTCTTCCAACCGGTTCGTAAGGTTCCCCTTATTTCAGCATAGGAGTACTACGCGCATTCTGGGATAACTTTGAATGTTTGGCTAATTTAACCTCACACATTCGAGTAATATTGATTCCAAAAAAGTGCTTAGATTGAGGTTCAAGTTGTGCTCTAGTTTAACAGGGAAAATGTCTGAAAATAAAATTGACTTTGTCCAATAAAGAATTTAAATTGCCTGAATTTCTTTTTATAAACGTCTGAAAACCAAGTAAAAAAAGAAAAAGAAAAAAGTATTGTACACCATGTATATATAAGTAATTATTTCTACAGATTGATACTTTAATATCAATTGATAGTACCTATAGAACTTCCAGGCTTAAGAGGATATTTTACTGTAACTTGGGCGATAGAATTACCAATGAATTGATATATACATGTATGTAGGTGGGTATGTGCGTGTGTAGGAGAACAGATAAGGTTTTTTTTATTTTATTTTATATAAATAGTACTTATAGTCAATTGGGTTAATTTTCGATTTAATTGGATTTATCTAATTGACTTGTAAATAATAACAGTTAGATAAATGAAATAGATGTGTGAAATGCATATTGAGACCATTTAATATATAAGTTACTCATCCTTGTTGGTTTAATAGACAATCATATGTCGATATACACTTTATGGTTAAATATAGTTTTGTGTGATAGCATTTAATATCTGTTGTGAAAAACAGCTATTTTGGCAGCAGCGAATCGGGGAATATGTAGACCAAGAGAAAGAAAGAAAAAACTCCGGATAACTTTTTTTTTTATATGTATTTTATTTTATGTTTCGCGCTTCTTTGTGCACAGAGTCAAGGCTAGGGATCGGTGTGTTTAAGCACAACTTGGCTTTCCATGGCAAAAGGTGTATTCCATGGCAAGTAGGGACATTGATAGCTCTGACTGTATTCAAGGCACATTGTACCATTTCATAGATTAATTTTTATAATCTGATTATTAAATATGTTCTAGAAAACAATACAAATATTTCTCTTTCTTTCTCTTTTTCTTTCTTCTTTCCTTCTTTCCTTCTTTTCCCTCTTTTCTCTTTTTTCCTATTTCTCTCATTTTCCTTTCTTTTTCCTAAAATTACCTTTTTTTTTTTTTTAATTTTCTTGCTTAAATTAATGTATAATTTTAATTATAAAAATTATATTATTGAAGTTTCAATAAAATGATTCTTATTATCATTATTAACATAAGCATTTTGGATTAACTTTGTTTTTTATATATATGTGTGTATATATATATATAAATTATATATAAATTTATTTATTTTTATATATAAAATATAAAATATATACATAATTTATATAATTTATATAATTTATATTTATTTATATTTATTTATATTTATTTATTCATATTTTTTGCCATGAAAATGTTCTAAAAGGGTATCGAAATAGACGCTCTATATCTCCATCTATTTTCAGAATTGGGTACAACAACCAAGCCAAGTCGACGAATGAAATGTAGAACATCCATGTTAAGGCTATGCTCGTGGCGATTGACTTTATTTTTCGCTTCCTTTTGATCGGTCCTTCTACTTTTCTTTTCTTTTTTTTTCTGGTTGCCTTTTTCTCTCTTTCATTTCATTTTCTTGGGCTTAGTTATCTTGCTTTCTTACACCTGTAAAAATAAGAATAATAATCCAAGCTTATATTCTACATCACACACACATATATATATATTCTTTGGGATTCTTAGTCAAAAGCAACGAATTTTGATACTTTATCGAATTATAATCTCCAATTCAAGTTGTGCACCCTATCAGCCAAGAACAATCCAAAGAAGAAAAAAAAACTAAAAAAAAAAAAAAAAAAAAAACTAAAATCAAAGGCCTGTCAAAGAAAGCTTTCCGACTTTAATTTTTTCTCTTCGCAATGGAGTCATCAGCAAACGATGTCAGACACAAACGTCTCAAAGTCGGTCGCGCATGTTACTCTTGTAGAGCAAAGAAAATAAAGGTAGAGTTGAATGACGATTGGAATCTCAAAATGTCTTGCATCATTTGGAATCTTGTTATTTTCAGACATCAAAATTAAGCATGTGACCAAAAACCCCTCTTTATTGTGAATTATTTTTATTTTTATTTTATTTTATTTTTACCAAAAAAAATATATACATGAAAAAGCAGTAAATTAATCAATTGTCTTTTTGGATCTACTTTTATTCAATTCTAGTGCGATGGTTTACGACCGTGCATGCAGGTACTAATATTAACGAACTGCATGATTCATAAGTATCAGTAAAACTTACCTTTCCATTTTATTCTTATAGTGCAAAGGTTAGTTTGAATACTATCAAATATATATATATATATATATATATATGTATATTAAAGAAAAACAGACTTAAATTAATAATATATTGTTCTTATTATTACAATTATTTTGCTTTCCTTCAATTGCTTATTACCTTTGTTCAGCCCGTCAAAAGACCTGTACATTTTACAAGGATGGTTCACTCGATCCTGATCAAGAATTACCCGAAGATCAATCGATCTTAACAAAAAAGGACATCGAACCTTACGACTTTAACGACGAATCTTCTGTCCTCTTCTCACTTACTAAAGATAGTCTCCAGAGTCGCACTAAAAGACGCGCTCAACAACTCGAGTCTAGGACAAGCAATCGACTGATCTCACTTGGCGATAATCTCAAAAAAGTATTCCTTTCTGACAACGTGCCAAACAAGACCTCGGAAGAGCGTGAGCCATTTGCTAATTTTATTCGCTGGTCCTCGGAACCTGCCCTTCCAAATCGCTACTCCGGCTCGCTCGAAATGCCCTCTCACCCTATCCAAATGGAACTCATCGATCTATACTTTAAAGAACAAAATGCGGCAAACTACCTTATCCCAAAAGCATATTTTTACGAACAACTCCAGTGCAAAGGCAATTTCATCACACCATTATTATTAAACGCTATCTATGCTAAGATCAGTCGGTTTTCTTCAAATCCGGATCTACCAAAAGCCGATGTATTTTTTCAACGAGGAAAACGACTAATCGACGATTTTCTCGATGTACCCCGCATCAGTACAGTTATTGCTCTATGTCTCCTTAGTCTCTACGAAGCTGACCCCTCCACCCATCGCCCCGGATCACAACACTGTAGAGCATGGATATACAGCGGCATGGCTTATCGGATGTGCCTAGAGCTCGGCTTACATAATGAAACAAATCTTGCTCGGGACTTAACTTTGCAAGATATTGAGCTCCGTCGACGCGTCTTCTGGTCTTGTTATTTCTTTGACAAGCTTCAGAGCGGAGGGTGGGAAAGGCCATGCATGCTTTTATCTCATTATGTACAAGTAAAAATTCCAAAAGCGATGCCACACGACACATTAGAAGAACAGAAGAACATTTTATGCTTAGAGTACATGGCCACCCTGTTAGTACAAATGGAAGAATATTCCGGAACTAACAGTAAAGTAAAAACCGTCTCAGGTTCTGTGATGGAAATAGCGACCGAAAGTATAGGAAAGACCCAAGTATTCTTTGCCAGTTGGGTCCAGTCTCTCCCTCCTTTGATACAATGGACCCCAGTTAACTGCCACGACCCAGCCGACATTATTCAGTTACCAGTTCCTAGTCCTGACGTAACTCTACTTCACCTTTTTTATCACACATGTTTGTTTGAACTTTTGGCGAAGTTACCAGACACTGCGTACATCATTCTTCAGAAGAAAATCACGGCTACAGTAATTACCCAACTTGTTTACCACTCGTGCAACCGACCTGCTAGCGTTACAAAATTTGATTATCTCGTGCACACGCTTACATTTGCGCTCAAAATACATGGAAAATATCTGTACAGTACTGACATGGCACTTGCACAACATTCGTGGACAATGTACGATCGTTCTCTTATGCTGCTCCACAAGATGCAAAGTTACGCGGTTATTCCAAATATCCAAAAATTCTTACAGCAGATATCTTCAGGTTCTGGTGCCCCCCAAATGTCTCCAGAGTTATTTTCTCAAGCCAAATCTCCAAATACGCCAAGGTTGAAAGAGTCAGAATCTTCCTCTAGCAGTGATTTTGTTTTGAATGAAAGAAAGGGGTCAGATGGTGCTTGGTTAGATAGTGCAGAATATCCAAAGCAAAAACAGGTAAGTGTTTATATTTATGCACACGTACATACACGCACAGACTCACACACAGATATAGGTACACGTTCAAACAAAAGAGCGTGCACAGACGCATACACAGACGCATAAACGAGAACAAGCTCAATCTCAATCTCAATCTCAATCTCAAGCACAGGCACAGGCACAGGCACAAGCACAGGCACAGGCGCAGGCACAAGCACAGGCACAGGTGCAGGCACAAGCACAGGCACAAGCTCACGCACAAGCACAAGCTCAGGCACAGGCACAGGCACAGGCACAGGCACAGGCACAGGCACAGGCACAGGCACAGGCACAGGCACAGGCACAGGCACAGGCACAGGCACAGGCACAGGCACAGGCACAGGCACAGGCACAAGCTCAGGCTCAAGCTCAGGCTCAAGCACAAGCTCAAGCACAGGCACAAGCTCAAGCACAAGCTCAGGCACAGGCACAAGCTCAGGCTCAGGCACAGGCACAAGCTCAGGCACAAGCTCAGGCACAGGCACAAGCTCAGGCACAGGCTCAAGCACAGGCTCAAGCACAAGCACAAGCTCAAGCACAAGCTCAAGTGCATATGCAAGCACACCGACAACAGCAGCAACGGCAACAGCAGCATCAACAACAACACGAGACAATGTTAGGAAGCGATTACTCTTCAAAGTCTATACTTCCGAATACAGAAATGCGTTGGCCAGATGGGCTTTATGTGCACCGACCTGCTCAAAATAACACTATTCCTGACTATAGTGATATTGAGCCGCGTTCGCAAAATGTTCCAAGCGAGCAAGGGAACTACGTAGTTATGTCTATGAATCAACAAGACTGGGCTCATCATGGATCTAATAACGACCCTCCAACTTCAAACGATGCATATCCTGCTACTTATCACCAACAGTCTATGATTTCACCCAATGGGAGACCTATATCTCGAATGAATCAACCCATTTTGGCTACAAGCCAACAGCAACAGTTTAGTGATGATAGCTTGCCAATCTCGACCACACTTACTTCATCGAATAGCCATCAAACTATGATGGTACCTAGCCAGGGATTGCTTATTAATGGACTTGGTAGCTCTGGATCTTCAGATCAATCTGTATTATACAGTGACACTCCTTTACGCGATTGGCCAATTGGACAGCAAGATCAGAATTCTTTGTGGCAGGCACCTCATTCTAGACTTCATTTTCCAGCAGCAACATATTTGCCCAATTCTATACGTCAACAACAGCAACAGCAGCAACAGCAACAGCAGCAACAGCAACAGCAGCAGCAGCAATCTTCATCTAATAGTCCACACTATCCTTCAACACATTCTGAATTATCTGAATCTCAAACGACTTCAGCTGCCCATGCCACTATGCAACAACAGAGCACATTTTCTACAAATAACATTCCTTTTCCAGACTTGGCTCACAAGAGTAGCTCATCGAGCAAATAACTTTCATCTTTATTACCTTATTACCTTCTTACTTTCTTACTTTCCTTCCTTTAATTTCTCTTTATACTCAACAAATTATATACAAATGTTCCTAGCATTATTTCCCTCAAAAACACACTAACGCACACACATATACACATATACACATACACATACATACATACATACATACATACATACATACACACATACACGTACACGTACACGTACACGTACACAGGCATAAATACACTGTATATTGTCTTGTCCTTATATATATATTACCATTATTACAATATTATCTTGATTTCTTTTTTGTTTCTTTAATTGCTTTTTGCATAATATACATATATTTATTTTATTTTATTTTTATGTTGCATAATAATCTCCTCTTATTCTCCAAAAGAAAATGCGTAAGAAGAAGGGAATAGTACATAGATATATAGAACAAATGTTATAAAAACATATAGGCCATTTGTTTATAAACAATAAGCGAAATTTTGACTATGAAAAAATAATAGTAGAATTTTATGCCCAATAAGAATCTATATATATATTCACGAGAATAAATAAATAAATAATCAAAATAATAATCAAGGTATTTTTTTTCAACCTATATTTTATCTACATAAAAATAGTAATTTGAATATTACACAACAGATCGGGCATACTGTAGCTATTTGACTCATTGATAAAACGATGTGTGCATATACATATAAAAGGAAATATATTTAATGATGTATTTATTTCATTTTAGTACACTATACAAACGGGCATTACTACTTGTATATCTACTACGCCTATTAAGCATATACAGTCATTTCAGAAAGTAAAGTCGCTGATTTTGAGTTTGATGTCATGCAAAAATATAAAGTTGTGCTCATATTACAAACTTCATTTATTTTTACTTGTTGCTTAGTTAATTGCCCAATAAAATTTCTTGGCATGAATTGTTGTTATAAAAAAAAGGGACGATTTTCTGTGTCCATTTTACTTTCTTCTTCCTATTTACAATTTATTTTACAGACATTGAAGATGAGTATGCAATTTTTCTATGAAGATAGACAAGGTCATGTTTTTGATGAGAGGAGCAGTGAGGATGTTTATATGGAACAATGCAATAAGCGCTGCTATACAGTTTATTCTGATGACGATAAATCTCGATTTTTTCATTTATTTTTTAGCAAATGCTTGAATGCTTCTGCAGCTGCGAGACAATTGGATCTTCATGTCCGAGCAGCACAGAAATGGATTAAACGTTATTACGAAGACCCTGAAAGCATCTTCGAAAAGAAGAGAAAGTCAGGTCGGCGTCGTAATCTTGGAGAAGATCATAAGCAGTTTCTTTTAAATTACATTGATGAGAATCCTTCTGCTGTTGTAATTGAAGTGGCAGAAAGTTTAACACAAAATTTTGCGGATCTTAATGCTTCTCATAGCACTATTTATAACTTTATGACAACTGAGTGCAATCTATCTATTAAGCAGGCGCAATTCCAGCCTGTAGAAAGAAACAACGAAGAAAAGATTCAACAAAGGTACCATTGGGTACAAAAGTGGCAGCAAACTGACTTGGATTTCACAACAAATTGCGTCTTTCTTGAGGAGTCAGCCTTTCATATCAATTTGAAACGAGGTATGGCCTGGTCAAAGAAGGGAACTCCCGCCGTAATTACAGTGCCTACAACTAAAGCAAACGCAACATCGATTTTAGGTGCAATATCTGCAACTGGTTTAATCAATGTCAGTTTGAGAGTTTCAAAACGCATTAAAAAGAGAAAGATTTGACGCTCAACTGATGGTTATAGTATAGGAACAGTGACAGGGCATTATCTGAGCTTTTTAAAGGCCACTCTTGATGAAATGGACAAGTATCCCGATATGAAGGGACATTACCTTGGCATGGATAACGCTCCTATCCACAGCTCAAGTGATATAGGTACGTATATCTTCGTATTCTCCCGAACTAAATCCAATTGAGCAGTTCTGGTCAGTCGTCAAGAGTAAAGTTAAGCGAAATAAGTTTTTGGAAAAAGAAACGCTCATGACAAGGATTAGTGAAGCATGTAACAGCTTCTATTTTAGTGCTTTCCAAGGCTTTGTTTCTCATTCTGCTAAATGCTTTGACAAGTGTCTCCACAAAGAGAGACTATAAAATATCCAATGCAAATAAAAAAAAACGCGCAACTCAACGCTCAACTCAACGCAACTCAACGCTCAACTAAACGCAACTAAACGCAACTCAACGCAACTCAACGCAACTCAACGCAACTCAACGCTCAACTAAACGCCCAACTCAAATGATTGGTTGAGATTGTCGGCAAGTTAAAATAAATTGAAACATTTTTGCTCCCCCTTTTTTACTTCTACTTTTTTTTTCTCCTCCTTTTTTTTTAAACTGTTGTAAGTTTGTTATGGCAACTTCATCGAAGCTCATTACCATCGTAAACAAATGCTTCGAATGCGAAGGTTCAGTCTCTTCACCTCAGAGACTTCGAGAACACCTGAATATCCACGGTATATCTACACCTCGCAGATCTCTGGGATTCCGAAGAAAAAACAACCAGCAATATACCTTTGTGAAATGTGGAAACGGTCACGGTTTGATTGAAGCACACGCCGGTTGCCCAGCTTGTTCCGCGCATTATGCAGACGTAAAATAATTGAAAGACCATTTTTATATTTGTCATCGTCAATCATTAGCCGACCAACACCAGCTTACAAAATCACAGTCGACAGCACAACAGCATCAGAACAACGGTCAGAATCAAGAGCCGTCGCCATCGCGACAACGACAGGAAAGCAGCCGTGATCAAGAACAATCATCGTCACACCAGCATCTGAATGACGTCCATTGCATTACATCTCTTCCAAAGCGGCGCTCGAGCACAAGAGCTGAAGATCGCTATCTGGAGATGGAGCTGTTGGATCCAAAAGATTTGTCTTTTCCGCCTGTGGACTATGATGATCATTTTGTCGTTCAGCAGTTTGATGTGACAAACGCGATGTACGAATTCCAGTGTTCGATTTTACGACAAAAATGGAAGCTCTCCCTTGAAGATCATATACACCATGCTATGGCGATCAATTCAATTTTACTGCTATCACCAAATAAATATCCAGACAACTTGTCACCGCATTTCTGCGAAGCCAGCCTCAGAACGACCATGAACAAAATTAAATCCATTTATGGATTGAATTTGCCTCGTATGCAAATCAAAACTGTAACCAATATGATCACCATTATACAGGAACTCGATATCGAAGCAATCAGCCGCAGTCAAGCGATTGTGAAACTTCTGCAACTTGATCTTTTGCCACATGAACGCAAATTTGCCAATGGCCTGGCTGAGTTAGTTAAAAAGTTACCTCGTGTGCCAATTGAAGAGGATGTGAACGAATCCGAACTTATTACCCGATTCGTTGATCCGTTTTTATGCGGCCTGTTTGATGATCCTGAAGAAGGGGTATTTATTCGATGGACAAACGACATAACAGTCGAAGCACGAAAAAACGAAACCTTGTGGACACGTCGTCCCGATCTTACCGTAACAAGCTTGAAAGGTGTGAAATGGTCGACCAGCCATGGATACGGTGAAGTAAAACCAGTATGCCATGAAGCAAACAACTTTTTGTTGTCGAACGATCTGATCCGAGTGGCGATATTTTGCAAGAATGCCTTCGACGCACAAAACTTGGAGGGTATTCTAGGTTTGCAAATCATTGGACGATCCATTACCTTCTATCTCTTGGTGTTGCCATCCAATGGCCTTTATGTCATGTATGAATTAGGGACTCTCCAGCTACCGAATAACTTGTGTGATTTATGCAAACTGCTGATGGATATTCCACTTGGTTTGCTTGTCCTTGATGTCTTCCATCGACTCTGCATCCGCTCTGCCAATCCCTTTCAACCCTCGCGACACCGTCCAACTGTCCCTGAGTCCAATTTCGATGGCATCTTTTCAACTTCACAGGATCGCAAGCGGTCTTGCCATTTGAAGAAATACAACTAGGAGTAACGAATCTGATAAAATAAAGTAAGGTTGATGAATATCGTAAAAAAACAAGGTATCTTTAGTTTGCTACTGTTTTTGTAATACAAGAACGGACGTCTGCTCCCTATTCTTTTATTACAATGTCAAAAGAAGCGTGTGAGATTTTGACTTTATGAATCGATTGTTAATTGTAAATTAGGCGGTTAAGCGAAATGAGTCTCCTTTAATCCTTTATTAAAAGTGAGGGAAGATTCACAAGTCAAAGTAATTTTGGTTTATAAGTAAAAATCAGTGCTCAGTTATTTAAGTTCAGTACCAATGAAATACGTAGAATTAATATGAGTTATTCTTGATAGCTAATAGAGAACCCGTTGGCGAGTGAAAATTTAGAATTTTCATTCACTTTTGCTTTACCCGGCGATTTACATTCCAATGAAAAGATGTAAAATTTTAATGAGGGAGGCCATTTCATCACCAAATCTTTATTAAGAATTGAGCTTATTTCTCCACCTTCAAACTTAAGCATAATATAGTCAAGAGTCGTCTCTATATATCTACTTAAGAGAATAAGTCTTGGAAAGCCAAGTTTATTAAAATGTATCTCTCTCATGTTTGTCACGGTACTTATGTTTTCATCAACTGTGGTTGAGTTTTTCTTTTTTTTTTGACTGGGTTTCATTAATAATTCTTTTTTAGCAGTCTTTGTGGTATTAGAGAACCCGTTGGGATGTGATATTTTCAAAGTGGAAGTAAAAAAGGGGGAGTAAAAGTGTTTCAATTTATTTTAACTTCTTGTCGACAATCTCAACCAATCATTTGAGTTGGGCGTTGAGTTGCGTTGAGTTGCGTTTAGTTGCGTTTAGTTGAGCGTTGAGTTGCGTTGAGTTGAGCGTTGAGTTGCGCGTTTTTTTTTATTTGCATTGGATATTTTATAGTCTCTCTTTGTGGAGACACTTGTCAAAGCATTTAGCAGAATGAGAAACAAAGCCTTGGAAAGCACTAAAATAGAAGCTGTTACATGCTTCACTAATCCTTGTCATGAGCGTTTCTTTTTCCAAAAACTTATTTCGCTTAACTTTACTCTTGACGACTGACCAGAACTGCTCAATTGGATTTAGTTCGGGAGAATACGAAGATATACGTACCTATATCACTTGAGCTGTGGATAGGAGCGTTATCCATGCCAAGGTAATGTCCCTTCATATCGGGATACTTGTCCATTTCATCAAGAGTGGCCTTTAAAAAGCTCAGATAATGCCCTGTCACTGTTCCTATGCTATAGCCATCAGTTGAGCGTCAAATCTTTCTCTTTTTAATGCGTTTTGAAACTCTCAAACTGACATTGATTAAACCAGTTGCAGATATTGCACCTAAAATCGATGTTGCGTTTGCTTTAGTTGTAGGCACTGTAATTACGGCGGGAGTTCCCTTCTTTGACCAGGCCATACCTCGTTTCAAATTGATATGAAAGGCTGACTCCTCAAGAAAGACGCAATTTGTTGTGAAATCCAAGTCAGTTTGCTGCCACTTTTGTACCCAATGGTACCTTTGTTGAATCTTTTCTTCGTTGTTTCTTTCTACAGGCTGGAATTGCGCCTGCTTAATAGATAGATTGCACTCAGTTGTCATAAAGTTATAAATAGTGCTATGAGAAGCATTAAGATCCGCAAAATTTTGTGTTAAACTTTCTGCCACTTCAATTACAACAGCAGAAGGATTCTCATCAATGTAATTTAAAAGAAATTGCTTATGATCTTCTCCAAGATTACGACGCCGACCTGACTTTCTCTTCTTTTCGAAGATGCTTTCAGGGTCTTCGTAATAACGTTTAATCCATTTCTGTGCTGCTCGGACATGAAGATCCAATTATCTCGCAGCTGCAGAAGCATTCAAGCATTTGCTGAAAAATAAATGAAAAAATCGAGATTTATCGTCATCAGAATAAACTGTATAGCAGCGCTTATTGCATTGTTCCATATAAACATCCTCACTGCTCCTCTCATCAAAAACATGACCTTGTCTATCTTCATAGAAAAATTGCATACTCATCTTCAATGTCTGTAAAATAAATTGTAAATAGGAAGAAGAAAGTAAAATGGACACAGAAAATCGTCCCTTTTTTTTATAACAACAATTCATGCCAAGAAATTTTATTGGGCAATTAACTAAGCAACAAGTAAAAATAAATGAAGTTTGTAATATGAGCACAACTTTATATTTTTGCATGACATCAAACTCAAAATCAGCGACTTTACTTTCTGAAATGACTGTACTTACACAAATAATAAGATGCGGGTCAACATAAATGTATTGTGTCAACATTTGTAGATAAATAAAGTAAAAATGAGCTCAAAACAATTTCTAATGAATATATTTTTGTCTTGGCACTTTTTATTCCCGATAGTGAATAACTTCTTATTCTTATGACAATAGTAGTACACCCTACCTTTACTTCCTTATACAACGATCTTAATATTGAGATTATTAATGTAAGTATTTGGCATTTGAATAATTAAATACTCAAATCAATACAAGCATTATTATGTATGTAGACCATTTACATTTACATAGGCCATTTTAATTCAAGTGTTTAGATATCTGTATTTATACCTATAGCTCCCTCATAGTACTTAAACCACCTAAAATCAATAGTGGTGCCACAGAAAATCAAACATTGAATAAATAGGGTTCTTGTTTGATTTGCCTCTTTCTACATGAATAATAATATCAAAGCTTATTAATTTATTTAATTGTAAATATATTCAACATAGGTGCATATCATTTTGAAATTTGAAACAATATAAAAATAAATAAAAAAAACAGGCGGACTCTTATTACGTCCTTTCTTTTTCTTCTTCTTCTTGTATTCGATACTCTTTATGGAGCAACAGGTTCTAACAACTGCACTGCCTATGCTTATTCTAGGCTTGGGTTGGACAGGCCAATTCTTAGTTGAGCTCCTGAACGCAATCAACCTCAAATATGCTGCCACAACACGCGATGGCCGTGGAAATACAATCAAATGGACAATGCCATCGACATCTTATTGGGCAACCAACCCTACAGGCCTAACAAATCTTCCATCAGCACAAACAGTACTGATTACATTTCCGGTAATCAACACTTCTGAAATGACTGAATTTATGGATGCATATGAATCTGAGCATGGAAAGCCTCAATGGATCTTATTATCTTCAACCCGCCCATTCAATGGGACACCAAGTGATCGTCATGGCCCTATGGATCCTTCAAGAGGAACAGATCGTTCAGGCGCAGAAGAAATTGTCTTGTCACGTGGTGGAACTGTATTGCATCTTGCTGGTCTATGGGGTGCTGCAAGGTAACCTTACATACCCACACACAATTCAGTCTATTGTTTGTTTGTTTTTTATAATTTATAATTAATACTTATATATATCTGATAGACAGCCACGTCAATGGGTTTCACGTTTCCCAACTGAAGCTGCTATCCGTGCAAAGTTGCTTACTCGTCAATTGCATTTGATTCATGGAAAGGATGTGGCACGGGCCATTCTTGCAGTGCATGAACAATTCAAGAGCGGAGAGAGATGGATAGTAACAGACAAGGGTTGCTATGATTGGATCCGTCTCTTCTTAGCCTGGGGAAGCCCTGAGCAGATTGCGATAGCACGTTCTCTGGCAAAGAATGATGAGGTATGCCGCAATGCTCTCGGAGAAGGCACACTGGAAGATGTTGTTGCCCGTGGAGGTGTAGTACCAAGATTAAACTCTAATGAGTTTTGGGAGACTTTCGGAATCGAACCCACTGAGTATCTTACCATTGAGTAAGTCATATCTGTACACAGTAATATGACAAACAACATCGTATTTTTTTTCTATCTCACCACCTTATTATTAATTTTTGGTAAATACATTTATATGTGTTTGTTTGTGTATGCAATGTACATGTCCTTCAAGAGCCTAAAACGGTTCTCCTTATTATTATAGGCATTTTATGTGTGCAGCTGGAGTCGGGACATTTGAAGTCGAATTATAGTTTTCTAACAAGAGTTCTTTTCTTTGTGGACACTACAGTAATTTAGCTAAACTTACAGCTACTGACCATAGCTTTGCTAAATGGCAAGAAATACAAGTTGAATTCAAAAGTGTACGCTCTTTATTGGGCGACTTCCATTTCTCTCTTTCATTTCATTTGTATGTGTGCGCGTGCGTCTGTGTGTAGTGGAGAATAAAACATACCGACTTTTAAACCTATGGAACTGAAAGAAAGTTTGGGTGAATTTTTATTCTTATTTGCTTTGGAAATTCTAGACTTATTTATCTGTATAGAGAGGAGAAGTACAAAGATGCTGAGTCTATGATGAGGAGAGAGCTATTATTGCGCGAATAAGAAACAAATATAGCATTGTCGGTTTCCTTTGGTTACTTTGACTAATCTACATATTTACTTTCCAACAATTTCACAAACGCGTATAGCGAAACTCAAGGACTGCCTTTTATTTTTGCTGTTGTGAGTTAACGTCTATGCAAAAAGAAAGAATGAGGCAAACGTATATTAATTTTATGGTCACCCCAGGTTTGAAGTTAATAAAATGTAACGCACGGTGTATAAACCTGTCAAGACTACAAATCAATTGTGGAAACGTATCATCAGCCCCATTAGAAACGTGGTCTTGTAAGAGCCCATTTCTTTGTGCAAGCCAGCGAAACACATATAGCACAAAAGTCCAAAAAAAATTAGAATGAAATGAAACGGATTTTGCAAGTACAACCCAACATTTAGTAAACAAGGTCCTCTTGGAGATTTCTAGACCAACACCTTGACATTTTAAGAGAAATATTGAATTAGATAAAGCTCTTTTTAGGCTTTTATTTTTCATTACTAAATAGTAGCTTAAATATATATAAATATATTGACTTTAATTATGGTACTTTTAATTCCTTCTCTTTAACCTATTATGCGCAAGTTCTATTGATAGATTATATTCTTTTTACTACTTTTCTACTATAATACGAGAGGGGGGTTTTTTTTAGATGTAATTTGTCGTTGGTATAAAGCTGGGGTCCAATAAATCCCTGAGCTCTTTACATATCCGACTATGGCTGTACTTTGGCAGCTCAAAACATTTGCCGTGTATAAGCATATAAAAGGGGGTACTCAGCCAGAATCTTGGAAAAACAATTAAAACCAAGACTAAAATATTATTGGACTGCACCTTTTTTTTCTTATTCGTCTGATCTTCCTTTCTCTGAGCCCATTGCTGAAGCTGATTCCACCGGACAGCCACACAAAGAGAGGGACCAACAACTTTTTGCTTATAAGAAAAGAAATTCCTTCCCGCTTCACATTCCCGGTCGAGGGAGGCTGCTTATCCAGCTTATACATATATATATATATATTACATATACGAGAGTCTAGATAAACTTTTTTTTTCAAACAAGATGACAAACTCGCCACTGAATATCAAAGACATCATTGCAATAAGAAAACCAGAATTTTTATCTAGATGTTTCTATTGTTGCGATCTATATTTCAGTTAATAAGTACTCTGATTTTTGTCGTGGTACTCTATTCATATGTACCTATTATTATTATTATTATTATTATTATTATTATTATTATTATTATGCTTTCAAAGCCTTTGCAAGTGACTTTGTTAACTTTTTCAGCAGACTTCCTTTGGGGGGTTTTTCTTTTATTCTATGCGTGCCTTTTAGCAACATACGACGTCTTTGGTAAATAGACCAGACCTGACTCCAGTTCGTTGGAAGAGGGTTTGGCAGAAATCTATCCTATACCACTGTCAAAATATCTAGCAAAATTCTACGTGGAACTGCATCCCTACTTGTGCTTGACTCCACTACATCATTGCCTAATCCTAAGGAGGACGCCGTTTTGATTTTTACCAGACCACAAGTTGTGACCTTCTATCCGGCATCAAGTAATTTTATCTGGTCCCTAAGGATTCATACCTGTGAGAATAAAATTGCTCTAATACAGGGCAGTACAATTGAATGTTAGTTCTCAAGAGATGAGTATACAATAGAAAAGAATGTTTTGTATTCAGATATTGAAATGATGATTTTAGGACACGCCGTTTTGCCTTGAAGGATTGAAAAAAAAAAAGACAGCGGACCTCGGACGGGTAGCTTACAATTTATTAGTCTGGCAAAATGGAAACGACGTGTCCCTAAGTTTACTGGCTGCTAACAAACGGCCAATTAACTTCTAGTCAGCGACATTTATTTTTAGGTAACTGGTTTCTTTTTTTTTCATTTTTTTTTTCAGAACGGACAAAATTTACCAGCCGCACTATAGATTAAAAATAAAGACGAATTTATTTGGACCTATCGAGCTAATAGAGGGATATACTATTTATGGTTACCTTGCCCTACCAATGCGCTCGTCCTTCCAATTTTATTGCAATCGTTGTACGTACGTATTTGCGTACGCGTGTGTATTTTATATATATATATAATTTTCTATATATTATTTATAAACAGATGAAAATGAAACACATGTTTCAAATTAATGAGATTATTATTATCTTTTCATTTCGATATATATATATATAAGAGGGGTTAAAGACTGGCTTGTTTAACTTGAGTATTAAGAAAACCAAATGTATGGTTTGTTACGCTTGTAATATTTTTCCATTTAAAGAGATTTGTGACCTGACTTTTTTTTTGTTTTTTTGTTTTTTTACAAGAGGTTTAATACAATTATGGGCTGGGTATAAGGCTGTCCTGCCGCACAAATACATTGTATTTCACCGATTATATATATATATATATATATTTATTTATTTAACATAAATAGATAATAAGGGGGGATACGTCATCTAGATGTAGTTGAATAGAAAGGTACGCTTGATACACAATAAGTATAAGAGTATAGGCAATTTACATGCAATACTTAAAGGGGAAGAGGAGAAGAAGAAGGTGAGGTGAGGTGAGATGAGGTGTGGCTGTGGGTAAAACAGAAATGTAATAAGAGTAATAGAGAAAAAAACTGTATAGGTAAAATACATAGATATACATATACATATACATAGATGTACATATATGTATATATTATGCTGCTTGAAATATATATATATATATATATATATATATAATATACGTGTCTTTCTGTCCTAGTTGCTGCTTGGTTTTCTGCTGCTGTCACAATTTAGTGGGCTTGTTTTTGTATTTTAGCCCCGCATACTTTCTCGCTTTCTCTTCTTTCTCTTTCTCTTCTTTCTCTCTTTCTCTCTCTTTCTCTTTTACTTCTTTATATATATATACTTTATATATTATATATCATACATTTCTCCTTGTCGTCAAGGAACCTGTCTTTCTGTCCTTCTATTTTAATAAGAAAATATGGAGCTTCCCTGGGCATCGGATACTACCGGTGCTGGGACGCATAATTTCATACCAAACACCACAACTCTTCCACCTTCAACCAGGTAAAACTAATATATGAATGAAGAAGAGAATGGAACAAACCGAAATATATAATAATAATAATAATAATAATAATAATATATGAAAAAATAAATGAAAAAATGACTAATACAAAATATATAAAATAAAAATAAAACATATATAATTATTTATTATTTATTATTGGTAAAATAGAATTACCGTAGAAGACACCAGCACCAGTGCCGCCGGGCTTTCTTATCCAACTACAACAGGCCATCGGATGCTCAGACGCCCACGCGCTGACACAATGCCTTCTCAGGCCTCTTTTCCGTATCCGCCAATGTTCGGCGGTCTTGCACCTGTCCAGGCAACCAGACATCGTTCAGGGTCTGTCAACCTCCCTTCAGACCAGTCCGAAGATCTTAGTGAAGCATTCTATGGTGCAAGCTACACTGCCTTACCCCTGGACGACGATCCCGATGCAGATATCACTATTGCAAGCACTATGGCGTCTCTAGGTCTCAACGATGAAGACATCGATCCACAAGAAGAAGCTCGGCAGACCTTTGTCACTCCACCCGGTCTGTCCGTTCCTCACAATTCATTCTTTAACGGAACCGCCACAGGAGGAACCAACGGAGCCAGTGTAGGCAGTGGAGTAGGAGCCGCACAAGCCGCAGGAGGTGTAGGAGGTGTAGGAGTAGGAGTGTCAGGAAATAATACGACAAGCGATTCGCCAATGACTCGTAATCGAGCCTACACTGTAGCTACGCGTGCACCTCTCGATCGACCCGACCTCAATCGGATTGCACCCGGCCTCAACTTCAGCCCCTTTTCTCCTCAAACCTTGAATGCAGTGCAGACAAGACCAAGAGCCACGAGCATGGGAATGGCCGATGGAGCAATGATGAATTCATTCTCTCCATTCGACATCAATTCATTCCAGCAGCGCATTCCGACTCGCTTCCAACCTCCCCAGGTGGTTGTCTCGGCTGAGCCAGAACAACCGGAACACACATTGCGCAATACATACAGCAGCGGAAATCTTTTTGATATGAACCGCGACATGACGTTTGCTCCAGTCAACAACAGTCGCAGGCCTTTCCGCCGTGTGCCTTCTCACGAACAGCTGGATAGATTGCCAGAATCAGACAACACTAATGTAAATATCATCTCATATCAGCATAAAGAAGAACAAATGCTCCCCTCTACTCCTCTCCCCTCAAGAACATATAGTTATAAATCAAGTGATACACACACACACACACATATATATATATATATATAATAAGGGGAAGGGGAAAAAGGGAAGTAGTGAGGGATGTATATGTGTGTGTGTGTATACAAAAAGGAAAGGGGGAAGACTGTAAATTTGTGTAGATTTTTTTTTTATTTTTTTTTTTAGAAAAATGGATAATCTTTCTTTCGATCTTTCCGTACGCGCGTGGAACTCATTGTCATGGTTGTGATTTTTTTAATAGGATTTTTATAGTGGTTCTGATTCATTTACTGTATGGTCTGGGTTCGATACGTCATCGCCTGGAACACAGATCCCTTCGCGTGCACTATGGCTAGGAAATGTGAACCCAAGCTTGAGTGTACCTGATCTGATTCAGCTCTTTTCTTGTTACGGAACTGTCGAAAGCGCAAGGATTTTGTCAGATAAGGAGTGTGCATTTGTAAACTTCTCAACAGTGGAATCTGCCGTGGCTGCAAAGGCAGATCTTGAGACCAGACTTGGCAACAAAGTTGCCGGGACTCCTGTACGTGTAGGTTTTGGAAAAGCAGACGTCAGTATTGCCATGGCTCTCACAAACGAAGCCGGTCCTAATGCCCAAGGTCCCACGCGTGCTCTTTGTAAGTATTTTGAGAAACATTTCTTCGACTTCTTCTTTTTTGTTATTGTTTACAACTAACTCTTTGTATACGTACACACACACAAATATATATATATATATATATATTTATACATAAAAAAAAGGGGTGGGTAATATTCCGGCAAATATAAACCCTGCTCTCTTGCGTGCTTTGTTTCAGACCTATGGACCCATCGAATCTGTGCGTGTATTGTCCCACAAAAACTGTGGATTTGTGAACTTTGAACACCAGGAAGATGCAGTCAAGGCAAGAAAGTCACTCCAGAACAAGGAGGTTCTCGGACCAGGCACAGGACCTGTGCGTATCGGATTTGCAAAGGTTCCAGCCACTCCTTCTGAGGACAGCCAAGGAGATGAATCCGCACCTTCAACAAATCCTGGTTCCAACTCTCCTAGCACCAGTAACACCGATGTAAACAGTAGCACTGTCAATGCCTCGAGTGCCACTACGACCAACTCAAACAATGGTGTCACAACAACAACAACAACAACAACAACAGCTGCATCAACAACAACAAAAACAACAAAAACAACAGCTGGGACTAATAATAGTGCCACCACCGCTAACAGTAATACCAACACCAACAGTAATGGTAATATCAGCAGTAGTAACAGCAGTAGTAGCGGAAACAGCAATGGGAACAGCAACAACAAAAGCAACGGAAACATCAACGGAAACAGCAATGGCAACAGCAACAGCAAAAGCAACAACGTCCTTAATAACCTTAACAGCCTCAACAATCTTAGCAATATCAACAGTACTATCCCACAAATTATAAGTAAGGCAGGCACACCTGATAATTATCAAGCTACTCAATGGGCAACCGCAATGATGATGACAAGCATGATGATGCGGGCCTCGGGACAACCGCAACCCCTGTCGTCCTCTCAACCCACAAGCTTGTATACAGCTATTGCAGCCGAGCGCTGCTTTATTATGCAGCAGTTAGGATGTGTAGGATCTCTTGATGAAGAAGGTAAATTGTTTATTTAGATATATACCTCGAAGCAACCCATAATACACTTTCTATAGTACATATAATATAATCTTCTTAGCAAATTAAAAAATTAAATTAAATTAAATTAAATTTATAAATCTAATGCCCTGGATTTTATAGAAGAACGTGCACCAGTGACCTACTCATCTGCAATTCCAATTCTTCCTGAAATTGGTGCTGATCGTCACCTGGAGCCATTGAGACTAAGGGAGATGCGCAAGGGATTGGATTCTGGACAGGGATTGTCAGAAGTAGAAAGCATGGTGGACGAGTGTATGGACGAGATTGTTGAGCTTTGCAGTGGTAAGTCTTTGTGTGTGTCTTTTTTTTTTAAAAAAAAAAGAAGTATCAAATTGATTGAATGATTCATTGATGAAATACTTATATGTGTTTGTTTGTTTCTTGGGGGATGAATTGATTGTTTAGATTACGTTGGTAATACAGTTATTCAAAAGCTGTTTGAGTATTGCACTGAGGACACCAAGGAAAGAATGCTTAGTGCCATTGGACCTTACCTGGCATCGATCGGTGTACACAAGAATGGTACCTGGGCAGCTCAAAAAATCATTGATTACGCCCACACCGAGGGACAAATGCAGCTGGTGTGTACGCATGTAGCACCCTACGTGCCTCTGTTGCTGCTGGATCAGTTTGGAAACTACGTGGTGCAGTGCTCCTTGCGTATGGGACCCGAGAAAAACCAATACATCTTTGATGCTATTGTAGACAAGTGTTGGGAGATCGGACAGGGTCGTTTCGGTGCGCGTGCAGTGCGTGCAATTCTCGAGAACCCTGTGGTGACCAAGAAGCAGCAAGTGTACTGTGCAGCCGCAATTGTACAGAATGCAGTCTTGTTGACCACCAACACCAACGGAGCCTTGTTGCTACTGTGGCTACTAGACACATCCGAATTACCTGGGCGTTACCGTGTACTTTGTCCTCGGCTGTTGCCTTACCTCACCAAGCTATGCACGCACAAATTGGGTTCGATGACTGTCTTCAAGGTCATTAGCCAGCGCCAGGAGCCCGATGCTAGCCAATTGCTGCTCAATGCGATCTTCAATGACTCTAGTCTCCTCGAAGAAGTTCTCCGTGACCAGGTGCACGGTGTCGGACTTGTACAGAAAATAATTGCCCTCCCACATCTTGAGAAACGCGCACAGATGGTGGCTCAGGTCAAAGAAATCCTCGGACATCTAAAGATCTCTCCGACTTCCCAGAGCTACCGTAAACTACTGGAGGGATTGGACGAGACCCCCGAGGAAGATCCTGAAGAAGAAGGTGAAGGTGTGCCTGTAGAAGATCAGAGTACTGCTAGTGTAGGACTAGAGTGGCTACAAAACCCACAGGCAGTGGCCATGATGGCCAATATGTACGCAGCTGCCATGACAGCTGCAGCGTCTACTATGCAGCCCGAGTATCCTCAGCAGCAGCAAGTAGCAGTCAATCCGCCGCTACAGCAAAGCTCGCCGGTGCAGGCAGCAGCAGAACAGCCTCGGCCTGCTGCAGATTTACCAGACATGGCACAGTTTGATCAGTTGATAAAGTCACTTTTACACTCGGGAAATACCAATACACCAACCACAGAACCGTCCCCAAAGACAGAGGAACAGGAAACAGAGGAAAAACAGGTCTGATAGGCTTTTTATACGGTTTGTGAGTTTGAGTGCGAGTGTAAGCATGAGTGTAAGCATGAGTGTGAATGTAAAGCATTGTGCCCTGGCTTTTATTTATTTTATTTTATTCCTACTTCTTGGCACATCATTACTATTATCAACATCGACATCGACATCAACTTGCCTTCTCTCTTCTCTCTATCTCTCCCTATTCCCTCCCCCCTTTCCCTTTCTTTATTTCGTACAATCCAAAACAACCTCTTTATCAATTGTCCTTTCTTTGCATTTTCCATTTCCATTGTCAAAATTTGTACACAGTTTTCATGTTTTATTCTTTCCATTTCATTTTTCCTTTTTCTACTAATTTTTCTTCTGTTAATGGACACCAACTCTCTCTCTCACACACACGCACATATACACACGCACACGATGAAAAAAAAAAACAAAACAAAAAACAAAGTCAAATAATTTCTATTGCTCTTTATGATGTTGTAGATGCTAGAATCGCTTCTCCATCTTCCCTTCCTTCTTTTATTTTTCCTTTTTTTTTTACTATTATATTTTAATTGTCATTTTAACAATGTAAATACCAGTTCTTTAACAACAAAAAATAAAAACAAAAATAAATAAATAAATAAAAAGTGATTAAAAATTTTTTTAGAACCTAAACAAAATGAATGAACAGGGTCAATTTTATAGTATTAGTTTCCTCAGGTAGAGTATGTTCATAGCAAAACGAAACACAAAAAGTTGTTGGCCATCAAACCATTATTCTTGCAAATCTTTAAACTTTGGACTATAGGCTTAAGAATTTTGATTTTACTTTACAAAGACCAAATCTAGTTATAAGCCTTGTATTCCTCCTTCTTCTTTATCATTCTTATTATTATAAATTAAAAGATATTCAATTATCTTGGCTTTGTTTTTGTTTTTGTTTTTTTGTATTATTATTTTCCGGCCTGAGGCTTTTAGCCTCATAGTAATTGGTGAAAGCTACATAAAAATTAAAGGTTGCCAAGCTTCAATTCAGAACTCAGGTATTGAATTTTTCTCTTTCTTTCTTTCTCTCTCTCAAAAAAATTTCTTACGGAATATATATATGTATATATATATCAATCTGGTACCTCTGCCTCAATCTCTCTTTTATTTCTCCGTCTTGTCATGCTATTTATCTACCTAGACTGTATTTATATTCGCCACATCTTACACCAAATGGCGTGTACATTAGACAAAGGACTTTGCTTTCTTTGATAACACGCTTTGTTCCTAAAGTCGGTTCAGTCAAAGGCGAGTTCACTGCTATCCAAAAGAAGAAATGAAGCGCGTCACTTCGCCACAAGCTTAAATAAACTTTATTTTTCTATGTCACATTCATTTTAAACGACCGCACATTTATATATATATATATATGTATGAATTATAATTTTATGAATTTATTATATTGCCAAAGGTATCCGAAATAGAACTACCATTTCACCTCTTGATAGAAATTACATGACCATCTGAGGCGTGAATATGTCTTTGATTATTACTACCAAAAAAGAAAAAAGAAAAGGAAATCTATCCAATTATATTAAGCCAACCTCTTTACTGAAAACAAGATTTTTCTTTAGGATAAACTTCTTGGGCTAATAGGAATAGTAATGTCTTTGTTAGACTTTTTTTTTTCTTTTTCAAAAGACATATCATTAGTCTCTCTATATCATATATACATAAATATCCGTTCATTAGTTTATCTTTTCTGTGACTCGTTTCAACTTTTTTTTTCTACCTCCCCCTTTTTTTTTTCTGGATTAAATTCTGGCTTTCTCTTTCAGATTTCTTCTTCTTCTTTGGTTTGGTTCCACTCCCCTTCTTTATTTCTTCCTTTTTGCTAGAGTTATTCTTCATATTAAGAAACTCAATATATAATACCTAAATGGCTGCCTCATTTACATCAAGGCGTTCGTCATCAGCATCATCACGCCTACCAACTCATTACTCAAAAGACTCAAAAGCTGCCTTTGGGAGCGGTATGGGAATGAGTCGACGATGGTCATTCCGATGCGTCACTTTATCTATTCTGCTGCTCTTCTTCGTACGCCACTTGATAGTAACTGGTCCGCGCGGTGAAGAAACAGAGCCGTCGTCTTCTTCCTCCTTTACTGAGTTAGAACTTGCCCAATCTGTTCAGCTCAGACCTGCTGGCACACGTATCCCAAAGATCGTTCATTTTGTGTACGGGCTGCGTGGACCTGACCCCACGCTCGACCTTATCCACTATCTCGCCATCAAGTCTGCACACGACACTATTAAGCCAGACAAAATATTCCTTCACTATCACTACAGACCAATTGGAGAAAACTTCGAGCGCGCCCTTCCACTCATCACTTTGCACCAAATTGATCTGGTCACAAACGTGTTTGGACGCCCGGTATCGCACTATGCTCACCAATCAGATGTCGCCCGGCTTCAGATATTGGCTGAACACGGTGGCATTTATCTCGATCTCGATTTGATATCTCTTCAATCTGTCGATCACCTCTTGGATCATGATTTTGTTATGGGTCAAGAAGGCCAAGGTAAAAAAAAAAACAATATATATATATATACACACACACAATAACTTGGAATATAAATCCTAAATATCCAATAGGTGGCTCAGTGGGACTTTGTAATGCCATGATTATGGCACGGCCAAACGCCCATTTTCTGCAGCGTTGGTACGCTACATATTCGTCATTTGAAGAAAAGGACTGGAACTTTCACTCGGTTGTCTTGCCTGGCAAACTCGCCCCGTACTTTAAATCCGAAATCACCGTTCTTGATCACACATCTTATTTCTGGCCCTTGTGGGATGGCCCTGGATTGCGCACTCTTTATCTCGAGAAATCTTATGATTTCAGCCAAAATCTGGGGACCCACATCTGGGAGTCTGCTGCAAACCATCACCTCATGAAAGACATCAACGAACGGGTGATTATGTCTATTGATACCAGTCTTTACTGTAAAATACGCCCCTTCTTACTTGACGGCAAACCCGATCCTCGTCCTGATGCGTGCCGTATCATCCAAAATTCTGAAAGAGAAGATAAGCTTGGTGAGTAATTAAAATTTAAGATAACGTTTGGTGAAAAAAAAAAGATGTATATGTATATATTGTTCTTATCTTTTATTCTTGTCATCTTTCTTTTTTCCAAAAACAAAAGTGGGTTACTGGTCACTTGGACTGCCTACCGACAAGAAAGAATGGATCAACCCAATGCCTGCCACTGACACCTCTGGAAACAGTCTCAATGGACTCATTCGTAATCCGGGCCACATTCAATCCAAGGAGTCTGGCGTACATCTTACAGGGAATGCTAGCTACGTCTTCCTTCCTATGCCAGTTGCGGCAAAGATCGATCAGATGACTGTGAGTTGGTGGATGAAGACCAATACAACAAAGGAGGGCGGGGCTGCGTTGGTGATCCAGACAGAGCATGGCAAGGTCTATGTAAAGACAGAAAAAGTCGATGTTGGGAAGCCAAATGCAAATGCGATCTCACTTGGACTGTCGACGGTTGTCCGTGACTCGGATTGGGTGTGGCATGTGCTCGATGAAGAAAGGGTGCCTGCAAACCCTTATTCGATCAATCTTGACCGTGCCTATCATCACTATGCACTTGTTGTTGACCGTGAAACGCTCACTGGTGGGCCAAAGCTGGTGTTGTATATGGACGGTTATGTGATTGCCAGCAAGCACGACTGGAATTTTCCCGAAATGAGAGCTGGGTCTGCTGTGCACGGTGTCTGGCTTGGATCAACAGAGTCAGAGAATACCAATTACCAAGATCCTTGGGACAACTCATCTAGTTTGGACTGTTATGTTGAGCATGTGCGAGTTTGGGAAAAGGCTCTTGGACCAGACCAGGTTCAGAAACAGATTAAGATCGATACATTGATACGGGACCAAAGCACGGTGGTTGACAATGGACAGGAAGTACAGGAAGATTCACAAAAAGACGAATCATTAGAGCAGTTTAAGAACAAGGACGCGGATTTTAATGGCTGGAATCCATAGATCGCATTTATACATATAACATTTGTTTTTAACCAGTCAATAATTGAGGTTATTATATATATCCACACACACACACACATATATATATATATATATTATTGAATTTGCATGTTTTTTTTTTCTATCACTCACTCACTCACTCATTACTACTACTACTACTAATATTATTATTTATTAATATACATATAATTTCCTTTTGCTTTTCACTAATAAATAACTCTACGCAGCTATGTTTTGTAATATATTTTGGGGTACTACAGGTTTTCTTTCTTACTCCCACCCCCAATAGTTAAGTAGTTGAATTATTTTCCTTTGACGGTAATTCAACTACATTCTCATTACATTTTATATTGTACGACTACAGTTATTGGTATAAGAATAGTGATAGTATATATAATATGACTATCAAGCTTATAACAATGGTAAAATAAGCAAGTAAATAAAAGTAAAGGGTTCCATCTATCTATCTATCAATAAGTAAATGTCTACATACATATATACTGGTATATTGACTGACTGATAGATAGATAGATAGTAATCGCAAGGACTGTGAAAGATAGGGCAGGAAACCACGGGTATTTTGCTTTATATTTTATTTCACATGTACGCGCTTGATTTGTACTTCATTCAAAAGGGGGGCGGGCTTTTGTAGGTTGTGCACCGACCAACCCGGAGTCGAGGGTTGTGGCTGTATATGGAAATATAGAGTGGGACAAAGCACTTGGAAATATCCACCACTCACACACTTTGCACACTCATTATACAAAGTCAATCCTCCCCTTTTATTTTTATTTTATTTTTCCATTAGTTTGATTTTGTTGTTTGTGACATGATGGCAAATGAGATTTGGAGGTCAATCAGTCTTGCAAAGAAAAAAAATTTCTAATGGCTCAACGATGAGCCAGCTCCCATTCCATTGTGCTTTATAATTATTATTTTTTTGGCTGATACTGCTTTACTATATTACACACATACAAATGCTTTACCTTTCCGATTCTTTCCATTTCCTCGCTTCCTATTGGACAATCTTTTTTTTTTTTTTTTAAAAAAAAACTTTTTTTTGTTTTGGCTGCCCTTTATTAGCTTAAACGCCTATAGCTATTTATCAAAATGAAAATAAAAAGATTATTATTGTTATTTTTAAAGGAAATATACTACACTATACGCGTAGAGTGTATACATATTATACGACCTAATTCCAAAGGAAAGATCTTTAAGATCTACATAGTAGCTTGATTAGCTAGGCTGTATATACATAATAATTTACCATAAAATTAAATAAAATCAAGATAAATCAACATTAATTGGATCTGATATTTTTTTTTTCAATGATTACCAAACAGACAGACAGTGAATTGTCATGTTTGTGTATATTTTGTAGTATATAATTCCAAGAAAATATACCAAACTTATAAGATAGAGAGAGTATATGACTCATTTATACACATAATCAGTCAGTCAATCATTTTATATCATTGTTCAATTTGCACAATATGTTATTTATGTTTGTATGGTGTTTATGTATGTATATACATTTTTATTTTATTATTGATAACAAGTAATAGGGTATAAAATATGGATTTCAGTAGATTTTCTATCTTATATATTTTTAATATTAAAAAAAAAAATTAAAATAATAGTAAAGAGGCTCCACAAGGTTTGGGGGGATAACAAAATGATAGATGGGGCTGTACATTAAAGAGTATAAAGAGGTAAGATGAAATGATGAAGTTGTAGTCGGTAGTATGACTTTGGGGTTTTTTTTGCGGTAATAAGGAGGACGTGGACATGAGAGATAAATGTTGACGTGAATGTGTGGCTTGTTTCTTTTTTTTTCTATCGTTTAAAATTTTAGGCACCAGTGTTGGTAGGGTCAACGCCGTGACTGTGAGAGAAACGGCCACCCATGGGATCATAATAGTGACCGACGACATCGGGACGTTTGCTTGCACACATGGGATCATAGAGGTATTTCTTCATTTTGGGAGAGGTAACTGACATCTCGGCCTCGTAAATTGATTGGGCAGGAGAAGAGGGGTGGGATGAAACCTGGTCATCTTCGTCTCTGAAGACAAAGGGGTTCTTGATGAACTTGGGAACGTGGAAAGAGAGACCCATTTTTTTGTGTTTGTATTAGGTTTGATTAATAGAGAGAAGCCAAAGGGCAAAAGAATAATAAAAAGAAAAAGTAGTATGTAGATAGAGTTGATAAAGAGGAGTGAAGTAATAATTCCAAGAAAAAATAGAAAGGGACAAGAAGATGGAGGGGGGGGGTATTTATATGAAATGCGGATTTCTGTCAAAACGGTTAGCCGTACACCTCCGCCATACCTGGTCTGCCCGCAATCTTTGAACAATAGACTATTTGTTTTTGATATGAAATCGGGCTGGAAACCAAATTCAGCATAAACGTTTTGGCAACCCGATTCCTTAATGCTCGATTTTATAAAATTAGATTTACAATTCTTTGTCTGATCTTTGATTTGATTATTCGGATGAAATCAGCCATGTGTCATTTACTTCTTTACCATACAAATCACCTCTTTAATAATTACCATTACAATTGCAATTATTTTTATTCTTATTTGCTTAATAATTCCAATTTACTCATGCATTATTGATAATTATATTAAGAGTATATTTCATTATAATACACTTGCACAATAAAATACTATTCCTCATTATCATCACCATGTCAGATCAAATCAAATCAAATCAAACAATTACTATACACACACATAACTTGTATACAAAGAAAAAGGGGGTGGGGGAAAAGGAGAGGAAGAGAAAGGAAGGGGAAGGGGAAGGGCGGGTGGAACGTAGGGTTTGATGGCTAAGGGTTTAGACCGTTAAACTCAGATTTGTCGGGTGTGAGGTAAGGAAAATCCAGGTGAGTGAATGAGGGCGATCATTTTATTTTCCTTTTTAGGCTGATTTCCCATTAGAGTGTTTCCACTCTTCTTTTTATATATATATGTATTTCACATGAGTCTGGACAAAAAAAAAGTGGGACACCTTCTTTTGTTGTAGAGCTCCCTTATTTTGTTTGTCAAGATTTAATAAATCTGTAAAAATATATTAATAAAGCATAATGTGCCCATTGAAGTTGAGGAGCCTAACGACACGGTTTATGGGAGGACACCCCACCAAAAAGAAATAAAAAAAAAATTAAAGAAGTATAACGTACAATAACTATTCGGATGATGACCAACAAACTTATTTCTTCTTAATTCAAAAGAAATTTATGGCTCCTTCTCAAGCTATCAGAGCTGGTAGTTTGGGTAAACTTGGTGCTAACACCAACACCCTCTCTATTGTCAACTGGCCATCTGAAGAGGCCTGATATATATACATATATACATATATATTTTAGTTGGAAGAGCTGAGAATATTAAACAGCCAATAAATAATATATGGCTTAACAAGTCGATTTAGATGAGCAGCTGTATTGTAGGATTTAATTCAAGTGAGCACCAGCTTATGAGCATTGGTGGACCCAAGATTGACCGACATAGTTATGTTCCTTTGCTTGTTGTATCCAAGCCAGTAGGATACAGTAGATCTGTGTTTTCAACTTGAACATGAATAATTAACTCCACATTTTCAATTGTTATCAGGTAAACTGTGCCTATTGTAATTTCCACCCCCCCTTTTTTTTTCGCAGTGAAGAAAAAGATAATCGTCTACTACTGACACTTCGTACATCTCTAAAACAAGCGTACTTCATTGAATGCTTGGCTGTATCTACTTTATTGAAAACTAGAAGATTTGGAGAATCTATAAACTCCTGATTACTAATAAATAACACTAGAAATTGCTTTTATTCTTGATGTATCCCTCTATACATAGCATACTATTTGTGTAAAACAAAATTAAATTATAGTTAAATATTATTGGCTGTGATTCTTAGACTATTTTCTTTATTTGGATAATTACTTAAAGCAAGAATCGTGACCAATCAGAATAGACTTTACTTTACTTTTTTACGAATTTTGAAAGTTTACTTGGAAATATGTTACGCTTTGAGAGAGAAAGGGAGAAAGAAAGAAAAAAAAGAGGGACGGGTGGGTGAAGAAAGTGGAGGTGAACGTAGACGTAGATGTAGACGTGGTTCTCATTTCTGGTGATATTAAATTGGATTCTCTCTCCTATTTTGTCTCACAAACACGCAAAAACTGTGTTTGTTATCATTTTTGGTTTGACTTGATTTAGACATTCCTTGTTCTTATTTGTTTGTTTGTGTGTGTGTGTGTTTTGGTTTGATTTTTTTGGTAACAATTTATTTAATTGAAAAGAAGAAGAAGGAAATCGAAAGAAATAAAAAAAAAAAGAAAAGCAAAATACAAAAGATGTAAATAAAAAATGAAGAAAATAACAACAGCTGCAAATATAAAAGAAAGATAGATAAATAGATAAATAGATAAATAGGTAGATAAAAAGTAGATAAAAAGTAGATAAGGGTAAGAAAGATAGTGAATAGATAGATAGATAGATAGATAGAGAGGAGAGAGGTTTTGTACGGGTATTGTGGTGAAAGCGAGGGTGAAGGTAAAGGTAAAGGTAAAGGTAAAGGCGAGAGTGGGTATTTGTGAATGGCGGGCAAGAAGATGAAGGATAATTGAAAAAGGAAGATATGTGAGTGGAGTAATTGATTGATTGATTAATTAATAATTAATTTCAGACCCTTTGCAGAACAGCATCTTCTGAATGACCAAGCAAAGGTAAAGTTCTGTCTTCCAGCTGTATGTGGTTTCTGGATCTTACAGACTCTACAGTGTTTGCCAAGAGTAACTCTGAATTGCTGCTTTCGTTGGTGACAAGTACTTCGGTTTTCCAGGTCCTGAGCAATTGTTGGCACCGTTCTTTAATGCTGTATTCATTCTCACCCTCGTAACTGTAGGAGCATGCAGCCTTGACAACTTTACCCATCTTTGTTTCCTGTAAGCTTTTTGAATAAATTTCCAAATGATAACAGTACCTCAAAGACCAGAAAATAATGACAGTTATTATACCTTTAGCAAGTGATAGTTCATATGAATGTCCTCAATCTCTTTAATAACCAAATTGATCTTGCTATAATCTTCTTTTGGAATCTCGCCCTTTAATTTTTTTTAAAAAAAAACAGCAGATTTGGTTTTTAGTATTAGAACAAATTCACACACTAATTGTATTTCTTTTAGATGTATAGCTAAAATTAACTGCAACCACAACCTACAGGCTTCTTGCAATAAACCAGCTTTTGTAGCTTGTGCCGGATGTGATAAACCTTTTTAAACACTTGCTTTTCAACCGAATCTGCTTGGTCAATATCCAAATCCCGCCCTTTAGTATGTTCATTAAGAATCGGTTGCTGATGTTTGTGTTGTTGTCTGTGTTGTTGTCTGTGTTGTTCATCCTGTCGTTGTTCCTGTACCTGTACCTGTATCTGTTCATGTTCCTGTGCTTGTGCCTGTGCCTGTGCTTGTGCCTGTTCCTGTTCCTGTTCATGTTCATGTTCATGTTGCTCTTGATGTTGATATTGTTGTTGTTGAGCTATAGGCGCTGGTACCGGTGCTGGTACTGGTGATGGTGGATCTGGTCTGATTGCAGGTATGCTACCAAGACCAAGACCACCATCAAAACCATTACCATATCCAACTCCAGCTCTACCAGCTCCATTCACATTCCCATTTGAGCTTGATTTAAACTGAATCCCATTTATGATTTCATTTAATTTCATTTAATTTAATTTCATTTCATTTATTATTATCAATCAATCAATCAATCAAATAAATAAATAAATAAATAAATAAATATTTATTGGTTACCAAACTACTCTATCGAAGGACACTACTTGTAACATTCAACTTACCCTCTTAATATCTTTACTAGACACCTCTTCGGTATCATCACCTTTGACTTGTTTGCGATACTGTCTCTTCTTGGGTGGCTCGTCTGGTTCATTAGTCCCCGCTTTTTCCTTTTTAGCTCTTTTCCTTTTAGTCTCAGTCTTTTTGGGTGCGTCGGCTTTCTTCCGGGTGGACTTTTGGTGTGATTTGGATGGTGGGGACGGTGGCGATGCTGGGGACGGTGACGGACTGTCTTGATCCGGTATTATGGGATCTTCTTCCGATGGATCCAGTGCATGACGCACCGCATCTTCAAGATCTTTGCTTTTGAATTTTTTTTCACTCAGATCCTTTTCTACATCTTCATTCTTGAAAGGCTTGATATTGTCCGCTCCCACAAATCCACTATTCAATCATATACACACACACACACAAGCACATAGAAATAATATATATATATATATATATATGCATACATATATAAATATACGAATATCAATATCAATATGAATATATTTATATTTATACACATATACACATATACATAATAACACAAAACACCTTTTTTTTTGATATTCAACCCTTGATATCTTTCTTGTTTTGCTTCAACTTACTAGTCTTTTGTTCCAAAGAAACGCACTGTCCAAAGAGGGCATTTTGTCTTTGCCTTTTTCACAAGTACCTTCTGAGGTACGTCTTGTTCATTTGCAATCTAAAGAACAAACAAACAAACACACGAACAAGCAAACAAATAAAAAATAAATAAATTACGAACGTTAATATTAATATTATTATCGTCATCATATAGTAGGCTATATGGCTTTCAAAAGAAGACAAGAAGTTCAAAGAGTCATTCTCATCATCTTGACACTAGAAACACAGACTCACTCTTGCAGGCCACCAGGGGTATCCTTTCAGCTTAGCAAATACTATTTTTCCTGGAGGATGAGTTGATGGCGATACTTGTTGGCGCATTCCAAAGTGGTGATAAAAGAGTATAAAGCAGAAAAATTAAGAAAGTAAAAAGAAAAGAAAAGAAAAGAAAGGGAAGTTGACTTTTTTGACGCGCAGATGAGTGATGACTGAGTAAGAAAGTTCCTTTAACAAGCAGAGGTTAATGGGGATGTAGTTGTGATAAAGTAAATATTTATATATAGAAAGAGAGAGAGAAAAGGGAAGAAAATGAAAAATGAAAAATGAAAGAGAGAGAGAGAGAGAGAGAGAGAGAGAGAGAGAAAATAGAAATAGAAAGAGAAAAAAAAAAGAAAAAAAAAGTAATAATAGTAATAGTAATACCAATATCAATACCAATGTCAATACCAGTACCAGTACCAGTACCAGTACTAATAATAATAAAGGTGGGAAAAATGAAATAAAGAATAAAGATATATATAGAAGAGAGGAATCAATCTATAATATTATTACATTAAGGTGTGATTTAGCCTGGCTATCTTTGGATTTATTTACTTGATAATTATTTGATATAAAAAAAAAAGTAAGCCAATTTATTGTATGGGTTCAATTGAGTATATTTCTTGCCATCCTCCTTTTAATTGAAAGCGTTATGTGGAAGAATAGGTTTATCTTTAGTTTAAATTCATTAAAGAAGTGTGCAACTGCAACTGCAGATACAAGTTACCTGTTTGTAACCCAGAAATTATTTCTCTTTCTTCAGTTTACGTGTTTTTTTTTTTTTTTTTTTTTTTTTACGAAATTATTTTACAAATTTAGACAAACAGGATATTTTTTGAGACAAATTTACTTCTTACATGATTTTTAAAGTTTTTTTTTATTAAGAAAAAATAATGATAAAAAAAAAGTCGCAGATTCAGAAGCTGGTGTCGCCCAAAAATAATAATACTATCTTTGTGCTCAACAATGATGTCACGACATCCAGAAATGAGATCTGTTTCTTTTCTCCTTTTCTTTTCTCTCTATATTTCTCTCTTTCTTTTGTATGATGGTTTGAATACCTTTACAGTATGTATGCATTTCCCCAGGAATACACTTCTTCTTTTTACCACATCATTATTTTGCCGTCTTTCATTACAACTCAATCAATCATTTAAGCAAGAAATAAATAAATAAAAAAGAACCAGAAGTTCGTCTCCTAGATACGAGCTGTAAGAGCTTGAATGTGACAGTGTTACTTGACTATATAAAAGCTGATAAATACCCTCTCACCTCAACTGTGATTGTAAACTACATTAGCATCCCCTAAACAACAATTAGTAGCGCCATCAAGTTTTGGGAAGAGAATGGCACATCAAAGCCAAAATACCAGACCCTGGTACACAAAAGCAAATTATGAGCACGGCAACATGTTTAAATTCCAAGATGATGGCGCCCAATACCATACTAGATAATATACATGACGTGATTGAAAAAAAAAAAGAAAAAAAAAAAGAAAGCAGCTGGGAGATTTTGCGATTTAACAATTGGACATCCCAATATCCGGATCTGAACTCAATTGAGCATGTTTGGGATGCTCTAAAAGACAAAGTTCAAGCAAGAAAAGGCTCTATCAACAATTTGCAAGATTTAAAGGTCTATATCCTTCAGGCACCACACCTTAGACATTGTTTTATATACAAGAAAATGAGAATTTCTGTCTTATTCAGTCGGGGTTTTTGCAAGATATAACCTAAAGAAGCTGAAAAGTAATTTATTTGGAACTTGAAAGCAAAAAGTCTGACGGTGGCTTCTCTGGTGGGAGTGTATATATAATATATTTACCTGCTGAAAAGGGGATAGCTACTTAGTTATCCAAATATGAATATGCTTTTATATGTGTTAAATATGGCAGCATCGAGGACATGCGGAATTGAATCTTGCGTCCTTGATAACCAAAAATTCAAGACCAGTTCTACAGCATGAAGTATATCACATATGATAGGAAACACAGGCAGGATACCAGTATTAAGTTAAATGATGAAGCAACACTGTTTTCCATAATATACTACAAACTTTACTTTCACAAGCTCTCGAAAAAAAAAGCTTTACGTAATTGAATGATGATTGTTGCCAACTCTTGAACGACGATTGGGCATTGTTGACTCAATTGCGATTTTCCTGCATTAAAATACCTGCTTATAATATGATCTTCAATAAGAGGAACGAAGCCATGCTTGCCAATACAGTAAATATTTTAGAGTCAATAACTAATGCTTGATGTCCATCGAGAAACTTTTGTTAATAATATAGACATGGCAATCTTGTCATCCTGGCCATCCGTAGACAACAAATCTCACGACGCATTGGTAACAGTCATGGGAAACACCGACGGTAATAAGCTATCTGTGGGGGATTAAAACATTAAAATATCTTAGTCACTTCAAGCCGCTGAATTAATCATGCTCATCAAGCGAGTATTGAGCGAATCGCTTTACATTTTGACTTGGACGATAGCACCGCCTTGACAACTTTGGCATTATCGGAAGATTTATCTATTGAAAAAGCAAACATATTGGCAAGTGATCTTAATGCACGCAAGATAAAACGCTTTGATGTACGATACCAACCTTTAAAATTGCGATCGAAACTTCAATACCTTTCAACCTTACCTTATAGCACATTAAATAAACAACATTTTCACAATGTATACTTTGTTTCTCATTATTGATATTTTAACCCTAAATCAATCCCGAATACCCCCAACAATATCAAAGATGACGGAGCTTAACAAAACGAGATGTTCAAAAGAATATCCGAATTATTGTATTATGTCTGATGTACCAAAAAAAATACATGGGTATTTCATAAAAAATCCTGCGAAAGACCGGAATGCATGTTCGCTTTTTCTTCTTCTTCTTCTTTTACGACAAAGTCACAACATGTCACTCCTAAACTACGCACCAAGCCTTTAAGCGTCTTTAGATTGAATTTGAACCTCATCATTACAAATGAACATTTACCTGGTTCTACTCGCGGTTATGCTTCAAGATTTTCCAAAATTTTTACTTCCAAGCTTTATTTTTTTTAATAGAAATAACTGGTTTAGTATATTGGGGGGGGAGGGGGTACTCAGCCAGGCTGTTCGAACAAAATCTTATGCGAATCTTAGCCAATGATATTATTTTGTAGTTGAAGGCACCAAAAGACAAAAGTACACAATTCGTACAAAATTCATAGATTTTTATAGCACTTATAGAATAAGCTTTTGCATATTCTGATTTATTCTTTGAGCACATATGCACCTAGACTCTCGAAGAAGCCAAGTATTCTTTCCTTTGACTCAAGATCTGACAATACATTGTCAACCTTGTGTACGTATTTATTGACTTTAAGGGTTTTTTCAAGCTCCTTCACGGCAGCTATCAGCTCCAACTTAACATCAACTCCCTCTTCGATGAATTCTAGAATATCTTTAATAAGTTCATCTGTACTTGCTGATAAAGACTTTACCAGTGTTTTTTTTCTTCACGATAAATCCACTGATTTTATGCGATTTCTTTAAAGGAACGATTATTTGTTACTTTGTAGTATTTTGGCATGTAATATGGAGAGAAAGAAGTGTTATATTAAGCTACTGCTAATACATTCAATAATTTATCAAGGAAAAAGATAAAATCATTATCATATTGCATATAAAATAACGATTCAGCCGGTCAGAGAGCCGTACGTTTTTCGATCAAAATTTGATCGAAATTTGTTCGAAATTTGATCTTCCAAAAAGACGTACGAATTTTGTTCGTCGCTATTACAATTTTAGCCCAATAATATTGTTTCCTAAATTTAACAAATGTTCGAACAACTTGACTAAGTACCCTCATTGTTTTGGTTTTCATCGGATAAATAGTAGACCAACGACTTGAGGGAGCATGCATTTCTCCCTGACGAACCCGGCAAGCCTATCAAGGAGCTTTGGAAGATAGGACCTGCCGCGTCTGCTTAATCCTCTGAACTCGGGGTCTTTCCAGACTCGACACTAGCTCTTCAGTTAATCTGATCGGTGGTTATTGGATTAATATTGTCTATTACATACATCTGATGAAACTTGTTTGGCTTTTTAAAAGAAAAAAACTCAAAATCAGGTAACAATATAATATGCTTACTGTTTTTTTTTAATTGTTCAGTATCTGCAATTCTGTAGTGACAAGTTAGTTTCCTTCTCGCCTGTGCATAGCAATATCTTTTTTTACATTTAGCTTCAACTACTACAATACTGATATTACTTTCTGTATGGCTTCCGCCACTCTTAATTGTCTTGAGAATGCTCGTTTTGATGGTAGATAATAAATAAAGATGTTTGTATTTGTTATAACAGAAAACCTTTTTTTTAACTCCAGTATCGAAATAACAAATATTTGTTACATGTAAATCCATTTATCTCTACTTGGTCTACAAGTTAACATGTATGTTTTAATTAAATAACTTTGAAATATTCCAAGTATAAAGCGCATACAGTAGACTATGTTAGTTTAATGAAAAACCAGCGATAGATATGCCCTAATATCTAACTACTGTTATCTGGTCTAATTGGTGAGATATTGATTTGCAAATGACTTGATTTTTTGATGTAAATCTGTGGAAACTTGATTAGAGTGTTTATTTCGAAGTTGTCCCACAAACTTGTTAATTTTTTGTGCCCCTCCAACTTCCTAGCCTTTTTCTTCATATTATCAATGTGTGATCCTTGTAGCTCATCGATGGTTTGATATGGTTTGTTGATTAGTTGCTAACAAAATGTATTAATGATAAATAAAATGTCAGAATATGGATCAAGTATATCTTACTCTTAAGAACCAAAATAGATCAATCAACTTTCTCAATTTTTCCTCTGACGTCTTTGATTCTGTTGGAACTTTTACTGAAGTAAGGGATCTGTTGTTTCCAAGATTGCTATTTCGATCTCACTTTCTATATTTGAAATGATACCATCAGCATTATAGAAATGCCGATTGTCATTATGGATCACCTTTGGCTCCTGGAATATAGCTTCTAATCTCTTTTCACCCAATGGAAACTTAGTTTTCTGAATTGATCTTGAGAACGAGTTCAGAGTTGGCCATAGAATATAATAGTTATAACTTATTTCGTTGTTGTAAACATCAATATCGTCAATAAACAACCCACTGACGCTATAATTTAGAAAGTTAAATAGACGCTGCAGAACCTGAATGATCGATTAAAGGCTTACAATGACTGCAGAACTGTATGGAAAAATTTCATGAATGGGTTGCTTGACTTGAATACAAGCGAGGCCGCTTCGACTAGTACTTCATTTGAAGAAAACTCATCCGAAAGAGCCTACAAAACACTTGAGGTGTTAATGAATATCACTATTTCACAATGTTAGTGGATATTTCTACTCATAATAGTATAAAATGTGCTATTGTAGAGTTCATTATCTTCAACGGATGAGCAAGGTGTCTCTTCAAGTGTGAGTCCAGTTTTTTGATTAAATTTTTGACGTAATATTCTCGTGTTATCTTGGAACCAAGCTTGTTTCGAAGTTGAAAAATGGCGGTACTCAGCCAGATTGATCGATCAACTTTTAAATTCTGAAGGCAATGTTATTGAGCTAAGTTGTAATAGCGACGAACAAAATTCGTACGTCTTTTAGGAAGATCAAATTTCGATCAAATTTCGACTGAAAAAACGTACAGCTCTCTGACAAGCTGAGTCGTTATTTTATATCCAACATGATAATGGTTTTATCTTTCTCCTTAATGGATCATCGTTACTTTTAGGGGGACAACATTTCCTGGTGGGAGACGACAATTTGATTCTACCGGACCACAAATCGTGACCTTTTTGCCGGCATGAAATAATTCTATTTGTTCCCTAAGGGCATATAATATTCGTATAAAGGCTCTCTTTTGCACTTTGCAGAAAGAAAAAGGGATGCGTGGCAATTACTTGCCGGTTTGTGCTGGCAAACTTTGGAAACATTAGGTGAAAGAAAGTTATAGACATCATACGCGTAAGAAGGCGAATAAATAGTAAGATATTCAACAAGATTGCATCACACTCTAAGGACGACATCTTCTTACGAACTGAATAAATGGCTATTGATATAGTGCATTTGTGACTAATTATTACTTCTTTGTTGTCAATTCTAAATCTAAGGTACAAACGGTTATTAATTGAATATACAGGATTTGTTTTTCGTATGAGACAGTATTTCCTTATTAAATTGACCAAAGACAGGCTCTAACTCTTAAAAGAATGAGAGTTAGGTGTCTGGGGAAATATAGATTAACACACAATGTGATGACAAAGCAGTAAGCTAATGTGTACAATAAATATATTGCGTTTTTCCAGGCCACACCATTTTGCCCTGAAGGATTAGAGAAAGACACTGGGACTCGGACAGGTAGTCACAATCAATTAGTCCGGTTAGATAAAAACGTCGTGCCCCATCAAGGAACGTCTTCCCCGCAAGATTACTGTTTAGAAGTAATCGAAAAGGAAGTTAATGTAAAGTTGGAGCAGATAGCTGCCGTGAAGGAGCTTGAATAAACCCTTAAAGGCTATAAAAAACATACACAAGGTTGACAATGTATTGCCAGATCTTGAGCCAAAGGAAAGAACACTTGGCTTCTTCGAGAGTCTAGGTGCATATGGGTTCAAAGAATAAATCAGAATGTACGAAAGCTTATTCTATAAATGTTATAAAAATCTATGAATTTTGTACGAATTGTGTACTTTTATCTTTTGGTGTCTTCAACTACAAAATAATATCATTGGCTAAAATTCACACAAGAATTTGTTCGATCAATCTGGCTGAGTACCCCCATTTTTCAAAGCGGGCAAAATTTACCAGCCGCACTGTATTTGAATTCCACTTTTTTTTTCAAGTCAAAAAATGCATGAATTGACAAAGACTGTGATAGAAAAGAAAAACACAGGGTAGCACTAGCTTAAGCATCTCTCTCTCTCTCTCTTTATCTTCCTTTTTTCCTCTTTACTCTCCTACGTTTACTAACCCTTCTTTATATTTTCTATTTTCCATTGTATCTTTTTTGTCTTCCTTCTTCATTCAATCAAGTCCATTTCGGTGGCATTTTAAGAAGCTATACACAGAATTTGACACCCGATCAATAATATATATATATATAAAGAAAGAATCAACAAAGGCTTTTCTCGCTGCTTAATGGATATGATTCTTATATCAATGATACCAATAATAATTGCCTTTAGGAATTGCGCATTCAAGGACATAATATATTTCACTTGCTACTTACACTTGCATTGTCAAATTCACGTTTTTTTTTTGGTTTAAAGAAAATAAAAAGAAAGAATGCTTATGATAAAGACCCAGTATTGATCAAACGTGCCACAGATCGGTCCAAGATTGGTAATCCTGGAGTATCGAAATTAATCAATTTATGAGCCAAGTTGATTAGATTATTTTGAATGAAGTTTTTTTTCTAAATTTTACGCACCTAAAAAGAGATAAAGAGAATATTAGGTAGATCAAAGGTTTATTAAGTATATAATTAATATATATATATAAAGATATTAAAATCCATGGGTTATATTGACAGGGGGGGGGGGGTAATAATTCAAGTAAGTATTACTATTAATATTACTATTAATAATAGTAATAATATTCTTATTTAAATAATTTGTATTCTTTTTTTTATTGGTTTGATTTTGTAGAGAGTATATATGAGCTGTATATGGAATGGAAATATGAATCAATTAGTTGTTTGTTTATGAAGGAGTAAGGGAGTAAAATGGTAGAGTAATTAAGCGAGTAAATGAAGTAAATGGGTGTGGGAGTAGATTAGTGAGTGAGTGAGTGAATGATTGTAAGACTTAAATTAATTGATCAACTGGAACAATGATCTTTTCGTTGTCATCAAAGAACTTCTCGGCCACAACATAATGCTCTTCTCGCTTCAACAGACGCTTCATGCAAGCAAGGGTCGAGGGAAGGGTCATAAACAACCATGCGGCCACCGGTAGCATTGTGTAGTCAAACAGATGTCTCAGCCGTCTAGTCTCAGACTTGCAAAGAAGTTCGCGATCAATAAATCGGTGAAGTGATTCATAGATCGCAAGGGTAGCAAAGAGCGGGAATGGAAGAAGCAGAGTGATTATTTTGACCATAGACCAGAGCTGGGCATAGAACTCTGACGCCAGAAGTGGGTTCTGGGCTGGATCCACAAATGCCAAAGAGTGAAAGGGAGGGAAGAGCAAGAACTGCATAAGTGGCACTGCAGCAAACATTAACCATCCAGACGTGGCTGGAATCATATGGGCCTCAAGAATAAGACAACACACACGTAGCTTGTCTTCCCAGCTAGACGGCGAGGTTATTTCTAACAAGCCATTGCCACCAATGCTTCCAAGACACCCACCATCAGATTTTCCCATAAGGACCGAAAAGCTGCTTTTGATTGTGTAGGCTACATCTGCGACTCCATTGTAGTGACGTTTGGCCTGGACATAACGAGCATTGATGTTTGACATGTATCCTTTCGCCTGAACGTTTGTGAGATTAATTGGTACGTATATGGGCGCAGTGCGGACCTCGCCATTGGTCTGGAAGAAACATTTCAGCCACATGTGCATATCCTCTCCAACCGCATCAGAGTCCGTGTCCCAGTAGTCCACTCGTTCTGCTAGTGCCATTGAGAGGCTGTAGGTCGAGCAAGGAAATGAGAGTCCTCTGCTGTTGCTCAGGTTCGACATTACCATTGCTGACCATGTAATGTCGGTTACCCTGACTGCGGCCGGGACTTTGAAACAGTTTCGTGAAAAGAAGATTGGTGGGGCTAAGATCAGACGGTAAGGATCATCCGATCGGTTGAGTGTGTCTTCGACTTCTCGGATATACAGCTCTGGAATATCGGCGTCAGAGTCAGTCACAGTCAAGATGACTTTAGAACGGCAAACCCCACGCTCCATCAATTCACGGCACCCATGGCGAGCTGCATGAGCCACATTAGATCCCTTTCCGCGAGACTCTCCAGGAATATTAGTAGGATGGTGAGTGGAAATGAAATGAGCAAATCGGCCTTGAAAATGATCTTGAAGACGCCTGGCCTTATCTGTATGGTCCTTTTCGGACTCTTCCATACCCAAAATTATGCAGTAATTGGTCTTTGCAGAACTAACGTAGATCCAATATATATATATATGTTAATATACACATAAGAATTGAATAGTAAAACAACACAAGAGAATACTTACGAATGAGAGGCTATTTTCTCAATAGTACTTCTCAGTAGACCTTCAGGCTCACAATAGTTGGGAATAATGAAAGCATACAAATAATGAAGACGGTCGCCAGTAACTTCTATGTCCAACTGAGAGGGTGTATTTGTGCCTTTGGAGCGCCGGAGATTCGATCTACGGACTGTGTTGGTGATCTTTCGAGACGTGATCCAGAATTTGCAGACGTGGTTGACTTGAGTGTAGAGAAAGACGGTAAAGTAGACAAAGAGGATGACCAGATACGCCCTCGGGATGAATATAGGTCCCAATGGGAGAATGACCAGAGCAAAGAGGGGAACCAACGGAGCAACCCACTCTGACGGGTTCAGCAAGTGGATCATTTAATTAATAAAGAGTAAAGAGAAAGATCAAATGGTTTGGAAAAAATTACGTTATTATTATTATTTTTAGTAAGTAGAGAAACTAATTATTGTCTCTTCTTTAATATATAAAAATATATAATTATATTAAAAGGAAGACAACTGAAATTATTCCAATTGTCTTGGGTTTTTATATATACAATATATATATGTATATATATTAGCCTTTGATGAGTAAAGAGGAGTTTTTATTTGATTGTATTTTATTAGTATTATTTTGGGGGGGTAAATATGACAGACTGACTCTTATTAAGATGGGTTACAAGGCTATAATGGTGTACATGCATAACGTCATTAAATACATGAATCATATATACATAATATATGTATTATAAAATGAAAATGTAGATAAAGAGAGAGAGAAAGAGAGAAAAAAGAGAAATCAAATCTACGATAGGCCTTTTAAAATTCTAAACAAAATTATACAAGTGTGAAACATAGAAAAGAAAAGAAACTAAAAAAAAGGACTTAGGATCCAATTTTTGGGATAATGGACTTTGGTGCAACATAGAGAGACTTTGCTTCGGTCATCTTTGTGCCCTCAAGATCCTCAATCCAAGCTTCAACATAAGCCTTGCGACCTTCAAGACGGTCGAGCTGACCGCGCATTACAACCCACTGGTCAGACTTGACAGGTTTACGGTAGTCAATGTTGAGGTTGGCGGTAAAGCCAATGTTATTGGGTAAAGCAGGGAAAGCCTATAAAATAAAATAAAATAAAAAGTTTGCAAAAAAGAATTTCATCATTTAGAATCCAAAGAATACTATATTACATACATATAACTATATATGTATGTATGTGTGCTTCTATTGATTCTTTATTTAATCAAATTAAGAATACAAATGAAAACAGAATAGCAACTTACTACACAGGCCAAGACTTCATCCAAAAGGGTGGCCAGCATACCTCCATGAATGATGCCGTCATGACCGCACAACTCAGTGCCCAAGTGACAGACAATCGTGACTTCTGTCATTGACTTGTTGTAAAAGATAACCGGAGCCACGATTACTTTACCCTTGCCACGAAGTGTCTATTAAACCCCAAATTATTAGCATTGATGTTATTACTATTAATATTACCATTGCCATTACTATTACTATTATAATTATAATTATAATAATCATTATCATTGTTTTTTTTAAAACAATTTCAACTTTCAATTCTTAGTTTTTCTTTATTTCTATACAAATTCATAAACTCACCGAGGCTGTCAATGAGTGAAGTTTGGCACTACCATTGAGATGACTGTAGGCTTCAATTTCAAACATATTCTTGTTTGAACGTGCTTCCTTGACAATAGTCATGTTGTTCAAGTACTTTGTAGCTTCTTCCACTTCATGATCAGCAGTGCCATTCAAAGCAATCTTTTGTTCAAGGAGATCATCGTGGTGTTGAGTAGACATTACAGCAAATGTGAGACCGGTAGCAACAATAGCAGAAGTGGTAGAGATAAAAAAAGGTGACAAGAGCCGAGACCGAGCTTGTTTCTGGTGCTGTTGGGTAAAGAAGCGTGCCTGAAGAACAGCTCTTGGGAACCGCCTATTAATACCCGCTGCTGTCTGGACTACTAATCGAGAAAACATCATAAAAGGATCAAATACGATTATTCCTATTCCTATTCTTGTTTTTTTTTTGTTTTTTTTTGTTCTTTTTTAAAACATAGACACAATCAGTGACTTTAAAGGGAATATTGAAGACATTTCGTTGGTCTTTAATGACCGACATGGTCTCAGCGGCAATCTTGTTATTTAGCTTTGTAAGCAAAATCGGTAGATTAAAAGCCTAATTAAGAAACGAAGATCAGGGTTTTCACCCAAAGGTACCAAGATAACAAGATAAACAATTTTAACCTTCAATACTTTTGTATTCTATGCATATAAAAGAGGAAGAAGTATAAGAAATAACAATAAAGGCTGGGTAATGGAGAAGGAAAGGAAATATAGGTTAAAAAACCAGACACCAAAAATAAATAAATAGTGATATAAAGATTTCTATTGAATATGTATATGTATAGGTTATATAATGTCAATCGGCCTTTGACGGTTTCTCTTCATCCTTGTTCCAGTAGATAACCACCTGGATAAGTAGGATTCCATTAAGAATACTAGCCAATACATTTCCACCCAGCATTAAAGGATCATCCAGCTCAGTTATGGTAGTGAATACCCGTGCACTACTTCCCACAAAGTAATTGATGACGGCCACCAGCGACAGCTGTCCGGTGGAATGACTTGTGTAGTTTGTGTATATCTGTGGTACTTTACTTGCCAACGCCAAGGGAATTGTGACTGCATAAAGACTGGCCATCAACCACGAAGGTACCAGTCGACTACTTGTCAATCCAAGCAAAAGTACAACAAATCCGACCAAGGTCAGTATCATCTCCCGCTGTCGTTGAGCATAGTGGAGAATCAAGAGGGTGATCAAAATATTCTGAAGAGTCATAAAAAACACCTCGCCAAACGTACTGAGAGGGTTTTGCTGTCTGAGGTTGTATGCCAGAGTAATACAGTATGCGATCGTCTCCAATACAAATGAGGTCAATGAGAGCCCCTTGGCAGATCGGTTAGACGTGATGGTGAGGATCTGTGGTAGCTTTACAATCGCGCTGCCGACAACAATACCAAATCCAAGACATTTGGAAATAGCATATTGAATACACTCAATATCGGTGAGATGAAAGTCTTCGATGAGTGATGTATAACACGTATTGCCAACCAGGGCAACAAGGGGATCTTTGAGAAGAGGTGGTAGGAGCATCTTGGTATCAAAGAAATTTAGGTATGGCACTGGTGTGGCCAAGCACGCCATCGGTAGTGCCAGAACTAGCACAGCAGCCAAGACAAGATGGATGGTCATTATTAAATTAGAATAGATGAGCAACAGAACTGAAAGTTCAATAACTTATTAAAGACGTGTGTGACTATGATTACCTTTTTTAGAAAAAACAAAGTACTTTATGTTATATGTATATAGCTCTAGTCTATCCAACTTTATTGGAAAGAATATCATTACCATGGCTTTATTTCTTTATTTCTTTATATATTTCTGCTCAATAGAAGGTTATAATATTCTGTTAGCTAATTCAATTTTTCAGGTCCAAGTTAATCTTTTTAGTATTATTATTTTTATTTCAAGCTATACAAAGTAAAGAATAAACTCGGGTTATGTTTTATAAGGCTACTTCATCACTAATTTATACAGAAGAGCTTGGTTTATCGAATATTGGTTTATTACATTGTAAATTCGTATAGAAAATTTATTTAATAAAATAAAGTAGATTTAAAATAGATGAAAATATCGACTTTTAGAAGAGAAAGTATTATGAGACAAACTTTGCATTCAGGTGCATACACATACTTTTTTCTTTGGTGTATAGATCCACAGTACTTCTCTCTATTTTTTCTGATGGGTTTAGTCTAATATAAATTACTCTAATCATGAAATTGAAGCATTTTCACAAAGTGGCTTCAATACTGTTAATTACTGTCTAGCCTTGCTACTTTTTTCTTTTATCCAATCTTTGTTAACCATGTGTTCTATCTATCATGGTATAAATTAGACCTCAAAAGATTGTTTCTGGGCTATACCAAGTGCACCAATGATTTTGCGATAATAATAATAATAGTAATAATAATTTAGTTTGCTTTTCATTTTTTCAACAATTCATTGTCTGATATTTCTCTTACGAGAAGCTTATTTGTGTGTGGGTGTGTGTACATGTGTATAATAAAAAAGGTTAATTAGAAGAAGAAGAGGAGGAGGAGAAAGAAAAATGAAGACGGGTTTCTTTTATCAGTTAATATATATATATACCCTATTATGCCCTATTATAATATTAATGAAAAGAATTAAAAATTCAACGAAATTGACTAGAGTGAATCTTGTAGTTTGGCTTTTAGACTTTTTATAGGATTCGATAAAGAGATAATATATACATACCAAGAACATTTGCCAGGCAGATTTAAGCAGGTAAAATGTACATCTAAACCTAAAGCAACTTTATTTTATTGACAGTACAACCACATAAATTAGGGCAATTTGACTTATTTAAAGAACTTCAGGCTTGACACAAAATAAGAAGGCTGCGATGAGCCTTAATATTCCAAAACAGGAAAGATAAGAGTGAGATTTGTAACGTATTCGAAAGTGTTCTGGGCCAATGGATTCTTTGGGGGGCGTCATTTATATACCAATTTTGAATTTTTCCTATTAAAATAATAAGCCCAAACTAGACACTTTTATATTTTTGGCACTTCTGAATTCAAAATCCTTTAGGTTGTACATAATAGGTATTTTTAAGAATGACAATAATAATAAAAATATAATAAACCATTTTTATTAGTTCTTTTGATTTTTTTTTTTGAATTTTGAATTTTTCATCTTTCCTTTTTCTTAACTTCTTTTGGTTATCATCATCATGGTCATCAAACCATCACTCAGGACATTAGGTCTTGCGTGTTTGGGCTCACTCCAAATTGCGAGTGCATTCTACCTTCCAGGTGTTGCCCCTCAGGACTATGCTCCCGGAAACAACGTGCCTCTCTACGTAAACTCATTAACCCCACTCTCCAACCAGCAAGTCAAGTCTGTAATCTCATACGACTATTACTATGATCGCTTCCACTTCTGCCGTCCAGAAAATGGCCCCCAGAAACAGTCCGAGAGTCTAGGAAGTGTATTGTTTGGTGACCGTATCTTTACATCACCATTCCAGGTAACAATAATAAAAGGCATAAAGAATGCCTATCTATACATAAAGAGAGGGAGAAGGAAAGGAAAGGAGGAGGAAGAGGAAGAGGAAGAAGGAGCAAAAAAAAGAGAGAAGAAGAAAAAAAGAGGAGCTATTATTATGAGCCACGCGCAAAGAAAAAGAAGAAAGACAAATTATTCACGTACATATCTATGTCTATATGTGCTATTAGCTTTCAATGGCCAAGAATGAGACATGCAAGCTTTTGTGTCATGTAAAGAGTATTCCCAAGGAAGACGCCGCTTTTATCAATGAACGCATCATTGACAACTATGCTGTTAACATGGTTGTCGATGGTCTCCCAGCTGCCCACGAAAACCTCGACAAGAACACAGGCGAAATTTACTACAATATCGGCTTTGACCTTGGTTATGTTGACGGCAAAACCCCCTCCCTTAACAACCATTATGATATTAACATTTACTACCACGAACGGTCCTCAACCAAGTTCCGCGTTATCGGTGTGGTTGTGAAGCCCAGCAGCAAGACAACTCAGCTGGACACCAAAGGACAGCCTATTTGTGACAAAACCAATCATGGTCTTTACCTAAAGGCTGATGGTACTGATAGTGTTGTTTACACCTATTCCACTATCTGGCATGTAAGTCTACAATTGAGGGGAGATACAAAAAAAGGCTTGGCAATTTATAAGATTTCTTTTTTATTAAAAAAAACAATATCACTACTGTGTCATAGCCTTCATCTACTGCATGGGCCACTCGTTGGGATAGCTATCTCCACATCCTTGATCCCTCTATCCACTGGTTCTCTCTCGTAAACTCCATTGTTATTGTTCTCTTCTTGACCGGTATGGTTGCTATGATTCTTTTGCGCGCTCTGCACAAGGATATCTCGCGCTACAATGCCGTTGAAGCCCAGGTAAATATTAGATACAGAGCTGTAATTAATAAAAGAATATGTTTAGTAATAACGAACTGTGTTGGTGGGTACTATTAGGAGGATGTCCAGGAAGATTATGGATGGAAGTTGGTTCACGGTGATGTATTCCGTCCTCCTAGCCATCCCATGCTCTTGGCTGTGGCTGTCGGAAGTGGTGCTCAATTGATTGCAATGACTGCCTTGACTCTTGGTAAGATTAGACTTAGATAAGGTGCTGGATACTATAAAAATTGAGGTCGGGTTACTGATCTGATCTGATTTGATCTGCAATTTTACGATCTACAGTGTTTGCCATTCTTGGCTTCTTATCTCCCTCTAACCGTGGATCTCTCGCCACTGTTACTGTTGTGTTCTTCATGGTATTCAGCTGTATTTCCGGCTTTACCTCTGCTCGTCTGTATAAGATGAATGGCGGTGAACAATGGAAACTCAACATTATCCTCAATGCCACTCTTTTCCCTGGAATCATTATCGGTTTCTTGTTTGGTCTCAACTTCTTTTTGATCGGATCCCATTCTTCGGGTGCCGTTCCTTTTGGTACCATGATGGCCATCCTCGGCCTTTGGGCTCTTATTTCTTTGCCTCTCAGTACCGCTGGTTCGTACTATGGTCTCCGCAAACCTCGTATTGAACAGCCTGTCCGTACAAACCAGATTCCCCGTCAGATCCCTGACCAGCCTACCTACCTCCGTAGCCTTCCTTCGATCTTTATGGGCGGAATTTTACCCTTTGGCGCAATCTTCATTGAGCTTTATTATATTATGAATAGTATCTGGTTTCACAGAATCTACTATGGCATTGGATTCTTGTTCTTGGTGTTTGGTGTCCTTATCTTGACCTGCTCCCAAGTCACCATCTTGATGTGCTATTTCCACCTCTGCAATGAGGATTATCACTGGTCCTGGAGAGCATTCCTTACCTCTGGTGCTGCTGGTTTCTATGTCTTTTTGTACTCTATCCTCTACTACCTCACCAAGCTCGATATCAACAGTATTACCAGTACTGTATTGTATTTTGGCTACTCTACTCTTATCAGTGTTCTCCTCACAATCCTCACTGGTTCAATTGGTTACCTCGCCTGCCTCTTGTTCTTACGCAAGATTTTCGGTAGCATCAAGGTCGATTAAACATAGTTGAAAAGATATGTATATTCTATAGAAGATGGACAGAAAGACAAAAAAATCCTCCTCCCCCTTAAAATTCAAACTATTCTCCCACACAAAAAAATAAATAAAGAATACATATACAACATAACACAACAGAACACAACACAATGCATCTATATATTACTCTAGCTTAATTTACTTCATTTTACTTTCACATTGATATAAACGGACCAATTGAAATATATATATATAACAGAGACTATTGTTCTGTTAACCAACAACAAAAAAAACAGATAATACCTTTAAAGCGTAATTACCATATTAGAAAGACTGAAGGAGGTATATGTATCTCCTCTCATTTGTGATGGTTACCTAAATATTTTTTTATGGTGAGATACAAAGCCTTCTTTAATTTAAGGTTATAATATATACATTTACAAACCAACCGGAAAACAGGAAAACGGAACAGCACACTTTAGACACTTTAAAGACCTTCAGTCCTCTAGAACAACCGTCCCACATCTATCACAGGTTGGCTCAACAAACCCTCATAAATTCATTACAAAAAAAAAAAGAATTAATCTTGAGCGTTAAAATAATTTCGGTGCCAATTTTGAAATAAAAAAAAAGTGTAAAATATCTTTGTAGCGATCGAGCGTAAATACTTGGCTGCTCAGCAGAAACTGGCCCAAGCTGACTCCTTTTCAAACATCAATTCGGAAATATTCAACATCGTCTTGGCTAGTAGATATAGATTGCAAGTATACACTCAGATGTCGTATACGCTTCCATTTAGCTACTGATGTTTGTTTGATAGTCGACATCCTCAGTAGAAGAAGTACATGATAGATGGTATCTTTTAACAAGATAAGATGTATAGGTATCCCGAGAGTCAACGTCTTTATGCTTTTATGTTTGAAGAGCCTAGGATTCTTCTTTGATAACATGATATATAAGCTTATAAAAACCACAATTATTATCGACAAACATTGTTTTTTTTAAGCAAAAAGACAGAATTAAAGATATGAATATATATTGGGTGTTCATCTTATTGAAACAGAAAAACGTGCGGATTAAAGGAGATCGTGGCGCTTACAAAGGCTGACGTATTTATACAAATATGGATTTGCCCAGCATTTTTGTACGATATTCCTTATATGCTTTCTTATGGTATACACGGCATTTGACTTATCACGCGCAAGAATATCTTATCCGAAAATACGAAGCTTTTATTCTTATTTTGTTGTATTTTTGGATAAAGCGTACGCGTAATGTTGGGCTAAGAACGAAAGCACACAGAAATTGCTTATCTTAATATTCCGGCGACTAATTTAGCCGACATCACTAATAGGTCCAAAAGAAGAAATGGCAAGAAAAATAAAGGGTCTTATATAAAATCCAAATATATATATATAATTTTTGTTTTTTTACTTATTCTCTTTTACTCACTAAAATAATAATAATACTAATAGTAATCAATAAGGCTACCTTATAATAAACACAAACCCTTCTATGACCGAAACCACTATTGCACTCGTAGTTCTTCAGCATGGACTCTGGGGAAATTCTGCACATATGAAATACATTCATAACAAACTCGACGAAGCTTACGGAGATTCTATTTCAATCGTAAGCCCATTACTTCCAAGTCATTAAATCCTCATTCCGCTTGCTCATTTATCCTATCTAGCTCAATGTAGAAGTTAATGAAGCCAAGTACACCTATGATGGTGTCGATATTTGTGGAGAAAGACTCATCAAAAATGTAATATTCACAAAGACCTGTTCCTTCCCCCTCGAGACAAGAAAGAGTTCACCTTAATCGACTTATATCGCAGATTTATAGTCACATCGAGAAATTAGCAGAGAAAAACAAAAAGGTCGACAGGATTACTCTCGTGGGATATTCTCTTGGTGGCTTAATTATCAGATATGCAGCTGGAATTCTTGCCAAAAAAGGATTCTTTAATCATGTTAAAGCACAAGTAAGTAAAGCAAGCCAATATCAAAGAAACGAATGCAATTGTGTACAATGGGACTAAAGAAAAGGTACGCATAGTGGCTTATAACGTTTGCTACTCCTCATATGGGTGTACGTCGTCCGACCACTTCAGTCGTAGGAAGAACCTTCAATTTCTTGTGTGGAAATATGGTATCTCGTTCTGGCGAACAACTTCAATTGTCGGATGATTACGAAGACGGGCGACCTCTATTAGACATATTAGCAGATCCAGGTAAACATACTATGGTATTTATGCGAGAAGAATGGGAAGAGTATATTGCAAATTGTGTATTTATAAAGTATATCATGTAATAATAATACTTATCACCAATATTTTATTGTGTGTAGACCGAGAATTCTACAAGGCCTTGGAATTGTTTAAAGTGAAGCGAGTATACGCCAATGTTGCAAATGATCGTACTGTACCTTACTGGACAGCAGGCCTCGAAACAATTGGATATTACGAGACCCCAAAATCACTTCAAGTGTAAGGCTATAAAGTATAGCTAGATAGAATGTTCTTTTTCAATTGACCTAAAAACAATATCAATATTGATATCTTGTATTATATTCTTTAGCACAAGAGATGAAAAGTATCCCGCATTGTTAACAGCTGTCGGCGTCAATGATCCTTCAAAAAAAGAAGAGTCAAAGTCATCGTGGAGTCCGTGGTATCTTTTACTTGTAGTTACCCCGGTCGTAGTACCGGTATACCTCGTATTCGCTTTTCTTTTTGTCGGTGGCCAGGGCCTTCTTTCTAGACGCAGAGCTCACCAACTTCTCAATGGAAAGATCTTAATAGGTGGCACAGATCTTCCGGTCTACAAAGATGAAGAAGAAGAGCGACATCATGCTACACGCAGCGAGACCATCTTGGACGAAGCATTTCTCGATGTAATGGAGGGAGCACATTTTCAGGATCAAGAAGGAGGAGAGACTCAAAAATCCTCTGAAAAGAATCCACAAGAATCCAATAGAGGTACATGAATATTTCATAAGCTTGATCAACAGCAACAGTATCGAATATTTACTTACTTGACTTTTATTAATACGATTACTTATAGTTACGTACAGTATATCTCCTACACCTGAATTACAATCTTCTGTACAGCCACTTGACCTCACTTTGGTTCAGCAAAAAATTCAAGAAAACTTGTCTCGCCTTGAATGGGAGCGTATCTTTGTTTTTATCAGAGGCATTAATGCCCATGCGTCAATCGTCTGTAGAGATCAGCGATTTACCCAAGAAGATGGAGAATGTGTCGTACGGCATTTTGTAGACACTTTTAAACCATAATATAGCTTTCTTTTTCTTTTTCTTTTACTTGCTTAAATTTCATCCAAAGCATCACTACTAATTGTATTATCTATCAGTCACAGAATCAAAGAAGTATATTCTTTTCATTTCATCTTGTTCTGTTTTGTCTTGTCCCCATTTGTATAAATCATTTCATCAACACAGATCCTTTTTTTAAAAGTAAAAATAAACAATATTTTCATTACTTATAAGTATACATTAAACTCAATTATATGCACATAATTCATTGCAAATACAGTATGATGCATTTAATGACAAGAATCTCTTGGCTGTTTAAAGACAACTAGTTCTGCCAAAAAAAGAAGATGATACTTATGTCTGGATAAAACAAACAAACTAATTTTGTAGGGTTTATTTTTTATTTTAATCGTTGACAGGGAAAAAAGAAGCAACATAAGACGATATAATATTGCTGTGCTGACATTCCTCGTTATTTTGGGCCAAAGCGTATAGATATCTGACCATTAGGCTGTCAGCAGAAAGAGAATTCATGATAGAAAGAGCACAATTAGTATATATAAAAGTCCAAGTGCATTAAACGGGCTTTAATGTATATTTAAATTGCCTTCACCAAGACTTTCTTTGGAAATGATAGTGCACCCTGAAACCCAAGGATCGACGGGAAAGGCATAAAGACCAGAAAAATAACTAGCTATTGTATGCTGAGCAACATAGCTATGTAATGTGCTGGGGTATATAATCAGAATGATTAGGTCCATTTTATATCTCTTAAAGACCTGTAGATGATAATTAAGTGCTCTCTTCATAAACAATTAATTGATGCTGTGCATAATTTTTACAATTATCGGCGGGAAATTTATAACTGACTATTTGGGTTCCAAGGCCACATCTGAACGTGTTCTATCGCTCCATTCAGAGTTTTCGACTCGGTAGGCATTTTGTGTAGTTTCTAAAGTCGAGGAAATATAGTTAAGTACTATGAGGTCTTGAAAGTTTTTTTTTGGACAAGTCTATACCTAGGTACAGTTTTTGATATAAAGTATTCGTAGAAAAAAAATACGCAAGTTGCTAAAGGAAAATACGAAGAAGTGGTTCAAGCTCTCTGAGCCACACTTTGTTGTTACTTTAATATAAATAATAAATATTTTCCTTCACATCTTTACCCCTTTTACCTTTAGATTTCTCAAGCTAAGCTATTTAAGATTTATTTATCAACTCATATTCTTCATATCTATAACTGGGAAAAAGGACAAAACGAGTGCTTTTTTTTACGAGAACAGACAAGGAAAAACATATGACCAAAGTTGAAATTCTACTATCGATATGGAAGAGGATGTTAATCCATACCACTTGGGAACCTTAATTAACATCAGGCGTTACTGCGAATCTCAGGGACCAAAACAAGAGTCTCTTATTAAAGAGCTAGACACTAGAATGGAAGACGCGGGCAAAATTGTAGGAGCAGTGAAGGAGTAAAAAAAAAACATTATATGATAAATGTAGTACCAACTTATATGTTCGAAAGTTTCATTTTAGACTTTTAGGGCTCAAGTTTTCTCAAAGAAGAAAATGAGTTTAATCTCTCTTAAAAGAATAACTCATATTCTCTAGCTAGAAACGAGGTAGAGCGGTTGTCCCCATTGGGGCAGTTTAAGAAGCAATAGCCATACTATTCTTACAAAGAAAAAACCGTTCGTCTAAGGTTATTTTTTTTTTGTATTTATTGGTACTGCCGACGCCGTCTAAGGTTATTTAAACATTTGATACTAAAACAAAAAACAAACACAAGTCATACAAAAATTGAAGACCTTGGTTCAGGTAGAATAGCAACCATTGCACTGTGTTGCTTAGTTTCTTTTTCCTTTATTTCATACTTTGAATATACTCATCTTCTAACATTCATAATAATACTTCTTCCTAAAGTTTATTATATGGTCTTTATACTGCTATCAACTTTAAATATTCACTACCTATTTGTACTAGCAGTTTGTCTAAATTTAAGAAAGCCTTTCAAATTTCTGTAGCTGTCTTGATATCCAAAAGTTCTCTTGTGTATATTCAAATGATATATGATATGATATTTTATCCCTAACTTTACATACTTTTCTACTGTTTATTTCAATTGGGAGCACAATTACCATTGTATATAGTATATACATAATAATATGTATATGATGATGACAAGAATGTTTCTGATACCAGTGAAGTCTTTAAAGCACCTAGAGCCCTTAAAGTCATTAGAACCTCTAATAACCCTTAAAAAATCTAGAATCTTCCAAGTCTTTAAAGTTTCTTGTTTTCAAGGTTTTCAAAGCTGCTAAATTCTTTGAATTATCTAATGTTTTTGATATAGTCAAAGCTTTATTTAGTAGAGAAATTAAATTTTCATTGATTTCTTTAAATTTAGATAGTAATTTAACTTTCAATTCTTATTATACATTTTTCTTAATTTATGTGATTAAAGAAACAAGGAAAGTGGAAAAATTAGAGAATCTTTAGATTTCCATGATGTTAGACAATGCGATTAGATTCTTCTCAAATGAAGAAATACTTTAGTCAGTGAACTACTTTATTCATACCTTTCAAAAAGGCATTAAGCCCTATCTTTTAAATATCAGGCTAGTTTAAAGAAGTTTCTTGCTACTTTGCTTGTCTCTATTGTTCATCTCAATTAGAAACACAATTAAATCGTGAGTTACCTGTGCAAGAGTAATTCATAAACTTGTTTTAAAAATATAGAAAGACCAAATATAAGTCATGCCCAGAGATATCTCCCTTTCTTTTCAATAATATGTAAGATAATGAATAAAAACTCGCGAACCAAAAAGAAAGAGTCGAAGAAATAAGTTGGAACGGATATGAAATTTGTTGAAAACTGTGATTTTTTATAAATAAAACAAGATTTGACATAAGATGAGACCCACCTGAAGATTGGCTAGAAGGAAGGAACCCCAGTTATAGTTACTAATATTATTATATTTACCCTCACAGTATTAACAGGAGAAGATGTGAAGTGATCTTGGAATATAGAACGCCTTTCTTGATATAGACCTATATCTACACCGAGATGGGGGGGTTTTTTTTACTGCTAATATTCGGTAGCTTCCGAAATTGTCATAAAACACTATTTATTAGAGAATAGATTTTTTTTTTTTTCGCTTGTTTGATTTATTTATAAGCTCTTGCTATTAGTATACAGACCCCATTCATCCTGCCAACTAAATAGTATTTCTATCTTCACAGTTCTGTTAGAAATATATACATATATATTTATCACTATGGGAAAGAAGGGTCAATTCGGAGATCAATTTTGAAAAAAATATCATGAGCATTTTTCAAATTCGCCTTTTGAATGGACACTTCTTTCCCATGATATCTCTAGATTGACATAAAGTACTTTTCCAGTCTTTATTTCTTAATACCACTTTTTTAGGGTTCAAAACAATAATAATAAGCTTGACCGTTGAAAAACATTTATTTGAAGATTATAGAATAAAATGAAATATGCATTTTATTTAGGTATAATGGGGATGAGTTATAATAAAAAGGACAACCATTGTAGATATAAAGATATTAGTCTATAGAAAGACTTGAATTTCATTTGGGATCTTGTTTTTTGTTGTCGTCTCTAGCTTATATCTGGAAGTTGGATACGTTGGGCCCAACTTTTATATGGTGATGAAATGTACAAAAGGGAATACACGTATGTACAAGGGAAGCAAATAACACATGTAGGTTTGATTAAGCAAAGACCTTCTGGAGGCCCTCTTTCTGAGCTGGGGTGAGCTCAGTAGGGAATTTGATATCGTAGTTGATAATCATATCACCCTTTTTACCAGTCTTGGAATTCGGCATACCTTCGTTGGGAACCCGAGATGTCTGGCCTGGTTGGATGACTGCCTGAGAGCTTATGTTCAACGTCCGTCCATCGAGGGTTTGGATCTTTCGAGAAAAGCCAGCCAAAGCCTCCACGAAATTCAAATCAATCTTGATACCAAGGTTATCACCATCTCTCTTGAATACAGGATGTTCCTTTTCTTCAACCACAAACTCGATGTCCTGAACTTCGCCATTGTCGAGTTCATCGCCCTCTCCCGGGAATCGAATCTTGGTTCCGGCCTTCCATCCAGGTTTGACATCGATGCTGAGAATTTTGTCTGTCATGACCAACTGGCCTGTAGCACTATCATGGGTTTTGCGTGTAACCTTGAGACGTTTGGTTGTTCCGGTGTAGAGATCCTCGAGAGAGATAAGGAGAGACCGTTTGATTGCAGAAGATTTTTGAGGGAAAGTCTGGCTGGTTCTGAATGTGGACGTTCCTCTTGGTATGCCTCCAAAAGAGAATCGTTCGGGCATAGGTTCATCATCGTCCATGCCACCCATACCTCCTGTACCACTTCCAAACGAAGAGAAGAAATGTTTGAATATATCGTCAGCATTAGAAGGACTGAATCCCTTGTGTGAGCCAGGCATGCTACTAGTAGACGAGAAAAATGTAGAAGTGCCACCGGGGAAGTTGAATCCTGCAGGGAATCCACCCATGTTGGTAGTTGTGTGGGTACTGTGGCTGCTTGGAGCAGATCCTCCTCCTCCTTTGAGACCTTCTTCGCCATATTGATCGTACACAGCGCGCTTGTTCTTGTCACTCAAAACCTCAAACGCCTCACCGATCTCCTGGAACTTGGAGTTTGCTAGCTCTGGCTGGTCCTTGTTTCTGTCGGGATGCCACTTCAAGGCTGCATTCCAGATAAGTTTGACAATCTACATTTTTCTTTAAAGAATAAAAAGCGTACCTTGCTTTCTGTAAGCCTTCTTGATTCCTTCTTCATCTGCATCCTTGGAGACGCCAAGAATCTCATAATAGTCTTTTCCCATGGTAATATATTATAGTTGTAATAAAAAGAAGATGATAAACGCGTTTAAAGTATCCGAAACCTCTACCCCTTTTAAACTTATTTTTTTTTGAAGTAGATATATATATATATATGTATTCTAAACTCGACGTCATTACGCCCGCTCATAATTTTTGTTTTAGCAGGTACTGGAAGTTTCTAGAGAGAGTTCGGCATTTCAATGTTTATTGAGCAAAAACTTTGGGGTACACACACACACAGAGAATAATTTATTATTTATGATCTGGGCTTCTCCTTCTTCTCCTTGTAAAGAGCAAGAAGAGAGACACCGGCAACCTTGACAACCTTGAAACGGACACCAGGAATATCACCAATAGCACGGCCCTTGCGACCGAAACCAGCGATCAAAACCTCGTCGTTCTCATCGACAAAGTTCAAACAACCATCATTGGGAACGAAAGCAGTGACCTTCTTACCGTTCTTGATGAGCTGAACACGGACACACTTACGAATGGCAGAGTTAGGCTGCTTGGCTTCAACACCACTACGAAACATAGCTTTATTAGAGAAACTGCGGTCAATTGAACAATATAAGTTAACTTACATCTTTTCAAGGACGATACCCTTGGCGTGGGAAGCACCACCAAAGGGGTTGGAACGGAAGGCAGTACCGAGAGCTCTCTTCTTGTACTGCTTATCGGCCCAACGCTGCTCACGGCGGTGGTTGCGCAATTTACGAGCGGCGTTCAATCCTCTCGGCTGTCCCTTACCTTTAATGCAAGAGACATGTTAGAATTCCAGCATATCGATTTCATTCTAGTTTCTGTGTCCAAATAGTATATATATGCGTGTGTGCGTGTGCGTGTATATGTGTGTTTTGTTGCATTGGTGAATAAGCCGTAAAATCATGTCGTTGTTGTCCGTTTTAAATTGAAATGTTCGTTTTCGATTGTCATCGTCAATGTGTCCAAAGTAAAAAGGCATTCTCTTCTTCATTTGGCTGAGTATGGGATGTCGCGAGATTGGTTTGGATTATGTCCGTCTATCCATTTAATATATCCATCCATCCTTCCTTCCTTCATCGACTATATACATTCTATTGGTTTTATCCAAGCTATATGGCGTTGGCCATCTTACCCATGATGTAGGTCTTTTAATGTAGAAGGAGGTTTCTTGGTTTCCATGTGTAGACTAGGTTATCGCGATGGCAGCTATTCCAACTACACGTCACGATGGTGTTTCGAACACAGACTATGCTTCTTTCGGCAACAGCACAGAGTTTCTCATTCACAAGTGAGAAAATTAAATCAATTTTTTGAGGTAGTCACAGGTTAAATTTGAAAGAATATATCTTCCAAAAGTGCGGTCCGTAATTTCCAACCAACAACATAATGATAATGCTTATATAACGTACAGCTACAAATATTCTACAAGTAATATAATTTATATAACCTTTGTCTTCTTTATAGTTACGTATTGAACCACATAAAAAAGTACTATAAAAGAGTCAGTAATTCTAACAAAAACACTACCTCAAACAACACATATTTTGCTTAGAATAACAGAGAGAAAAAAACAACGTTATCAGTGCTCATATGAAGCAATCAATAGTCGATAAAGTTTTGAAAGAAAATCAAAGCAATGCCGAAACAGCAAAACTATCAAACTTGACCTGAGCGACTATCGACAGTATCATCAAATGCTATGTAGAAAAAGGAAGACTTGAAAACAAAATATAAAGCTCAGAGAAGAATGTTTTGAGTTTATGCATGATGCTTCATATGAAGACTGTCAGTTAACCGTTGGAATCGTCAATAACAGGTTGCTAGCGTAGTTTCTTGCTCTCAGGAATGTAGTCATCTACCCTCAGAAAACTTACAAACATGTATACATTTAAAGAAAAGTTGGATTTACACTAAAAAGAACAAAGCCTGTCAAAGAGAAAAGAAACACATTAGAGAGGGTGTTTTCGAGCCTGAATTGCAAACGTTTGCGTTTGTATTTCACGCGGCGAATTAAATTCCAATATATGTTTCGCAAATTTCATGGTGGAAGCCATTTGGTGAGCAATTGAAGCCAAGAGTTAGGGATTCCCTGATTCTAGACTTTAAATACTCACTAAACTTCTAGTAAGAACTGAGCTTATTCTTCCCACTTTAATACAAGATATATGATATTCAGGAGACTTTTTTGCACATTTGCTTAATAGAATAGGTCTCGGAAAGCCAAGTTTATTAAGGTATATTTCGTTTACATTTTTATAGTAATAACATTTTCAACTTATAAATCCTCACAGTTGTGTCTGAGTTTTTATTTATTTTTTATTGAGTTTTACAAATCATTATTTTTTAGCCGTCTTGAGATTATCACTCAACACTGTCTCTATTTTTTCTATTACTTTCTTTAACTGACCTTGTACACAATACAACCAAAATGTGTTCAAATTAACAATGAAAAGGCACTTTTTAATATATAAACAAAATACAGTGAAAAAGACATATGGGTAAAAAAAATATGTTTTATAAAAAACCTGTCAAAAATAAAAATAAGATATTTCTAGACAATTCAACGTCTCTCTTTCATAGTGATTTCTATAATATTAATAACGTAAATGCAAATACAAATCACAGAATACATTCAAATGCTTATATGTATATACACACCAGCCGTAGACTTAAAGTCTAGAACAGTAAAGACATTCTATAGCACAACTAACAATACACGTGATAAAACATTTACATATTTTACTTGTAAAAAAAATTGTTACAGAGTTCAGCTTTTACTTTGGCTTTCTAACTCAGTAAACTTCTACAGAACCCCAAAAAGCGTAATTTATGGTTCTCTTGGCAATTGCGTGGTTTACTATCAAGTACCACAGTCTGGGTTAATCTACTTCAATCAAATAATAAGAGAGAACGAAGGCGAAGATGTATGGATGGGGTGAAGTCAAAACTTCTGCCTTTAGATCCTTCTTTACCTTGTTCCTCTTCTTACTTTTCTCTCCAGCTTTTAACCTACTTTACCACATCCTACTCTACATAATTTTTTATTATTTTTAAAAATAAAAGGAAAGGTCCAAAATGGCAACTCCTCAAGGCAAAAAGTACACTATTGGCACACGCAAGTCCCAATTAGCCATGGTACAGGCGTACATTGTCCGTGATTTTTTGCAGCGTACTTATCCACAGCACACATTTGCGATCGAGAGCATGTCTACTTCAGGAGACCGCATTCCCGAGAAAGCGCTGAGCAAGATTGGCGAAAAGGCTCTGTTCACAAAAGAACTCGAGATTGCCCTGGAGGACAGTCGGGTTGATCTGGTTGTCCACAGTCTAAAAGACCTGCCGACCGTCCTTCCGGAGGGTATGTATCTCGGTGCAATTACGGAGAGAGAAAACCCCTACGATGCTGTTGTACTCGCACCTCGTCTCAAGGGACACACACTCGCAACTCTGCCAAAGGGATCCGTGGTCGGCACAAGTAGCCTCCGTAGAGTTGCCCAATTAAGACGTAGATACCCTCACCTTGTATTTGACGATGTGGTAAGTGTGCGGATAAGGGTATGGAGAGTACTGGTAAAATAATAATAATAAAAAAATCTGGGAATCTAATATATGCATGTACATTTGACTTGCCCTTGTTCCTGATCTTTATGTTTATTAGCGAGGAGGTTTGTAAGTAAACAAAAGCGAAGAAGGGGACGAATTTTCTCTTTATTGGATATCCATCGTAATCATAATCATAATACTAATACTAATACTTATGTATTATGTTTGCTGTTATAGGAACACACGTCTTGCTAAATTAGATGCAGATGACCACCATTATAGTGCAATTATCTTGGCTGTGGCTGGACTGGTTCGTATTGGGAAAGATGACCGTATTTCACAAATCATCGAGCCTTCAGATGCACTATACGCCGTATCTCAGGGAGCGTTGGGAATAGAGTGCCGTGAGAATGACTTTGAAGCACGTCAACTTATCGAGGCTCTCAACCACACCCCAACCCGCATTCGGTGCTTGAGTGAGCGTTCATTGATGCGTACTCTGGAAGGTGGCTGCAGTGTCCCGATTGGCGTCAAAACAACTCTCGAGCTTGGTGATGAAAGCAAGATGTCGCTTAGTCTGCGTGGACTGGTAGCCAGTCTGGATGGCCAGCAGGTAGTCGAGTACGAAGACACCATCTCTCTCCAGGGCGCAGACGACGCAAAGAAGTTTGCATTGGCAGAAACTCTGGGAACTCGTGTGGCAACCAAGTTGATTGAGATGGGAGCTAACAAGATTCTTGATGCCATTCGTCACTAAATTAATATATATATATGCGAAAAGTTGTGTATACACGAAACACATAAAAACAAAAAGGAGGACGTTTCTTTTGAAAGAATAAATATCTAGAAATTTGTATATTCTGTCTAATGAAACCAATGTGTATCATTGTGTCAAAATTGAAATCTTATTTTGATCTACTTTTTGGTAAGAAGGGGAGGGAGAGAAAAAAAAACTCCTTGTCTGACTGGCCTGCCTTTTATTCGCAAAAGGATTGGCTATGCTAATAAGACGGCCACGCGACCCGTGAGAGAAAGAGAAAGTGAAGGAGTAGAAAGAGTAAAACCTAAAGTACTTTTTGTTTGTTTTTTGTTTTTTTTTGTTTGGCACTCATAGTCAACATCTGCTTTCTTGCTATCTTCTTCTTCCCTCTTATTTTTTTTCCTGTTTGCTTTTTTGTTTCAACTCTCTTCACATATGAAACAGCTCATTCCTAGTCATTTTAAACACGATGAAACGGTCGCACATCCCATTACTTTGCGAAATTCCACAGGACATGTCTTGACAATAAGTGTAGTTTCGGCTAATATAATTCGAGTGCGCTACCAGCCGCCAGTCAAGCCTAGAGAGAGATCAACTCGGAGAAGTTATGGAGGTGTCATGGTGTCATCAAAGGAGGTGGTAGTGACACCGAGTCGGTTTGCCTTGACAAAAAGTACCGACGGAGAAGAGGTGGAGATTGAAACACCTGAACTGCGCATAGTGATCGAACTGAAGCTACGACACCCACCCAGACTTGTGTGGTATGCTTCCGGAGAAACGGTTCCCTTTGCACAGGACTTGGTAAATCGCTCTTTGGCTTATGACCCTTCATCAGAATCAGTGTGGCATTATCAAACCCGTACCGAAGGAGATCATTATTACGGCCTGGGAGAAAAAACCGGAAAAATTGATTTGAGTGGACGTCGTTTCAGGCTGGAACGCATGGATTGTATGGGCTACGATGCACGAACCCAGGACCCTCTATATAAGTTCTGTCCATTCTATATCACACTTGGAGCACAGTCCAATGCTGCCCATGGAATATACTATAACAACTTTTCGGACACTACTATTGATCTTGGGCAAGAAATAGATGCTGTATGTACAATACACACACACACACACACATATATATATATAAGCAGACCAATAAGTAATAGTGATTTTAAAACATTTCTTTTTAAAAAAATTATAGATGTGGGGACCATACAGCTATTACCAAGCTGCATCAGGACCGTTAGACTACTATCGTGTGTACGGTCCAACCGTATCAAAGGTGGTAAAGAGTTACGGAGGATTAATGGGACGCCCTCGTCACCTACCACCTCGGTATGCATTCGGCTATCTTGCATCGTCAATGGGATATGCCGAAGCTGAAAATGCTCAAGAGCAACTAGAGGCTTTTGCTGACCTGTGCAAAGAACACTCCATTCCATGCGATGGCATGCATCTGTCATCTGGCTACACAGTCAATGCAAATGGTGATCGGTGCGTATTTACCTGGAATCCTACGCGTTTCCCAGATCCTAAACGCTTGGCTGCTCATCTCAAATCTGCCGGCATTCGGATATTTGCCAATGTAAAACCATGGCTGCTCAAAAGTCATCCAGACTATACCTTACTGAAGGTATCTCACGGACTGGTATGGAATTCTGATGTGAATGACCCCGCGACACTTTGGCAATGGAGCGCAGGAAAGCATACTGCAGGCGAGGCAAGCTATATTGATTTCACGAGTCTGGTTGGCTATCGGTACTGGCAAGAACGATTGAAGACCCGGCTGTTAGATCTAGGATATGAATTATGGCTAGACAACAACGAGTTTACTTTACTCGATGATTCAAACACATATGCGTGCGAAATGCACCCTACTGTTTATCAACCACATGGGCTCAGTCTTCCTGCAATGTCACCTAGGGATAGCAGTGCACGTCAAGTTGGAACACCATATCAGACACTGATGATGATGCAAGCATCATACGAGGCTGTTCGTAAGCACGCCCCTATTGACAGACCATTCATAATTACCCGATCTGCAACTCCATTCAGCCACCAGTTGATGTCACAGACCTGGAGTGGTGATAATACCACAGACTGGAGCACAATTGAGTATAATATTCCCATGGGTTTAGGGGCTGGTCTCAGCATCATGCCTGGAGGATACGGTCATGATGTAGGTGGATTCGCAGGCCCACGACCTAGTCCAGAAATGTTTGTACGATGGGTGCAACAGGCTATATTCTGGCCAAGGTTTTGCATTCATTCTTGGAATACAGACGGTACAATAACCGAGCCATGGATGGTAAGTTATTATTATTTCTTTAAACAAACACACACACACAGAGATACATATCAGTTTAAGGATGTAGATCTTAATACATGTATATCTTTATTTAGTATCCAGAGGTGCTTCCATTGATCCGTGCCTCAATCGAATTACGCTACAGACTGATTCCATATCTGTACTCCCTTCACATCAAATACTTCCATCATGAATGTGAGCCTGTGATACGCCCGCTGTTCTATGACCACCAAGACGACCCCAATACCCACACCCAGTCGTTTGAATTTATGGTTGGATCAAATCTCTTGATTGCACCTGTGACCCAACCAGACCAGATCAGTCGCACTGTCTATTTACCTGCTAATACTAGCTGGTACCACTACCAGACCAACACTTATTATGATGTACCTAAAGAAGGTCTCACTGTAACCGTTCCTTCCCTTATCGAGGACACGTCATCTCCTCTTTTTGTTAAAGCAGGAACAATCCTGTGCTTTGGCAAGGTGATGTCAAGTGTATTTGCAGATGTGGATGATGAGCGTCGAATCCAGGTGTTTCCACACCCTACTGACACTACCCGCACTGAGTTTCATTTGTTTGAGGATGATGGAAAGACGATCTATTACGAAAATGGCGCCTACGCAGATGTTGTCATATGGATGGAGCCAAGTGCAACAGAAATTAGGGTTGGCATTGAGGTGCTTGAGGACGGATATTTCCCTAACTATGATACTTTGTGGGTCACGTGTCCCTTGCAAGATGAGACACGCCCCTTAGTATTTGACGGTGAAGATGATTTAGGACGCAGTATGGGGTTGGTGGATCAGCAGGATACCAATGTATATGAGGGCTTCCGTATCTCATGGAAACGTACTCAAGAGGAATAGTAGAGACAACAATAAAGAAGTATATATATATATATATATTTGGATTTGTTTTTTTTTATTGATGATGAATAGAAGAGCCACTACTGTCTGCAGGTGGAAAGGTGGGCGTACCTGGGTTACTGTTTGTACTGAGCGAGAGCTGACTCTTGCGCAGATTTGTTACTTGAAGACCTGGATACCAGCGGTAATCCATGCCTTCATTGAATCCTACCCATTGAATAGATGATACAGATTTGTGACTATCGCTTGATGGTCTTCGAGGGAATGCAGGAGATGTAGGTGTTAAGGGAGGCTGTAGGAGACGTGGAGACGGAGGAACCGAAACTTGAGCTGCTGCTTGGTTTGTTTCAGATTCATCTTTCCAGATAAGCGAGTTATTGAGAATGGCCTGCATCCACAGAGCATCGCTTGTTGGCCGTTCACTTAACCGATTATTGATACGTGCTGGTGTAAAAGCAATCGATGGTCCCATGGATGGTGATGATGATGTTGATTTCACTGATGGAGTGTCAGATATTATTGAATTTGTCTTTGTAATATTCGGTGTACTCCTTGACTTTTGGTATTGTTGTTGTTGTTGTTGCTGGTGATGTTGTTGTTGATGTTGATGTTGATTATTATGTCGCTCTGAATACTCTGCTACAGATGGAAAGTGGATAGGAATTATGCCAGAGGTCTCTGCAATTGAGGGGAACAATTCCGAGGTACGATTCATGGGTGTAAGGCGTGAGGAGCGAATGGCAACTGCGGGTGCCTGCAAGACAGTAGATACTTCTGATGCAGCTGAACGTCTTTGGTTAGATCCGGATAGGGCGTAGCTAAACCGAGGATTATGTGACGCTTTGTCTTGAACAGATTTTGCCTGGCGACGGCGATACCACACCATAAACAGACATCCACCTATTATTATTACACCCGCTACACATCCTACAGCAATTCCTGCTATTTTTCCGGCATTACTTTCGTCTGCTCTTTTGATTAACTGCTGACGAAAAACACCAGGAGATAGTACCCAAGTAAAGGTATTTGTGTCAAATTCTAGAGATTTTTCGGTCAATTGGTTACTCTCGTCTAGTCCACCGTGAAATAGAACAATTGAATCATCTGTAAACACGGCAGCATGGCCTGCGCGGGGTTGACCTTGAGCTAACTTGCGCCATGAGATGTGGGCTGGTAATTGGCTCATATCGATTTCCCATGCATCGCTCAGCAAGAGACCTTCTGAGCCCATGCCACCAAACAATATTGCGCGTGACGGGTCAAAGGGAAATGTTGTCATGGTAGCCATGGTTCGTGGCTTTGGTAGAGATGCCTCGAGAATTGTATGAACGGTGGATGTAATTGTGTCGTAACAGGTACAATGGGACATCAATTCGTTATTTTTGGTTATTCCAAAGCAAGACAAGAGCCAATTCTGGTAGTTTACGGTAGTGTGACCTGCAATTGGTATTCTCTGGTTGTTTTGTGTGTGCAATGAGGGTTGTGTCCATGTCTTTGATCGCCATCGAAAGAGCCATAGATCGCTCAAAGGCACCAATTGGTCCGCGTTGATCGAAAACCCGCCATGTACATAGAGGTCTTTGCCCAAAAGAGTTGATGTATGGCCATACCGGGAAACTGGCAATGTGCTGGTGTAACTGTTCCTGTGTCGGTCTGCCAAACGTCTTTCGTCTCTTGTCTGAATGCCAGGCCCGTGCAAACCAAATAGCGACACAATTGACTGGGTGGGTGGATACCAGTGCGACGTATGGCCAGCAATAGACTGGTCTCTGTGGGTCTGTAGGGTGTCTAGATGGGTTTGAGTGTCTACAAAGGTTTGGTCGAGTGTGCTGAATCCACCGATGGATACAATGGTGTTATTTGGCAATCGTACAAGGGTATGGTGGATACGTGGTTCATTGGTTTTTATGGGTTGCCCGAGACCTAAGGATGTTAACTGTAAAAAGGCTACGAGTATGATAGATAGTGGAATCATTACAAGGCTATGTTAAAAGGAAAGACTAAATGAAAGGAGTGGAAGTGAAAAGAGGTTAAATTTGAGTGGGTCCTTGACTGAGGCAGGGTAGAAAGGAAGATGTATCCAGCTTGGGCCTTTATTGTTCTTCTTCTTTTTCCTAGCCTTGGCAGCCAGTATCCAAGAAAAGAGAGAAAAGGGAAAGAAAGAGAGTGGAAGAGGGTCAGGACCATGTTGAGTTGATAATAAGGTCTCAAAGTGGGGTTTCTTTTTTGTATATATATAAAAAAAAAACAAGCGGTCTATTAAATAATTATATTATTTTTTTATATGAAATTGCGGAAACAGAAACACCAAGATACATATTTTAACGATTGTACTTCCTTGTCCACTTCTCCGGGTCATAGTGCCCCCCATTGACAATCTAACCTGTTTTGCCCACGCTTTCATTTAAACAATGGTTCCGATTCAAAAGGATATTATATTCTGTTAGTGAAGTGTAGGAAATATTGGACAAAAAGGAAAGAAAAAGAATCTGATAATATAGTATAATACAGCGTAGTATAATACTTTCTACACTAACACCAAAAACAAAAAACTATGGGTATGTTACCTAGCATTAAGAAAAAGGTTATAATTGTATTATTTTTACTATTTAAATATCAAATGAAAATCCAAGTGAGCAAGAGAGTACAATAATTTTTCTGATGTCTGACAATTCATCGACCAGATCTTCCAAAAGTTCCAAATACAAGGTTTTTTTTTTAAAAGCAATTTTTTTTGAAACAGCCACAATGATAAATTGAAACAATTGTATTATTTAATTAGTTATTATATTTTCAGGCACAAAATAATATCCAGAATCACATAAAAATAAAATAAAATTCATAGTATTATTCTTCTTATTAATGAACGAACTTGTAAGTTTGATTTACTTATTTTATGAATATATGATAATGATAATATCAAATAATTAACCCGGGATTGCTGGGTATCTCTGCTATACAACATGATATTATATTAAAGGTAAAATCTCGAGTATTAATTTTTCTTTTATCAGGAGATTTTATTAGATATATTTATATTGTGTTTTTGTAATAAACTATCTCTACAATATCAAATAAGACATTTAGTAGTACTTCATGGGCTTATTTTCACTAAAATTATCAAGCAATGAATCCTACAAGCTCTTATCATATAACTCATATAGTGCTCTATTGATCCATAGATCTCGTGTCAAGGCACCTTGTATATCTAAAAAAAAAAGATATATATTAACTGGTGTGGGTGTGGGTGTGTACAGTTTAAGAGAGCGATTTACCAGAAAATGTCTAATCAAAACACCTCTTTGATTATCGGAGTCCTTGTTTATCGTAAAACATTTTGCAAAAAAAAATGATCAATACAAATTGTATGTGTGTATGTGTTCAATTAGATTTGAACAGCCTTTTAAGAAATAAACTTCCTAAAGAGTATAACACAATTTCAACAATTTTGGGTAAATCTAAAATGACCTTTTATATATATATTCTAAATCATTCGGTTCAAGGCCAGGATCGCCCTGTACATTAACAAACAGGAGATTTCAATGCTCATCCAAGAATAATATATATATATATATATATATATATATATAAGCAGCTCCAGTGAGCTTCGTTAGGAATAACCAATGTCTGGCTTCCTTTACTCTTCTTTCCTGTGTGTGAATACAACTTTTGACTCGATCTTCCAAATAAGCCTCCTATTTTTCTTTTCTTTATTTTGTAAATCAGAAACCAAATAGAAATCTAAATTTACCATCACAAAGGGTGGTTATGAATTCAAGATATATGTATGTAGTTTTGGAAGAAAGAGTGAGTTGTACGGTCTTATAGTCTCGGAGACTTCCTGGGTTGGTCCCGTAATGTCAAAAGAAAGGGTCATCCCATGAGTGTACAAAATTAGTGCCATAAAGACAGGTTATTCTCATTCAAACTGCTACCAAATATTTCCCCCCTCTCCCTTTTTTTCCGTTTTATTTTATTTTTAATAGAAAAAGAAAAGGAAAAGAAGAAGCGTGGCGTTATCAGGATACTGAATTTTATTCTCTTGACTTGTTTCTGCGCAGCATAGATACAATTTACATCTGTATTGGTTGTATTCAGTTCAGTTGTTAATAAGAGCAGGGCAATTGAATCCCGTGTATACCATGGAATTGGTATTAGTATCCAGGCTGAACTCGTTACTACTGCTATTGCATTCCGTTATAACTGCAGAGTACTTCTGGTTAAGGGTCACTTGTTACCAATTACCAATTAGTAATTAAGTAATTATTTATGGTTCTATAATTGTTCTATGGTATATGCATTTATAAAGAAATAAAGAAATAAAGAAATAAAGAAAGAATTTCAATACATACATAAATTATCCTCTCTTGTACAGTATTCTTAATGAGCTTGATGAGTACTACAAAAGAGAAAATAAAATAAAATTTTAAGGTTGATAGCCATGGTTACGGTCAAATCCATTTCGGAAATCAATGCTTTGCTTTGATAACCTTGCTATTTTTGAATGATGATGATGATGAAATGAGTTTCATGATGTGTAGAGTTTAGAGATACACGTTAATTTCATATGAAATCAAGTTGAGATTGGTAGATAATATGCATGTCTGCATGCCTGCCTGCCTTTTATTTATTTATATATTGAGTAAAATAAATTCAAGCCAAAATATCTCTAATTAATTTGTTAGTTGTACTCAATAGCGCCGAAATACGGGTGTAATCAGCTCTCTTTCTTGCCTTTTTATTATTCTTTAGAGATCTACATAGTAACCTTTCATTTTTACTGGTAAGCTTTGATGCTTAATATAAAGCACGAGCTGTACTCATATATAGTGAAAAATAATTATAGGGATTTTTATTTGTAATCTTGATGGGAAATAGATTATCAAGCTCTTGATATATTTAAAGATCTTTTGTTGATTGAGATGCACCCTTGTGGCAAAAACGTTTTCCCTTTTTATATATATATGATACACAAGGGGAGCAGAGTTTTACCCCATGCAAGGCACTAGAATATCATTACAATTATCAATATCCAATATCAAATATTTGTCATTATGAAGACAATGATTTATGACGTATAATTAAGTTGATTTATCCAATTCTGTCACACTCGCAGGTCAGGACAGGTCAGGACAGGTCATCCCAGGACAGGCCAGGCCAGGCCATGCTAGTCTAGTCCAGTTCAATTCAGTTCAGTTTAGTTCAGTTTAGTCCAAGCCAAGCCAAGCCAGGTCAGATCAAGCCAGGTCAGGCCAGAAACATTTTATATATTTTTTGCTGGCAGACGGAAGCAACTTTTTTTTTGGTACCTGGAACCCTTGATTTTATAATAGAAAATATTTATGTATATTATTAAATTTAAAACATCTCAAAAGGAAAACCACATTTTATGGATTGTCTAGCACAGAAGCTAAAAGTAGAAATTCAATTCTATCCTGCTCTCCTATTTTTTTTCCCGTTTTACAGCCTCAACACAAAATTAAATAAATATCAAAAAAACAAAAAAAAAAGTTCTCAATCTCGAGAAATGTATTGGATATATCCGCCCTGTCATTCGCCACTTATTTCCCTCAACTTTATGCAAATAGCCCTTGGACCTGGATCTATATATGTATATATGTATCTATGTATCTATGTATATAATTACACGCACATGTATTATTTCCGGCTCAAAGCTATTCCATTCGGCTATCCTTGATTTACCAAAAGATAAAATCTATTCTGTACAGTGATTTCTGTAAGAGAAAGAATTTCATTTGTATGTATATTTAACTATTCTGTATAGATCAGATGTTGTGTGAGTGTGTATACTGATGGTAACCACGTCAAGGAGTAATAACGATGATTGGATCAAGTAAGAAAATCAGAGCGAATTGGAGTTTGGGAAAAGATATAGATGGAAGCAAACGTGCCTTGGTCTTACCTTCCTGGTATAGAAATGCAACAGGAGAGTGTGGTTGCTATAGGATATGTGGGGAAATATATATATAAATATCTATTCGGTGTATCCGGAATGAATATGATCTCATGAGCTATACGGCCAATATTTTACAGCACCTAAATCATAAGCACAAAGAGAATGGAATAATTTCTTTCTAAAGAAAACAAAGGGCTTCAGATACCCGCAATAGATCCAAGCAATAGACAGTCTGTGTTGATATAGAAATGTCTTCAATATAACTGCAGGGGAATATACTATACTATACTATATATCCATCTCAAGGAGCAAATCCTACAAAAGAGAGAGAGAAAAAAAAAAGCCAAAAAATTAACTCAGTTTTCATTGCTCCAATGACTAAATCACCTGCAATACAGACTTGTATATCTTTCATGTCATCCATTGTTACACTCTTGGTTTGGATCACTCTCGTTCATTGAATTTTTTAAATAAATAAATATATATATATATATAAAAGACTAACTCATCCAACTTCTCACCTCAATCTTGTTCCAATTTGCACAATGGCTCTAATGACTCATCCTATATCAGAAGAGCAAGAGAGCCAACCAATTCAACCTTTTGTACCTGAGAGATATCCAAATGAAAACACCTTCCTGCTGGCCAACACAAAACCTCACTCCACCCGTAAGCCAGTCAATTCAACAAGAATATCTCTTGGAAAACTTGTTCTTATAAACATTGTTTTCTTTCTTTCTTTCTTTCTTTCTTTCTTTCTTTCTTTCTTTTTTTCTATAAAGGAGAACCTTGGTTCCTCACATTGTATCATAGTAAACTTGTCTCACTTGTTCCTTCTCTTCTACTTGGCTCCGTAATTTGGTTTGGTGTGACTCCCACCGAGGAACTCACTCAGACAGCCATTCGTCTTTTGGCTGTCTTTACAAGGTACAAAAGAAACAACCAACAAAATGAATGAATGAATATCACATTATTGTTCTTAACCAACAACCATTACTAGCTGTATATTTGCCCTTATAACCACAGGTGTAGACATATCCCTTCTGGTCCTTAGTGCCCTCATAGTCTTGTCGCTTACCCAGTCCTTCCAGTGTAAAGACCGAGCAACTGGCCTGAGTATCGAATGTCGACTTTGCGGAGATGAGAATACCCAGACAGGTGGAATTTATCAGTGCAAAGGGTCAAAGGACTCGTTTGAACAGGCTCTCACAGGGTTCTCAAGCTCCGTTGTCTGGTTGATCTTTGCTGCCTTTCATCTAGGAAAGGCTGTCGAGGTTACCCAGCTTGGACAGCGTGTCTCTCTTTTGATGGTCAAGACATTCGGTCAGCATATTATTGGACTAGGATATGCCATTGTTCTTTCAGGTAGAGTTGTAAAAAGATTTTTTTTTTAAAAAAAAATCAAATTGTACATAAGTGTGTATTCATTTCTGGTCAAACTATTTAGAACTCCTTTTGGCTCCGTTTGTTCCAAGTAATACAGCACGCGGTGGTGGCATTGTCCTCCCAGTTGTGAACTCCATTGCAAAAACACTTGGCTCATCACCTACCCAGGATCCCAAGCTGGGAGGATTCCTGACACTAGTTGGATCTCATGCCAACCTTATTTCGGCCTCAATGTACCTGACAGGTAATATTTTTTTATTATATATACAAATTTTGATTTATTAAATAAATATATTTAATACAATTTCTTTGTCTAGGCATGGCTCCCAATCCAATAGTCCTAGCCAAGGCTGCTCAACTATATCCAGACATGGAATTTAACTTTATGACCTGGTTAACAGGAAGTTGTGTGCCTGCCCTATTTTGCGCAATTTCTCTACCACCGCTGATCTGGTGGTTCTGTGGGCTAAATAAGCCAGACAAGACCTTTGAATCCTCTACTCATTCTCCACGAAACGGGGTAGTAAGGCATGCTCGAGATGAGCTGGCCCGCATGGGCCCCATGTCATCCAAAGAATGGGTAATATATACAAACATCCCCAAAATTCTGCTTGTGCATATATGTTTTTTCTCTTTTATTTAAGGCTAAACATTATGTTTATCTATCTACTAGTGCCTTTGTTGGGTTCTTATACTTTGCCTGAGTCTGTGGGTAACTGGTGGATACACAAATATTGATTCCACACTGGTGGCCCTGATCGGAATTGCCGTTCTTTTACACACATCAACCATAACTTGGAAGGACGTATCTACAAACACAAATGCAGTACGTAAATTGTATTAATCTTTTATATATATATATATATATATATATTTAGTCTTGCTCTACTATAGCTGTTCGCTTATACATATTTTCATGTTTAATTAATAGTGGGATTCTTTATTCTGGCTTGGAGGATTTGTTACTATCGCTCAACAGCTCTCCGAAGCAGGCGCATCTGCATTCATGGGCCACAAGATTTCTATAGCAATTGTCCATTTTAATCTTCCTCCTGTACTTGCCCTTTCCTCGGCCTACTTCTTAACAACATTTATGTTTTCTTCTTTGAGTGCACACACTGTTGCATTCGTTGGTACCTTTTTGGATGCTGGCCATGCATTGGGTGCCTCTCCTATGGTCTTAACTGCTCTTGTGGCTTACTTTGGATCTCTAGGAGGTTGCATGGTAAGAGAATAATGATACCAATATGTATGAGCTGTAAATGATGAAGAAGAATAACTGACCTTTGGTTTCTTGCATTATCTTTTTGTATAAAATAAAACATAGACCAACTTTTCTACAGGCAAGTTGCATTTATTTGCTTATTTAATTACATGTATATTAATTTTACTGCTTTATTTCTCTTCTTTCTCTTTAGGCATGGCAACAATGTACTATACTCTTGGTTATGTGTCACGTCCAAGATGGTTTATAATCGGATTTACCTTGGCTGGATTTTATATGCTAGTTTATTTCACACTTGGCTTGGGATGGTGGAAGCTTCTTGGCTGGTATTAAGCCCATTTCTTTATTTTTATTTTTATTTTTATTTTTATTTTTATAGAACACATTTACAATTTATAATTTCTTGCTGTCATATACCATTCTTCCTTGATAAGAAGTATCATAGATAAAAACATTTTTATTAGCTTTCTCAAAAAACAAAAAACAAAAAAAAAGAACCTGTAATAAATGGCGTGACTTGAGAAACTTTTTTAGAACACATAAGCTTTGAAGCCCTAGAAAGTGACCTGACCCAAAGGAAATTCTAGCTACCATTGTGATACACAGCCAGTGACACTCTATTTTTCATAGCCTATATATATTTCAACCTTGTTCAGGATATATTTATATATATATATATATTTCTTCCTTCTTTTTTTTTATATTTTTCTACTACTTTTCTTCTTCAATTTAAATTTCTTTAAAGATGACTGTGCCGATTCCAAAACGACAAAATTTACAAAGGTCCTTCCATGTCGGAGGCTCTGTTGCTGTAATCACTGTGGGGTAAGTAGTCAAATCAAGTCAAATCAAAAATCAAAAAATTTAAAATTAAAATTAAAAGTGGAAACAAAAAAAATGATATTCTAACATTATTCTGCCTATTGATTGAACACTCTCTAGTCTTCCTGCGCGTGGTAAAACCCATGTATCTCGATCCCTGTGCCGTTATATCCGCTGGTTAGGTGTTCCTACACGTGTATTCAGCGTGGGAAACTATCGCCGTGAACGTCTTGGGTACCTTCCAAATGATTGGTTTAATGAGAGTGAGTTTTAATGATAGAATTTCTTATGACAATCCAGAAAAGAAAAAGAAAAAAGTGGGAGTTAAATGACGGTTTGTTTTATTACAAAAAAAAAGGCAACGCAGAGGCAGTAGCTGTTCGTGATGAAATTAGTCAAGAGTGCTTGCAAGATGCAATTGACTGGCTCCGTAACCGCGGTCAGATGGCTATCTATGATGGTAACAATGTTACGGACGAGAGACGCAAAGCTATCTATGATGAGCTAGTGGAGAACGGTATTCAGGTAAGCAAGAATACAGGATAGTACAAGGTGATACATCGGATGCTTAAATGAAAAGTGTGCTAATGATATCCTATGGTTTTTGACATGTTCTATAAGCCACTTTTTATTGGTAAGGCAAGAGGCAAAGTTGGTTAATTAGAATGGGGCAGTATATTCCTTATTATTATTATTCTTTTGCTAAATGTCTTTCTATATATTTGATATGGGATAATATACAGAGTTTATCTGTACGAAACCAGAGGTGGTTAACGGAAATATCCGGAGTGTAAAGATCTCGTCGCCAGATGTAAGAACACAAGAAGAACACAAGAAGGGAGGGAAGAGGAGAGAGGGGGGGTCCATGAAACGGGCAGTTTTTGTGTATTGTAACTGCGAATGGCTGACATGTGCTTTGGTGATTAAAGTACGTAGGATGGGATCCAGAAGAGGCCGTAAAGGATTACAAGGTGAGCAATATATATATATATATATTTATACCACAGATTATCCTGCATTAGTTTACCTGATTACTTGTTTTGTAGGAACGTATCAAACGCCATGAAGCTCTTTATCAAACAATGACCGACACTAGTCTTCCGTTTGTCAAACTTATGAACGTGGGAGAGAAGATTATTGTGAACAATGTCTCTGGATATCTCCAGGTAAAGAATACATTCATATAAATCATCAAAACAATTCCATTCTTTCTTCCCAATACACCAAGTATATCTCTTGACTGACACAAAAATATAATAATTAAAGAGTTGGAAAATTAACCACCACAGTTTTTTTTTAATTATTATTAAAATCAAGTCACGAATCTTACACTACCTTACCAACCTGCACATCACGCCCCGGACCATTTATTTTGCACGGGTAACTCATCGGTCTCTTCAGAATATCATTCTTGTTTTTGCTTCGTTTGATCATTAAAGTTATCTTTATCTATATATATATATATTCTATAGACAGGAACCGCAAGGGATGAATCATCTTACAAGATTGACGCAGAGTTGTCTCCTGATGGGTTCATGTATGCTCGTCAGTTAAAGGACTTCTTGACATCTTACCGTCAACAGCGTTATGGAGCTGAAAACAAGCAGAGAAAATTGACAGTAAGTAAGCAAATCAAAGCAATTAGCTTACCATATAATCCATATGTATGTAGACGAGACCATTGTTTAGACTAATACAAAAAAATTTAAAAAGGTCTGGACATCAACTCGTAAGAAGGCTCGTCAAACAGTGCAGCCTTTTGTCGAAGCAGGCTACACCGTAAGACAGCACTCGGCGCTCATGCAATTAAATCCCGGAGAACTCAATGGGATGTCGCCAGAAGAAATAAAGGTAAGATATTATAAAGTATACTCTACAAGAACTACATGATAGATAATAGAGAGAGAGAGAGAGAGAGAGAGAGAGAGAGAGAGAGAAAGCACTACCTACTAGTACATACAAAATACACCCATATTTAACACACACACACACACACATTCTAGGCAAAGTTCCCTGAAGAGGCTGCTCTTGCTGCCGAGAATCCATATCGCCATCGTTATCCACGCGCAGAGGTAAGAGGGTTTCCCCCACAATATATATATATATATTAATGATAATAACAATAATCTTTAAATACCAATCAGTCCTATCATGACCTGGCCTCTCGTCTTGAATCTGTTATTATGGAATTGGAGCGTGAAAAGAATGATGTATTGATCATTGCACATGAGACTGTATTAAGATGTCTTTATGCCTACGTCTTTGACCGTCCAGACAGGGTAAAACAAAACAAAAGAAAGAAAGCTTGTTTTTATAATCTACAATAATCGACTAATGCTTTGGATATGTATGCAAATGTAAAATATTTAGGAAATCCCATCTCTCTCTATCCCTCGTGCTTGTTTGATCGAGATTACTCCATCTGCTTATGGCTGTAAAGAAGCTCGTATGGAGATTGATGGTGCTATGCCCACACCAACAAAATCGGCCAACTGGATCCAGCCAAAGACGAAAAGACGTTGATATAGATAGATATAGATAGATTAATTGATTCTTTTATTATATTTTATGCACATCAAAAAAGATACCCTCATCCTTTATAAATAACTAAATAAATATATTATATATATAAAAGTACAAGGATATTATACTACCTTTAAAGAAATACCAAAGCAACAAGGGTACTCATTTCTCAAAGGAAAAAAAAAACATACGCCTCTTTATTAATCTTAACTACATGTCGTGTCGATTCAGATAAGAAAGAAAAGTTTTATTTAACATATGGTATATTAGCAGATCATACTACACCATTAGATACCTTTGCTTTTAGGAATACTAAAAAGGAACATTGTTAAAACAAGCCTTTTTTTTATATAGTAAACTCCCAATCTGAGCCTAGCTCTATATTTTTCTTGCTTAATGGGTGTCACAACAATATTCTCTTCGTCCGTCTTCAGCTTCTTGATTATGTACTTGACACCATATTGTGCATACTTCTTTAGTCTCTTCAGTGTTACTCGCTTGATTCTTTTTTCATAATATTCTACACAAGCTGCAATCTTATTAAAGTTCGTGTTTGTATTCTTCGCCATTTCTAGATCCTAGTCTTTTTGGGCTTAGTTGGATATCATTGCATTTCTTAAACGACTTGGTAGCAATATAGCGGATTTCTCAAAGTGTCCTTTCGTCATTTTCTTCAAAAGCAATTATATGTCGTTGTTGACTTCATAAGAAGTATACTAAAGCTATTGTTGGTTTCAGTGTTTGCTTGCCAAGCGCTTCATCAGATATACTTTCGAACGAATGAATAAAAATAGTAGGCTTCGAACCAGAGATCTTGTTTAGATCCGTAGAAGGACACGCCTTTGCTTCGAGGAAAATAAGAGCTACAGAGGTTACCTAGATGCTACTACCAAACATACAATGCTAATGATGCTGCCATAATTCCAGGAGAAGAAGTCTTATTATTTCCAGTGTTTCTAAGTATTTGTATCCCAGATTATATCGGGGTTTATTAACGTGCTATGGGATCATAATATATTTTATCTCTAGTCTAGTTGCAGAAGCTTATACTTCCCCAGCGCATCTTGTCAAAAGTCCCATTCCATGTGAAATTAAATCCGGAAATGACGGTTGCTCTCTATATTCAGGTCACATACAGTGCTGCTCTGAGAAAGGAACTTGTCGGAAATAATGCGATGAAGTCGACATTGAATCAATGAGTAGACATCACCCGGCTGCGATAGAAAAGAAAGCTATATAATTAAAATATATAGACTTCAAAAAAGTATTTCAGTTCTACTAAAGAAGTTTATTTTATTTTTAAATTTTTGCTGAAGGACGCCATAAATCAAATCGTGCTAGTAAAAGATGACGTGTGCCTAAGTATATTTATGAATTTTAGCTGTCAAAAAGTAAAAAAAAAAAAAAAAAAAAAAGGCACCGAGTTTACTCTTGTAAATTAACCTTTTTAAATATATAGTATGCCGGAAATGGATCGATCTTTTTCCTTGTTTCTTTAAAGCATTAATAGAAGCATATAACATTTTTACAGGCATATCTTTGCGAAATATACTATATACTAATACTGACTTTAGTTGGGTCATTTTATTAAACTTTTTTTTTCTATAAAAATAATATTCTTAATCTATAATCTTTCATGTATCAAATTTTGTTCAGATTCGTTTACAGCAAGTGTATCATCAGAATCTCCAAGTTTCCTTTGCTTGATTGATTCAGAAAGCTTTTGGAAGATCTCGCTGTTCACATAGTACGCATTTAATAGTGTCTCGGTTAGCTGCATGCGTTCTTCAACACGAAGTAAGCGTTGCCTCTGGTCGATCATCTCCTCTTCTTCCGAAGATCGCTCAAAATTGAGCTTTGCTTCGTTTAGATATTGAGAACTGTCCGAATCAAAGGCGCCTTTTGGGTGGTAGACAGAATCTACTAGTGGTATAGATGTATGCCTTGAATCGAATCGACTCACTAGATTGTGCTCAAACGAGCGTCGTATTGGACCAATAGACCAACGTTGAATGATCCCCCACGGAGAGTTTGGACGGAAACCAAAGAGCCACATCTGAAATGCTACTGCGAGAGATATGACACCTCCCAAAGATCCCAAAACACTCAAAATCGTCGATCTTCTCTCTTCTAGAAGAGTGACTGTGGCGTAGTTATTTGGAAAAACCTTAAGATTGCTCAAATGATAGGATCCTCGGCTTTGAATAAAGGAGCTTACGACACCGGGGCGAAAGTTGGTTGTCAATTCTGGAGTGTGGTTGTAAATTGGTAAGAACCCGATCGTATTCCAGCCACTATTTGTAAGATATTGATGGTCTTGGATCTGATATCCCAAAGTCACTACAGTCTTTGGTGAAATGCTGTACACATTAACGGCATATCTGTCATCTAGATCGGCTACAATCCAGCTATCAATCTGTGAAGGCGTGAGTAACTGACGAATGTCGGTTGTAGTGATATTGTAATACACCACATTAGGATCCATGCCAGGCGGATAGAATGTTGTGTGGATTGCGCCAGTTACAGTATTATTTCCATAGAGAGATATTATCAGCGTAGTTCCGTTTCCGTACCCTCCTGTTTTATCCGTCAGACCAAACCATTTTGGAGCAGCGTATAAGAAGCAGTCTACTTCTCCAAGTCGATCCGAGAATGCAGGTTGATGTAAAGTCATATTGAGCGGTGTAATGAATTCCATACAGTCGTACCCTTCATCAGTAGAGCATATGAGATGTGGACGGTTGTTTGCACTGGTTTCCGAGCTATTGGTCCATCCATCAAAGCATATACGAATATCTGTATCAAAGACATTGAGTATGCTGAATAGCCAAAATATCTGATATTTTACCTGGTGTCTGTATGGTTGATTCACTGGAGCTAATAGTTATTGTTGCTATTGAACTATTTAGAACCTCCCACAGTGTGTATGAAAAGAAGAATAACAAAAGAAGGAGAATAAAGAACCTAAAGACCAGACGACATCCCTCTACCCATACTGGTTCCCCCAAGCTAAGAGGCATCGAATATCAAAATAGACGTAAGAGAAAAAGAAAACAAAAACAAAAAAAAAGCAAGTATAATCTTACCGTGGGGTCCAGATGATATTGTAGTACGCATTAACCAAGAAGGAGCGTGTATACCTCCGAGTTTTCCAAATAAATGCTATCAGAATAATACACACTACAATAGACCCAATAACTATCCCTGAAATTGAGCCTGCTCCTAGACTATTAGAAGGCCTAGCACCTGTTAATTGAGAGGATGTTATGGCTTGAAACTCTCTTAACCAGGTTAAGGTTGTCATAGACTGGCCATTGAATTGAAGAATATTTATGTCATTCCTTAAAGTTGTTATAGATTGACCTACACAAATGATGTGTAAGTAATTAATCTGGTAATAGATGTGAGAATTACCATATGCAATTACTAGATTATTGGAATTGAGATATCCTATTGAAGCCTGATTGCGTGGAGCAGGGGGAAATCCTCGACTCGGTGAAGCAGACCAGGTCCATGTGGATGTGTCCAAGAATAGAAGATCATTACATACAGACTCTTTTGCCATGTCGTACCCTTGTAAACCTTTGTTATGCAAATAAATTATAAGCTTCCTTTATTACAAATTAGCTTAATTTATTTTTATCTTTACCTCCAAACAAAACAATTGTCTTCTGATCAGGAGCTAAAATACACAAGAAATAAGGTTTGTATTTTGATTAACCTACTATAGATATATGTATCTACAAGCGAAGATCAAAGAGAAAACGAACTTACCTAGAATTGCGCTTGAACTGGTTCTTCCTGGAAACGAAATCCCGCCAATCTTTTGAATGGTAAATGCATCGTTAATAGTATCATATACAATTGCTTCTTCCGACGGTAAGGCGGACAGAATCGATCTTGTGCTAACACTCGTACTCCCGGTAACAAATACAATCAATCCATTTCTACCCAAGAAAGCTTATTAAAATCATATTATTGAAGTATTTTTCTTGTTTTAAGAACAGAATCTTACGGAAGTGCAGTTGCTGTATGAGAATTGAGAGTACTCTGATGAGACTTTGTTATGTCAGAAAGTTGGTTGGTAAGAGGGTCAAAGACAAGCAATTGATTAAGTTTATCGTTAGTGGCGTATTCAATGCCACCGTAAAGATATATTTTCCCATTGGTCGCCAATGTCGCGGTGTAATCTCTACGCGTTGATGGGATCACACTGTTATTAGCAAGTATTATCTCGTCCCAGAAACGACCAGGCTCGTTAAACTTGTATTTAAAAACTTTGAGCGTATCATTTTTTTGGTTGTCTGGATATCGTCCAATAAATAATAGAACAGAGTCGCTTTCGGGTAAATATACCGTAGTTGAGCGAGCACACAGAGGACCGGGTGTTTGCTGGTATACGATCTCATATAACATGTTTTGTTTTCCTTCATCGTTTACCAAGGATATTGAACTGAATATGTTGGAAAACTCTTCTTTATATGTTGCTCCCCCATAAGTATAGACTGTATTTCCACGACTAAATGTTGCAGCTCCAGCCCGGTTATCTATATCGCCGATAAGTTCTGAAGGTATAATATATGATCCATTGACATGGGTAATAAAATAAAGTAATATGCTAAACAAGCAAAATTTTAGAAAATTCATACAGTAAGGTCGAGTTTAAAGAGTACTTTAGAAGCAATAAAAAAAGAAAATGTATATATATGCGTATGTGTATATCTATCTGTTTATTGAAAATGAGGCTGAAAAGGGCAAAAGAAATAGAACACTAGACTTAAAAAAATTGATCAAAGCCAAGATCTTTTTTCCCTCCTAATTACACAGAAGTTACAAGTGCTTCCTTACCAGATTCCAAGTGCGTTCGCTGATGTGTCACAGGTAATTTTTGTTTTCCATAAAGCGATTTTGATTTGGTTGCTTTTATCAAAGCCAGTTTGAGTAACGTCTAAGCCAAAAATAAACCGTGGCCTAGTGAATGCTGGTCTATATATTTATAGAGTCGATTTTCTAAAATTAAGAAAACAAAGTATATATATCTATATATACATACATACTTATATACTTATATGCTAAGCACGCATAATATACGAAACGTGGTTGATATATGACCATCAGAAAACTAGCAAGATCATATTATATCAATAACCAGCTAAAGCTCCATAGGGAAATGTCTTGCGTGCAAGACGTCATTGATCGTGAAACAACCAATACTTAATGGTAAAATCCACACAAACTATATATATATATAGCAAATACTTCCTGTGGTGTGTAATGATCTATACGAATTAAAGTTAAGAGGGAGTAGTCTATAGGGTCAAGCAGTGTATAAATAAACACTTTATACACAGATCAAAGTTATAAGAAAAAGTATAGTACAGTGTTTTGCGTTTGAACATTGAATTGGTAGAAATGTGTTCCCTGTCAATATACACATCACAAAAAAACAGTCTTTCTAGAACACCCAAAGTTCTGGACTAGGCTTTTTGATGAGAAGTAACATGCCTTATTGGAGGATTCAAGGGAAAAGTTACTGGCTGTTTTAAAAAAAAATAGACTTCAAATCAACCCTTCTACTCCATTAAAATATAAGAGTACATATCTATTTCAAACATTCAATAATTTTAATTAAGGCTTTTCTGAAATAATTAAAAGATACAAATCATATATTACCATCAATGTGTACCCAGAATGAAGGAACATTGTCCTTGATAAATAAAGATGTATAAATATTGACACATAATTATACATTGACCCCATAAATAACCAAATATAAAATTTTGGACTTGAAATATTTCAAGCTACATCTCATCTTCATAAAAGGTATATCAGGGGCTTCTCAGGAATTAGCCAAAATCCTAAATGTTGGCGGGTTCTTGAAAAATCCTTTAAACTACTAGAAGACCCAAAGAATGGGCACACCTTTAAAATCACATGAGTTTCAATAGATTTTCCCAAAGCACTGTATGGAGTATAGGCTCTTAAACAACGTGCTAGGCTAAAGGTACAACGGGTTTAGGCACTATGCTTCTCACAGGACCTATACATATGACTTAACTTTTAATAGACTTGGACCAAACGTTTTGCGAGCTTTATCGGTGTCAGCCTCAGGTACATTTCTACCTTTTAGATTCGGTCGCTTATATATTATTGCTTTGTTGCATCTGTAGTGTTCGGCTTTGGATTATTTCTGCACTACTATTACAACACGTTTGTTACTGTCAAAAGAAAGAAAGAAAAAAAAGTCTTGATGCTGGAGCATTGCTTTTTATTTTATTTTTACTTCACCACAATCTAGGCTTGTTGAATTGTGACGCATCTATGGACAGTCAATTAAAATCCATGTCATTGATTGAAAATTGTGGATCAAAGTAAATCACTAGAACAATGACATCTACTCTATCATATTGGCCGAGGCGCGAAATCAGATAACAGGATATAAAATGTTAAGATAAATTATACATAGACACCAGCACCAGAATATGTCAGTGTGTTCCATTACAAGCCAATGGAAAGTGAACAAGACGCAAGCACATTTCAATTAGAGTATTTCATATATATTGGTTTATGGAGAGAGATAAACATTGTATACAAGTTCTCGGACCATTGTGCGAGTAACCCGTCTCCAAGAAAGGATAATGCCGTAAAACTCACAAAGTTGGATTTTAGCCAACTAATGCCCATTCTGGAATAAAGATCATATAAAAATAGTCTCGTTAGGATGATGTCTACTTTTAAACCATATGTAGGCCAGTGTTTTATGTATATATATATATATATATAACTCCAAATCAAGGAGACATAAAATACATGTTTTTCTTTTTTCACTGAGCGTTGTATCTACCCCATGAGCCATATGGAATGTCCCACTCCTCCAGGATTCGTAGAGAATGCAGGATTGTATGTCATGTTGATGTTTTGATGAGTCGATTTTTATTTTAACTGTAAGTCTCACTATTTTACTGTGTAGTCGTCCAGGATTCAATTTTCTTGACATGCTTGAGTTTCCTTCACGTAAGTTAAGCATAATGACTCCATAATCTAGCGTCATTTCAATGTCTCATTTTAAAGTAATTTATAGAATCATGGCACATTTGGGGTTGGGGAGTTTCACTTGTATTTGCTGCTGCAACGTGGATAGCTGCATTGGTATTGATATGGAAGCACGTCAATAACTATTAGTAAGACCCCTCAAGTATTTAGCATCCTTGAATGTCAAGTCTTATGAATTCGTATTCGTATTTTCAAAAAGCGATCCAAAAACACAGAGACACAAGCTTCGTGTAATATTATACCCGCCAGTCTATTCGACACTGTCATGGTTTTCTTATCTTCGATATGATTATTCGACAACCATTGAATTTTTCGCCACTGTGTTCGAAGCATTTGCTGTATACAACCTTTACACCTGTCTTCAGGCATATCTACAGCCTTTTCGTAAAGAAGCAGAGAGGACGAAGGAACCAATGACAGCAAGGATGTTTCATATGTTTACTGTCCATGTGTAAGTACTGGGATGTATGTGTGTATTAAAACAAAAAACAAAAAAAAATCCAAGGCTTACAGCATTCTATTCATATTTAAACAGAAAATCAAAATGGGGTATGCATTACCGAATCATCACAGACATTCTCGTCTTACAGTTTCCCATATGGTAAGATATCTAATTAAGGATCGAGTAATACCCGAGACTTATCCGAGCAATGTCTTGTTTATATAGGTCTATTATAGACTCCTTTATTTCAATCTTTGCCGAGTACAAAGGTGTATATTGCCAAGGAAGCTATTCTTTTAGAGGAGCTTATGTGTATCTGGTTATAATCAACTTTATTTCACTGTCAGTGATTCTCAGTGCACTATTCACTTACTTGGCGATCTACAGAAATGAGTGGTTCGAAGGAAAAATCAAAGCACATGGCATGTTTTGGTGTGTAAAAGGCCCAATCATGTTTATCTTTTATTTTGGTCAAATACTCCTAACTGGTCTTACGAGTGCAAAGGTTATACGGGGCACAGACGGAACTAATTCAGCAGATTCGGTTGCATGGCCAGCCGATGCAGTCAAACATGGACTGTATGTTATTATTGTCTGTACAGTAATGGTGGTCGACATTGGTCTTATGTTTAAATATTTTGGGCCGACTGATAATATCCAACATGCTCGTGAAAACGGAACAGAGAAAATGTCGGTGTGGCGGGCCATCACCGATGGATACCTAGTCTATATCCCAGAATTTTTTTACAATCTGCTATGCTGTGGTGCTGACTCCTATCGTTTAATGCGCAAACGAGTTGAGCTTAGAAAGAGAAAGAATAGAGAGAAGATGAGTTTAGGTAGGAGCAACTCATCTTCAGCTGGGAATCATTGACAGAATTAAAGATATATGTTCTTTATAATGAACTTTGTACTCTAAATATTATATTATTATTATTATTATTTAATATAAATTATATCCACATCAAAATGATTCCCAGGTGGCATGAGAAAAATGGCGATCCAAAACCGCAAGATTGTATACTTGGGTGCATATAAGTGGTGGAGTCCATCCCGCTCGGCCAACCGTTTCACGAATCAGGCAAACGGTACAAAACAAAATTCTTCTTTTGCTATTCATGCCACGCCATGCCACGCCTTAACTCAATAGCTCTCTCAGCAGCTATTCTCATCTCTCTCGCTGGTCTTAATTTTGCAAGCTGCCTAAAGGCGCAATGTCCCCAAAAATACTTTAATGAGCTGCTTATTGAGCAATGTTCGGCACCATTACATCATGACAACATTATCCCTCTCTTCCTAAATACACCTGAGCAGCCGCCCTTTAGTACATCGACAAAAACCGAGATTGCTAGCCAAGAATCAGAAACAGCTATTTCACAACAGTCTCCACCATTTGCATCGACTTATGAATCACTGCCAGACATACCAACAACATCTCCAACAACCCATTCTACCGTGATCCCCAAAACTGAGGCACTTTCAGCGAGTAAAAAGTCTACCGAATCAAATATACACAACACTGAAAGTATACATCGAACTGGCGAGACTCGTCCGCCACTCCTGTCGTTTGAAGATTGGCAGCGGCAGTTATTACAGACAGAAGAAGAGCGCCATCATAAAAAAAAGCCCGGATCCCACACTGGGCGAGAGAAGCAAATTGGTCAGCAAATGATTGATAGTATCGATGGTGGCCTTGAAGGGGATCTCGGGGCAATGTTTGAGGGTCTCATGGGGATCACACGTAAGACGGCTCCAGATAATGTGTATGAGGAAGGTGCGTATATTGAACCCAAGAAATCGGCGTCGGGATCAGCATCAGCATTAGCATCATCTTCACCCTCACCCTTGGTGTCACACTCTGCAAACACCGATAAGAAAGTGCCACCCAAACCTTTTAAACCCTTACCAGTCAAGGCTCTCAAAGAAAGATTTAATTATGCATCTACTGACTGTGCGGCAACTGTGCGGTCTGCCAACAAAGAAGCAAAGGGCGCCAATTCTATTTTATATGAATCCAAAGACCAATATTTACTAAACAAATGCTCAGCAAATAAGTTTGTGATCATTAATCTTTGTGAGTCGATTCTTGTTGATACAATTGTCTTGGCAAATTTTGAGTTTTTCTCGAGCACATTTAAGGACTTTAGAGTTTATGTGGCAGATCGCTATCCTACTAAAGACTGGAAACTTTTGGGACAATGGCAGGCCCGTAACACAAGAGATCTTCAGGTAGACAAAGGGTTGCATTGAAATACAAAGTATCTTTCCAACTCACCTATAATATTTTTTAAGGTGTTTAAAGTACAGGATCGTGCTGGTTGGTCAGAATATATGAAGATAGAGTTTCTTACACATTATGGTCACGAATACTACTGCCCACTCAGTCTGGTTCGTGTACATGGCATGCCAATGATGGAATACTTCAATATTGTCGAAAGGAAGGGTCTGTCTGGAGAAGGGGATGAGGACGTGTTTCTGGACGACGAGTCTTTGTGGCCTTCAGAAGTACGGGATGAGATTATTCAGCCGAAGCGTGATGTGACAAATACTTCAGAGTTCATTCCTGTTGCAACAGAAGGCGAAGAAGAGTTGACTGTTGTAATTCCACCTGTCATTATTGAAACTGTTACATCTTATGAAAAAGAAACATTCTCAGCAGAAAATGAATCGTTTGATGATACAGAAAAAAGCGAATCGACCCAAACAACAAAGGCACAGAAGAATAGTACACCTACTACCACAGCTTATAACGCAATTGATACTAGCTTGGCCGATCCCAACCCATCAAATACGGCTAAAGATAATGATCAAATTAAGACAGCAGATGTTACCAACTCTGAAGATACCATAGATAACGATGATCTGAATATTTGTGAGCCGCCATTAAATGTTGGGGTGGATCAACTTAATTCACAGCTCTTTGAGCAAGAGGATATAGATGCATCTATTTTACCTTCTTTTAATTCCGAAAGAACTTTCACAGCAGTGGTGGAAGAACATACAGCAAAACCCATTATTACAACATCGCTTACTACTACTTCCGCAGCAACAACTGCCAGTAGCACAACAACAGATGAAATTCGATCTGGGGCATCTGCAAAACTGTCATTTGGATCGCATGGAAAGGAACCAAATATCCAAGAGTCTATCTACAAAACCATCATGAAGAGACTTAATGTTCTTGAGCTCAACGCTACACTGTCACAACGATACCTGGATGAACAAAACAAAATGCTTAATACAGTGTTTATGGAGATGGAAAAAAGACACCAGGACCAGCTTATTTTACTTTTGGGGCGTTTGAACGACACTGCAAGTCTGAGACTTGATAATATGGTTTGTGGAAATGTGAAATAGTTTATATTTGTGGAGGTGTGCTCATATCTACATGTAAAATACAGAAACGACGCTATGAAGAAAGATATGAGGAACTCAAGTCCCAAAGCCAGATTGATGCCAGAGAAATGTCAGCAAGATTAAACTTACTGTCTGATCAAGTAAGATCCTACTTTCTTATCTTCTATATAATTACGACCGATATTGAGCCATACCTTTAGATCACATTCGAAAGGCGCATGTCTACTGCACAGCTAGTATTCTTGGTAGTATGCTTTCTGTACATGGCACTATCTCGGGGTACATTCTCCTTTCTTTCTCCTGTAATACAAGCACAGACTGAAGAAAGGAAGCGAAGGAGCTCGGCTGAAAACATATTAAACCCGTCACCGAAGCATGAAAGAGAAACCAAAACCAACTTGGGTGCGCCAAAAAGTGCAGATCCAATTTCAGTGCAGCACAGGTCTAGTGATATACATCCTCTATCTGATGCAACTGTCCCAACCACCACAGATCCAAAAAAAAGCACTCCATCCTTGAACAAAAAAATATCGCTTTTATTCAATAGTAGTGGGGGAACTATCAATATTCCCGAAATCCCACCCTTCCAACCGAATGGTAATCAGTCCAAAGACGATGGTGCCCAAAAACCTGCTCCTGTGAACGATACACTTGACCTTAAAGAACCCCCTGTTCACAATACACCAGTAACAACACCTATACCAGCAAATGCGCCAACAGATTTTTCAAGCCCGAATAGAGAGCACCAAAAGTTAACCCTAGGGAAACACTCGAGCATACCCTTGGAAAATTCAGATAATTCTCTGGATACAAAGGAATATATCCAAAAGCAACAAATCTCCCCAGTAAACGGTGCTACTAGCTCTTCCAGTTTCCCACTTCCAAAAGGGACTCTAGATAGCGAAGTTTGCAAGACCCTTGACGAAATTTAATTAAAATCATGATAGAGTGAAAATAAAGAAAAATTACACTATATAATTACAATACAAGAAGCATTTAAGATGAAATGCCTAATAAATACACCATATCAAAGTCATATATATTTTAAAAAGTGTGTTAATCATATTTATTGATTGTATATACATAAAATTATGTTTGTCTAAAATAATGAGTTTTATATATATATATATAAAGAAATTCTTCTAATTTTGAATATCTTGGTAAATAATATGTTTTGGTTTCATAATTAAAATAAGAAAGATATAAGAACGAGATAAAGTGTATATAGGTGACTTTAGCTTTTCTAAAGGAAAAAGTTAAAATAGATCAATTGATCTGAATAATATATCAACTGCAGTATCCCTCTATTCAACAAACGATATCAAAATTTAAAGAATTAATATAAAATACGTAAAGAAATGTACATGTATGCATTGTGACTCTATACTCTGAGAGAGCCATGTATTTGTTGACTTGTTTTGCTTTAAAGCAATGAATGCCAGAAGAAGGACCTATCACACTCTACTTGTGCCTGTAGTATATGCAGCACTGGAATAGGTGGTCTAGTCTTTGCTGTGACGGCCTCCCACAACGCAACTTTGTTTAGAACCTTGATTCGCTTGACATTAAGGGCCTTTGGTGCATTTACTGGAGTAGAGTTTGGAACAGAATTGTATGTTTTGATACGATCACGAATACTGACACATTGTTGTATTGGTGTAATTATGCTTCCTGGAACAGATTTGAGAGACATCTTTGCAACAGAAGTAAGACTGTTATTGCTAAATGAGTGGCCTTCTCTTGATTTTTTTCCAGTGTCGAAACTAGGAGGGCTACATATACTGAAGAGCGAGTCTTCATAAGATAACATGTTTCTTTGGGATACTGAATTTGGTAAACAGGGATCAACAGACATGAGTTTTCGGAAGAGTGCAATTTTTTCGTCAATTGTCTGTTGAGATGGTTTTGTAGAAGACTCCGTAGTTTCCACGAATATACTTGTTTGATGTGATAGCGATTTTAACGATATGTTGCTGTGTAATCCTTGATTATCTTCAGATCCTTGGCTTTTGTTTAAGTTGTCTGAAGGTGCAGAGTACTCATTGGTTTTTGGTTCTTCTGAACCGAGAAATATTCGATCCATAGACGTAAAAGATTTTGTAGAGTCAATTTTTTCGTTGGATTCAAGGGTGGAGAAAGCAGCTTCAATGGGAGAGATATTCTTTTGGGATATTAATCCAGATCCCAATAAGCTTTGGGATGTAATTATACTGTCGGACTCCGTGTCAGCTTTATACCTCAAATCTGGAGAGAGCACAGGTGTGTGAATCGATTGGGTATTTATCTTTGTATCTTGGTACATATAGTTTTGGTCTTTTTCGACTGTGTCAAGTGAATTGAGAATTTTGGAAGCTCCCAAGACAGGTGCAATGGAGGTCTGTGCGCTTTTCTTAAATATCCTTGCGACTTTGTTCAGTACGATAATTTTTGTTTGCTTGTACATGTTTCTATTATCGTCGAAGAGAGTGCTAATTTTCAGGAATAATGGCGGTTCAACTATGTCTTGTTTGAGTTAGAGTAATTTAAAAGAGAAGAAGAAAGAGAAAGGTTCAGAGACTGAGCACTGCGAAACTCCTTTTTTTTTTCCTGAGTATTAAGTCTGTTGTGAGTTAATTGCTGTAAGCAATAGGAATGTTGGGTATAAAAATGAAATAAAAAAAAGACAAAAGGGTGGCTGACAAGAAATAATATCTTTTAAACCGAATTTTCCGGTTGAAATGACATAAAAAGGTCTATCTTTGCATACTTTTCAGCAAACAAAATAGTTCTTTGTAAATGTATCATTGTTTTTTTAAAGCCATCAAAGTATGGGTTGGAAGTCAAGTAGCAGTTCAGAATCAAAGTGATGAGAAAAGACACTGGCCAGCATCGAAATTATCATTGCTACTCAAGCACGTACAGTGGCGCATCCTTCGGAAATAATAGAGCACATGGATATTGGATATTCTTTAAATAGGTACTTTTGTATAGTGGAACATCATGCTTTTTTACCGCTATTACGTCGGATTCTTATAAGTGGAAGACATGCATCATTAAGTATTCGTTTATTGACTTCTTTTATTATTCTATTATCTTCTACTATATCTAAATAAACTGATTCTAAAATGTATTTATAGAGTCTTCAAGCAAGTATAAATTTGGATTCTACTTCTTTCCTATTTGTAGAATAGCGATATCTATCTCGGTAACTAAAACTCACGGCAGTTTTACGCATGCTTTTTTTTGTACTTTTTATAATTGCTTATGATGTAACACTGTATTCAAAGCAGTAAGAATATCAAGAGCTTATATATGTATATGTATATGTATATGTATATGTATATGTATATATATATATAGGGTAAACTATGAATATTCTTATAATTTAATAATCAAAGTAATAATGCTATACAGTCATTTCAGAAAGTCACGGTTTTTGAATTTGATGCCATGCGAAAGTTTGTATATCCAGAAATGTTGTTGGTTGATCCAGCAATGAAGACGTTTTCATGTGTCGTGAACTTGCTTGCCATTTTACCTGTTACTTAGTCATTACTTTATTATACCCCTGGCCTTTTTATATGTATAAAAAGAAAGCGCTTGTGCCTTTATTTCTTTTTATTTATATTTTATCATTCCAATTATTCAAAGTACCCATTTTTTAATACATTCATAGGTGCTTCTGCTGCTGTAAATTAATCAAACATTCGTATTTGTGTGGCTCAACGATGAGTCAAAGGTTACCACAAAAATCAAGAAAGAATCTTCAAGGAAAATAAAGAGTCAGGTCGACATGGTATTCTTGGAGAGATACATACGCATTTTCTATTAAATTATATTGATAAGAATCTTTCTGGTGCTATAAGTGAATTGCTAGGAATTTTGAAGTAAATTTTCGTATATATTTGCTTCCTGTAGTACTGTTTACAGTATCACGACAACTCAATGTAACTTACCCAGTAAAAAAACTAGAGTCACGGCTTATGGAAAGACATAGCGAGAAAAAAATCAGCAATGATATTATTAAGTTCGAGAGTAGCAACATACTGATTTGGACTTTATAGTAAATTGTGTCTTTTTTAATGAATCAGCCTTTCATACAAATTTGAAGCAAGGTGAGAATTTGTCAAACAGAGGACCCCCTGAAATAGTTAGAGTACATAAAACCAAGGCAAATGGGATATCAAATTTAGGTACAATATTTAAAACTGCTATAATTAACGTTAGTTTGAGAGTTCCAAAGCGAATCAAAAATATAAAACTAGGGCGTACATATAATGGATAAATTATCGGAATAGTGAAAGGACAGTACCTGATTAGCTGTGATAACCATAGTATCTGTACGAACTTCTCTAATCTCCATGTCTGAAATAATCGCATAAATCCACTAATTGTATTATATGACAAATTGGCATTCTAATAATCTTAAAGTGCTGTGAATAATTCTAATCCAATCATATAAAAAGGCGTCATTATGGACTATATTTAATATCTTTACCCAACCTTTTCTCCATGTGTATCATTTACCTAATCTATTTATTTATTTATTTTATTCGCACAGATGGTGAATATCAGAGGATATAATAATACAACTTAGAGAATTAGGTAAAAAATAATTGAAACCATTTCTTTACTTCGTTTTAAAGAACTGTAGTACCAATTCTCAAGTGGATAAACGTGTATAAAGATATTTCTTCATGAAAAATCTTTAAGCATGTCTTCAAGTTCATTTTCCAATCAAGTTTTTATTTTTGGTTTTTCTGTATTAGAGCACAAATTCAAGATCATCTTGTTCATTAATGTATATTGTTTCTTTTGCTTTTCTCTTCAATCTTGGTAGCTGTTCCAAAGACAAGTTTGAATCCAAATCCATAGCTTGACAATATTTTCTTTTGGTAGCCATATTGAATGTCAATCCACGCTTGATCAGATTTTCTTTTCTTTTGGTGATCCAGGAACACCAAATAGGGCCGCATCAGTCTTCATTAAGATTTCTTGTTATTATAGCAAAGTATATTCACAACATTTGAGATATTTTTATCGTTTTCAACATGATTTTTGTATATGACCATAGAAATTTGTTATAACTTTCGAGTAGTTTCCTTTCCAGTATAAGATTGGCAATGCAACATCGGAAAAACTTCAATAATGAATGAATACATAGCTTACAAAGGTATGAATTCATCAAGAGGAACGGTATTTGATATAGTGGGCTTTGGCACAAGAAGACAGCTTCTCCCCAGAAATAAGTAAATATATTCAAGGTTTTTCAAGACTAGGTCTAGATTTTTCCTTGAGCTTAAAAAGGGATGAAGACTCACAATGCAAAAATAAAATAAAACTATGGGATACGTTTCGTACATGTTCAAGCTTTTATTTTTTGCGAATAACTAAACAGGTATTTCATAAACGGTTCATTAACAATATACTGAATTTCAATTAGGATAGGAGAAAGCGACTTTTTAATTGGTATGCGACGTGTGTACAGTATATCGATCCTCTGGTAAAGAGTCCCCACAACTGAGTTTGTCTTTCACTGTAATTCTTTTCTTACTAACCTAAACTATCCTCTCTGCCACTTTAAGGTAACCTCTTTTCACCATTTTAGCTTCTGAGATCCTAGTAAACTTCAGGCGTGGAATATGGTACTTCAGAAATTGTGTTCGTCTTGGTCTGCTTCTGATGCCGTATTGCTTACTCACTCGCACGCGTCCCTCCTTCCATATCATCCTCTTTTGAGATAATTCCGGCTTCCATAACAGCTCATATCATTTTGTGTGCTCATTGGGATACTATCTTTGGCAACGTCCCCCTTTCTTCTTGAAATTTTTGTTACCAAAGTCGTGGCTGCCATCAAACAAGCACATGGCCATACTCCTAACTAGCAAGGCATTAAATCTCTGTTTTGTAATCCCCCTTTTTCTTACTCATTTCTATATTTCAAAGGGAACGCATTGTATGTGCCCGTAAATATAATTTTGAGTATTGTCTTTTTGTGTGATTATACAGAAATAAAGTCATTTATCTCCTCTCTTGTTATACCCCCAAAATACATAGTAGATATCTTCAGTAGTTCTTTATTTACCGATGGAATGTAAGAAGGAGTGCCACTAGTAATCTTTGATTTACACAATATTCCCTTACTTGGGTGTTAATCTCAGTTAGACATACTTGCAAATAATCAAAGTCTTATATTAGTTTATAGACTAATATAATGATATTCATACTTGTACCCAGTGTGATTAACCGTCAATGCAAAACAACATTGTACATTGGATAAAAGCCGATTTTGATATCCATACGCGAACCAAGCTTTGGGAGTCAGACTGTGACTGCAGATAATCCCGATATACATGGCTACTCTCCTGTAGTCGACAGAATGGGTATGCACCATGAGCGCACTGACTGGGCTGGTAAACTATTCCGACGACGAAGACGCATCTGATGAAGAATTTGAACGCCAAGGTGAATGACACACCATAACACCAGTGCAATTACACACCAGACTCAACAATCGTTCGAATACAGAAACAGCCAAACCAAATGTAAATCACAGTCCAAAAAAGATCGTGCCAATCAAGCCTGTTGAAAAACCAGTGGCCATAGTAAGTTGAATACTTTGGAAGGAGAAAGGTGATTACTGATTTTTATTATAGTCTTCAGGTATAAAATGATGCTTTGTAGAATAAATAAATAAATGAATGTCATTAATAAAGCAAACTAATTTCCTTTCCACACGCACACGCATACTCTCTTTCTCTCTTTCTCTCTATTCTTTACTTCTTATATATATATATAACACAGACACTACGAATACTACTAGTACATCCGAAACGATTGATCCTACAAAACCAATAATAGATCGAAAGAAAAATACTTCTATATTGCCTGAACTAGAACATTCTGCGGCACTGTACCCTTCACAAGATACGAACGTTTTGGATAGATCTAGGCGATTAAAGGCACTATTAGCACCCAAACCAATTGAGGGTGTTGTAAATTGGGGAATTCCTCCAGAGCCAGAGACTGAAGTAGAAGAAGACCGTGCAGTAAGTCAATTAAATAATAGTAAGTCTACAATCTAATACCCCGATAGGCAAATATTGCCCATTTTCTAGAACTACGAGCGTCTGGACACAAGTTGAATGATCATTTACAACGTAACAAATCTTTTCGAAATCCACGGATATACGCAAAATTAGTCGAGTTTGTCGAATTGGATGAAATTGGAAGCAATTTTCCCAAGGAATATTTTGATCCTCACGGATTTCCTAAAGATGCATACATTGACGGCATCCTCGAAACACAGCGGCGTCTTGCAGAAGAAAAGGCTCTTTCACATCAGTCCCGAACAAACATAGCATTTACTAGTGCGAGTACACAAAGCCACCCAAAACAGACACAAGACTCATCAGGTGCTATGGCTGCAGCAATGGCGACGGCAGCGAAAGTGGCTAGTCGGATTGCTATTCCTCCATCACAAGAAGTTGAAAATGAAGCCAAAAAGGGTAGGAAATGGGATTCCACCTCTGGAAGAGAGCAAAAGAGACGGCATTAAGACATAAGTTGATTTCTCTTAATTATTTCTTCTAAAGACATACAGCAAAAAACTACACTTTTATAAAAAGAATCATAAACTACACTTGAGCAATCCTTTTTACATTATTCATTACAGAATAATTCAGTCTAATATCTAGTGCCTCATTAAATCTATGTATGAGCGCAGTGGCTCCATATTAATTATCATGTTTTAATCCTTGATCTTAATTAATAAGATTGTACTCGATGAAACATATTGTTTTGATTTTACAACACAAATAACTAAAATGCATTGCCAAATAATAACGAAAAGTAATACCTTTGTCTATTCTTTTGAGCTCTAAATACAATAAGTGTATTGCTCACCGGAGATCATGCAGCTCCAATAAAAGGCGGAGATAGGTGACTCATAGTGAGCACTGTCTTTAAGTATAGGTTGATTCCTTATACATCAAGATCCCTTCTTAGTAATGTTTCTCAATTTCACAAAACACATTCAAAAGACCAGGGTAGCACTTAATTACATTAACTCGCAACGGCCATTACATGGACGACTTTATAATACCGGCGCGCTGAAGACTACATATGGACTGCCAGATAAAGTCAGTCTTCAGCTGAAAAGAAAAAAGTTCCTACATGGTAAACTTGTGTAGATCGATCAGCAATGTACTTTCAATTGAAACTAAAATTCTTATAGATGCACCGAGCGATGCTAATGAGAAGAAAAGTGCGATGGATCTTGTCAGGTCTCATCAATGTAATACTATTTTACAGGTGCCTGGGAGTACCTATGGGTAAGCCTACCTTGTAATTATTATGGATTTATATATCCCAGTTTAACAGTTATCAACAGTGGTCATTTCTCCCTGGATTGGACAGAAAAAGCACAAAACGTTTTGATAGTAAAGAAGAAAAACGATATTAAGAGTGAAAATGCATTGATCGAGATAGCGACGTAAGTCGATAATTATATTCAAGTACTGGAATCCTAAAAAAAACTGCTTGCCAAAAGATGGTTACATGAGCACTCCAATGTGAATATTATTGTGGAGCCCGAGGTAGCAGAGCAATTCCATAAAAAATTACCATTTGTTCATGTTATTGCCAAAGGTAAAAGTTTTCATGAGTCAAAAGATGAATATTATTTACTAACCATCCTGCTAAAAAGATCAAAAGCAAGAATATTCGCGCACAGTCGATTTTGCCATAACTTTGGGAGGCGATGGAACCATGCTACATTTATCATCTCTTTTTCCCAAGGCTGTTCCGCCAGTAGTTTGTTTTTCATTTGGTACATTAGGTTTTCTCATGTCCTTTCGTAAGTTATTTAAAGATTCCGAAATGTTCAATCTGGTTATAACAGTTTCAATAGAATTTAACCAATACAAACGGGTATTAAGTGATGTTATGGAAGGCAAGGTTTTTTTAACATTGCGAATGCGATTGTTTTGCTCTCTACACGAAGCAAGCGGAAAGCGAATCTCTATTGACGGAAAAGAAGTGGGCAAGTGTTAGATGTTTGCTTATGATAGTAGAGTGTATTTATTAATGAATGTAGCAGATGATAGACAAGTTATGAACGAAGTATCTTTACATCGTGGACGATACCCACATCTAACGTCTATTGGATGCTATGTAGACGATAATTTCTTGACAGAATGTGTGGTAAATATAAACGGGCGGTTTTTATAAACGTGTATATATAACTAACTTTGCTCATATCAATTAGGCCGATGGGTAAAATACTAATAATAAAAGTGTGCTTGCTAAGGTTAATACTGACATAATATACAATTCTTTGAATTTAGTTTAATCGTAGCAACACCCACTGGATCAACTGCATATTCCCTATCTGCGGGTACTTTAAATATCATATTATATGTTAATATAGTACTCATATTATATAACATCTCACAGGAGGTCCTATTGTTCACCCGAGTGTACAGAGTATTGTACTAACACCTATCTGCCCCCGGTCACTTTCCTTCAGGACAGTGTTGCTTCCTCCGAGTGCAAATATTCATATGAAGGTATATAAGATAAAGAAGAAAATATTATATAGAGTTTATGGAAGCTTACAATCATTTGCCTTAAACATTTTTCTTCTACAGATCGGCGAGTCAAGTCGAAGTCAGATCGAAGTTTCCATTGATGGACAAGAAATATTCATGTTGGAAAAAGGTGAATATGTTCAGGTTCGAATGTCAAAATATCCTATCCCATGCGTCACAAGAGCTGGCGAAGGAAAAGACTGGGCAAATGATATTAATGAGCTGCTAAAATGGAATCAGAACTTTGGTCGCAGTCTATCATAAATACAGTATTTCCTATTCTGGCTTTTTTTTCTCACTTTCATACATATACCTGTCCATTCTACTACAAGTATTAATATTAAAATAGAGATATATTAGCAATTTCTGTATAAAATTAAAGCATATGTATATAAACATGCCCTACGGATCAATCGTAGCTCCAGTCGTAAACATTGGTAAATATATAGTCCATCAGATTTATTCAAGTGTGGAAATGTATATAATATGTGGCAGAAAGTTATATATTTGAGTCCAAGACACTATTACTCACAGAAGAGTTGCTCCCCAAGCTATTTCATTCTATTTTGACATGAAATCACATTATATTTTACAATGTCAAAGGGTATTTCACATATTTTCATTAAAAGGATTTTGTCCTTCCCTCATGATAAAATTCATGCTATTATATATTTAAAGTAAATATTTAGACATCTCGAAAAAAGAAACTCGTTTTACCTTTCTTTCTTAAATGGTGAAAAGAGAAATATCTAAAAATATATATATTGGTATATCCGTATATTTTATAGTGGAAGACTTTTGAATATGTTCTCAAAGGTTTTTATTGTTGATACAAAGACGTTTTACGGATCCTAAGCAAAGATCTATGTACCCTTGTATTGCACTCTCGCTTAATTGGACTATCGATATGTTTTCAAGGCTTGGTGATGGTGTTCTAAGCCTCAAGAAGTCAGGAACTTCTCGATCTGATGTGCTCGCGTAATATTCTTTAAGAAAACTTATATCTGGAAAGTTAAGTCTTTGGCAGCGATCTAAATGGTAGGTGTCATTTAAGTCAGATATATAATACCATTTCTCATCTGGAAAGTCGGTGTGAGTGTTGCGCATTCGGCTATTATCAACTCTATCCGTAACTGTAGGGAACTCGTACATTCTAGTAAGTGATAAAATATTCATCTTGTGTTCTGGTATAAGAGCAGAAAGGCCAGTCGTCATAAAGTATGTGTAATGTATACGTAATGTGTCAAATGCTGTGAACGGCATGTATATGTGCATTCTTTTTGTTAGCAAGGAAGCGTGGTCTATGACGCTTGCATATAGCAAATGCATTTCTGACAGATCCGGACACCGCACAGAGATGTGATTAAATACATTAGCATGAACTCTGGAATTTGTTATTGTTATTGACCGTAGTTTGCTTTCCTGGATGTTTGGCTGCTGGCACAAGGTGATTTCTGCGACATTTAGCTCAATATTCTTTAATGACATACACGTATCTAGTATGATATTTAGAGGGAGAAATAGCTTCTTGCCGCTGATACGCAAGTCAGACAGGTTTTTGTAATCGCCAAGAAGTGTTATGATTTCCTGTACGCATGTCCCATTTCCACTTATGTCCAGTCCTAAATGTGTCAGTGTATTCGTAGACGAATAGGTAAAGGTTTCAATTGCAGCTGGTATTGGTTCCTGAATATGACTGATATCAATAGAAAAGTCCAAACGTTTGAGGGTAATGTCTGCTCTGCGAAGAGATTCGAAGAAAGTTTGATACTGCCAGAATTTGAAAAGGCTCCCATGTAATTTCATGCTTTGAAGCTTTCGACAACATCCAACTTCGTTCAAGAATATTTTCACAGGGGCTCTCCAGTCTATGGTCTCGATAACCTCGGTTTTATCAACATTCATGTGCAGAGTATGTAGATTTGGATGTTTGTATATCCAATATAGCAACCACCTTGTATCGGGAATAATAGCAATTATTTTCAAGGATGTAAGTCTAGTTTTCTTTAGTGATGGTGTGAGGTAGCTCGTATCTTCATTAGACAAGGCTGCGAGCTGTCCTTCAAAGAAAAAGTCTTCAAGATCAGGCAATTTCGAATGAATCCTGTTTATATCTTTCAAACTGAGGGAGATGGTAGACTCTCCGGTCTTAACTGGCAGATGTAATAATCTTAGTGCAGGCATACATGTTAAGATACTATGGAGAGCTTCAATTTCAAGAGTGTCTCTGTAAAACTCTAGCTCTAACAGAGAATTCCACTGGTTCCACCCATTAATCGTGTCTATGTCAAGCGCAAAATCATACACGTTTGGAAGGGAGAGATAATTTAGTTCTTGGCAGCTGTACTGTAATCTTCTGAGATCTGTGGATGATATGTCGAGCCATTCGAAAAGTGATAGAGTCCGTACAAGACAGCCAGGTATACTTGGAGACATATTTGCGTCGATAAAATACTTGAGTTGTCTGTCGTTCTGAAGCTCGACGTTGCTCCACAAGGTATGGAAAAAAGGTGCATGCCATGCTCGAGAGGTAGAAGCGCACACGGCTTGATCGTGCCTGCTGATTTTTTCAGCGATTGAGCGATTTATTTCGTAAGGTAGACAAGACAAAGGCATGATATCAGAAATTAAAGAAAAGGATAAATGTGTATTTACTTGAATATGGATGTTATTGAATGTAAATAAAATTAAGCAGGCCCATCTTCTCAAGCCAAAGAGATAATCTTAATGGCTATTATGTCTTTCAGACAATTTATTCTGAGGTTAGGATGGCATAGATTTCAAAATTCCTCGAAATGAAAATACTATTGTATGAGAGTGAATGTTGAGTGGGTAGATTATCAATAGATACGGTGTATAAGCAGTATATATATATATCAGTGAAGAGGTTGAGGCACGTCCAAAAAATTCACAAATTACCAATATCGTTATAATCTTGATACTACACTGATATATTTGGTGGGGATTATCCTCGTGTCACCACTAATTCGCATTTTCAGCTGGCCGTAAGCTCGTACGAGTAAAAATAAAATAAAAAATAGAACAATCTTTATAAATATCTCAAGGACAATTGTATAACAAGCTGTTCATTGACTTTGCTTGTCTACAAGGTCTGTAAAAATATCCTACTATTTATAACATTTATCTTTTTTCTGTAATTTGAAAACCTGAACAATATTTGGGGCAATTTTTCTTTTTAAAATTACTAAAACAAAAACGGGTAGAATGAAGATCGTACAAATATCAGATGCTTAACCCCACCACAAAACAGTTCGACCGTCTTATCGAAGCTCGTTAGTCATTCAATACAACAAGCATATCCAATTTTAGCAGTGTGAGAAACTACAGATAAGCTTTTATCATAAAAGTAAATAAATTCATAGCATGAACTTCAAGCGAATTGAAAGCTCACTTGGGCAAATAAATTAAGTAGCTTGGACTGTCTAATAAAATACCTTTATCCAACCCGATTTATATCTTAATACTTGGTTTTTATTATAATTAACCAAATGTCATCTTTTCACCATGTAGAAAAGCGTTATCTAAAATGACAGCATGGAAATAAGCCACCAACCATTTTCTAGTCTAGTAATTACGCTGACTATAAAGATATATTTCGGACTTGAAAAGTTTAACTGCTTTAACCTTTCTTTTGCATCTTCATTACCATCTCTAATGGGCCCCGTAAAGCTATTCCACAACAGCAATCCTGTTACAATTGCATTAAAGAGGGAGGGAACAAAGCTATCTCTCGTTGACTTTATTGCCAAAAAATGTCCTTCAATTGTGGGCCCAAATGCAGTCTATCACCCTACACCTTACCTGTTCAATGGTCACCTTCAAACAGCGTACGCTTCTTACTACAATGGTACCTCCTCAAAGCAAGAAATTGAATACGAAAGGTTTGTTAGATATTTTTTTTTTAAAAAAAGAAAGACAGTTTTTAAGATTTTTCTCTGTTTATCAGAGAACTCCTCTCATTACCTGACGGTGGTCAGCTTGCCCTGGATTGGGCACCTATTAAGCCTACTGATATGACAGACAAAACACCAATTCTTATCTGCCTTCATGGATTGACAGGCGGAAGCTATGAAGCTTATATACGGAGCGTCCTTGAAGTAGTGGGTATTTTAAAGCAGTTTTTTTTTACAAGCCATATATATTTACATTTGGGATTATAGATTACCAGAGATCCATTCAATTACAGAGGAGTGGTTATCAATAGCCGTGGATGCGCTGGAAGTAACATAACAACACCTCAGCTGTACAACGGTGCATACACAGAAGATGCTAGAAATGCCATCAAGTACATTCAACAGTCTTTAGCTCCAGGTACACCATTGATTGGTATCGGGTTTTCTTTGGGTTCCAATATTCTCGTCAAGGCAAGATTTTAGTGTAGTTAAAACTATACATATAATCAATAGCGTGTCTGACACTTTAACTTTAGTATCTTGGGGAAGAGGGCGATAAGACACCTCTTGTGGCTGCTATGTCCGTTGCAAATCCTTTTGATTTCAAAAGGTAAAAAAAAAAAAAGAATGGTTGTGTGTGAAAATTGGTTAAGAATCGTATGTGTATGTACTAATCAGAAAAAAAATTAGTTCAATTGAAATGCTTCACCAGTCGATATTGGGAAGACGAGTTTACTCTACTGCCATGGCTACCAATCTGAAGAACTCGTTCAAAAGGTGAAGATAAGCTATAATTCCTCGTTAATCTTTGATACTAACTCTTTTAAAGACATATGGATATGCTTGTCAAAGGTGGAAAGATTGATCCTGAGAAGGTTATGTCTTCAAACACTCTTTGTGAATTCGATGAAGTCTGCACACGTAGACTGGGAGATTACAGCACTGTGAACAACTACTATCGCGATGCAAGCTCTTGTCGTTTTATTGAGTTTGTTCGTATACCTCTTTTGTGCTTCAACGCACTTGATGATCCTATTGCACTTAAAGCATGTATTCCATACGATGAAATCAAAATCAACCCAAACGTTGTCTTGGCAACCACTGAGAGAGGTGGCCATATTGGCTGGTTTGAACATACACTTTCCCCGACACGCTGGATAGTTAAACCTTTGGCAGAATTTTTTGTTGCAATTGCAGAGGCCTACGATACCCGCGAATCTTCGGCCAGTTCTTTGACTCCAACCGAAGTAGACGCTGCAGTGGATAAATTTCAATCCAAGTCATAGTGATGTACACAATATAATGCAATGCAAAAAAAAAACGTATGAAGATGAAGAAATGATAGAACTTCATAAATCAATATCCATTCAATCAATCCACAAGCTTTATACATATAAGGATTTGTGATTGATTGATTAAAATGTAAAAACAATTTCATCTGAGCATAGAGAGAAATGGAATAAATTAAAATAAACAAATAAACACATACTTGAGTCTTAAAAGAGATTAAGAACCGAGTAGTATTGACTATATATTGTTTCTTATCACAATGTTTCAAGAGATCTCTCTTTTGCTAATGAATAGATTGTCAAGTTTTCCCACAAAATAACATTACATTTGGGTTTGATAAGTAATAGATACATTCTGATATAATCGTACGCCTCCGAATGCGTCAGACAACACACCGCCACCAATCTCATCAAGCAAATGCAAATAATCCTGCGATATTATCGATACCTGTTAGAAATCAATGCATGAGAGAACCACATAATTTGTATAGAAAGTCGACTGAAATAGTCAGAAATGCCCCTCCACACATGTTACAAGCCCCTCAGGCAATGGCTGGCTGCGCTATTCCAAGGGTAGGTTGGGAAAATCCACCTTTTCGTCAAGATCGACTATACAACTCAAGTGAGGGTATACACTATATATATATTGACACACTCTTTAGAAAAAGGTTTTACTCAAATCATATGATAAATGTGCCATTATATTCTATTATTAAACTTAGCATCGATTGTCAAGCTCACTCGTGGTAACCTGGTGTTGGATTGTCCGGTATCTAGTGAATACATCGGCTTAGTCCCTATCCGAAATTCAAAAGAGTTCACTCATATGCGCTATACTGCTGCTATGTGCGATCCAAGCAACTTTATACGTGACGGTCACATCCTCAGGCAGCAAATAATGGAAAGAGAAACCGAGTTAGCAATTGTGTTGACCATGTATAATGTACATATTTTTATATATAGAAGACTTTTATTTCTTTATTTAAACTACTATAAATAGGAAGACGAGATTCTGTTCACTCGTACAATGCATGGTGTCATGAAGAATATTTCACATTTGTGCTCAAGAAGTCGATCCAAGACTTGGGGATCAAACGGCTGGAAAAAAGTTACAGTTTGCATTATAGCAGATGGGCGCAAAGAGGTTAACTCAAAGGTACTATCAATATTGACCGCTCTTGGTGTCTATCAAGGAGGTGTAGCAAAAAATACTGTTAATGGAAAAAGAGTCTCTGCTCATATATACGAGGTAAAGTCATAAAAGGCGGTGTTATTTTATGATATTTAATTAACTCCCATACTTTACTCATAAAGTATACTACACAACTATCCGTCGACTCGGATATGGAATTTAAATATGCCGATGATGGTATCGTGCCTTGTCAGGTCATTTTTTGTCTCAAAGAAGCCAATCAGAGAAAGATCAATTCACATCGATGGTTTTTTCAAGCATTTTGCCCAGTTCTTCGGCCAAAGATTTGTGTTTTATTAGATGTTGGGACTCGACCCGGAAATAGATCCATCTATCATCTTTGGAAAGCGTTTGAGCTCGACAGCCGTGTTGCCGGCGTTTGCGGAGAGATTCGGGCCATGACAGGCCGCTTTGGTACATCGTTATTAAATCCACTGGTCGCATCTCAGAATTTTGAATACAAGGTGTCCAATATTCTGGATAAACCTTTCGAATCGGTCTTTGGCTACATTTCGGTATTACCTGGTGCTTTCTCTGCGTATCGGTACATGGCCCTGTTAAACGACGTGAATGGCGGCGGTCCTTTAGAAAAATACTTTATGTGCGAAACTCACCGTGGATCTGATGCTGATATATTTACAGCTAACATGTACCTTGCTGAAGATCGCATATTATGCTATGAGTTGGTATCCAAGAAAAATTCTAGCTGGATTTTGCGTTATGTATCTAATGCCTATGGAGAAACAGATGTTCCTGGCAAAGTAAACCTGTCTTTTTTTTGTAAAACCACAGCCGTATAAATATATGATAACTTATTGTTGAAATTATTAGGTACCAGAGTTTATCTCGCAGCGTCGAAGGTGGTTGAATGGTAAGACTAAATGAGTATTTTTCCCTCATTTGATATATTGCTTTAGGTTCATTCTTTGCCACAGTCTATGCAATTTATCACTGGAAGAAAATATGGGGTTCGAATCATACTCTTATTCGAAAGACCATGTTTATGTTTGTCCATTTCTATAACACAGTCAACTTGCTTTTTTCTTGGTTTGCTCTGGTATGCTTATATCCAACTATACTACTATTTCTACCATGAATACTAATTATCAATATATATATATATATCTTGAACAGGGAAATTTCTATCTAATATTTCATGAATTGACAAAAACACTTTCTTCGATTTCACTTGATCCTCGGCCATTCCCAGTTAGCTACTCAATATATATCAATTTAGCCCTCGACTGGATATACTGTAAGTTTAAATATTTTCAAAACATATAAACAAAAAAGGTCTTTATTTATTTGAACATGTTTTTTAGCGATATTGTTGATATTCTTATTTGTGATTGCCCTGGGTAATAGACCACAAGGATTCAAGTATGCCTACATCATTAGTATGGCAATATTCGGACTCCTTATGATGTATTTAATGTTTGCCATGGCTTGGATTGTTTATACTGGCGTCAAGGCAGCTATCGAAAGTCCTGATTTATCACTGATGGCTTTGCTCGGTCGCTACAGAATCCAGAGTATTGTACTGTCCGTATGCTCTACGTTTATTATATACCTTTTATCTGGGATTTTATTTCTCGATCCCTGGCACATATTCACCAGTATGTTACAGTACACAATTTTGTCGCCGAGCTATGTAAATGTACTCAACGTATATGCTTTTTGCAATACTCATGATGTTTCATGGGGAACAAAAGAAGACACACATGCTCTACTAGACACGGAAACCTCTAAACCTGGAGATATTAGCAAGAGAAATAGCCTGAATATTGTAGCCCAATTTGATCCGACGGATATCGACTTGATATACCACAAAGCACGTCTAGATATTCGCGATAAATCAAAGACCAGGAAGCCTCAATGTAGTTCAAAAACAAAGAAAGAAGACTATTACCGAGCATTTCGAACTTACATTGTACTGGCGTGGACATTTTCTAACTTGGCAATGGTTGTACTTCTGTCGAGTGTGGAAACCAACCGCTGGTTTGGAGACCATCAGTTAAGAATCACAATTTATGTAGGATGTATTCTTTGGTTCACTGCTGCAATATTAGGCCTTCGCTTCATTGGGTCGTGTATTTACCTGGCTACAAATATTTTTCATGGGTAGCTAAAGTTATCCAAGATTGCAATCAATAAAAGGAATTTTTACAAAAGAAAAGAGTATTATTGTTACCAGAAATATTACGGGGACGACGTTTCCTGGTGGGGCACGACGTTTCTATCTAACCGGACTAATCAAATGTGGCTATATGTCTGGGGTCCGGTGTATATATCTAATCCTTCAGGACAAAATGGTGTGTCCTAAAATACATACAATATATTCAATTAGTAGCCCTAAATTTATACATGGCCATAAAAAATAATAATTAGTCACAAATACACTATATCGATAACCAGTTATGCAAAAGGCTATAAAGAGGTGTTGCCATTAGAGCGTAACGCAATCTTGTTGAACACTTTACTATTTATTGGCCGTCTTACGCGTATCGTGCCTTTGTCTTTCTTTTACCTACTTATATCCAGAGTGTGATAGCACCAACTGGTAAGTAATTCCCACTTGTCCTTTTTCTCTCTCTCTGCAAAGCACAAAGAAAAGCCTTTATAAGAGTATTCTGTGTCTTTAGGGACCAGATAGAATTACTAGATGCTGGAAAAAAGGTCACGATTTGTGGTCCGGTAGAATCAAAATGTTGTCTCCCACTAGGAAATGACATGTCCCACCAGGAAACTTCGTCCCTCTAAGACTAGCGAATATGTAATAGTTTTCGCTCAGATATCCTTGAACCAGCCTTACATATTCGCGGCAAAAGTGTGCTGGAATGCAAAACCTGTTCCACACTTTGGCAGCGATATGTAAATGCTGCAAAAAATATGCTTTCAATCGATAGGAATGTCCGGATGGGGGTTGGAAGACCAACAGAATTCAATAGACAAAAAAAAGAAAGTCTGATCATTCAATCTCTTTCTCATTTGTCTCGTAACTAATCCTTATTTTCCAAATTGCATTTTACGTTCTGTCCAACAAAGGTAAACAAGACGTCTAAAAATTAACTTGATTCGTCTATAAAAAAAAACTAACATCGTCTGATCTTGAAGTGTAAAAACGGCAGGATTGGTTCCCAAAAACCATTGCGCCACACCCTAAAATGGATACTAGCTAAGATCAAACTTTCTTACATCATAGCTATCTTTAGATCTTCTTTTTTGTACCTGCACCCGCCACAATTAGCAATTTCTGTTATAATTAGCCACACATTTACTCTATCCAGAAAACGCATGCATTAGGTAGAGCTTGGCAGCGGAAGCGAAGGAAGTAGGGAATAAATATCAGGCAACAATGTCTTATCAAGTAGCTATTTTTTTTTTGCTTCGAACACAGCCAGGACTGTAATATTTGCTTGGAAAAAATAAGTAGATTGTGTTTCTTTCTTTAGATTAGAAATAGTGTCGCTTGTGTATGAATTGTGACCTTCATTGAAATGCTAGGTCTACTACGTTTCAAATTGGATTCAAATATAGTTTTGTTGAAGATGATTTGTATTCTCTTTAGAGACTATAAGCTTCTCAAAGTTATCAGGGTACTAAACCAGGATACCAGGTGCTTAATTACCTTTAAACTCGAGTCTAACGTCAAATCTGCTGCTTACGAATATTGGTTGAGATATACCAAATCAAGCATTTGAAACTGAGTGATATAATTATTATTCCTATTTTTTTGCACCAATAATCTAATAAATATAGTGGTACCTAAGAGAGAAGAAGAAAGAATTCTTTGGATTTTTCTTCTTCTTCTTTTTTTTACTGGCTGATAAAATAAATTGTCGAAAAAGTATTGTTATATTAAAAAGTAAGCTATTTAAATAGGATATCGATATTATGATTATTATCTTTTTTTGAGATTCTACTAAACCTCTTTGACATTTTTATACAAGTAATGAGCAGCCTCAGGATAACCATTTTGGATATTTCTAGATATGTTTATTAGAATACATGCTAATATTCGAGTTTCTTTTTTTTCAGTTTTGTTCTTAGATCGATCTAATTACTAATCATTGAAAAGTCATTATAATGCAATATACTGAAGACAAAACTAGCTAACCCTATACTTTGGAACCAATAGCAATACTTCTTTGAAATCTCATTGCAATTACCAATGATTTTCAAGACTGGATTTTAGGTTTGACGGGACAGGTTAACCAATCATTGAAGGCTTAGATGAATCTAGCTGTGGTGTAGCAATGCATTGACTTGCTCGGATAGTTTCTTAAGAAAGGTAGTATTTAATATCACATCTTTTATGTAACATGTCTTTCTACACCAAGAGTAGAATTCTGTCTTTCTGGGTTATAAAGAGACTAACCACAAACAGAATTTTTGATATATATATAAAGTAATAGGTATATCTATTCAGGTACAGGTACAGATACAGGTAACAAAAGTAAAAGTCAAAGTCAAAGAATAGTTAGTTTGATTTTTTAATTAATCGGGGTGCTTTTTTGCTTGCATTGATTCTCTAAGGAAATTCTTATTACTATTATTATTAATATATATATATATGTATATGTATATAATATGAAATGGTTTGAAGATTATAAAAGTTGCACAGTAAATAGAATATTAAATCCTGGTAATAAATGTAGAGATGAATATTACATGTGGTACTCCCAACTGACAAAATACTTCTTATAGAATAGTTATACACAAAGTGCCGAACAACCTCGGCTCCAGCTATGATTCTGCGAGATTCAATGTTGACTAAGTTTAACATGCCATTTAAATCAGTGTATTCTGCTTCATTTTTGTTTTATTTGCTTTGTTTCTATTCCACCAATACAGCAAATATGGACAGCTACATGTATTTGCCTATCTAATATACATATAAACATACATATTAGATGTTGCTTGTGTTCAAGTCAAATAAAGCCTTTAAATGACAATAATAATAATACTAATAATTTAAGAATAATATATATATATAGACAATTAGAGTAATGTTTTGTAAGTTTAGTGAATCTTGAATTGTTTAACCTAAATGTGGTCTATATGATAAATTACCATTGTCTATATAAGCACTGGTGTGGTAACATTTGCATGTATAAATATTCTAATTGAACACAAGAGCATACAATAATGTAAAGTTTGTTAGGCAGAACCAAGACACTCTGTTGATTCTTTTTTTTTGTTTTGGAGGACTTTGATTTATGTAACAAGATATATAGAAGAAAAAGTTAGGTGCCATTCCAGCATGGTCTTGTGTGTATTATACAACTCTCAAACCCCCCGAGTAGTAAGTCTTTAGTGTCATTGCGCTGTCTTTCATACTCTATATAAAATATATATTTTCTTGGTAATACAAGAAATTTTTCGCTCATTGTTCCATTTTTTTTTACGCTAAAAATAATGCTTATACTAAACGCACTAGAAGATAAATAAATCTGATTCCTGTTGTTGTGATACTGTATTCCTTTTAATTATATGACATATAAATATTTTTAAGATTTTTTTTTGCTCCACATGCTGCGATTTCCTTTTTAGTAGTTTAAAAAGACACCTCCCCACCCTTCCTTCTCCCAAGACCGGTGTAACCTTTCTCGAGTTGTTTCTTTTAAGTATAGATATCTATATTCTTTAGTGTTTTATACAACTCTAGTGATAATAATAATGACATGATAAATTAGATTCTATAGGTGCAAGTATATTCAAGTATATTTAAATATATATTGATTGTATTACTTTGATTATTTTGGTTTATCTTGTTGTAGTGTTGATTCTTGATGGCCAATTGTATTTGTATTACAAGATGAATATGTATAAAGAGAATAATAAGATTCCGCTTCAAGAGTGAGACAGAGTATTCAAATTTGGAGGGAAAGGGTGAATGAGGTTGATAGATATTGCTATCCAAAAGAGATTGGAAGCTAATATTTTATCTTTATTGTTTTTGGCGGTGATAATGACAGAAGATCTGGCGCATACACCCATATAATTATATGTAATTATATATATATATATATATATATATATATAGCTATTATAGATATCACTATTAGGATTAGGATTAGGATTATTAATTGTTATATTGGCTTTGATCTTTATTGTCTTGATAGCCCTCTTTATCTAATCGACTCGAAGCTTTTGTATACTATGCTTCTTTTTTTTTCTTTGCTTACAATCACAAATTATAAGCAAAGAGATCTAGCCAAATAACATTAGCAGTAACAGCAGTAGTGAAAAAATAAGGCTAAAAATCGCTCAAATTACCAACAATAAGAATACTCACGATTCTTTTTATTTTCTTTAATCGCTTGTTCGTTTTCATTATAAAAGATTCTCTGGGAATTGAAACTGAGATTGATGTGTCAAAACCATATCAAGGTCGAGTATTGAATAAAGAGGTTAGACAACGGCAGGTGGAGAAATTAGAAAGGCGGAATAGAAATAGAAAATACGATTTTAAATATATATATAATATATATGAATATTGCCCTTTTGAATATGTATAAAAAATGAAAGGAAAAAAAAAAAAGAAAGAAATACATATAAATAAGTATATATATTGTGTCGTACGTCCCAGGTATTTATATATTTATATTTATATATATAAATATATATATATATATACTCGTGCGTCCATTAAAAATAAACCCCTAAAATAAGCGAGACTTTTTCTCAATCAGTTAAAATACACTCATATTGACCTATCCCGCCTTCTCCTTTTTTATATATATATACATACATACATACATAGTATTAATATAATACCTTTATTCTTTTGATAGAAATATAATCCTGACTGGGCCACCCTGCTCTTTTACTTTCTTTCTTGCTTTCTTACTTACTTACTCTTACTCTCTTCTTCTACCTTAAATATTGATATCGATATCGATAGTAATATTGATATTGATATTTATCATTTAAATATACTGTAAATTAACTTGTACATATCCTACAATTTACACCAGTGCTGTCATTGCTCTATGTGGACTATATCATCAGCAAAACCATCCTAATATCCAAACCCAAAGAAACCAAAACAACAAAACAACAAAATACTTTTTTCAAAATCAAAAAAGTAGAAGAAGAAGCACATCATAAGAATCGACCTTTCCTTTATTTTATTGTTTTGTTATTGGCTTTGTTCTTTATATATATATACACACATATATATATAAATGACCTTGTCAGAACCATTACCGCTTCCTAGACCAATGAAGCAAACCACGACCTCATTCTCTCCACCATCACTTCCATCATCACCAAAGGAAGGCACCTCACCATCACCACTTACCTCACACTTTGTACAGGCACTACATGACTTTCTACCTTCATCGGGTCCAGCTGATCAATCGGTCTCTTGCCTCTTTTTTCGCAAGGGAGCCATTATCGAAGTTTTTAATCGAGACAGCTCAGGCTGGTGGGACGGCTTATTAAACGACGTCCGTGGCTGGTTCCCCAGTAACTATGTAGGACGAATTGGCGACGCCGTTCGTGAAGCAGCAGATTTTGAAGACGAACACTCACAAGGCGAGCTTGACGCATGGAGACAGACGATGAAGTCAGACCACGACACAAATAGAGACACATCCAGAAACACCCTTAATTCACAAGATACCGATCTTACTAGCCAAGATTCACAGGCATGTATTATATATATATATAAATTTCTTTTAAAAATGGCACACACACACAAATATATACAAGTAACCAAGAGAGCTTAAATAATGCGTACTTCATTTTATTGTGTAAATCACAATGAAGAAGAAGAAGATGACGACGACGACGACGACGACGAAGAAATATCTATATACTGCTCTTATTATTGTGTGAAAATCTCTGGGATTAAACCAAATTAAATTGGATCGAAATTGAAATCAATTAAAGATTTAAATCGAAATTGAAATCAAATGAAATAGAAGAATAAGAGAGAGAGAGAGAAAGGAAAAGAAACGAAACGAAAAAGAAAAAGCCAATTAATTAATTAGTTAATTAATTAACATCTCTTTCTTATTCTTTATCAGACAAACACTCTAGTCTCGGCTCGTAAAAGATCCCAGTCTTCGCTCACCTTACCAATGCAAGACAGAGTAGAACTAGCACGAGCACTCTTGACCGAAGATCGACGACGCTCGGGCACAGTCAGCAATCCAAACACCCAGTCCCCAATACAAGAAGACAGCTTAATAACTTTAGATGCCTCACAGTGGGAAGCACTAATGGAAGATGTCTCGATGCGGATGTCCGAATTAGTGGATGCCTGCAATGCACCTGCTGGAATCCAGGTAGCCGTCTTCCAGGTGGTGTCATCAATTAGAGCAGTCCTGACAGCAGCAAACACAGTAAACAAGGATTCTCCTCTCCTGCGTCTGTCACCTGAATTAGCCCGACAGCGCAAAATAGTCCTAAATGCCTTGAGTCGACTAGTCCTCAAGGGCAAGGAGCTGCAGGCGGCTCCTCCAAAACCAGTTGATGGAGAAATGCCCAGTCTGGCAAATCAATTACTAATCGAAATGGATATGTTTGAAGAAGTCTTTCGCTCTCTATCCGGAAACTACCAACAGCAGCAGCCAGAACAACCATACCATCACAATCACCATTCTCTTACATCCCTTTCACCCCGTAACTCTCTCACATCACTTTCCTCAACATCAACCCTCTCTCTTCGTCATCAACTAGCCAGCGCCCGCTTGTCCAGTGCCTCTCTCATCGCCAAGGCTGTACCTTTACCCGACGCTAACCACATCCACGAGAATATTCTAGAGCACCGAGTAGAAATCACGACCCTTATTGCTAGTCTCTTTCTAACAATCGAACGCTATTTGGCAACCCGCCAACGTGCCACGGAGATGTTGGAGATGACACGTAAAGCAGTAGAGGCTGTACGCACATTCCTGGCAATTGTGGAACACATTTGCTCAAACGTAGACGACCTGGATCACAAGCACTCTTCTAGTACTCCAGAAGATCCCCATCTTGTTGCCCTAGTGGTTGCCAAAGAAGCCGTCTACAGCGCAATAACTCATCTTGTCACGGCCGTCCGTGCCCTCACCGGCCCACACGAGGATGATGAACCTCTGGAGCGTCTGCGAAACAACTGTGACAACGTGGTCCGTACAACCAATACATGTACCGCATGTGTTCGCACGTGCTTACACATTGATTCAGTTGAATCGGTATCTGAAGAGGACCAGGAAGCTATGCGCGATCAGCTTGAGAATATCACGGACACTCGACGGCACCAGACTCTAAGTGTTCTCGGACGTAAGGTCACCAGTCTGACGGTATTACAGCAGCAGTATGATGAAGCTAACCAAGATGAAACCGAGGTCGAGGTCGAGGTCGAAGCCGAAGCCGAAGTCGAAGTGGAGGAACGCGGTGGGCGTGATGACGCAGTATTCGAACCAAATCAGGCAGGTGGATTTGAGACTATTGAATTAGAAACAGTTGAATTGGACTCGGAAGATGAGATTGATAATCGCAATGACGATCAAGAATCTACCACATTGCAAAAGACAGGATATTCAGAACCAACAGGAGCAGAAACTGAAGCAGGAACAGAAAACCCGGCAACTATTAGTGTTGAATCATTGGTAAAAACGCCACTCTCTTCGTTGACCAGGCGGTCTACAACCAGTAAATCAAGACTCGGTAGATCAGAAACAATCAGACGTGCCTCAGCTGCAGCTCGTCAATCGGGTGGTGTCTATGAAAACTCTCCTCCGGCTGGTGGATTTGCTAATGGTTTGCGACAGGCTGCCCTATCTTCAGCCGAGTCTCTCCATCAAACATCGACACTACATGAATCAACCAGTCCAAAAAACGAAGAGCAGATTACAATACATCCATTAGCTTCTAGTAGAATAGAAGAAGAAAAATCCAGAGGTACTTTGGCCAGGGCGGCAACTGTGAGCACTCTAAGACCTCAGTCCTCGGTATCGTCAACAAATACAGAACCATCAGCAGCAGCAGCAGCAGCAGCAATAGCAGCTATTCCAATTCCTCCTATTCCACAATCACATCCTGCCGATTTCAAACTCTCTAGCTCTAAATCCACTCCAATGACAGATCCTTCTTCAAAGGGTCGCCGCCCACGCAACATGAGTGTTTCCAACCTGCGCATGTCGATCAAACATCGTCACGAGGATGCTGGCAATAATACCCCCTCTTCTGGACTTACTCCAGACTCTTCTACTGGTGTCAGACGCACCTCTTCTTGGATGTCATTTTCCAGCAGTAGAACCCGTGAGAGCACTACTGATGTAGAAACCGAGTATTCAGTCAAGGTTTGTATATTATCAAAACCAAACAAAGTTTTTTTTTGTTTTTTTTTAAAAAAAAAGAAAATGTATTAATGGAACTAATTTATATTTTGTAGAAGGAAGAAGAGCCTTGGTTTATCAAGCAACGTGTATTTAGTGAAGATGAGTGGATGGTCAATGCGGATGGACAGGTTACGGGTGCTAATCTCGAGACCCTGGTTGAGAACTTGACTTTGCACAAGAAAGCACCAGGTTAGAAAAAAGAAGAAGAAGAAGAAATAACTGTGTGGCGGGGAAAATTACGCACAGACTCTTTTATTTACTTATTTGCTCACCATGGATGTATTTAATTATTGTTTTTTTTTTTAAAAGATGTTCTTTTTCTACGTGCATTTTTTTACAACTTTCGCCTATTCACCGATCCTGTTGAACTGCTCCAATTGTTCATCAAACGATTCCACCTCAGCCCTCCCTCAAACCCACCTCTCAACGAAGAAGAGCTCAAGATTTGGTCTACCAGTGTTAGGCTGCCTGTTCAACTGAGAGTCTGCAACGTAATCAAGATCTGGCTGGAAACATATTTTTCTCACGACTTTGACATGTGCATCAAAAGCCTTGTATTTGATTTCATTGAAAAGGATATAAAAAAGGTACACCCAAGTTCGGCAAATCGTCTTCGTGAGCATGCAAACCGTACAGTAAGTTTATGTAAAAAGCAAGAATTATATATATATACACAAAAAAGATAATAATCAATAATCAATAATGTATTACTATTATCATTATTTCAATAGTTTTCCTCGACAATTCTTCTGGCAGATAGTCGCAAGTCTTCGTATACCAGTGAATCCAGGGCAGCTTTGCAAAAATCAGCTTCTGGTTCTCATATATCCCTCTCGTCTGGATCCTCTCTCTTCTCTGGCCTGACCTTGTTTGAAGAGCATTCAGAAGTTTCTTCCTTTAACACCCAGCTACCACCGTCTGTTATCACCCGATCGCTTCGAAATATCTTGCGCAAGACTCCCAGCGAAAGTTTGCTGCAGAGTGTACACGTCAATGATTTTGACCCTCTTGAACTAGCCCGACAGCTCACACTTATGGAGAATTCTTTGTTTTGTAAGATCCGTCATAATGAGATGATTGGCCAGGAATTCAAGAAGAAGGGGGCAGTTAGTACAGCAGCCAATGTCAAGGCCATGATTCAAAAAAGCACTCAGGTTACAAGCTGGATTTCTGATTCGATCCTGCGTGATTCAGATCCAAAGAAGCGCTCACATATTATTAAATTTTGGATCAAGGTTGGAGATGTAAGTAATATACTATATATTTGTATTAAATATATATTAAAATTCTTTATTATTTTTGCTGTGTAGTTTTGCCTCCAGCTGAGCAATTACAATACATTGATGGCCATCAGATCTGCACTATCATCAACCAGTATCTCACGCCTAAAGAAAACATGGGAGTATGTATCTGGAAAATACAAGACGATGTATGAGCAAATATATCGGGCCACAGATTCACAGCGCAATTTTGCGGAATATCGTCAACGGCTGACTGCATCGATTGCACCATGTCTACCTTTTTTGGGAGTCTACTTGACTGACATGACATTTATTGACGACGGCAATTCGAATCATCGGACGTCTCCCAATGGAACACAGTTGATCAATTTTGATAAATATATCAAGACCACCCGAGTATTGAGTGCAATTGACCAATTCCAGATTCCATATCGCCTTGCCCTGGTAGAAGAAATCCAGCTATACCTCAAACATAGTCTGGAGAATGTAGAAATAGATGATCAAGCTTTCTATTCACGAAGTCTTCAAATCGAACCTCGTGAAGAAGAGCTTGATATCCGTAGCGTTGTAAGTGTCTTGGCTGGCACTGACCGTTAAAATCCACCCCAAAAACCCTACAACCCTAAAACATAAACACATACAACATATACAACACATACATATACACACACACACAAGCACGCATAAGCACAAAATAGTAATAATTTATCTTTCTCTTCTTTTCTTCTCTCCTTTCTCCTTTTATTCATTTTCTCTTCGGTTTTCTTTATTACACAAATTCTCTATAAAATCCTAATGTACATTTTATTCTCTCTCTATTTACCTCTTCCTCTACTACTACTACTACTACTACTTTTATTACTTCTTCTTTTAATATATACATAGATAAAGTCTTGATCACTGTTCTTGAACAAGTAGATCGACTTTAATTCTTACTACTATTTTAAAAATACACACGCCCACAAAAAAAAAATGTTAATAATACAAGGTGATGTGTTTTATCACTCATTTTTCTTTTATGATAATGATAAAGATGATGTTGGTTAAATGAAAATTGTTATAATTGGAAAGACTTCGCATGTCAAAGGACATAAGAAAACAAAAGAAACGATTATCTGGAACAGACTTAATAAAATATACACCAAGCTTGGTAATTACTAAAATAAATTATGAATAAAGTTCACTAACTACGCTGACTACCCCTCCCTCCTCTTTTATTAAAATACCAATAATATAATATATAATATATATTTGTTAATCAGAGCCAAAAGTAGACTTTGTGGCTTTCCTATAAAAGCTATATATATATATCTATTGTTTTTTCTTTCTTTCTTAATTTTGTCTTTATGTATGTGGTCTTTTACCTTGTCACACTTGCACAAAGTTCTGGAGATTTTTCTTTTCTTCTTTTGTTCCTATTTGGCTTTCATTTTATTTTATTTTATTTTATTTTATATATTAAAATATTTAAAGTGGAATGTTGCCCTGAATAATATATATTATTATATGTATATAATATTATTTTATCTTACATGATTTATCAATATGTATATGATATGAAAGAGATCTGAAACGATATAATGCCATAAACCAGTCACAACATTATTCATACGGGAAATAATTGTTTACACGATCTACCCATTAATATTCAACTAAAAAAAAGCTTGTTCTTTACCCTTAGTTTATCTTGTTTTTATTTTTATACACACACACATATATATATATATACACTCTTAATACAACATGACCGGTATTAACAATTTTTTTACCCGAAACCCTGCCGGAAACCTGGGTGCATCTTGGGGTGACATGAATGCCCCCAAAGCTAGTACTGGAAACACCCTCAATGGAGCCAACAACTGGCCACCAGTCCAAAGACAACAACAGCAACCACCACCACCACCACAACAACAACAACAACAACAACAACAACAACAACAACAACAACAACAACAACAACAGAAGCAGGCTCCTCCTGCTGCTGCTGCTGCTCCACAAGCGAACGGCTGGGGAAGCATCCCCCCAGCTGAGAGTGATGACGATGACGAAGAATTCACCGACGAAGAGGAAGAAGAAGAGGATGACGGATACGCCCCCCTCAATATTGGTTCCTGGGGAACTCAGGCAGTAGACACCAAGAACGCTGCACCACAGTTGACCGTAACTATGGGAGACTGGAATTCACTTATGGATCCTAATGTCAAGATAAAAGCCAGTGGTATCGGCTCAGGAAACTTGCACAGAAAAGGTGCAAACTTCAAGCCGGTCGACGAACAGATGATTCTCAACCAGCGTTTGGGAAAGGGTGGGCCGATGCCCAAGTCAGCTTCGTCGCGTGGTGGCAAAAAGAAGAGAGGTGGATTCAGTGCCGGGACTTCTAGACCAACACCCAAGCCATTTTCCTCAAAGTACAAGCCCTACACGCCAGCACCACCATCAAATGTTCCATCCACCACACGTCGCCCTCCTCCTGGATCCCAGAATACAGCCTGGGGATCAGGCACGTTGGCGGACACCCCGTTCTGGGAAAAGGCAGCGACTCCTGCTGCTCCTGCTCCACCTGTTGCTCCCGCTGCATCTGCAGCACGACCCGGCTATGGCCAGAGCTCTTCGACATCCAGGTACGCACCACAGCATGCTGCTCCTGCCGCTCCTGCCGTCCCCGCCCCCGCCTTCCAGCAAGGTGCCGCCGCATCAAAGTACGCACCAACCTTCCAGCAAGGTGCCGCTGCATCAAAGTACGCACCAAAGACCGTTTCGGAGCCGGCTGCTGCTCCTGTTTTCCAAGAGCCAGCCTACCACCATCCTCCCCCTACTTCTTCTCCTCCTCCTCCAGCCCAAGCATCGACCTCTACTTCAGCCTACAACCCACTATTCAGTCAAGGTGCCGCTGCTTCAAAGTACGCTCCCAAGCCTGCCGCCCCTCCTGCTCCTGTTGCTCCTGTTGCCCCAGCTCCTTTAGAATACGCACCAGAGCCAGTAGAAGAGGCACCTTTGTTCTCGTTCAACATCGAACTTGCTCCTGGCGTTTACGCCAACCTTCCTGTGTACCCAACTGCTGATTATCTCACCCTTGTTGACGCGTTCGAGAAGCGACACCACCTCCAGATCAACGATGATGCCAAGCAGGCATTTGCCAGCAAGATTGGAGAGCTGGTAGAAGAGCAGTTGAGAGTTCGTGGCCTACAGTAGACTTTTTTTTTTAAGTTTTTTATTATTATTACAATTACTATTATTTATTTAAAGACTTACATTCACATTCCCATTTGCATCAAAGACACGTACACTTTCAAAATATATATATATATAAATAAACACAGACCTTATGATCCAATACTTCTCTTTAGAAGCTCCTTTAAAGACAATATATAAATGTCTATGCATCGTATCTTCTATGTGAATAAGTACACCCCACCTACCCACCCACAGATACATATTAAATAAGGTTAGTGGTGATATTTATTCATTTGTTTGTTTATTTGAATTTAAGAAAAATGAAAGAAAGACAAAGAAGAAGGCTTTCTTGATTTAATGGATTCTGCATTAGATTAAATATAAAAAAAAATCTATATATTTCTTCAAGGACAAGTCAGGTCACAACCATTCATTAATAAAAGCAAGAAGATGGTATAAGGAATATACTAGCCTTCCTTGAATATCACATGCCCTTACCTCATATCACCCTTCCTTAAACCAAATAAATGAATATAAATACTATTTATCAGATTTGATATATGAATTTCTATTGATTATATCAAATATTTTAATCACAATAAAAATATATAAAAAAAATGGCAAAAATCTCATGCTTCCTCTCTTTATCTCTTTATCTCTTCCTCTCTTTCTTGCTTTACTAGAAATCATCTTATAGGAACCCCTTTTAACCTTTCCCAGTATCCTCTTTGTGTGTATGTGTGTGCACTTTAAGAGGTTTCTTTCTTTCTTTCTTTCTTTCTTTTTTTGTACTCCAGCTCAATTCTCATCTTCCGACCCATCCATCAGTCGCCGCGTTGAAAAATGTGACAGTCGGATTTGTTTAGTCGAGTTTAGCGACGCGTAAGAACGCGTTCTTTTATATATTAATTTTTTGTATTTTTTTTTTGTTTTAATATTTTCTTGGTTATTGGTTATTGGTTATTGGGGTTTTATTTTATTCTATTATTTATTTATTTATATTATATTTTTTTTTAGGTTCAAGGTATATAAGCTCAACTTTCAATACGCGTTCTTATTCTTCTATTCTTTTTTCTTTCTATTTCACCTGTAGTTCAACTTCTTTCAAAAACACACGAAAGACAACCAAACCCTTCTCTTTACATATTTTGTACATAGACACATACATACATATACACACACATACATACATATACATACACAAAGATATCTACATATATATTAGACTTTACAGATAATATGTTTGTTTACAAAAGAGGTAAGTTAAAGAAGTCTATTAGAAGGAAAGAAAGCAAGCAAGCAAACACAAAGGTGTACAAGTGTCTGTATATTAATTTGATACGTATCATAGATGGTCGCCGTGAGAATGTCGCCTTTGACAAGGTAAGAATTATGCTCATTTATCTTTTTGTCTCTGTGTGTGTGTGTGTGTGTGTGTGTGTGTCCAGAATGTATTACTAATCGAAATCTCATTGTAAAGATTACTGCCAGAATTAACAAGTTGTGCTATGGTTTGGACATGAACTACATTGATCCCACTTCAATTGCCCAAAAGGTATAACGAAAATGTTTTTTTTTTTTTTTTGGAATTGCAGTTGGACATTTCAACAAGCAACTGTGTGTAGTGTGATGTGTAATGTGTAGATATACTAGGAACTTATATATTTTATTGTTCGTATGATTCAAATAGGTTATCTCGGGTGTCTATCAGGGTGTTACAACTGTCGAATTGGATAATTTGGCTGCAGAGACAGCAGCCTACATGACCACCGCTCACCCCGACTACGCCATACTCGCTGCCCGTATTGCGATCTCTAACCTCCACAAAGAGACCAAAAAGGTGTTCTCACAGGTTATTGAGGATCTTCATAAATACATCAACCCCAAGACCGACAAGCACTCGCCCATGATTTCGGACTATACTTACAATGTTGTGGCCAAGAATGCCGAAAGACTCAACTCTGCAATCATTTATGACCGTGATTTCGGATACAACTTCTTTGGCTTCAAAACCCTCGAGCGTTCTTACCTTCTCAAGATCAACGGAAAGGTCGCAGAGCGTCCCCAACATCTGATCATGCGTGTCTCGGTCGGAATTCACGGTGATGACATTGACTCGGTAATCGAGACCTACAACCTCATGTCCGAAAAATTCTTTACGCACGCCAGTCCAACTTTGTTCAATGCAGGCACACCTCGTCCTCAGATGTCATCCTGCTTCTTGCTGACAATGAAGGAAGACTCTATTGAAGGTATCTATGCAACCTTGAAGATCTGCGCCCAGATTTCCAAGACTGCTGGTGGCATTGGCATGAGCATTCACAACATCCGTGCTACTGGATCATACATTGCCGGAACCAATGGCTACTCTAACGGTATCTTGCCCATGTTGCGTGTGTTCAACAATACTGCTCGCTATGTGGATCAGGGAGGAAACAAGCGTCCGGGTGCATTTGCCATGTACCTCGAGCCCTGGCACCCTGACATTTTCACATTCTTGGATTTGCGCAAGAACTTTGGCAAGGATGAGATCCGTGCCCGTGATCTGTTTTATGCTCTGTGGATCCCAGACATGTTCATGCGTCGTGTTGAAGAGAATGGCGAATGGTCTTTGTTCTGCCCAAGTGAGGCTCCCGGACTTGCGGATGTATGGGGAGATGAGTTTGATGCACTCTACCTCCAGTATGAGCGTGAGGGCCGTGCTCGCCAGACAATCAAGGCTCAGAAGTTGTGGTATGCCATTCTAGAGGCCCAGACCGAGACCGGTAATCCCTTTATGCTTTACAAGGATGCCTGCAACCGCAAATCCAACCAGCAGAATTTGGGTACCATCAAATCAAGCAACTTGTGTACCGAAATTGTCCAGTACTCTAGCCCTGATGAGGTCGCTGTGTGCAACTTGGCCAGTCTTGCCCTTCCCACATATGTTGTCAACCGCGAGTACTTTGATTTCAAGAAGCTCCATGCTGTCACAAAGGTGGTCACTAAGAACCTGAACAAGATTATTGATGTCAACTACTATCCTGTACCTGAAGCCGAGCTGTCCAACATGCGCCATCGTCCTATTGGCTTGGGTGTCCAGGGTCTGGCTGATGCGTTTATGCTCATGCGTTATCCCTTTGATTCCCCCGAGGCCAAGGAGCTCAACATTCAGATCTTTGAGACCATTTATCACGCCGCACTTGAGGCATCCATGGAAATTGCTGCGACCTTGGGCCCTTACGAGACCTACGCTGGCTCTCCTGTGTCCAAGGGTAAATTGCAGTTTGACATGTGGGGCGTCACACCTACCAACTTGTGGGATTGGACGAGCCTAAAGGCCAAGATCGCAAAGCATGGTGTTCGCAACTCCCTGCTGGTTGCTCCCATGCCCACAGCATCCACTTCACAAATTCTCGGCTTCAACGAATGTTTCGAGCCCTACACTTCTAACCTCTACACACGCCGTGTTCTGGCTGGTGAGTTCCAGATCGTCAACCCTTGGTTGCTCAAGGACTTGGTTGAGATGGGTCTCTGGAACGACAATGTCAAGAACCAGATCATGTCAGACAGTGGTTCTATCCAGAACATCGCAATTATCCCTCCTCACATCAAGGCTCTTTACAAGACCGTGTGGGAGATTGCACAGCGTACTATCATTGATATGGCCGCTGATCGTGGTGCTTACATTGACCAGAGCCAGAGTTTGAATATCTTTATTGGCGAGGCCAACTTTGGCAAGCTGACAAGTATGCACTTTTATGGCTGGAAAAAGGGATTGAAGACCGGAATGTACTACCTCCGTACTCGCCCTGCTGTCGATGCAATCAAATTCACTGTCGATCAACTTTCTCTCAAGGAGTACCGAGACAAGACCAGCAAAGAGAATGAAGCTGATATGGTTTGTTCGATCGATAACAAAGATGCCTGTGTTAGTTGCAGTGGATAATAATTTCACCATCCAGCAAACAAAACAAAAACAAAAAATAGCATCCGATTCATATAAAATAATAATAATAATAATTTGTATGTATAGAAAAATGCCTTCATCTTTACTAGTAGTAGTAGTAGTTTATTTTTCTTCTTTATAACGCATTTCACACCAAACCTTTTTTTTTTTTTTTTTACTTTTGTCTTTCTTATCTCCCTCCTCTTCCTCCCCCTTTTTCTACCCTTTTTTTTTCTACATATCTTTCCAACTATACATTTTACCTATCTACCTAACCTAACCTATCTATCTATCTATCTATCACTCACTCACTCACTCACTCACTCACTTACTCAATCAATCAAGCAATTCAAGCAATCCAAGCAATTTCAAATAAAAAATCATTCATTCTGTTATAATTTTTTTTTATTTTTTTATATTAAATGTCACAATCTTATAAAGGAGTTGAATGATACCAAATGTGTGATCCACACAAATATTTCAAGAAGTCAGTCAGTCAGTCAATCTGTCAAAGACCAATTATATATATATTATATATAGGCTTTGTAACAAAGTAGTATTAACAAATGCTCTCTTACACAACCACACAGTAGTCTCTTCAAATAATCCCTCCCTTCTGCCTTTTCCCCCCTCTATTTTTCTATTTTATTTTATTTTTCTCCTTTATTTATTTTTTGAGGGGGTTTTTGTTCTTTGATCTACACATCTTCTTTTGTATTCCAAGTGGCAAACCATGTTTCAATCCATACAATTTGTCACACAATTGAATGATTTAATGAAAAAAGAAAAGAAAAAGAAAAGAAAGTACAAGACACCAAGTATACATATATACGTATATATGTATTTGAAAGTATTGTTGAAATCATAGTAAAAAAAAAACAAGATTTAATATAAACTGGTGATAAAGAAGAGGGATAAGTTGCACAGGCTACATTACATTTTGATGTCAAACTTCATGTGTAATATTTGAAATGTAATTCTTTTTTTTTCTCTATTTTAAAATACAAAATATACACATATGAATATCTACATATACAGAATACACATGGTAGGGGGTTTTTTTTTAAAAAAAAATATTCAACTGAAAATTTGCTGTGTATTTTATTTTATTTCATTTAATATTATGTTATATTATATATATATATATATATCTTATTTTATTTTATTTTATTTTTTATTTTATTTTATTTTATTTTATTTTCTCACTGGTTTCTTTTCTCGTCTGATAATGGGCTCTACTGTAGCGGTTGTACTAAGAGGAGGCATGGTTCTACGTCTTTCTACTTTGATGGGGTCTTTGGCAACTGATGTGGGCGGCGGAACGGTTGACTTTGGTCGCATTTGGGAACCACTTCGGCTAAGCTTCCGTGGGCCTGTGGCGGCGGCTAGCAACGCGGCCTTGCGCTTTTCTTCCTCGTGTAACACTTGCTGATTCTTTGCATGTTCAGCTCTGGCTCGGACCGTAGCAGTCTGGCGTGGACGGTATCCAGACGATGATCGAAGAAGAGGTGGGGGAGTATTTGCAGCTGCAATGGCAGCAGCGGCAGCAGCAGAGGCGGCAGCGGCAGCAGCAGAGGCAGCGGCGGTTTCTATTTTGATGTGTGCGGGTATGGCTGCAATTGGTTTCACCACAGCAGCCGATGGACTGGGTCTAACGACCAACACAGAGTTGCGTTTTGCGGTCGAGGGTTTTGCTGGAGTGGGTTTTGTGGGGGATAGTTTTGGAGTGGTGTTTCTGGGTGGGGCTGTTGAGTCTTGTTTGGGTAATGATGGTGTGTGGTTGCGAACGTGAGTATGAGTGTGATGAATGGGTGCTGGCGCAGGTGCAGGTGCTGTTGCTAGTCTGGTGCTGGATGGTCTGGTAGATGTGGGACGAGTGGTGGTTGGTGGAGAATGAGGTGGAGAAGGGGTAGTTGTTTTGGTCGTACGTGTTCCGGTGGTTGCGGCTTTTGTTTGTTTGGTATGTTTGCTATTTACTGTGAGGGTGCTACCGGCAATTGATAGCTTTGTGGTGATGATAGGGTCTGGTTTCTCTACTACCTTTGGGATTTCTACAGGGGGAGAGACGGGCTTCAAGGGCACTACAGTGATTGGAGATTCAGAGAGGGGCGCTGTTGAATAAACAGAATTCATTGGTATCAGTTACTTAAACTCATAATATTTTTTTGTTTTGTTTTGTCTTTTGGTTTCTTGAAGATGGATAAGGGTAATTATAACATATTCCTTACATGAATTGCGTTTGAGTGCCTTTTGAGCAGCAATGAATTGTTGAACAGAGCTTTTTGGCTCAGTTGACTTCTTTTGCTCTGATGGTTTTTTATTTGGTGGAACGTATTCTTCCAAATAAGATCGCAAGTTTGGAATTGGTTTACTGTCAAGACTATTTATTTATTTATTTATTTATTTATTTTTTGGTTGGTTAGTTAGTTAGTTAGTTAGTTGATTTAGGTTGGTGTGATTCTTGAATGATTGTGTTTGCTATAATGATGTACCTTGTTGTTCTAAAGCCTTTATTCCTTTCACGTGGAGGCTGTTCCCCTAGATAATCGACAATTCCTTTCGTTGGTCAGTCAACAACACAATCTACCAAACACGGCCTTCCTTCACTCACAGGGAATCCAAGCTGCCACTTTAGGAAGGGGCGAAGACTCGATTATAACCTCGTGTGCTGTTTCTTTTACTTTTTATGTTTTTTTTAGTATTAAAAAATAATAATAATAGGAAAATAAAATAAGAAATTGAGTTGGCCATGTGTACACAGCAATAGATTTATATATAAATAAAATAAAGCTTACTAGTGTTTTCTTTTGGTGGCCGTGCAGGTGGCTCGAACTCTTGATGACCCCACCAATCAGGGAATGTGTAGGGCATGTTTGCTTTACGATCCGGAATGACGTCTTTTTCTTCGGTAGTTACGCTGTCTTCAGTAATGGTGTCTTCGGTGTCATGGTGAAGAGAGTCTTCTTTGTCGTCATTGATATTCGGACGTATAGACTATACATATTCTGGATTAATCAGCAGTTGTTTAAAGTAAACATATAAGAAAAGGGCGTGCCTGTGAATGTGTACCTTTTCTTCCTTGTCCATGAGTTCTTGTGACATTGTTGCGATGCGTTGGCGATCATTTGAATAGAGGACTGCAAAGCAGATGAGTTCTCGGAGAAGATGGAAGGTGTCTGTTGGAGGGTGTTTGTTGAGGAAGGTGTGTACATATGGTGGTAACGTGGTTAGGAATGACTCCATGACTTGGGTATAATATTTGCCCAAAGTTGGACTATGTGGATATATAAAAGAAGAAAAGAAGAGAGAGAGAAAAAAATAGATAAAGAAATGAAATATAGGTAAAGAAGCAAAAGAAGAAGAAGTATCAAAGGTCGAGAAATAAGGGATCGAGAAACGAGAAATAAAATATAAAAAAAATAGATTGAAAGTGAATTTAGAATTAGAATTAGAATTAAAATTAAAATAATTATTATTATTATTATCATTTTGTGCCCTTGTTTTTTTTTGTGCTTCATGCTTCATGCTTGTGCTTCTTTATGTTCTTGATATAGTTGGTGTAGTTGGTGTACTTGCCCTTTGACACTCCCAACCCTTGTTTTCTCCCCCCCTCCTTTATTTTATGTGTTTATACTTACATATGTATGCGCGTATTTATCTATCTATCTATGCTATTTAAACCACTGTAGCCTACACAAACTTGGTTTTTCTTTCTACTTTTTTTTTTGTTTTATTTTCCCTCTTTTTTAAAATATCGAACTCAGTCCGGAATAGCACCAAACTTATCTCTACCAAAACGGAAAAGTGCCTCCGATACAAGTGTCTTGATGTCAACTATTTATGATATTAAAATACTTTTAAATGGCTATGTTCCTTTGATTTATATATCTACAAGAAGTATGATGCTATGATCTCTATAGCAACCTCTGGTCAAAAGTTAATTGGTTGTTTGATTAGTATTTAGTATTTAGTTCTTTTTTTTTTATGTAAGCAAGATAAATACATATATATATATATATATCGGAAAAGATATTTGTACTTTCCGTTGAGTGTAGCATGAGTACTATATGTATGTATTGGTGTCGCTGTTTCATCATAAATTTGTATCCAAAGGTCATATTATACTTTTATCTATTCATTCTGGTTCATGATGGTCAGATATGTGGTGATTGGTCATGGTATAAATATACAACCTTGTTGCTGTTTGGTGACCATAATGTAAATTTATTTATTTCAAGGACAGAGCTCTATATATATTGTCAGTGCTTAATAAAACTTGATCCTATTGTGTGTATAAGCGGGTGCGTATCAACAAGCTGCGTAACATCATTCTTTATATATATAGCGCCCAGAACAAATGTTTCGCCCATTATAACATCTGCTATAAATGACAAAAAAGATATATCATAAATTCAAATCCATTTCTTAATTAGCACTAAGCTTATCGAAATATACTACTCGAAAGAATAAAAATTCAAGGCATATATTAATAATATATATATATATATATATAAAGGACAACTGTATTATCGAATCTGCCTAAAGCTCTTTCAAGTAATGCTAATCGATCAGGAATATTCAACTAACGATTATCAATAATTAACCCATATGTTCTCTATATGGTTTTTGGTCAAGGCTATTCCGAGACTACTGCAAAAATAACCCAAATCTTGCTATATATGTATTCAGTTTGGCTGAAACGCTCGCAGTATTATCTCCAGCAACTTCAAGATCAAGGATCTTTCCTCTAGTCTCATCTGAAAATACGCTTGGAATTATTTTAGTTTTGTTAATTGGGGTCTCTAAGATGTTGGGAAATATAAAGTATAAGTAGTAAGGCAATCTCTTGTTGGAAATCGATCCCAAGGATGGTCGTCGTTTTACATAAAGAGAATTTTTTTTTTGTTTTTTTTTTCTTGGACAAATACGAATTGCATTGTAGGCAGCCGATTTTTTTGCCATCTAAGCTTTTGATATGGTGCGATAGTAGACAACGGCTTTAAAGAAGCCATCCAAGGTACTTATTAGAGACATTGTATCCTTCTTTACCTTGGGTGTAATTACCATGGCAAGTTCAGTGAGAGCATATATGCTTTAATAGGGGATGTGCCAATGTCTAAAAGGTGATTATTGTTCCAAGGGTTGGAAACAAAAAACACCAGTCATATTTCTGGTAACATCTTCCAGGCTTGGCGAACACTCCCAACCGGTAGAAGTCTAGGATTGCTGGTATCTCTCATAAACTCGTCTCTTCGTATTCAGACCATCATCCCACATCTGTGCCATTCTTAGGGACAGTATTCGTACATATTTTCATCTTTTTCATCTTTTTTTCGTAGGCAAGGAGTGATTGGGTGAGAGGATGCACTATGGAGCAACCCAACTCACATTCTCCGATTTTCCCTGCATACAAATCTTTCATGAAAAGCAAAAGGGATTCTACCGCAAAGACAACGTTTTTCTTTGGGCCATCTTTCTTTTCTTTTTTCTTTTTCATGGCAAGTTTCCGGCTTTGTTGTCATGGTATGATTTAAGAATGTCCTTTTAATCAACATGAACAAGTTAAGACCCAGGATGCTAAGCAATGGCAAGGATAAAATGCTCATATCAATAACAGAGGACAAAAAAAAGCTCTTAAAAAGTATTATGAATCAATTCAACTAAGAGTATTTACAAAAAGTCATTGAAGCATCGGGTCAACATCCATATTATTTTAAAAAGCTATCAAATATAAAGAAAGATCATCATAAATCTTGATAGCAATGTACCAATGTACCAATGTTTGAATTCTATACAATCCAAGATGAATTATCATCAAAAGGCAGGGCGTTGAAATTATGTTGCTCCATTCGTCTTTAGTGGTGGCATAATAGTCGTAACATGAACATGCAAAGCAAAGTAAAGTAGATTCCTTTTTTTTTTTGCAAGTTCTTAGGTTACTGTTTCCAGCCTTTGGCCTGTATGCGTGCCAAAATTCGCAAATTCCTTGCAAAAAGGATATAGCTTCTCGAGCGTTGAGATGGTATATGAGCACTATGAACAAAAAAGCGATGTCTCTGTGGTGGAAAGATTCTCTGACAGAAGCTCTCCACCGCCAAGTTTTTCTTTCACCGTACCTCTTGGTTTTCAAACCAATCTTAACTGTTCTCTCTGGCGCTCTGAGGTGGACTGTCTCCAACACTTTAGCTTCTGATATCCTAGAAAGAAAATCAGGTATGAAATATTGTTTAGAGCAATTGCGTTCGTCTTGGTCTGCTTCTGAGGCCATCCATTCTATTCAATTGCACCCGTCTCTATTCTTCAGAGTATGTCAGCCTTTACCACCGCTCATGAGATCTGGTGTGCTCATTGGACTGCTGTTTCTGACAAAATATTTCTTCCATATTGATATTGTCGTGGTTAAAGTTTTGACTACAATCAGATAAGCACATTATAACTCTTAGGGGAGGGGGGGGGATTCTATTTCTTTTATCTTGTACCTTTCCTCTTTTTCCGTTTGATCCCTGTATTTCAAAGACCGCGCCGTGTATACACTGATGAGTTTATATACTACAAAATACAGGAAGTCACACTTTCCTGAACCTGAAAGAATTCGGCAGGTCCAGCACAAACTCGGTGTGGACAGACTAAAAATTCGAAAAAAAAGTTCAAAAAAAGGACAAAACGAGCTCATCTTGAACTTGGCCAATCAGACTAATTTATTACTGACCTTCCCTTATTCTTTTTTTTTTTGAACTTTTTAGTCTGTCCACACCAAATTATTGTATATTACACCTTGTTATATTTTTGTTCCTAAATTTGTACGTTCTTAGCCAATCAAAGGTATAAAAAAAAATCTATTCCGAATTTTCCATTTGTCTACCGCTCATATTGTTTCTTAAGAAAAAAGAAAGACTGACTGCCCACTTTTTGTGGGGAAATAAAAAAAAAACACTCTTTTTTAGGCAATATAAAGATATTTATTTCAGCGTGTGTATATATATATAGATGTTTTTTTATGTACACCTCCCTTCATCCCAACAAGTTCTTTTGACCAGCTCAAGAGTTGTAAAGAAGGATGAAAGGAGTATATAGAAAAAAAAAAGGAAGGTGCAAATAGAAAATAGAGAAAATGATAGTAAAGTAATATACAAATAATAATAAATAAAAAATATTTTTGTTCTTTCTTTGTTTTATAAAATATGAAATATGTATGTATATATGTATGTATGTATATATATAAGAAACAGGCTCTTTGGTCTACAAAGTTGAGTATTCTATATATAAAAGAATGTGGCGGTAAACGAGGTCATTTGTGTGTGTGTGTGTGTAAATGGTGAGTGTAGTGAATGTGTAAGCGGGGTGTTTGTTTTGCTTGTTTGTTTAGATTGCAGGTCCAGTGGAGGAAGGAATCACCGTCCAAACTTCGGGCAATGGATCTCCTTTGTCAGACAATCGACAGAGCAAAGATTTACTTGAGTGGTATACGACTCCATCGTGCCTGACTAGTAATATCGGCAGTTCCAATTGTCGATAGCCAGCTCCCATGTCTGGGTCTGGGGTCAATAGATCGTGATTTGCAACCAAAAGGTCTTGAGTTGGTGGCAGGTGGACAATAAGGTTGCTTGTATTGGGTAACTCAAAGGAGTCTGATCGGACATCCAGTTGGAGCGGACCATCAGTCCCCAGCCAGATAGCGAGCAGTCTTCCGGTTGTTGCCTGTCGTAAATGGCGGCCCGTTATGTTTAGCCGATGTGTCCTAGGGTCGTATTTAACTGCAGACAGGATTGGAAAAGGAGTCAGATTGCGAGGTGACAAGGGCACCAAAGGCGACAGGGGAGGCGAAGGCTGTCCGGCTGTGGTTGTCTGTTGAGATCCATCGGAATAGGTGTACTGGAATTTTGATATCCCAACAATTGTCCAACACAAGTAATCGTCGACTTCTTCACATTGGGTATCAAACGACCCAGACCCGGGGTCAGAGTTGGTCAATCTAGAAGGTGCAAAATCAAGCCATGTGTTGGCGTGATTGTCATGGTCTAGTGTTGTTGTATTTGAATTGTTTGTTGTTGCTGTTGTTGCTGTTGTTGTTGTTGTTGTTGTTGTAGTGGTGGGAGTGGAATTAGTAGTATTGGTATTTGTAGTGGTAGAATTATGGTGGTTATTTGCAGATTTTTCATGGAGAGTACCAGCCGCACTGAGATAGAGAGGGGTAGGAGAGGAAGCTAATTGGAGGGCGATCTTCTGCATCTGACTGAGTGGCCCGTAAGCACAGGCCGCAATTCTTCCCCGGTCTACTTTACGAATGATGACTGGGGGAGATATGATACCTGTTTGGGTATCTGTAAGGATGATTTCTGTACCATATGTAACAGGCATGGCGTGGTTTTGGGATGGTTGGTGGCTACGAATGGCCGTGCCATTAGAGTGAGCTGGTCCAGTGGTTCTTCCCGACTTACTAGGTGATGGAGGTTGTGTTGGTTGTCGCAAAATGGTAATCGTGAACGGAGACCAAGATGAGTTCTTGGCGCACAGTCGATTGTTATCTGAAGTCATATATTTTGTTCTCACTGTTTGAGAATTAATGCGGTTAAACAGCGAGACTGGCGCATTTGCCAGGATACAGGTTGATACATTGCGTGCCTTTGCAGTCTTTTTTGAAGGCTTTGAAATGATTGAAATCGGACTCGATAAAAAAGTAGCGAATGGTTGGGGTGATGAAGAGGAAGAGGAAGAGGATGCTGATGCTGATGATGCTGATGGGGATGAAGATAAAGGTAAAGATGACTTGGTTGTACTTTCAGCATTTGTTGTTACTGTTGTTGAGGTGTCGTTTTCGGTTTCGTTTTGGTTGGCCAGACTGACTCGAAGACAAAATTGTTTAGCTTTTGCGGTACCGGTAACATGGAGGTATTTGAAGCTGCCCGAAAGATTCTCGTCGAGCATTGCATGCTGTTCGAGGGGTTTGTCTCCATTTTCACATACGACTGCAAGTGAGACCTGGGGTTTGTTGTGTTGGCCAATGTGGCTCGAAGAGTTGATATTTACGACAGGTGGAGGGCACAAGAATCGTTTTTCAGAGCCGTATGATTTTTGGGCAACTGAGGCATGTAGACAGGTAATGGTTGTAGTGGGTGGAGGTAGACGGCGGATTTTTGTTGATGGTGGAACGCAGGGTTGAGAAAGAGGTCTTTTGACGGGCTGTCGTGGTGCTGGGGTCTCTCCATTTGAATCTAGTAAAGATTCGATGGACATTGTTTGGTGAGAGGTGTATTGATGGCTGGCGGGTTGTGTTCTGAGCGGGTGAGGGCTGGGTAGATGCATGGCTGTATTGAGGTGAGAGTCAATAGGTGAGATACCAATGAATTGGATCTTTCTACTCGACCCAAACACCTGTCCAGAGATGACGTGCGAGTGTTCCATGTATAAAGACCAAAATAAAGAGGAGTAAGATATAATAAGAAAACAGGGGAGATTATGGAGTGTAAGAAGTATAGAGAAGAGCAAGAAAGAGGATAGATGGAAATGAACCTTTTGGCTTTCTATTATTATTATTATTATTTTATTTTATTTTCTCCTTTTTAAAATTAGGATTTATTTTTATTTATTTATATTATATTTGATGTGTATATAATTATAATATATTTGCAGGTCAGAAATAGGAATATTGATAAGATGCTCAAAGATCTTATCACATGCACCATTCCAAGCTTCAAAAGAATACAAAGAAGAAAGATGTTCCCAGGATTTCAACGTATCACTTTTTCTCACTCTATATTTGAAGCATCAATATATTAGGATCCATGAACAGTACACAAATTTTACAGGCATCTTCTTTTTCTGTTGTTGTTGTTGTTGTTGTATACATATATATATACACACACAGAATCTATATACAAAGAGATCGTCGTTTGCCATAAGAGGCTTTTTTCTCGATCGATTCCTTTTTCTAATATAAAGAACAAAGGTTAAAAATAACAAAAGAAAAAAAAATAGTAACAACAGTCTGGTAAAAATATGCTAAAGTATATCTATCTGATAATGTCCGGTCCGCACATATATATATATATATATATATATATATATACATATTACTTGAAAATGTAGTTCTCCTGTAAAGCATCAAAGCAAAATAACTAGAACAAATAATGGTACTAAATTCTCCAAGCAAAAAAAAAGAACACCCCAGAAAATACACTATCTATCTATCTATCTATCTATACAGCTTTTTGTATATATATATATGTTGCTTATATTTCAACCCAAGAAGATGTAGCACGCAATATACCAATATTTCAAAATACGAAAGATTCACCCTACTAAGAAACGACACTAAACTGACGACAGATTTCCTTTTTAAGTATCATTAACCACTTCTATTATCTACCGGACAGTATAATAACAGTCACACTTACCGGGGTGGTCAATGTAATCTTGAGAACTGTGAGAAAAAAAAAGAGTCGACCTGTGGATAACCCAAATATACCCGTTTGACAGCACATGTGATGTGCACCTCATTTACCCCATTTGGTACCTCTTTCCTGAGTCTGATCACGCTCTGCTTCTACAGAACCTGATGCCTTCCCTTTTAAGCTGCGTGAGAAATGATATTGAGAAGCAATATAAATATGTATCTATTTATTTAAAAGATAGGTAAACGTTTTAACCGAATACACATACATACATAAACATATATATTTATATACGATAAAAATAATGTAAGCTATAATTTCAAAATGTTTCAATTATTTTACCATTTCAATTCAATTAATAATAAAAATAAAAATAATAAAAAAAAATGGGGACATCTCATATCAGATTGCTTCTTGATATTGCTAGTATTAAAATATTCTCATATATATGGTATCTTTCCATAGTTCTACTGGTGTGCCAACATTTGTAGTGCCAATTCTTGTAAAGGTCGGCATAATGAGGAGTGTCAGCTGGTAACTATTGACCCCACCCACATTGAATTAAAATAAATACATTATTATCAAATACATACATAGAAAACACAAGCAAAAAACCTTATAAAGCCCTCCGATCCTCCTTCTTCTTCTTCTTCTTCTTCTCTTTGGGGGGTCATTTTCTTACTTACTTTAATAATTAAATCGTATAGACTTGCATGCCACCGCTGGTCTTTTTGAAGATCATCAAGATATATCTGGATTGTCTTGACTTGATCTTCTCTGTTCAACATACTTGTTCCGGCCGAAAGGGGTGTCGGTCTCCAGTGCCACAGTTGCATCAGGGCAGACATTGGGTCCCAGTCAAGACAAGTTGTGACACTGGCTAGTTTGATTTTGCTTTCAATAGCAGCCCACATATTACAGTGGTCCACCCAGACCCGCACTTGATCTTCAGATCCGCAATCGAACAGATAGGCAACATTGTTGGCCAATTGGAGGACAAACGTATTTCGACGATTGCTTTCTTGGGCCATCGAATGTCC